TTTTGGGCGGTCGGGACTGCTGGTCAAGCAGCAGGTTATGTACATAGATGATATCCCGAGACTGTTCATGAACTGCCATTTTGGCGTTGGGACTCTTCTATTCTCCATTGCGTGGGATGTAGTGATTCAAGTTGATGTGGTAACACCCTACCCGTGGACCACCATGTGATCAAATGTAGACCGTTACTAGTAGTACTATTAGGTTGGATTGTAGTAAATATCAACTAGAGACGGGTCTGAACCATCTCCGGGCAGCCCTCACAAAACAGCCAAACACCCACGAACAAGCTTACCCCAAGATATGATTTTCGTGATTGGTAATCTATATTTGTCATTGCCCGTATTGGTCAGGAGAGACAGCTGCACGAGCCTCCTTGTAGGATTGCTGGTTTTTCATTTCTGATCATTTAAAGCGCCGATCTCAGGACGTAATGAATCTGACATGCAACCCTGACATTCGGGAAAGTATTTTTTATGTCAGTCTAATTTTGTCTGATGTTTGGGATCAGCCCCGCGTGGCGCGCTATGCGCCCGTTTGCTGTACTGCATGTCTGTCGTGATTTGGGCTCGGCATTTCATTCAACCTGCGCTTCTAATTCGCGGGCTACAGGGATTGTAGAAGTACACGCATAGAGAGCGAGGCAGAAAGTGCTTCAAATTCCTTGAATATGGTAAAGTGGTAAGGAGTATCTAAGAAGTATATAGACGTCGGGGATCGAACGCAAAATCAGGTGATTTGCTTAGAAATCGGCCGTTATCGCGGAGATGCCCCGCCGGGGAGTGTTGCGCCTGAAAATTCCCAGTCGAGAATTAAAAAGAACCAGCCGGAACGCGGGGACTATGCGCATTGATTTCCCTCCTTAAACTTCCAAAGGCTGCTTGGATAGGCAACCGATTCTCTGCCTTTTAATCCCTTCCCTCGCACACCTACTCTCCTTGTGCTGGAGTGCGGAGAGATCCCCCATCCGATATCGACATGGGTCTTCTGTATGTGCTATGTGCCTTGACGAGGAAACTTTCTTTTCTTTCCTTTCGTTACCCATACCCTAGTTGCACTACTGACCACTGTCTCTAGAGCCCTTGGAACCGCGTTGGAATGGCCGGAGGCGAAGAAAAAGGCTGGCCAAGTACGCCAGTGGGGCATTGAGGTATGTCGGATGAGGGGCTGATGGATCACCCAATCGGTGTCGGAAATAGAGCTAACAAGTCAATGCAGCAATTACTCGCTAACTGGCGTCGTGCCAAAGGCAAGGAACGTGATGCCCTTCTATGGGGTGACGAGGTGCGCGCATTCGATCCTATAATCCCACCCGCTTCATAACGGTAGACGCTGATGGTCTCCCCTCGCAACAATTTAGGTCGAATACCTCGTGGTGGCCCTCGACGATGAGACAAAAAAGGCACGGTTATCTTTGGCTCAGGCTGAGATTCTGAAATCCCTTGCCCGGGACGAGGCCCTCTGGAAGGCTGGGGGTACCGAGCAGGGCGGCAGCGGGGACCAGTAAGTGGAATCGATCGTGATACACCTTGGAAGTTTGGACAGTCATTCTGACAGCCCCCAGTGATGGCGAAGATCCCCCTCACTTCCACCCCGAATTCGGTCGATTCATGCTGGAGGCTACACCCGGACGTCCTTGGGGTATTGGTTTCAAAGACCTCCTGAAGGTGGAATCCAACATGAAATGGAGGTAGGTCAAATATGAACATAAGCATTCCATGAGTGTTCACACTTGCTCACTTTCTTTCTAAGGCGAGAAGTCGCGAAAGCGCACATGGCGCCGAATGAATCACCTATAACTCTGACAACGTTCCCCCGACTGGGCACAAAGGACGACTATATTCAGCCTTATTATCCACCATCGGGGCCCGCTTTACGGTCTCAATTCGTCCCTGATGAGATCGCCAACCCGCACATTCGTTTCCCGACCCTCGCGGCAAATATTCGCACCCGCAGAGGGCGCAAGGTTGAATTGAATGTGCCGGTCTTCAAAGATATCAATACTCCCTCGCCATTCAAGGACCCTACCGTCAACTACGACCTTCATCAATGGCCCGAGGACGCCGACGTGCGCAACGGTGCTGCCAAAGATGACCATGTCTACATGGACGCCATGGCATTTGGCATGGGTAGCTGCTGCCTGCAAATCACCTTCCAGGCCAAAAATATTCCGGAGGGTCGAAAGCTGTACGATCAGTTGAGCCCACTGGGTCCGATTCTTCTTGCTCTCACGGCAGCAACTCCGATTTATAAAGGTTTCCTCGTGGACACCGATGTGCGATGGAACCAGATCGGCAATGCCGTGGATGATAGAACCCCCGAAGAACTCGGTGAAGCTGTAAGTTGTTCTGGAATTGAAACAAGCTATACACAAGCTAACCCTGCCAGCCTCTCAAAAACGATCGCTGGAGGATCCCCAAGTCTCGGTATGCTTCAAACTCGACTTACATTTCCCAAGACCCGCGACTGCGGAAGGAATACCTTGATCCAGATCTAGTCGTAGATGAGGACATCAAGAAGAAACTAATGGACGGTGGAATGGACGATCAGTTGGCGACGCACTTTGCTCATCTGTTCATCCGAGACCCATTGGTGATCTTTTCCGAGGATTTAGAGGAACTTGACTTAAACAAGGGAGACCACTTCGAAAACCTCCAGTCCACCAACTGGCAGCACATGCGGTTCAAGCCTCCTCCCTCCGATAAAGATGACATTGGTTGGCGAGTGGAGTTCCGCTCTATGGAGATTCAAATCACGGATTTCGAAAATGCGGCATTCAGCATCTTCGTGGTCCTCATCACGCGTGCCATTCTCAGCTTCAACCTGAATTTCTACCTGCCTATTCCGCGCACAACTGAGAATATGGAGACGGCACATGCTCGCAACGCTGTCCTTGATCAGAAGTTCTATTTCCGCAAAGATCCATTTGCCGAGCGGACCCCCCGGAATGCCCAACACTCATCTAACGGCAGCACCTTTTCCTCGACTACCTCTTCGGCGGTTAACACACCCCCACCTTCCCCGCCCTTGGGCCCCGTCGAGTCGGAATACGAACTCATGACTATCTCCGAGATCATTAATGGCTGCTCTGATGGAGGATTCCCAGGTCTCATTCCTCTGGTAGAGTCTTACCTTAACAGTGTCAACGTGGATGTTGAGACACGCTGCTTCTTGGCAACTTACCTTGACCTTATCCGCAAACGCGCTGATGGAACCCTATGGACCGGAGCCCGTTGGATCCGTGAGTTTGTAAGCAAGCACCCCAGCTACAAACAAGACAGTGTTGTTTCCGAGGAGATCACCTATGACCTCGTTAAGGCGGTCGAGGAGATGACAGCCAAAGAGGGCAAGAATGGCTCTATTGGCTGGGAGCTACTCCGAGGCAAAAAGAATTAAATAGACAAACTTCTTTTCTGCCTTTCATGCAGATAGACATCTTGGGCATGAAAACATGATACTAGAACATGAATTTAACTTGCACATATTAGCATGGGGGTCAGCCCTTGGCCACAGTTAAAAAACTTCCTTGTAATTCATGTTAAATCCACAAACGCATTAGCCGAAGTCTAGCTCTGTATGCCGGAAAGGGTTAGACTCGTAAAGCCTCTTTTCTCACAACTATCGCATAAAGTTAGGACCAAAGTGGTCAGAGTGCTTTCATTGACTTGATGGCCGATTAGAGCTGATGTCTGGCTTCTACGACAGGGATACAGGTCATTATTAGGATTGACTAAAAGATTGCCATGATCATCAAATTGGCCGCTTGTCAATTTTCTCGTACTACGCAAACTCAGATCGTGGGACCTACTAAGACGGAGATGTGGACCTTTCAAGATGAAGATGTAGGTCACACAAAACACAACAAACCGGAGCCCGCTGCAACGGTAGCAGCATGCTGGATAAACCAAACCGGGCCTGGAACGGCACATTGGGCCATTTAAAAGGAAATAAGCTTCTAGATACATAATTGGAAGATTCCAGAGAACAAGAGATTCTTATATCGAGTACAAACCAACCCCGTAGCACGACAGTCATGCTCCAATACTCGGCCACATCCTCAGACATGAGCTGTACAATATCAACACCAAACTGTTTCGTCCCGGACACGGACACGGAAACAGAAACAGAAGCCATCATCGCCGTCACCCGGGGCTTCCTCGCCGCGCTGAGCGCAAAGTCACGCGTCGACTTTGAAAAGCATTGTGTTCGCGCTGGCGGGATGACTCTTTCACCTCCATCACCTACAGCTCTTCGATTCTGCACTATCGGGTCGTTCATCGAGTACATGGCGACGTTAAAAGACGATATTGACGAGCGTATCTGGGACCCCGAGGTCAAGATTCAAGAAGCGGGAAATCTTGCTGCGGTGTGGGCACCATTCCGGGCAAAAATCAATGGTGTTGTGGACCATGTTGGTGTTGAACTGTTTGTGCTGCATAAGTTGAATGGCGAGTGGAAGGTTACTGGACTGGCAGATTCTTGTCGACGACCGACTGTCGAGGAGATGGGGATGGAGTGACGCATACCTGTGAGAAAATACTAGTAGGAGTAGATGAGCGTGGAGTTCGGGAGGAATTCTTGATCTTTTGTGACTAATTTTCATTCCTTTTAGGTGTAAGATTTAATATTCAATAGCCTGGTCGAGAATCAATTTCCGCTTCATTTAGACATAACTGCGTTTGCCCATATATAATAACACTCCTTATCCAAGACAGTCAGCATAGCAACGGTATAACCCTATACCCTATACCCTTATGGTGGAGAAATCGGCGACTGAATTTGACCTTCCAGCTCAGTTCTTGTATTGCTAGTGCTCAGTTCAGCAGGGTTATAATTCCCTGGAAGCTCAACCACGCGGATAGGCGCATTCGACGACCCTTGAGTGGATGAGGGTGCTGCTACCTGCTTCTTGGTACTATCCAAGGTCGCGATATCCCGTCCAAAAGAAGATGGTGAGGTATAGGTATCTGGTGAGCCATATCCAGAAGGTGCATATCCCATATTAGGCACTAGGTTTTGCGAAGGTGCCCGACGACGTTGACCGATGAAAAATAAAATTCCCCCCGAATATCGCAACACCTGCTACCACACCGATGACGATTCCTGCGATTGATCCGCCAGATAACCTAGTCTCAGATCCAGATCCAGATCCAGATGACGACGTGTTCGTCGGTGTGGTACTAGTTGCGGGTTGTGTGGAGGTAGACGAACTCGTCGTGGTCATTGAAGATGTGGTACTCGCGCTTGAATCGACCTTGAACGAATTTATCGCTGCGGACGCATTCTTGCTGAGAAAATGAGATGCCCACCCACCTGCCACACCCGAGCAGTCACTGTTTCCGTATAAAGAGATCTCAAACGGACCCTCTTCAGAATCATACTCAAACAGCTTTCCCTTGGGGTTGCTGATCTTTGTACAGGACATAGAACTTTTCGAATGCTCGACAAATGACGCATCCGATGCATTTCGCCAAACAAATGTCCACGCCTCTGTCAACGGCAGCAGAGAAAGCGCATTTAGCACTAGCAAGAGTATCTTCACCTGCATTGTGAATATAAGGTAAGAGTTGAGAAAAAGCGAGATTAGCTTCACTATGTTGCTGCGCGGGGAGTCAACCAGAGTCCTTTATGTCACTGCAATAATGCGCAAGGGGGACATTGGGTGTGAGCAGAACCTCGTATTCTGTGTTCATCGTGTTGATCACAGCTGAGCAGCTGGGCATGTAAGTGGACAGGTGAATCCCTTGGATCTCTGATCCCTGCTAATTATGGTAAGTGATCTGCACGGGTCTGCAGGGCTCAAAGCATCTTCGATAAAGTCAGAACGAGGTCTCGTTTTGTGGGTCCTTGGCAGAAAAATTGGCGTCTGAGGCCGATCAGATAGGATCCCTCAATATTTTTGAAGGGCCTAGTCATCGGGTGGACGTTTACCTGATCCATCGGATCGGTCTTGTCACCAGGGCATCGGGGAATCGGGTCATCAGTACATCCAACGCTCACTGGGAATGCTCACATCATATTTTGGCTAACCCCCTTAAATCAAGTCACTGATGATGTTCTAGGCAGTCGTTCCGGATATATGGCATGCTCGTATATTGTGGGTTAGGATTGGCTCGTCGTGATCGTGAAGGCTATGCTTTGTTGGCCCACCGTAACCAATCAAGAGACCACAAGAATCCTTGCTGGAAGCGGCTGAAGTACGAGAATGAAGTTTATTTCATAAAGATAGCATTTATATGGAGTAGACTCTGTTATTTCAAAAATCTGTCCATCAGTTAGAAATTTTGGGGAAAAACTGTGAGTTTCCGCCCAGTTGTCAGATGTTTCAGATTACTTTATGCCATCGTGTTGATTGACAACGGAGATTTTGTCTCATGAATTCCAGTTCAAACTTGTCGCCAACCTTAGAAATGCTTGCGTAGCTAATCCATCCATTTAGAAATAGGTAAATTTTAACCTTGGAAAGTTTTAAGTGCCAGCTTCATTTTGACTGAATACCGGCCCAGTCAGTTACGTACCTACAGAATATCAACTGGAAGGACCTAGTAAAAAATAATAAAAGTCTCTGGGTCGAAGTTATAATACCTATTCACATTTATATTAAGATCCGATCTTAGACTAAATAAAACTTCTAACTAAATTAGGTTTATTAGAACAACATACTGCGCTTTACTCGCCCCAATGACGATGACAAATTTTGAACCCAAAAAGCCAACTTCAGGAGATGGTACTTGTCTGGTACGAGTCGGGGCAGAATTTAATCCTCTCCATAGCATAGTGAATACTTTAAATTATTTTCTCGTCATTCTAGTCGTATTATTTGATTATACACCGGGATAACTCGAAATAACCTGTAAGCCTGCTCAATACTAGTACAGGGCCTAGCAGTAATTTCGGGGCCGCTCTTTCTTCCGCGGTTCCGAGTATTAAATGAGTTTTGAATTCGGTTCCAGCAGGTATTAAATCAAACGGTGCCAGTGTATTTATTCGCTTAACCAATAGGCCATTCAATCAGCATGAAGTACCCCTGAGCTCTAGCAATTTCAAAGTAAATCTTCAAGCATGTTATTTGGCACTGTATGCTTAGTATTAAACAACTAGCGCCTAGGTGTCAAACTCAATGGCCTCGTAGGAATTAATACTAGACTCTAATTAGTAGATCGAGATTCTTCGAGACAAAAAATCTCACTGAAACATTTTCATATTGTTGAGGAATGAAGCTCGGGCACCAATATCGCTTCCTTGTTGCCGCGTTACCTCCTAGATATCTAGGCGTTCGCATGCATCCACCACTTCCATGGTTCCGAGTTTTTATCTATATTTACCATGCAAACTTCGCAAGGGGACGAATATAAATCCTGCCAGTGTCCAGGGGTAGGTTCCGAGGTCCCATCAAAACTTGAACCCCTCTCCGGATAAACCTCGGTGTTGGTGGATGTCACTCACACCAATCTGGACATTCATCCGTGAAACTTTCCGCACTAATCCCCGCGACCTGAACTAATTCTCGCAGTACTACCTTGAAGAAGCAAACTTCAGTCCCCACCTGAAGCACTGCCCTCTTCTTTCCGGAATTCGGTCCTCATCATCGCCGAGATCTCCGGAGTCCGAGAGCTTGACATTGTCACGGCAATCAGTTCCGGTAGATCTAGTACACGCGAGTCCATCTGAAGCGAGTTTGTTTATCATCCGAATGCTGATCATCAACAATTCGGGTGTGGGGCCCAAGTCTTCCCCGCATATGCACTCCCGCCCCCGGTTTTTCTTCGGAGTATATGAAGATGGGGAAAACCCAGGCTACTAGAGAGTCATGAAGGATCATTAACAATTGTCGTTCTTCTTTTCAGCCACAATGATTCAACTTGCACTTGGCATTGCCATCTTGTTGGCGACTGTCCATGCTGCACCAAGCACCAAGTCTCCAACTGCGACTGTTCGCAACGGAACTTATTCCGGAGTCCACAGTAGCACATACGACCAGGATTTCTTTTTGGGGATCCCATATGCTCAGCAGCCGGTAGGAAACTTACGCTTTACGGTGCCGCAGTCACTGAATGAAAGTTGGGATGGAGTTCATGATGCGAAGGATTATTCTGATATTTGTGTTGGATACGGGGTTGGTATTACTCTTTGTTTTTCTACGGCTATTTGATTGCTAAATATTGCTTAGACGGACTCTATCTGGTATCCTCAGTCGGAAGCTTGTCTCACACTTAACGTGATTCGCGATTCTTCTGCGAAGAAAAGTTCCAAGCTCCCTGTCGGGGTTTGGATACACGGCGGAGGATTCTACATGGGATCAGGAGCCGATCAACGTTACAACATGTCTACGATTGTAGACAACTCGTACAGAATTGGTAAATGCCTTCCATCATGCTGAAGTAAATTCTGTCAAGCATTTTAATCTGATGTCGAAACTTTATAGGCAAGCCATTCATTGCTGTTACACTCAACTATAGACTTTCTGCATGGGGGTTTATCAGTTCAAGCCAAGTTTCTGACACAGGCAATACAAATCTCGGCCTAAGAGATCAGAGACTGGCACTTCAGTGGATTCGAGAGAATATCGCTGCTTTTGGTGGAGATCCCGATAAGGTCACCATTTGGGGCGAATCGGCTGGCGGTATGTCGGTGGGCTATCATCTCACAGCATATGGCGGCCGAGATGATAAGCTATTTAGAGCTGGGATTATGGAATCCGGAGGCTCAATTGCGGCCGGTCCATCAAACTATACGACATATCAGTCATCCTATGATGAAATCGTTTCTCAGGTCGATTGTACAAACACAGAAGACACACTTCAATGCTTGCGAGAAGTACCATTTGAGCGCCTTAATTCCGTTCTCAACGGAACATATGGGTATTCTGAGTACAATTTCTCTCTCCGGTGGTTGACGGAGACTTTGTTAGAGAATGGGGAAGCATCCAACTCGACAAGCATGAGTTTGTCAAAGTTCCTATCATTTCCGGGACCAACACAGATGAAGGCACGGCCTTCGGACCAAGAGGGATAAACACCACCAAGCAATTCTATGAGTATCTTACGGGTCAGAAAGCCTACCCCTCTCTCACATCCCTTTGCTAACCCCGTCTCAGATGGCTCGCTCGACTTCCAAACACCTCCAAATGTCGCGAGGAAGATTCTCGAATTGTACCCAGACATCCCCTCGCAGGGTATTCCTGAATTTTTGGGTGATAAGCGAGTTCCTTCAAATGGCTACCAATGGAGACGTACAAGTGCTTTTTCGGGTGACTTTGTAATGCACGCAAATCGACGACGGCAATGCGAAGCGTGGACGGAAGCCTCCACACCAGCATACTGCTATCGATTCAACGTACGCTCGGCTGATGTGCCGATCCTTAGTGGAGCGACTCATTTTGAAGAAGTTTCGTTTGTCTTTCACAATATCGCTGGGCTGGGCTATCATTATGGAAAGCCTTTTGCAGGGGTCCCACAGTCATATATTGATCTGAGCTCCATGATGACGAGTATGTGGGCTTCATTCATTCATGATCTGAACCCGAACTCCGGGGTAGTCAATCAGAGTATTCGTTGGGGAGTCTATGATAACGAAAAGCCATTGGACCTGTTCTTGGATGCCAACACGACTAGTCACATGGAACCTGATACCTGGCGCAAGGAGGGAATCGACTATATCAACTCAGTTGCCCGAAAGTTCTGGCGATAGGTACTGGGAGCTGGCAGCCACTCAATTGGATCAAATTCAGCGGATAACCAGTTTCCATCTTGAGAATAATCCGATTTTTTTTTCTGTTTTCAGAATTTAAATGTTATTATGATGCGCATTGTCATTAGCTGATCATCTCTTTGTCAATTCCAACAAAGCCTTTGTATGAACCAAGAATGGATTAGTTCATTAAGTCTTATTGGTGAAGGTCACTGGTTCATGAAAAGTTCAATTTAATGAGACAATAACTCTTGCAAGCTGGAATAAAAGCTGGGAGCATGTCAAACCGTCCTTCAAACTGTTCAATATATTAGGGTCAGAGCAAGGAGCATCAACTTTTCCATCAGGTAAAGAATTGAAATAATCCCATTTTATTTCTAAGCTCTTTCAAATTCATCTTGATATTCTTTACTTTTTCCATAATGACAGATGAGTGTGGCCCCAACAGCTACAAAAACTGCTCCAATACAGCCCATACTAACAGGCAAGAGGGAGTCTCTACAACTGAAAGCTCCGTCGGCAATTCTGCTCGACAGCCTCTTAATATTCCTCTTGGCGATATTATCAGGGAACAAGCAATACATCAAGGTGAACGTTCGTTGTATGCTTCATTTCTAACTCAACGAGATGGTTATGTGGCCTGGATTCAAGCAAATATAAGCATGCTTTCCGATGATCAGTCTCTTGCACTCTCTGAGACCGAGAGAATGCTCAATACTATTTCACGTGGTCTGTCCGTATTGTTCCTCCTCCCAGTTCATTTTAATGCCGATAAGCGGCCTGGAGCTTGCTTTGGTATTCGAGCCAATAGAATCTGTCAAGCAATTCGCAAAACCATCGATATTATCAGGGGATCGACCAGTTCTGATCCAAAAATAGGCAAGCTTCTACACATAATCAGTTTACAAATTGGGCGATTAACCCTTGATGGATATGGTGAATCTGACGACAACGCTATCCGCTTTAACAATGAGGCCAATGAATATGACAATCTTTTACGGTCAAGTGTTCCTCCTTCCAGGGCGCCCCAGATCAGAGAGTGTATTATTCACCAAGTCTGGGAGCTGATGACACGCGCGACATCATTTTGCGACTGTCGCCAGTGCTACCAGGGAAGGATTTCCAGTGATTTACGATGAATGCCCGGTGGAAAATTGCCCATTGATGGATGCTTATTATGTTTTCAATACTACTTTCATGCTGTATTCTTTTGCAGAGAAATTATGAATAGCATTCTTGTGATTTTTATTATATTGCCAGTATTAAACAAATCATTACCTGGAATAAATCCCCACTGTTAATATCAGTAGCTGAATTTGAATGTTTTACCACTTCTTCGCCAGTTGAACCGTCCTTGAAAGATCTCGTCGGAATGCGTTGGATATTCCTGCTAGTAAAGCAATTTAATAAATGAATAGCGCTATGTGGTAGATGCTGGTAATATATGGTAACTTCCTAGAAACAAGGAACTCCAACTCCTCCGTTCTCATAATTCATCGATAGATGGCATCTCATCCAATGTTGTTGCCTCTTGAGTGATTTCCTCGGATACACACTTTTGACATTGACACGGAAATTTGAAAGATTTTCTAAGATGCTCACGACGAGAATCTCGGTCCGCAAATTGCGTCAGGTCAAAATATGAGATGCAGCATTCTTCTCCAGGAAGAATGTCGCGTGAAGCCACGAAAACCATTCGACCCATTTCATCTGGCTTGTGAACTATCTATAAAAGAAATTAGTACTTTTTGGCCAGCAAAAAAAGGAGGAATGACGAGTGCGGAGATTTCTTTTACATTCGGCACGCAGGAATGATTGGCTATTGATGCCGTGGGATAGACGGCCGCGGCGAACTGTTCTCCTCGATCCACTGGGGGATTCGGCGATTGCAGAGCACCAGTTTCGCGAGGATACAGGCCAAAAGAGTTTGCTTCTTCTTGGCAGATAAGATGAAGTATTCGCTCGGCATCCAACCCATGGGGCAGGGCAAGGCTATGCTTTAGATATTTCTTCACAAGCAACGTCCACGATCGGACCTGGTCGTGAGCCCAGGTATCAACTGATCCACATAATGAGTCAATCGCCGCCCAGCCATGTTTCCAAAGTTGGGCTTTCAACGCGGCGGTGTTGCCGACCGACGCAGGTGAATTTCGCATCTCGGCATGCCGGGTGGCTAAGAGGCGAACAATCAACCACATCATGCCGAAATCATATTCACCCCTTTTTGCCCTAATCGGACCTGCATATCTTTTGAGCCAGGTACATTCAAATTCGTGTCGGTATTCATCGGTGCTCTGGCAAGTATTACTACACCATGCAACGTCGGGAATGCAAGCTTTAGGGCAAGGGAGTCGCCCTAGTTGGCGGATAGCGCGACGATTACAAGCGGGATTGCTGCAAAGGAGATCATCGTTGGATTCCGGCTCATCCACGACTGGGATAACTGCGTATGGGCGATCAACAAGAAGGCGGGTGCCTTTCAGAACAAGGCCCGACACTCGAAATTGGCGGCCCTTGATCGGGTCAACGCTCTCAATCAAATGCGGGTGGATCCAGTTGGGCGTCTGGGAAATCGCATCTACGCGAATTGGCGTCGATGAATCGACAGTGATATATACGACCTCGGACATGGTGCTCTGGTGGTACTGGGGGCTCGGGCAGGGCGCAATTGGGTCTGTGGTGCTTACAAAATCGAATTTTGAGGTCAAGGGCAAATTTTTTGCACTGGATTTGTGCTCTGAACAGGACCGCACTGCTGAGCAATCCGTTTGGTTCTGGTGGACGAGTGGGCCGGTTATTCGCCATCTGGGCCGCGTCCAGCCAATACAATTGCCATCCACAGCCCCGAGGTGAGGTTATTCCGAGCGGCCGCGGATGATTGGCGGTACTATCCCACGCATAATTTCATGCATACCATTGGCCAATGAAGCTTAGCTTAAACTCGACAATATGTACATGCAAGGAAGCAGTGAGATTTTTCATAGGTCTTGCTCTCTTCGCTTTGTTTGTGGACCTTCAAGTGCCAACGGGCGGTGTTTTATTCCAAATCCTATGACGCCAAAATTCTTTTTTTGATTTAGTTGAGATCGGAATTGAAAGAGCAAGCTTGACTGGCTTTTCGCTGCCACAAAGCGTCGACAGCGAGTTGATTAATTGTTGATGTGAAAAAAAAAAATGAAAAAAAAAGAGGAATGCCTCGCGGACCCACATTTCGGCATAACTTCATCAATAGAAAATAAGTGGGAGCAGAAATCCAGACCACAACCTCATAGAAAGATGTTATCAATGCTCTCTTTGTCCCATCAATAACCAGTCCGATTTCAAACCCTGAAGGACTACGAGACAGGGGCTTGAAACTTGCCGAGTCGGGTCCTCAAGAATTTGGATCAGTCCGAGACCATTAAAATTGAACACAAAGATAAATACTGGTTAGGCACAGCTTGCATAGCAAAATGCGGGTACATAAGCGAGATTATGATATAAAATAAATGGTATTGATTCTTTGTCAACTGAATGATGAGAAAGAAATCAGGTGAGTCGGACTCTTTAAGGGCGAATTCCTACAATAGAATAGAAAATGCTGGGTTGCAGTTGTCACAATCGCAAGGCCCCGATGAAATACAAAGACCCGAATGTTCTTAATTATTAGTATGATCTCCAACTGCTCACCTCACAATTCTTCCATTGAGTTTGACTTCTCATATTATTCGGCATGCCATTTTCCTACAACGAATTTAAGAAAAGTCGCAAAGACTGGGTCAAAGAGCTTCAATATTTCAACAAGGTATGGTACAGGTCCCGAAAAGGTGGACGAAACCATTGGAAGCGCAAGCAAGATTTTCTCGAAACGCTCCAAAGCCAGCTCAATCAACTTCTAGAAACTAACATCAGTGAATTGACCACGGTCAAATGCTTTGAAACGAAGGTCCGCGAGATCTTGGAGGCAATCAAAATAGTAAATGAGGATGTGGTTATTCGTGGAGAGGTACTGAATATGATCACTATGGCAATTAGCCGACTGACCTTTGAGGACGGATTTGGGGTAAACGACACCTTTGCAATGGAATGGGACAAGCGGGTAATGAAGACCGATGAAGAATGGCGTAAGAATGCGCCAAGGGATGGAGATGTACAAGATTTTAGACGGGAACAACTTCGTTCCATATGGGCACGCCTCTCTGTGGTCTTTGAGGATTGCAATTGCCTCCAGTGTATTAAGCGCCGCCCTTCATCCAATGCATCTAGCGAGGTTTCAAAGACTCGTACTGCGTTGGCATTCATGCGACACCATTGGCAAACTCTATTTTCAGGTATCTGATATTTGAAACTACAATCTCATTCATTCTATTAATTTGAATCAAATTCATTGGAAACTTGCTTACGCGCTCCATATTTTCTCATCGACAAACATAGTAAAATTATCGACTTAATCAACCTACTCTCATGACTTTTGGCTTGTTCGTTGTTATCGTGGGTATCTTCTGACAAAGGAGAAAAAACAATGGCCATTTTTTGGATGAAAGAGCTCTTTAAGCCCTTTGATTAACTCAAACCTCAAACCTCTATTCTACTATATTGACTAATATCGACATTTTCTTAAGCTACATAAATAGACCTCGTGGAATGGCAGGACGTGATGAAAATTTAACACAGTTACAATCGAACGCTTATAGTAATCCAGCAATACCTTACTATATACCGCTGTAGCTACTAGTAGCTTTCAGCCAAAATGACTACCACATCTAGTCCTTCGGTCTATTCTCCAATTTTTCTAATTGCCCGAGAAAACATTGTTAGGTCCCTCAGAGACAAGGGAAGCGTCTAATTACAGATCCTGAAAAGAAATATGAAGACCTTGAGGCTTTTTTCAAAGAAAACACTAACTATCTTAATATCTTACTGAGAGCTGACATATGTGAGCAGAAAACCGGAAAATGCTTCCTAGCCAAAGTCAAGCTAATAAAGTGGGTAATTGACGAGTCAATCGAAGATGATCATGTGGGTATCGACCAATGGACCGAAATCTTGGAAATTCTTGCAATGCAGGTGGGTAGGTTAACCCTTGAGCGATATAATACCTCTGATAAGTATGCTTATAATATGAACGAGGAGGCAAAAGCACATAACAAGAAATGGGGAGAAATCACAGACCAGGAGGATAAGGATGGGGAAGATCAGAAGAGGCAGCGTTGGCTGCATTCGACGTGGCATCATTTTAAGTGGTACGATCAAACATGTAAGTGTTACCAATGCCTTGAGTTTGTGAAGCGCAACCCTCTACAGCTTGGTTGGAGAATCGGAGTATGAAACCTCTGAAAGGGTGTAGCTGATGATGATTATTTGAGCAGATTCAAGGGCGAACTTAAGTAAAAGTGGCCCCGGTATGTCCATGATTGCATAGTTGGCCATGGCCGTTAAGCAATTTTTTGAAAACCCAACGCCCTTTACCCAAAGTCAACATGGACGGACGGAGCCGAGCTATTGATTGTACCTGGGAAGAAAAGTCCAAGATTTTTGCTTCGAAAAGAGATGATCTAGTTCGCCAGTGTAAAGAACTACAAAAAAAAGTGGCTGCAACCTTGAAAAGCCCTTTCGAGACAAGTGACGATGGGCATGGCAACAGTCTAGCTCTCCGTAAGTCAATGAACGACTTTTTCATGCAACTGCTTCATCTTCTGTACACACTGGATCAGATAGGCATAGATGAGACAAAAGCAGGCCTATGTTTCCGCCCGAAAATGAAGATACTCGATTTTATTATTGGAGGCGTCGTTAAGAATGGCTCAGTGAGACTGGCCGATCATCGAGGGATTCTTGATGTCGTCGGCACACACTTTGGAAGACTTACCCTCGACCCCGATGGAATGTGGGATGAAAGCGCAGCTCGAATGGATTACAAGGCAGACAAGGTATTTAAGCATTACCGTGACCTTGCTGGGCACGCCAACCACTGCCTCCGTAGAAGCGAAGTTCTTACGCGGGACTTGAGGTGGTTTCACGACTGTTGGCGCCTGGTTGCCTGGTATGAACCACAGTGTGGTTGTTTACAATGTACCTCCAGGTCCCAAGTGTGCACTTTCCGGGAGGTATGTTGGATGCAGGATGATTATGAGGTTGTAAATCGTGTCAGGATTTCACCGGGGGTCGAGACCTTAGATCCTCTAGAGGTTTGGGAGGTGGAGATGAATGATTATTTGGGTGAGACTTACTAGAAGGTGTGGGAGGAGTTTGAAGGTATCGTGACAGATACTTCATTTCTTTTGCTAGAGTTGATTTAATAATGGCCAGTAACCAATCTCTTTCTTTGTTTCTAACAATTTACAAGTCTCAGCAATTGTCTCATATCAATAGCTACTAGTACCAACTAGCCGTATCTTGGCTACTACCTCAACTATCACCATGTAACCAAACTAAAAGTAACATTCATAGTTCGCCCCCACAACGAGTCGGACAAACATAGGCATGACTTTACCTAACCTGTCTTAGTATACCATCTATACCTCGATAACCTTGGAATATAACGACCAATCTGTATCTATCACGTGTTTATTATAATCACATGTCAAGATCCAAATTTAATCTAAAAGTACTACGTCATGACAAGCCAGTTGTAGATTTGAGCCACCACCGCCCCCAACTTGAAAGCGAGGTCGAGGCCTCACCCGGATCTTCCGAGAGTGGGGTCTCAGACCATGTGGCCATCTCGATTTCGATCCCTCGATTGCCTCTAAATTAATGTCTCAACGGTCTCAGCGCCACCGGCGGGTTTCATAATAGATATGAATTGCATCCGAGGTTCATGAGTTCGGATCCGACGGCGCCGAGGATATCCCAGCTTAGTCAGGCAATTAATTAATCAATTTAGGTTCTCTCCATGTCGTCATTGGATTAGACTAGTCAAATTGTGCCAAATACAGTAGTTTAATCTCGAACATGCTAGAGAAAGCTAGTTCCAAAAAAACAAAAGGTAACGCTTCGCTTCCAAACATCAACGCAAACTAGTTAGTATGAATGACGGAGTGCACGGGAAGTTCCCATAAACAATCATAATCATCTACCGCCAATTATCCGATCTAGAAGTCGTCGCCGGAGACTATTAAACTAAGCGTAAGGAGTAAATAATAGTCGAATGTTATTTACCGGGACGGGACGTGGAGGCAAATGCCGATCGCAAAACAAGATGCCGATCGAGATCTCGCATGGGGTTCACGCACGACTTGCTCTCCTCCACCAGTTCACGATCAACGTAACCCTCTTCTAGACATGTCTTAGCCATGCCCCCATCCATTATTGAATTTTCCGACTCATCGCCGAGCCGCAATCTCGTCGCAGAGAACGAGTGGGCCGATTTACGTAGCTATTTACAGCGTGGCTGTTTGTCGCATCTAAATTCCAGCGCGTTAAAACGAGGCGCTTATAGAGTGGATCCTCCGATGCAATCAGGTGGAGAGCCACTATTGAATTCTTTTCCAGTTACGACCGCGAATTCTAAAGGGATAAGTGGACGGCTGAGTGGGTGGATGCCATCGTCGCCAGATTTGGGTCTTGATCTAGGTACGGAGTACTCTATGCTCTATAGGGAATCCGGAGTAGTGCCTTGCTCCGTTCCGTACAAGGATTCTTCTGATCGGATTCAATGAGACTAGCGACGTGGCCCGAAGCCACATCTACCAAATGTTTCAAGGAACTCCTACCCGAAGCAGCGGGTCAAGATTCTAGCAGCCTTGCTCTGTCTGTATCTGACTGTAACTGAATACATTCATACATACCTGTACTCCGTACGAGGGAAATACTAGTACCTACCACCAAACAAAAGAAAAGCAAGTCTGCGGAAAGAAATTAAGGCACCTGAAAAAAAAGGAAAGAACCGAAACGTGAACAAAAGCAAAAAAAAAACTCACCGCTAGGCGATACACGCTGACTTGCGTGTGGGCAGCCGATCTACTGTAAGATCCCACGTCAGCTGAAAGCAAGCCCCCTAAATGAAGCAGCGATCGCCCACGCGTGCATGCAGCATGGGAGATCGGATCTCGGTCGCGATGCCAATCAGCCACGATTTCCTGCAGTACGACATCCCATGCGATATGGGTGAAAAGCGATGCGATCGTACAGTAGCGTACAGTACGTACATACGTACATAGCCCAGATGCAATCTCGTAAATATGCACCACGCATGCCACGAGCCGACGGCAGCGATCTAAGTCGGGCACATACTCGTTTGTACATACGTAGTCGGGCAATAGTGGACAAGATGGCGTCGGTTCAGGCGCTAGATGTTGGAAACCCCCTCGCGTAACCGTGGGCCATTGAGATTAAATCTGAGATCAGACCATTCGTCTGGCGGGTTGGGTATGGGGATTTTGGAGCGCTAGTTTCGTCACGATCTACCATCCGGGAGCGAGAGCGACGAGACAAAGCCGCGTTTTTGATGCTGGATGATCCTGTACGAGCAAATAGTAAGGTTCCTAAGTACAAAGTACGGACCACGGTACCACCTAAATTTCAGTAGCTTGTGCCTATGATCTCCCATGAAGTAGGTACAACGCTCATCCTACTTCGTATTCAATGTCCACCCCCCTGTCTAAGTCCCTCCACCCAGAAAAATCAAATTCAATAGCGTGCCAGACTGACGGTACTGTAGCTCGATTCATCTCCACTAGCCCCGCTCATGTCCCCCGATAGACTTTAGCCCGCGTGAGATTCCACGGTTTCTCTAGCTTTCTTTGTCTTTTTGGGACGCACGACCCATGGTCCTCAGCCGCCGCTAGTTATAGCACCGAGTGAGCACGCTTCTAATGGGAAAATAATAGTAATAAGCCTATGTGCCCCGCGCATTGCGCTGATCATGATCGGCTTGCAGAATGATTCTTCAGTACTTAGTGTTTGACCCGAAGTTGGTGCGACGGGCTGTGTATGTGTATACGCTCTGTACGGCAATTCTCCTTACATGTATGTAAGTATGAAGGGTAACTACATATACAGACACCGTACGGAGTACGGGGAGACATGCTGTCTTTGTCGATATTAATTGTCCAATGGTCTTCTCGGATAGATCCGGACTATAGATCTGGGGCACTGGGACCCCCGATCGGTGATAGTGCACCACTCCATATTACGCGTATGGCCAGGCAAATCCCGAGATCAGATCTCACCGTAGCGGTTATGTGAAATAAGCAAAAAAGGGGGGGCGGGGATGGAAAAAAGGAAAGAAAGGAAAAAGCCACCAAATACAAAGAAAAACAAAGGAAAGAAGAAGGCGCAGAAGACGAAAAGAACATGAAAGAACAAGCCGAGCTCCACTACGGAGTCCCATCATCGCGGGCCCGAATTGGTTTGGTGCGGGAGGCCCGGGCGCCCGGTAAGATATGGATCTGCTGTGGGCAGGCCCTGCAATTTCATTAATGTTTCCCATGAACCAGGTGAAATTTAGAGAGAGAGTTGGAAGAGGGGCAACCTAGCATTGCTAGAAGAAGAAAAGGGTGGATCATGAATTCCATTTACAGACCGACATTTCGGGACATCTCGCTCTCGGTCCAAGCCACTCCCAGTGTAGCCTTGTCCAGTTCCTCGGGTCCATGATGAACTTCAATATTTAATATAAGATATACAATATACATACGATCTTGCATACGTGTCAAGGTCAAAGGGCACGACTCGAGAATATCAGACAAGAGATCGATCGCAGAGGCGCAATATGGCCCCTCTAGTTCAAGATAGGGTTTGCATTGGGTACCGATCGCGAGGCTTGTGTGCCGCACGGCACAGGCCAGGGCTGATCTACTCTTGCAAGAGAACGGTGCACCTGGCGGGAGTTGGCTTGGGAGTAAACAGTACTCGTAAATTCAGGGAGAAAAAAAAAAAGATGAACCATACAATAATAATACAATACAGAATATTTCAAAATGATGCGTACGAGTACTAGTAGTACCTATAGTTGTGATGATGAGATTGACCAACTATGAACATGTAACAGAGAGCAGACTAACTACTTGTACTGCAGGATACAAGCGGCAATAAGCAATCGAGCCACAACAAACGGGCTGTTATACATAGACACCTGGGCACTAGGTAGGGATCAGAGCGAGAGCGAGCGATCATGCGAACAGACGAACAGGCATCCGCAAAACTAGTGGAAAATACAACCTGGTGCGGAGTACAGAGTCCTCGTCGTCGAGATACGAGTAAAAATATTCGCCACTTGTGGATCTATCCTGACGATGAACGGAGTACGCCGTGCGTTCGATTCTTTCATTCTATTTCAATTTCAATAACCCACCACGCTGGGACTACTATCAAAGCACGGGTAACTCCCGTATTCGAAATCAATGAAGGATTGACGGGTACCGCGAACCACAACCAACCCACTCGCCATCCCGGCCGGCACCGGATCTCGGAAGCGGAAGCGGCGACTTGGATTTTTGGGTATGGTTCGTTTGTAATCTCCATTTGCAGCCTTCAAGTTCTCCTATTGAATCATTTTTTATTTATTTCCTTTCGCACGACATGTTCGGTTCAAGCGGCGTAGCAAAGGAGAGCATGGCAATCCAATGCATGTCACTGGATAGTGTAGTGCAGTAGTTTGGTTCATCTGGTGGATGTGCAGCGCATAGTCGCGGTGGAGAATACCTTATTGGTCTTCCGCCAAGAGACTTTCCTTATTTTTCGAGCAGCCAAGCGAATAAGGAAGATGGATAGCTTCATACGGAGGGAAGTGTATAGACTATGTACGGTCAGTCCATAACACATACGCATTCAAGAAGCGTGGTAATTCGTAACTGTATGTATGTACATACGTACTCGTAGTACATTCTTATTCACCGATCTCCACAGGGATGTGTCAACGCGACCGCAACCCCGATTGGGTTGTTCATGGGCAGGACCCCCGATCAGATCAGACGAAGTGGGGAACAACGCAGACGATTTCAAATACTGCAACGATGCGATCGCTGCCATCTCATCCCATATTCTCATATCCCTGCTAGTCTCAGCCTTGGCCCGGAGCGTTGGGAAATCCACCAAATCCAAATTCAAATCCCGATCTCAGTCGGGCTCTGACTGACCCTTTCTAGGTAGTCTCTAACTTCAGTCCAGGATGGATAATCCAATCAGCACCGACGCCTCGATCAATACGGAGTAGATCCAGTGTTTCTTCCAAATCACTACTCCGTAATTCATAGCCTAACCAAGTCGATCGAACGAGATCAACAGCTACTCCTTGCCAACCCCCCACCCACATCCTCATACGAACCAACCCTCGGAAGAACGAATCGCAAAATCAAAGCTGCAGCCGATACTAGTCCCCCCTTCTCCCTCTTCTCTCCCCCACCAAGTCGATCCCTCCGAACAGGGGATAGGGCCCTTCGGACGGCCCCCCCCGAACCTCTTTCAGACGAACGGGAACCTGTCATTCTCTCGGGGATAACTCCTACAGTACGCTACGGGGAGAGTAGACTTTCAATGACAAATCTTGAGACGCGCGACGCGCCACATCACCCGTGCCCATCCCCCGCGTAGCGCTGATGATTCGCGGGAATCAAATCAAGCGGTCTGACATTTCTTTCCCACCCTTCTCAGCCCCGGGGGTTTTGCGGAGTACATAGGAGGCTACGGAGTACGGATACTCCAACAGGATAGGATGTCCACTAGGATTCAAACTTGGAGGATTTGGAATTCACCGAGTAGGAGTTGCACGGAGCGTATGGACGGGGTATACCGCTCTTTTTTTCATACGATCATAGTTACTAGAGTAGTATCTACTAGTAACTACTCCGAGTCCGTATGTACGAGTTGTATGTGTCTCTCTACGAGACAAATCCGATCAATCGTGGGGTCTCTTCCCCTCTAGCTCCTCTCTCCTCCGCCCGCTCCCCTCCCGCTCCCGCGCAGAAATAGGTACACAGACAGAGACAGAGACAGAGACAGAGACAGAGACAGAGACGGATATGGATCATGGATATGGAGCCACTTGGCCTGCATGGAGATATGTACTGCACGCTTGGCCGATCCGGGCGCCTGCCGGCTGTCGCATCATCCTAAATTTACCGAGTATCTGCAGCTGTTGCTGTGACGTTTGCTTTTGTGAGATCAGATCAGATCAGATCAGGTTAGATTTAATTCGATTGGGGTAGGAAAGGAAAACTCTGCCCACGTTCAGTTCTGTTTCGCGGAGTACAAGAAAGAATGTTTACCTCTTTTGCCACAGGCATTTTCACATACTATACGTGTTGCCCTGCCCTGCCCTGCCGTACCGAAAGTGACCCAGTTAACAGTAACCAATGCACTTTACGGATATTGTTGAAAATCTCTGTTCGCATTTTGCCTTCCAGTATTCTACTACTCTACTTTTTCGCCCCCTAGCTATGATAATGTCATGCCCAGCCTTACGCGAACGCACCAGAAGCATCGCATACATAGTAGTTACTACTTCTAGGAAGTATCAACCATGGAACGCGGGTTCGCGGGTTCGGCCGTGACTTCATCGGGAGACCGAGAGATTCCCACCCACTCGTGGCAACTCTATCTCCATAGTAGTACTCTAGAATAATCTTAATCTTGGCATGTCATCATAATTTGCAACTTTATTGGTTTTTTGGGGGCAGGAGATCTTGCGAGAAAGAGAGAAAAAAAAAAAGAATTACACTGTATCTTGCCATCAGAATTCTTCCAAATTGCCCCGCAAATCGTCATCAAAAAAATACCAGTCACAATAGACGATCGGAATATGCTATTGCAAGCTATCAATCAAGTAAAAAAAAGAGGAAAAGAGAGAGAGAGAGAGAAAAAAAACTTTCATCCATATAGACCGTGGAGATGCTAGAGAAACCAAGATCGTACACACATCAGATAATAAGGGAAGTACTAAGAAAGACATACTCAGACACGCACCGCACCGCATGCAGAGACGATGAGGAGCTCGGGGACGCGAGAATGCAGGGTATAAACCAGGATCAGAGGAGAAATGGGGAAGGGGGAGGCAAACAGTCTTGGGGGTGGGGAGGAAGGAAAAAAACAAAAAGCCTCGAATCGTTTTCGCCAAGGAGGAAAAGAAGCAAAACAGTGAGACAAAAATTGACAGAAAAGGAGGGTAATCTATGCTTTCAAGCCGGGCTCCCAACGCTGCGAGGGTATTATATAAGGGCACCGATTAGGAAGGTCCACACACGCAGTAACAAGGACAAAGACGAAAAAATCCAAAGATGATGAAATGATGCTCATGAGGGGATATTCCAAGAAGTGAAGGCGTATAAGCGTATACCAAACTGGGAAGAAATAAACCACACAACTCGTAAATCTCCCAAAAAGAGAGAAACCAACAAGAGAGCAAGCGAGAGGGTGGGGAGGTGTGAGATGAGGCGTGTAGGGTAGAGTAAGAATTAAACAAAAAGAGAAAAGAATCCAAAAAAAATCAAAAAGAACACAAGAGGATCGATCCACTGAACTCCTTTTTGCCCCCCGTTTCTATTTCCCGCCTTTTTTCCAACGCCACATGAGAAAAAGAAGCTTAATGACTGGTAGGGGATGCGGAGTCAAGCACACTCTTAGGCTTCAGGTTGGAACCCAGGGTCGCCGCCTTGTTGGCGCCCATCTTGCGAGTGAGCTTGGCGTAGTGTAGGCCACATGCGTTACAAAGCGTTCGGGCACCATCTGGACCCCGACGCCATTCTGGTGTTTCGGCTCGGTTACAGCTGTGGCAACGACCAGGAGGGGCCGCCTTCTGCAAAAAACGTGGAATGGTTAGCCATTGACAGCTCGGAAGGAGGGGAGTGGGGGTGGAAGGGGGTCCGACACCATGTCAACCACGGTGTTCAACCGCGGTGTGCACGGGGATAAATGGGTAAATCAGGGGGAGAAGGAAGAGCTGAAAGGGGAAAAGGTAAAAAAAAGGGAAATGAACGTTTGGATAACTTACTCCACGCCGTTTCTTTGCATCTGCCCCGGCAAACCCACCCGTGCCCTTGTAGTCTTCTTGGTACAGAGCCATGTGCTCGTCCTCGGGCTTGTAAGCCTTTCGTTGGGCCATTTGCTCCGCCAATGCCGCTTCCTGGTTCACGACCGCCGTTCGTATCCGGATCAACGCATCTTGGTTCCGACGCTGCATATGGAGCATGTCCTCCACCTCGTTCAGCGATGGGAGAGAACCCAGGACCGGTCCAGACCGTTGCGTTTGGTGTGCCCGTGCAGCATAATGTCGTGAAAAATCCAATGTTCGTGTGCTCATCTCGGCGATCTATTCGAATGAGGAAAAATGTCAGCCCACTTCCTTCCAAGTTTAGCCGCCAGAACAGCCCCCCAATGGTCTGCGGATCGCCATATGGCAATCTCCCAGCCGTTGATCACAAACCCGTTCATTGGGGTTCTCAAAATAGAGAAAACATTGGAATAAGACCCCCAATTTCGGGGACCAAACAATTGCGAGGGTACCAAATCAACAGGGGAGAAAATGTAAGAGAAAATCCATACCTCGTTAAGTGACGTCTCCACATCGTAGACATCCAAATGTCGCTTTACCGAGTCGCTGTGAGGTTGACCCGGTATCGGACGGGTCACGAATCCACCCTTGACTTCATCCACGCGTGGCGCACCCATGTATCGACTGTCGTAAGGAGCTTGGGGGTAGGACGGGCCAGCCGGTTGAGAGGGAGGAAAGTTGTAGTTTGGTGGGAAATGGTTGTAGCCGTTAGGGGAGGCGACACTGCCAGCAGAAGGAGGCGCGCTATAATCGTAATGGGAGGAGTTCTGAGAGCCGGAAACCGAGGTGATACCAGTTTTGGCGCTCTGCGTCGGTGACTTGCCCGTACTGAGGGAGTTGAGAGACGCGTTGCGTGACTCTTGTGTGTTGATGGAGGTGAGGCTGTTGCGCGAGGCATCGGCCTGGAGCTGGGATTGATGAGGGTAGGCTGGTTCCCGCATCAGCGATGCGGCGGGTGGTGCATTGGCGGAGAATGGATTCGGGGGGTCCTGCTGGACCTTCTGCGCCGGGGCGCCCGATTAAATGTGAAGGTGGTGCGGTATGTCCGGGTTGTGATTGAGGAGCAGAGGTAGGGGCGGGGTATGGGAGGGAAGGGTCGTTGCCCAGGGCCTCGTGGATGGATGGGAGGGACTGTCGCGGGGTGGCTTTATCCTTTTCATCTTCCAGGGTCCGGCGCGACTCTGATGGCGAAACATAGCCGGATTGTGAAGGTGTGTTGGTCGCGTGCGTCGCATAGGCGTACGGTAGCGGTTGTCCGGAGTACATATTGCTCGGGCTGAGTAGAGGGGTCGGCGAAGCAGCGTGCTTGGAATACCCCGAACCGTCCTTACCGAGGAAACCGATGGCAGGCAAAGGGTCTCTGTGAAAAGGTGGTTAGCATTATATTCTCAACTAGCGCCTAGCGCCTTGAAGCTTGGGGGGGGGGGGAGCTGGGTGCTTGGTTGCGTGCGCGTGGCGCCCGCGCGCGCGCAAGCAAGCAAGCATCCAGCAGGATGATGACAACACACCTGTGCCTAGATGCGGCTTCCAAAGACCCCATCACGTTCTGAAGGAACAACCGGAAAGGAGACTTGTCACGATAGAAGTCCCAACTTCATCAACGTCAGATGGGGAGGGGTGGTGGTGGTGGTGGTGGTGGAGGGGAAAAGTGGAAGTTTGGGCCGATCGCGAATGAGTGGAACAAGAGGAACGATCGAAAGGAAAGTGATCTCTGGAAACGATCTCGATGGGCGAAAGAGTCGTAGATAAGTCAAGGATCCGGCCGAATGAAATCAATGGGTCGGCCTCGAAAACAGGAACCTTCAAGCACTTGAACCTCGGAAATCGACAAAGACCTCTCGTGCGACCAGAGCAGGAAAAAAGCGTTCCACCAGTTCGTACCGGGCGAGTGGCGGATAGATCGGAGATGCGAGACTCGAATTCGTGGGAGAACCGAAGAATCGAATCTCGTGGCGTTGGCGTTGGCGTTGGGGGAGGGGGGAGAAGTTTGGGGAGTGGCGGGTGCGAGTTAATTCCGAGGGAGAAATGTGGGAGATGGGAGATATGGAGATGTGGTGAATGTGGGAGCGGGAGTGTAAGCAGATGAGTAGTATTCGATCGATCGGACGCAAGGGATGAAGTCGGGCGCGTGGTGTGGGAAGGGAAGGAAAGAATGTGGTGGAGGATGATCAAGATCCGATCATACTAGTACTAGTATTTCGGTATGCCCAGGTGCACGAGGGGAGGGGGGGGGGGGAATAAGGATAGTGGGTAGAGTATATAAGACCAAAGAATATCAGATGGAATTAGACCTCAGGGAATCGAAGAATAAAAGGGGATCGAGACTATTTCATTTCGGGCCTTAGATTGGAATGAACCGGGGGGGGGGGAGGTGAACTTAATGGGGGGGATTTATTTAGGATATTATTTGGATATTATTATTTGGGATATTATTATTATTATTATTATTATTATTTGAATTTAGGAGATTATTTATTTTATTTTATTTTAGTATTTTAGTATTTTAGTATTTCTCCCAAAAGTCTAAGTAAAGCGTTTTCATCGGAATCTAGTGGATCGAGATGGATCGTACTTTGATTGTGCAGGGATCGAGTGCAGTTACCATACGAGTATACTTTACTAGTAGTATACTATACTATATGTATGCTAGTATGTATGCTAGTACAGTACATACACTAGTACATACGCTGAGGCAAATTACCATACAGCGAACTGCGGATCTTCGGTGGGGTGGAGAGACTCACTAGTTGCTGCGATGCAGTGGGGTGGTGGAGCTTCTAGAAAGGGACTGTGATGATACTGACTAGTAGTAGTCCTCCGTGGCTACCTCAGGGTGAGCTCCTCAGCTATCGTGGTTGTACTATACTGCCAGTGTATACTGTGTATACTGTGTATGTATACTGCTTACAGTGCAACATTGCTCAGGAACCTCCAAATGTATGTACCACCCACATCGAGGTTGTCACATCGCCCTGGAGCCGGCCCGGTGTATACATACGAGTACTGTATACTCTGTAGTGGACCTAGGCAATGGCTGTGCCATTGCCTAGTATGTAGTGGTAGTACCCAGGGTTGTGAGTTGTGAGTACTACACAGAACAATCATGGCTCTGCCATGGTTATTCTGTATACTCCGAGTCCGTAGCTGCCACTCCGCTGTATGCTCAGATCTGAAGAATGGGCGTGTGGAGACTGTCACACAGCCCACTTGAAATCGCGACTGGATCACCCGCCAATGACAACCAGCACGCTGTCGTACAGGCGCATCGAATCTGTACTGTACTCTGTATATATTCAAGTTCAAGTTCTATTAACTACTACCACTAGTACTGTAATTCCACGGTAGCCCCCCGGGCGCTTAACCAGAAGCATCGCATAAACACCCCGGCACTTCCGAATTAACCTAGCCCTCCGCAGTTTAATCTACTTACTCCGTATATATTAATGGGTTCGGGATGGACTCAATTCAACATAAGGCCTCCGTGCCAATCCGGATAAAAATAAATACACATCCATCCTCCCCCCTCGGACGTGCTTCCTTCTTCAGCTCCCTCCGGACGGGCGACTCTAGTAAGCTTTTGGATCGAAGATCGGACCACTCGAGACGTTATTGGTGAGATCGCTCCTCAGCTCTTCAGACCCGACTTTCGTACTTTCGTATAGGGCGACTCTGTCAGGAACATGCACCGATGACGTAGGGATCGAGATTGAAGGGGATCGGGGTAAAGTCGCCCAAAACTCTCCCCTGGGTATCCGTACAGAGTATAATTACTACTACTTCACAGCATTTATGCTACGAGGTTCGAGTACTCGTACTAGTACACGGTTCCCTCAGGTGACAGCACCCTTTTCTCTTCCAACTTTGCTTTGGCCCCTTTTTTTCGGGGGAAGGGGGGGACCCGCCTAAAGCCGTTGGCATGTCATAATGCCAATTCTCCGCCCCCAACCTCCAACCTCCACTGGTTGAGTAGGAAGTATGAACTAGCAGCAACTCTGTTCAGGGACTCTCACTTCACATGAACTTTACACAAGTACGAGTACAGGCTCGGTTCCAAGCACCTGGTACCTCCCAGCCTCGTCTCCTTTGTCTCCGTCCCACTGAATTTACTCTCTCCTCCGCCGCATTTACTTTGCGCACAGACATCGCCCCCATCGTGCATGGCGTAACGGTCGCCCTCGCCCTGGGCCCAAGCAAAAAGGTAATCGCCCCAAGATCTTCGGAATCTCCAAACGCATTCCCGTTGATCTGGATCTCAAAGCGCCTTGGCAGAGTCTCTTCCCATCCAGACTGGTACGAAACGGCGTGTCCGCCCTAGTCCAGGGTGGACAGGATGCGGTCGGCATGTAAACATCCCCGGTACAAAATTGGACCTGAAAAACCAACGCAGGACCCATCGCTGAGATGCAGATTCAGATGCAGACCATCGATCTTGGCCGGATTTCCTCCTTTGCTTTGCTGTGGTTCACGTTTGCCCTTTCCCCTCCGCAGATCGAAATCGAGTATCGCCCGTTGCACAAGCATTGGATCCCGCCTATGCCCGCCTATACGGAGGAAAAATGCCCCCGGACAAAGGATTTGTTGACGGGTCCGAGATCTCGCAAATGCGAGGCATTGATCTTCATGTGCGGTCGCTGCATTGCGAGCCCAATGCACCACCCAGGTCGCTCGATTTCAGCCACCCTACGATGCGTTCCGTGCACACCTGAGATTTAGTGTATGCACGGTAGGTCACTTCGCGCTGTGACCGAACTCTGATGCACCCAAAACTTGCCGTCTGCAGGTGTGTTTCTCCACTCTGATGCACGATTCGTCAAACAGGGGAGTTTCTAAGAGGGAGGGGGTGTGGGCAAAGACTCTGTAGGACCTCCATCCTGGACAACGACAACGCATGAGGGAGGGGCGGGAGGAATCCAATCATCCCACCAGTAAGTATCAAGACGCAATCTGGTATACACCTACTACTAGTAGATGTATATCGGGTCACCGAATTGATAGACGCAGCAAACTCGATTTCCCCTCCGTAGTACCGGGATTTCGATCTGAACCATCGGAATTGCTGGCCGGCAGCCCGGTCGCAGCCGCTGAAGCTGAATTTCGTACGGGATCAGATTAGAACCGCCGCGATTGGGCGCATTGGCAATTTTACTTGGAAACACCAATGCAAATGCAAGCAAGAGAGAGAAGAAAAAACAAAAAAAAATACATAATACCAAAAGCTGCCGTCCAGAGTTGGTTGCCAGAATCAGGCAACTGTGCGTCGGAAAGACGCAAAACTGCGACGACTGGGATGGAACCCTCTCCACACCCCTTCCAGGTCCAAAGTCCAAGGTCCACCATGAAGCGGGAACTCCTGCAAGCAGAAGGGCCATTAAAGAGAAAGAGAAAGTAAAAGAACTCCCCGTCATGTGAGGAGATGCTGCTGCGGAGCCAACCGAACAGGTAAGAATGGGCCGCCTGGGGAAAACTGTCGATGCGATGTGATGCGATGCGATATGATCATTACCCTACAAGTTTGCACGAGGAGCCCCAAGCTCGGTACAGTATTTTTGCGTAACAGAGCTGAAGGATGCGAATCTTGATGGTCGCTCTGCAGCAGGTTCATGACGATGCGCCAATCGTTGTGGGTGTTGGAGAGCTGTTTAGATCCACAGCTCCTCCAAAACAACTTCTGATCCTTCAGCCCGCAACAACCAACCAACGAACTGGAAACCCCCAACATAGCCAAGAGAATGTAAGGATTTCGCGCCCAAAAACAAATACAGAAAAAACAAACAAAAACAAAGCTAGTATGTAGTTCCTCCCCCAAGGGGAGGGAAAACGAAGGACAATGGGCCTCGTTCTCGCTCATAGAGAATGATCGACAAGTGCGCGATGGAGAGCACCGTTGGGACCGTTTTGGGTCCGCTTTCAGCGTCAGAACTCTCTGCCACTTGATGACTCGATCCTGACCAAGCAGGGTCAAAACGGCGTGAGCAAGCGTGCCACGGCCTCGACTCCTGGCTGTTGTGTGGACCCCCTCCGATCGCTAAGAGGACGATCAGATAATCCTAACCGTAATGGACAATGAGCGACAGCGCCGTTCCTCAAGTTGGCAAGAGATTAAGATCCGATCCCAATTTCAGTCATTTTGTCCGGCTTTTTGCGCAAACCCGCTATGGCCAACTAAGTGTCGACTCCATCTTCCTCTCTCTCCCTCTCTCTTTTCACCACTCTCTTCTCGTTTCTCCCTCGGCCTTGCCCACAACATGGGGAAAAGTAGCCGGAAATCTTCCGAAATCCAATCCACCCTCGCTCGACAAGCTAGCTAGCTGTTCAAGTTTGAAGTAAATCTCTGTTTTGCTCCATAATCATGCTTATCAAACGATCGTCATTGGGGCCGATCTCCGTGGGTTCCGGATCCTTTATTCCATGATGGCCTGCCAGGGCAGGCAGAGCGTACGATATCGTATGTATGAACGGCACACTCTCGCAGCGATGATGTATCCAGCAATTGGGATCTGTTATGACAGAACTCAAAAAGGAGGGGAATGGATCCCGGGAGGGCGTTCGAACAATCAGAACCTTGGAAAATCGACTCCACCCAGAAGGATAATCTTAGCAAGCTAAAAAAACGCCCAAAGACCGTCTGGCCATGTCTATCGCAATATGGCCAGGAGTAAAAAAAAGAGCTTGTAAAAAAGACGAAAGCAAAAAAGGAAGGGCTCTGCACCGCCCGCGTGGGAATTCAGCCGCGTCGAGATTAGCATCACCACTCCCGTCCGTACCTTCGCAGTACAGTATGTACATGCTCTGCTTGTTTTCGTTTTAGCCTTGCATCTATCGGCTTAAGTCCACTAGTCAAGTAACGAAGTGGACAAATTATGGCTCGGCATTTCCACTACGGAGTACGCTCCGGAGCTTTGATGCAACTCGACGCAATAGCATCAATAAGAAATTCTCCACCATTCGCAACGGGCCACTGGGGGCATGAACAAAGGGGAAAAAAGAAATCCAATGCACGGTTCACGCCCATACACAGTCAAATCTCCGTCCTGGGAGCGGACCGAGACGCCACCGCAAAGGACTGACAAGGATGATGATGGGGAAAAAAAGTATTCTATTTTTTTGGGCTCTTTTTTGTGGTGGCTTTTTCGTTTTTTTCTCATTTGTTCCGCCCTCCCCCTTAGTTGAGGATCGTGCCCCAATTTTCGACCTTCACGCCTCGTGGTGTGGTGTCGACAGCTCCATAGAGACGTGGCCGTTGCCGTTGAAGGGGAAAAAAGGGGGCGCTGGAACTCTCCGAGTAGTGGGGATTCATCGGGGTAATCTGCCCGATCTCCAGGCTCATGAGAATTAGTTGACAGCTGGGCTGGACTTGGTAGCTACGGAGTATGTATTTTCTTTGCTTTTTTTTCTCCCTTCTTAATTTAAGTGCTTGAGAAAGTTTTCCTCTATGGAGCAATTTCAATATGTGCCCGCTTTTTATCTGGTCTTTTTTTTCTTCTTTGCTCGAGTTTGTTTCGCCACAAATGTTGGGAAATAGGATAACCAAAAAAAATGAGAACACTTCGATCCATGCCAGGCAATCAATCTTGCAGGGTTGCCGGCTGACAGGCCAGGATCAGTGACAACTAGCAAGGGGACAAGCATGCATCAAGACAGAAACGGGCAAGGGGCATGAATCATGCCTGGAATCTCGCAAACGAGGATGGATGGGCCTCTTTCCTTGCCTGTTTAGCACAACAATTTTTTGGAAAGGCTAAAATCCAGACCATCATGATATGGGCCGACCAGGGTGAGGTGAGGGACCACTCTTCCTTCCCCCCTCCCCCTCCCCGAACTCCTCATCGGGGTCGCGCCATGTGTCAGATCTGGGTACATCGTGACCAGGGGATATTGTCCCGTTTTACGTGTTACTAGCTCGGACGGATGGAGATGGAACTATTGTCAACGGTTCGGCTCTAGTAATGTCACTGGACATTCTATGATATAATTCCCGGCAACTTATGAGATGCACGTGAATAGGGCGTGCGCTATTGGGGCAAGGCCAGCATCATAGGCTCCACCATACCCTGCGCTCTGTGCCCAGCTAGGAAAAAAAGAAATTAAAAAAAGAGGCTGCGCCAGAACTTTCTAGGAAACCAGGGCGACGTCAGAATCTCATCGTGGCTTCGAGTGGCAAGTCATAAAGTCACCGTTGCAGGTTACCTAACCAAGTAACTACTTGAACTAGGTTTGACTGAAGGCGAGGAGGGTACGCGGGAGAGTCACCTGGCGCTAGATGTGATTCAACGGGCAGCCTCTGCACGTTCCAATCTGAAGTCCAAGTGCACACGGGAAGTTGAAAGTTTCTTTGGCTCCATTCTCGATGCACATCCCCCATCCTCGTGGAAGAAAACACTTACAGTGTACGAGTACGCACATACATATGTGTGCCATATCATTCCAGTCCCAACACAGAAGCACTCCCGAAACAATGACTTACTCCTTTACCACGACGAGTCATGCGTGGCACCATATAGCCGTTCCGACAGAATGGTTCTTACAGCCTGATGAGACGATGAGGAAAATCCCCATGGCCCGAGGCGGGTGCGGGCAAGCGCTAACATTAATCAAAACAATAACAACCGCCCAAACAAAAAAATGACAATTAAAATTCCATTTTTATTAGAAAGCAAAATAAAATAAATCAAAAAACGGCCCACGATAGTCAAGCCGGACCGTTCCCAGATCCACTCGATAGACCGCCTCGATCGGCGGGGAGGAAAAGGTCAAAATGAGGATTTGAGACTTTCCTCGCTCCTACAGGGACTAGTGTCTCCCGGTCATGACCGGATAAGGGAGTGGTAGGATAAATCAGGAGATGGGGCCATGGGGCATGCAATCCTTTTAAGGTAACTAGTGCACGATACACGAAGATACGCGCCTTCAGGGCGATCCTAACAAGATTGGCGCGTTCTCGCTGCCGAGATTCGCAAGAGGCCGTTTGTTTTTAATTCGATTCTGGGTCCCAATCGTTCCTTAGCTCAATACTGACATGGTCCCATTCTTCTATGCCTTACCTTCCTTCCTCCCTCCCTCTCCATACTAGTGTACGAGTACGCTAAGCAATGGGTCCGAAGTGGGAGAGAGGGTGTCTCTGCTCTGTTTTTTTGTCGACCCACCCACACTGCAGGATGGGTGGATTGATTTACGGTGCAAATCCCGACCGGAGAATTCCCACCCTGGTCTTGTAATCAAAGTAACTCTCCGAGGTCCTCCGCTTTGCTAATATAAGACCTCCGTCTCGGGACGCGCTATAGACAATCTCGAACAGAGTAGGCCCCGATTGCTCGGGGCCGAAATCCATCAACCCGCCGCTTGGATCGAGGTCGATTCATTGGGACCCCCCTGAACTAGTATATCTCATGCTAAAATTGAGACGATGGACTTTCTAGGGAATTACATACCCAGATCCACTTTGTCGATGGACTAACCGTTGCACCTGACATGGCATCTACTTAGTGCATACTAATTCATACAGAGTACAATACCAGCGAAGCTAATGGAATTACCGACTCCAAATTCAACGCTATTATGCCAATCTCCCAGATCGATCACCTTCTGTGGAGATAAATAGCCGGAAGCCGAGGCGATATCCCTCTGTCCCTCGTCGTTAAGCCACGCGATGTGCAGAAATCTCAAATTGAGATCCGCTGCAGTGGAGTCGGGTGGATGCAACTATTGCTCCAGGTTTCTCTGGGCCGTTGTTCGCCAAGAATACTAACATCTAACGGCCCGGAGTCACCATGGAGACCCATGAATCGGGGGATTCTTTTAACAGTGCACGCCGCCATGCAGTAGCTATCTGGTCTGTGCCGAAACAGAACACTCACCGGTAGCGACGGCAAAATCCTCCAAAGTCCTGGCACTAGTATGCCGTGTCTGAATGGAGTCGGAGTGGATTCGGTATAGCGGTGGCGAGGCATTGCGAATGAATACTCCATTCGCATTGCTATGCACGTCCTTCTTTGGTGTCGGGCATATTGCTGAACTTGATTTCGGGATCTACGATAAGCTAGGTACGAAGTACGTATCTGTCGAGTTGGGCTTTTGGTAAAATGCAAGACGTGACATGGCCAAAACGGACGGCGTGAAACCCTTATTCCAATACCAAGTACTTACCGGGGCAAAGTCCCATACTTACATATGTACTAGTACTATGCACATAAGTACAACACGAGCAAAAGGGCGGCGCCAATCCCGAAAGGATCAAAAGACGAGCCTTGTGGCTCACAGACACCGATCCATCTCGCTCGAGCGTCGAACTAGAACACCCGGGGCTCGACCCAAATCGATCAAACGGAAGAGAAGGCTAAAAATGACCACGAAGATTGATTGAAGATGAGCTCTCGACTGTTGCTAGAAAGTCTATCGGTCTGTCCTAAAGAGGGAGGTTGTTTCTGTCTCATCTACCCCTAGTGCGCAACCTAGGCCAGCCCCAAGCTTCAAATCCCGAATATGACAGGCGGAAGGGATCGCCATCAGCCACTCTCTAGCTATGCACCGTCCCGGCCGAAGGATCACCGAGCAGATGGACGGATAGAATCTCCTTGGATTCTGGATATCCCGTTAGGTTCTCCTGCATCGGAAGTGTCTCCGATGAGCCTTGTTTTTTTAATTGCTTTTTTGTGAGGGCATCTAATGCGACCTTGCGCGCGTTCATGCATGATAGGTTTAAACCGACCAGGGAGGATTCCGTGTGATCGACACAACAATGTGATATTTGCGGTGTGCTAATTTTCCAATGCGTACCAGTGCGTACCTCTGTTTCCAGGGGCGGCAAGGAATGATTCGGATGACGGGTTGTTCCTGACAGACTGCAGGATTGAATGACTCTTGCAGTTATAGTGCACATCGACATGTGGGGAAGGAATGCGTTGGAATTGAATCGGCGATGCACATAGTACATAGATATGCCAATTAATAAGCTATCACTGCATAAAGGCACCAGTATGAATTTTTGTAGCCAATCAAGATACAGATTAAAGCCCAGCAATTCTTTGCCTTGCCCCTGATTTTAGAAACGGGCTGTTAAACCAGTATGTATTCCAAATCCGCGGCTTTTGCCCCCCATGATAACTTGAACTAGGGGTTGGCGGTCCGGGGTATGGATCGAACAGATCGATAACCGAGAAACGACACATCAAGAAGCTCAAGCCAGGCTTATGCCTTAAGTTTACAAAACCTTCTTTCTCTCTCTGTGTCTCTTTGCCATGATGTTAAGAATGCCTATATGCAAGCTGCAGGTGCAAGTTCCCATTTGCTTGTGTGACAGCCGCCCGTGCATCGGCCTTTGCATTAGCAACCAGTCTAGACCGCCTTCATGCCCTATTGTTCGCTCCAAGCCCAAAACTGAGTTTTCGTGACAGCTGAGCTACCTGCACCTCGGAAATGCCACAATTTCAAATCAAGGGGGTGGGGTATTTGTCACCGGACAAATGATTGTTGTCTCCGTATTGAGGAGGCAGGTGAGAAAATTCCCATTTCGCCAATCAACGGGTTGGAAAAAAATTATAGGTGGTCTTTTCTTGCGGTAAACCTGTTCGAAGGGCTAAAAACGGTAGCACGAACACTACCAATAGCCTCGGGTGACAAGCCGTTCCCCACTTCATGTTTAGTTTCCTCATTTTTCATCCGGTTCCATGCATGAGCGTTGACTCCACGAGGGAGGAAGCCAACCAGACCCCGCCAGAGGGGAAAAAAGAAATCCATCAAGGAACAAGGGGCAGAGATCCCGCTTCCCAATTGGTTTTACAGGGTTATATTCTCTCCAATCATGAAATCCCTTGGGAAGGAACCCTGACAGGGCAAAAGAAACACTCTAGCTAAGGCGGACACCTCTCAGGCTTGGTCTCGTATGTCCTACCAAGTGGCGACACCAGTGTCGCTCGCTTCAACAGGAAGGAGTCCTTCCAAGCTAGTGAGAGTCCGCGAAATGAGACAGATCCGTGCGATCGACGAAAGCACAACAGCCGAAGGATCGGCAACCTTGCAATCAAATCAACCACCGCGATTATTAGGAGCACATGGGCTGGGCCCCGCTGATCCACGGTACTCGGAACTGTCAGTTCCTTCATGACAGCTTAACGGTTGACCAGGTCCTGGCTCCACTCTGGCACCAAAAACTACAGGGGATCCAACCACCCCTACCAGCCACCGGAGAAGAGGGGCGAACCCGGGCTCCACAAGATTGCGGAAACCAAGTCTTGCTTGCTGGTTCAATGATCCCCGTAATGAGATCCCCGAGCAAGAGCGAGAGAGATACGGAGTAGAGAGGATCCGAATGGAAGAAGAACGCATCGTGATTGATTTTAGGTGCTTGAAGAAGGAAGCGACAACGGAAAGATGGAGAATGTGGAGCCTTTCATTGGTGAAAGCCCCATTCCCCCTCTCCTCTCTTTGCCCCTGGCCCTTGTGCTTCCCCTTCCCCTTCCCCTTCCCCATCAACGGGTATCGAAAGATACGAAAAGAGGCAAGATCCGAGCTGTGGGCGCCGTTACCATTTCCTATTTGGACATGCCCCAGGGCTATCATAGGTGGTCAAAAGATGTATCGTCCATTACTCCGATTTACGAATAGTACTCCGTACTACGAGCATCAATACAAAAGTAACACGCCATCAATTGAACCAGCACGGAGCACAGAAGGGCCTTTCCCAGTGAATTTTTCATTGACTCCTCCCGGGGGCAGCGCGGACAAAGCTCGCTTCCGACAGCACTGGCATTCCGTACTTTTGGCCGGTTCGATGAGTCCACCTCCACCGTCGATGATTACCCATTATGCACAGCTTCCAAGCCGAACTCAAGCTAAGGAACAGATCCCCTTCCCTCCCTGCTTGCTTCCCCAACAGCGAAAGAAGAGGAAGGTGGCGATCTGCATATTACATTCAAGCCGGGGTATGTCTGATTTCATGTGTCACCGAGGTGCTGGTCAGACCTTAACAAAGCCCCCCTAGCGAAAGCAAAAACCGCCTCTACCCATCTTCAGCCGGAGTCCCTGATTCTGTCCGTGAGGATACCACTACTGTACTTCGTACTCTGTACTCGGGATCACCCATGAGTACATCGAAGAAAGAGGGGGGGCAAAGGGTGTGCCACCAAATCCCGATGCTTACTGACGGGGCTAATGGGCGGCACAAGATCCAATGGAATGCCCCTCGTACTTCTGAAGCAAAGGCCTATTGGCCGGCTCTGCTTGATCGGGCGGAGTCGATGGAGGAGACCGTCGAGGAACTCCGATGAAGACGAGGTGTTTCCCTTCGGGTCGCGTGCAGAGTGCATATGCAATGCACGTTTCCGTATGGAGTGCCGTGCGATCGAGTCCATTCGCAATATGACATCTCAATCTGGGCCGCCATGATCGCGGGGGCGACGTCGTAGTGAAGAGCCAAGACTCAGAAGTCCAGGAGCCAGGAGGCTGGAGCATGTCTCGGGCATGGACCGTACGTAGAGTACTCCGTACTGTACTCCGTACTCGTAGACCCTCTTGTTGCCTCTTCTGCACGAATGGCACGATGCGACCTCTCGACGGAGTAAGCTTTAGGCTTTTCTTGAAAACTGGATCGGGTGTAGGTATAGCGCCAAACTGGGTAATCTGACTGGTGCGTTGGTCAAGGTCGGAAATCTCGCGAGATGTGTGCAATGCAGGTAGGTCTAGATGCGACGTTTGACCAGTGTCCACTCTAAACTTAGGCATCCGGCCCTTACAATAGCTATTTGGAATACTGATTTTGTTGACTCCAAAGGCGCATTCTGATACATCGAATGATGCCGTGAAGACCCATTAGTCCCAAACAGGTGGTCAATGGGGTCGATGGGTATAATTTGTACAATCTCAACGCCATGATCATTGGTTAGTCTGGATTCACCTGGTCTACCCCCTGCAGCACTGTCTTGGTCTCAAACATGACGTGAAGTCGTGAACATCGTCATTTCATTTCTCTGAGACTTAAATTGCTCCGTTGAAGTATACCCAAACTCAAAATGGTTTCCTGCATCGTTGCCTTTTTTCCTGCCTCGTCGCCTCGTCGCCTTCTTCTGCGGGCACAAAATGTCACGTGGCGATTACTTCATCCGCGATAAGAAATCTCCGGCCTGAGGCAGAAATGCGGCGCCCATGAGGCAACCATACATCTGATATCATCGAGGCAAGGCGACCCTCAAACCTCTGCTTGCTGTCAAAGAACCCATCATGGCCGCTCGCTCTCGTTTGGTAGATCTTGCTAGTATTCCAACAGTGGCACAGCTCTATCGCACCAAGAAGCTGCTTCCAGGGGAGTCAATCGATTCGGCTTTCCCTCCGTCACAACAACTAAATGACAGCATCGCACTGATTCTCAACGATATCACTAAATTGGACATCGACTGCATCGTCAACGCAGCAAACAACTCCCTCCTTGGCGGCGGAGGTGTCGACGGAGCAATTCACAGGGCCGCAGGGCCGCAGCTCCTGGAAGAGTGCTCCGAGCTCGACGGATGTGATACAGGCGATGCGAAAATCACAAAAGCATACGAGCTGCCTTGTAAAAATGTCATACACACTGTCGGGCCAATCTACTGGGACAGATCTCGGCACCAGAATACCGCTCACCCCGAGACTTTGCTCCGGTCTTGCTATCGAACTAGCATGGAACTTGCGATGCAGCATGGCCTGAAGACCATCGCGTTCCCGGCCATCAGCACTGGGGTATACGGTTACCCTATTGATCTTGCGGCGCGTGCCGTAACGCAGGAGGTCCGCCAATTCTTAGAAACACATGCTGGAGTACCCAATGCCCTGCAACAAGTTATCTTCTGCAATTTCGAGCCTCGGGATATGAATGTGTATGCGCAGATGTTCACGTTCGTACTATCTGTCTTTTATCGTGTGTACATCACGCTGACTTCTTTTAGCCAATTCCTCCCTCCGACTCCTGAAGATCTTCGCATCGCTGATCAAGGTGCCGGTGCCGGTGTTACAAATGGTATTTAGCGACTTGGTCGATTGGCAGACGCCTCGGTGACTTTCTTTGCACCCGTATGATTATCCGGCTGGTATTGTTTCTGGTCTCTTGGATAGCTTTTCTTGGGGCTATTTTGCTGTGGTTCTTGTCACGGTGGCGTACTGGAGAAATGCAGGGAGTTAGGATGTTTGCCGCGTTTTCCAAGTGGATTGCAGGATGGAACAATGTTCAATATGTTTTATTTTCATTTTTACTGCTGTCTTCAATCTGAATTAGAAAAGTCGAACATTAAGAAGTCAAAACGGGAGGTTTTTACTACTAGTACTACTAGTAGTAGTTTTGGTACTATGATTGAGTGCTAGATATTTCTCTGAGGGCTTTACCCTCCACATCATCTAGTACTATCCACTGCCAGTGGCATCCTTTGATTCCGCCCCCGTTACTATATAGTTTCGACCTGCCAGTGGGTACTTGGGTAATACCTCATGTTGTAGCACTACTAGCAGCAGTAGTTCGCAAGCAAGCTATGATTTGAACGTTCCCAATGCCACTAATTTCAAATTTATCTATCAAAATAAAAACAAAATCCTTCGAGTTAGCATTGGTAGTATAAATTATTGACTCAATGCGCAAGCAAGACAAACAGTGCAAACACCGGAGCTCATGAATTCCGCCCGCAACCTCACCAACAACCAAATCTTGCGAAACATCGCTATAGCACGCATTCCTCAGAAAGCCATGATGACAAGCTCTTGATATCACCCAAATCACATCTAATTACCCTCCCTACATCAGACACGGACCCACCCCCCTCCCCCCGGCACCAGCTCAAAATGGCCAAACCACCCAACCAACCCAACTTCCGCATCCTATCCCCAAACGCCGCCAAAAACCTCGCGCAAAAGAAGAAGCCCGTCCCTGGCGGGACGGGACAAGGCCAGAACCAGACCCTCAGCGCACAGTCAACGCCAGAGCCAAACATCCAGGGCCCGAAACTCACACCGAAACGACCTTTCAGTGCCTTCTTCTCTAATCTCCGACAACGCTATGCCGCGCTCCCCAGACCAGTCCAGCGCACATGTCGCGGGCTTCGGATCCTGGCGCCCCTCGTGCCGATCAGCCTGTTCTTCTCGGAACACGTTATGCAGGTAATGTGGGTTCGGGGACCGTCAATGACACCCTACCTCAACGAAGATTATCACGAAAACCACACGAAAAGTGATATGGTGCTGGTCAGCATGATGCCGTCGCGGGTTTGGCCGTGGGAGAGAACAAGACGGTTAGAGAGGGGGATGGTGGTTACATTCCGGTATGTATCATGTCTGTCAGACAGAGTTGGTTCCGATTTGGGAATCTCAATGCCTCACAGTCAAGGAAATTTAAACTGGAAATATTTGCTAACTTGATTATACCAACAGGTCTCCCGCCAATTCCTCACACATCGCTATAAAACGTGTCGTCGGTCTTCCTGGTGACCGTGTTATGACCCGCAAACCTTGTCTGAAAGAGTCTCAAATCGTTCCGTTCAATCATGTCTGGCTGGAGGGGGATGCTTCAGATCCAGAGCGAACTCTGGATAGTAATACCTACGGACCGGTCAGTATTAGTCTTCTTACCGGTCGGGTGTTTGCGATCCTGGGCCCGCGGATGAGGTGGTTAAATTGGGCGGATTGGGAAGATGGAAAGCTGGACAATGGTACCTCGGAAGGAAAGAATTATAGGCAGGCTACACGGGACAGAGTCATGAAGGAGGCTGTGAATATGGAGAATCAAAGCTTGGATTAATTTATTGGCGCAGGGGTATAGAGGCTCGACTACGCGTTGCATGTTCTCTGTGATGGCGCTGGGCGCTGTGTACATATATGGAGTTGTTTTGTGGGATATCATTGTATTGTTATGATCATGCTGTACTAGTCACCTGGGCATATATGTATAATCTCAAAAGTGTGACCAGATATCAAAACCAAAGACCCGAAATGCTATGCGTGTTTCTGCTGGGAAAAAATGGTATACTTAAAATGAATGTAAGGAAGAAAATAGAAATGCAAAAAGAAGTTATTGAGAAACAATCCGGATATCTTCCGGCTTCTCTTCCTGTAGTCGATCGATCTCAGACGAGATGCTCAAAACCCATTGATCTTTCTCGACACGACTACGTGCCTTGAAAACGATCGTTCGACCGTGTTTTCCTAGGGTCGTCACATGTCTTAAAGAGCGCTTGGCTTTGCCCTGGGCGCCTGTTTCCTGGGCTCGAAATAGGCTTTTCTTGGTGGGCTGCCAGAGAACGAATGTGATTGCGGTGTCCTCATCTCGGCTGGTAAAGACGTCCGATGAAAGATATGCACGTGGAAGTGCGTGCAGGCCTGGGTTATTACTATCGAAAGTTTGGTTGGCATACAACAGATCATTCTCCGTGACAAGTCCAGAATAGATGTAGCAGTCATTCAAATCGATCGTTGTTTCATGCTCTTGGTGGATATGCGGAACCACGACACCGTTCCCTTTACGCAGCGTACTACGGAAGACGAGCAGCTTGCCCGCAGTGAGAAGAACATGGCACTTCGTAAAAGTTGTATGACGGCGAGGCTTGCGATAAAGTTGTCCGGACATCTAATTAGAAAATTTAGTTGATATTCAAGAGCAAAGAGTTCATCGGAACACAAACCTTTATTGTTCGACAACCAGACAAAGCACACATGTTGTGCAAATGAGGCGATGCTTCTGCCTTTTTTACCTCCCATTTCTTTGCAAACTGACCCACAACTGATTCCATTTCTTCGTCGATCTCCAAGAGCTTGAGATTCCGGTTCCGCACAGCCTGAAGCTCAGCTGCATCGTCGGCGTGGCGCATCCTCCAGTATTTGACCAAAGTGTCAAGTCGCTTGATCCATTCGTCACGAGTGAAAGCATCATAGGCCTGCAAGCGGATAACCAGGCCATTTTCTAGAGTCATTTCAAATGTTTTGTCATCGTCAAACTCCCTGGTCGCACCGTCTTCTTGTCGAGAATCAGTGGGTTCGGGTTGGAAATCCACGGCCGGCCCTTCTCCAATATTTGGATCGGCAGGACTACTGCCACGCTGGACAATGCGCACACCTGTCACTCGGCATAAATCAATATATCCATCAGCCTGACTCATATTGTGGATATTTCTCTGTTTCTGGGCGTAGGCTTCCTCGTCATGTCGTTGAACAAACTCGTCATTTCCGTTGGTGAGCCAAGATATTTCGCCATCATCGATAGGGTATGGGTCAATATCCCAAGACATCGGCATCTCGTTCAAGATTTGGCGAGAAGTTGGAATACCCGATTCCTCGTCCATACAAGCTGAGGCAAACTTTGGCGGCGTTGGAGGGAATGCCTTTGCTGGCCTGCAGAATAGCAAGTAATGATCCTGAGTGAAAAAATACAACCTCTTGAAGAACATCTTGTTCATCCTTTGGTGCATGCCCTTCTGCGATGTAAGTCGAATCAAGAACCCCTCGATTGGCGGTGGCTCTTGCTCCTTCTCCCCCGACTGCTTGATTGCCGTCGAATAATGGTGTCGTGGGCGTAGCTCAAGGTCGTGGGACGACTGCATTGCAATCGATCCATACATGTTTTCTTCATTCACACCGAAGATCCATTCCAAACGATCGTATCGCTTCCAAGCAAGTCCCATTTTTTCTGTCTTTGACCAAGCATGCAGCACCTCGGCCCATTCCGGGCGACCCTCGAGCATTTCCATGCAGCCTCGAATAATGGATGTTGCGGCAAACCGTTCGTCACCCGCAGATCGGCTGAGGATAGTGGTATGTCTGCCATCATCATTTTTCGTCCCCATTCGAGCCTCCAATTGTTCGAAAGGGTTTTTAAAGACCAGAGATACCCTCTAGATCGGGGACATTGATGGGAAGTTTTGTTGGACGTCGCCAGCCAAGAACCTGCCGAATGAAGGTGTACCACTCTGCAGCATGTGCTGTCGATTTGGGGCGTATGATGTATATCTTAGTCCCACGCTTCCGGGGATACCAGACCACGATAGTCTTGTCCAAGGTAGAGTAAAGGTTGACGCTGGTGTTTTTATGGTTCAACCGCACCTCATAGTAAGGAGCCGTCTTGCTGTTCGGCTTTGACATATCAGGGATGACGCGTGTTCGATACATCTGCAGTGAAAATGGCGCATGCTCAGCGGAGCCCTTTCTGCAAACCACTAGGAACTCGCGCCATTTATCCAAAGTCCGTGTTTCCATTCGAAGGCTGTCGTTCTCCGTGTAATCGCTTGGTAGCTTTTCCTTTGGCGTTTCTTCTACGAGAACTAGCATTCTCTCGGCCTTGATGATTTCGCCATCCTGTATCTTGCGACGACGGGGTCGATTCGCAACAATTGCCCCTTCCCGTCTTAGAAATTCGAGATCGTAATCTTTCTTGCTTGTCTATGACATTGTCGTTGATGTTATATTTGGCCATTTTTCGGGTAAATCGTCGCGGCATATATCCATCTTGTGGGACATCTTCGTGTAGTGCATCGTCTTCGTTCTGGGGCTCTTGACGATCCAGCGTGAAACGGGAGAGTCCAGAGCGGTCGCTTTTGAGTCTTTTCTGGGGCTTGGGCCTAGCCTTTAGCAGGTGTGTTGTTGAGTCCGCTTCACTAGCAACCGCAGAAGGGGTCGACACCATTGGACTCTGCTGACTCGGACCGGCAACGCTCAAGTTTTGTGAATCTGATGATACCGGTCGCTGGCTAGGTTGCAAGACAGCTGCATGGATAGTCGACGTAGACGCGTTTGAGTTTGCGAAGCTAGAGGCGTCTTCCCTGGCCGTAACGAATGACGTTGAAGCGTCTCCACTGTCGTAAACCCCATGTGATGTGCTAGCAATCGACCTGGCGTTCGGCCGTGGTGTCTCATCCGAGTCTTCTTCATCTTGCTCCTGGTCTTCATCTTGTTCCTGATCTTCGGATGTGATGTCATTGTCATTGTCAGTGTTAGTTATTTCTCCTGACTCTGGCTCAGGGTGAGTCAAGGTGCGAAGTTCTCCTGATGGTTCCTCATCCGGCTCCTGCAGTTGCTCCTCGCTTTCATCCTCGTCCGTGGAGTCAATATTCGTGTGAGTGAAGGTAAGAGCAACCCCTTCCTCCTCCCCCACCTCGGCAGGAGCCGACGATGGCTCCGCTTGGCCCGTCGGATGATCACTTCCCAGGGTTCTTTGGGTATAATGAGATGCAATTGGGTCGACCGAAAAGGATAAGGTCTGTGAGGTATAGTTCTTGAAGCGGAGCCTCGATTTGTACCAAGATTTCCGATGACCATGGATCCAACCCTCTGGAATCGGACCGATGAAAAAACGGCGGCTTGTCATATGCAAGTGATGAGCGGAGGCATAGCGCTGTTAATATGTAACGAGGAGATTATTAGTTCTGAGTGGATACCGATTGTGTGGTTCACCAGGTTTAACCCACCAGCTTCTGATCCGTGTAGGACCCTATTGGCAGGCCCTGGTAGCTCTCATGGGGAGGACTGTGGGGGGGCTTCGGCTTCTGCTTCTGCTTCTGCCCGTGCCGCGCCGCTGGCCTGGTCGGAACTGCTCATAGCACAGGACGATTGCCCACCCGGAGAATGAGCATTGAACAAGGGGGTGGGACATCAAGAAAGAGAGAAGAAGGCGCGGGGGAAGATCATTCAGGCACCACTTTGGGAGGAGAAAAAAGCATACGAGTAGGGCGATCGATCGAAGATCGTGATGCAACAGGCAAAAGATGATGTCATATTGGGGAATGCCAAACAGTGCAAACCTCCCCGAGGGTCCTGAAAACAGACGATAAGGTCACGTTGGATAAGGTCACGTGGGACATGGCATGATCGACACCGTGTTTGCACTGTTTGCCTTCAGGGTTGCCCCGAGGTGGCTTGCGTGGCAGTGGCAGCGGTGAGTGACAGCGGGACAGCTGTTGTTTCCATTTAGATACTCCGACTACAGTACTACTCTTCACCCCAGGTTATCTCCAATTTCAATTCCAATTCCTATTCCTATTCCTATACACACAATCACCATGTCTACCTCTTGGCTTGAATCCATCAAGGGCCAGTCCTTTGAGAATGTCACTGTCGATGCCAGCGGCAACATCAACACAGAGGAGTTCATCCGAGCTGCCAAATCCCTCGTCACTCTGTTTGGTAAGTACCCTCTTCTTCCTTGCATGCTTATCGTGAGGCCTAATCCGGTTGATCCTGCAGAGCGCATTGGCGGCATTGCATTGAACAGTGTCAAGGATGACATGACCAACAACATTGCCGTATGTCCCCCTCGCCTCGCCCCGCCCCCTCCCCCGTCTCCGTCAATTGGATATTGTTGGGCCAAATGTTGACAATTGGAACAGAAAGTCGAGAAGCGCTTCAACGAGGCTCCCGCCGAGTCCCAGACCTGCAAGATCTTGTCAAGAACGACAAGTCCAAGAAGGCCGCCCAGGGTCTTTTCTGGCTCAAGCTGTAAGATCGTCACTTCCATTGCCCCTCTACCCTCTATCCAATTCCCCTCAGAACGGTTGCTGATATAGTGCGTCATTAGTGCTCTTGACCTCACTGCCACCGCCATTCGCCGCAACCTCGATGACCCCGTCGAGGAGCTCAACACCTCCTTCACCTCTGCCTACAATGACGTCCTGAAACCCCACCACAACTTCCTCGCCAAGAAGGCATTTGGCTTCGCCATGAACTCCGTACCATACCGCAAGGACTTCTATGCCAAGATCGGCGTCTCTCCCTACGAGCTCAGTGCCGAGCAAGAGCAGTTCAGCGCGGAGCAGCTCAAGGGTGTCAAGGACCAGCTTAACAGCCCCTTGACTCCCGAGATTGCAGCTCTGAAGAATGTTGTGACTATTCTGAACAACTTTGACGACCTCACAAAGTGCAAATGATCTGTCTATTAGCCATTGAAAGTATCAGCGATGCAAATTATACAATGTACATATCGATTCTTTCTCCGCGGGTGGTTCATGTCCGTTGTAGCGAAATGTGAAAACCGAACATTTCTTTTCGAGAGATGAATACAGCCTGTTTCTTTTGTGTATCCGTAGAGGAGAAGTGGCAGTCAACATTTACAGTTGGGCACTAAAAATATAAGCATCACGGGATCAAGCTTAACTCCGCAAGCGTGCTACAGCTATGCGTACATGCGATTCTCGGAATCGGGCCGATATTTTCTTCAGATAGCAACTTGCGCGCCGCTGGATGTGGAGCCAGGTACGGAGTGCTTTGCACCCCGTTCATACTAGTAGTCGGACAACCTGTGCAGTTTCATATCTCTTTCAATGGGGACAGTGACAGTACATAAGACCAAGCTCATTCTCCAGTGCCGTTTCACTAGCTTCAACGATCATCTTTGAATACGAGCAACTAGCGGTTGGGTTGCATCGATGGACAGAAAATCCCCGGAACAGGGTAAAGGAGAACCACATGGCTAACGTATGTTCCATGGTAGGGTCCAATGGGCTTTTACCATCTGGACACCGGCAGAGACTGAAGGTAGCTCCAAATATAGGTCGCAAAATCAGAACGGCGATCGAACTTTTAATTAAACAGATATCCACCAGGGAATAGAGGATATGGAGGCCTCGAACCTAGCTTTGAATGTTCTCCCCGGGTTGAGGGATAAGGGACTTTCGCAGAACAAGAGTTTTAGCAGGAAGTTTCTGTTGTCATGTAGTCGATTTCAGATGCAATGGTTGCGAATTTCTGATCTTTTAGTTACTAGTGATTCGAGTTTCGTTTCATTGAAAGTAAGTTGTAACAATGTCTTTGTTGCGCTTGCAAAATGATGCAGCCTCGTAACGTGCCAGGCGGCATCTCTGCATAACCCTAATGATCCACCACCCACCTGTCTTAACGGTGGAGACGCCAGAATTGTCAGGTAATCTCCGACTGCAGATCATGCCAACTTCGTGCTGGCGGAGGCTTCTACAGAGTAGTATGCATGTACGAAATCCAGAGTGATCGGCTGAACAGGGTACCCATCACTTGCCGATTGTCATGAATCAGGTCTCAGAATGTACCGGGTCAACTGTTATCAAGAAGATCTCGATTCCAATATCGAGATACATACCCAGGGTGGACGTGCTCGATCGATTGATTCCACCAGTTCTTCCTAACGAGCACGGTATCATTCGCCTTCCTCACTTCACCTTTGCCACATTTTATTAACATGTGTGTACGGAGTACTCATACCTCGGATCTCGCCAGCAATTACCAGTATCCTTAGCTAACCGAGACCTTCCTTCCCCTCCCGTCAAACTATTGCCGGTACGCCTTCGCAACCGAAGGGGATAAGAAAGAAATCGTCAGCCGCCAAGGGGGGCACGGGGATCACGGATCCACGGAGAATATCGTCCTAAGGCCCTGTTCGTCCTAGGGTGGCAACGGTCTCCCCCCCTTTCGACACGACTTCGAGCGGTCGAACAGACTAGCTAGTCTCTGCATGTGGAGGCGAAGACCAAGGCTCCACTCTCTGGCCAAGATTCGCACACGCTCGTTGGAAGAACCCATGGAAGCCCTTTGGCAGCCGAACTTGTTTGAGTGATGTCGCCGATGTTCCCGACGATGAAACTCGCGGAGGCTGTAGGTGGGCGGCCTGAGCGGGTGGTAGTGTACAATTCCATATGGCCATAGCAGGGAATGGTGGACTTGTGGAAGAGCTAGAACCAAGGCACTGTTAGGTACCGGCAGGCACTGGTAGGCCACATGGCAACGCCACGAGAAATAGGAAATGTCTCTGAGCCAAACAATTGATGCGCAAATGAAATCCACTCAATGGTCATTTGTCTTGTGCAAGGGCAAGGTTTTTGGCTGCTAGGTTGCCTTCTTCGTGCAACCTTCTCTCCGGGTTGGGGTTTTTTGACTTTTGTACCTCCACAATGTGTCCATGGAACGGCCTCAAGTTCACGCGACACTCGAAGCCACATTGAGAAATCTGGAGTTGAAAGGGTTTCGATGACAGCTGCATTGCGACCTTCTAGCTTTTTTCTATTGGATCCTTTTTCCCCAATTCACCAACCAAATTCTCATAGTTCAGGGTCATCTAAGTTTGACCCCACAACCCATCCCGTGGGTTCACCTTGAGATTGCCGATGCGGGTCGCAAGTGTTTTGGGTCTTGTTGATCAGTTTGATCATGGTAGCCGCGAGGCTCAGAAAAATGTATCTTGCGTGTCTAGCCCCAGAGACTAAGGACGGAGAAGGACGCCAACGCCGTGACGACCCGCTTGGACGGCGGCCAAACCCCCTTCTCGCCACTAATGGCCGCTGGATGGCGGTGCTTGGCTAGTGATTTGATTCTTCGCCGCTTCTCTTCTCCTTCTTTTCTCCTTATACACAATTCTTGATTGGCAATCTTGAGAGGGAGTTCTGAGGTCTCTGCAATTCTACTCTGGGTAGACGATGAATCTCGATTAATACAGTCTCTGATCCCGGCCACCACAATGCTACCCTTGGAAGGTCGCAGTCTATCGATCTTCATTGTCACAACTATCTTCTTGGGATTCTCTTTCATTGCAGTTTGCCTGAGATGTTTTGTCCGGCTCAAGATCGTCAAGGCCTTTGGCTGGGATGATGCGCTGATGGTGTTTGCCATGGTAATTCCACCTCACACGGCATGCATGGATCTGTTTCCTTGTACTGACACTTTGCGATGCGACAGCTCTTGAACGTTCTCTTTGCACTATGTGGTATCACAGGCGCTTTTTACGGAATCGGTCAAAAATCCATAACACTTGCCCCAGTCGCTGATGGAGGACGAGGCACTATGGAGACCGCCATGTTTGTATGCTCAACCCGATCCAGTCTAAGCTCATGCATACAAGAATGAAGGCTAATTATACCAGTGGTGGTGGCTTGGTCAAACAAGCTACGTTTGGGTATGCGCTGTCTGCAAGTGTTCTATCGCCGTCGCCCTTCTCCGTCTTACTGTTTCCCGTCTGCACCGTTCAATCCTTTGGGGCGTCATTGCTGTGACCACGATTATTGGCCTGATATTCTGGTTCATGTTGACTTTACAATGTCACCCCGTTTCCTTCTTCTGGCAACGAGCCCGAGGTCTTACCAACGGCACTTGTATGGATCTCGACAGCGTTATCGCCATTGCCTACGTTTACAGTGTGACTGCCACATGTTGTGACTTTACCCTCGGCATACTGCCAGTCTTCCTGGTGTGGAACTTACAAATGAATATACGCACGAAGGCTGCGCTGGCCAGTATCTTGGGCATGGGTTGCGTCGCAAGTGCCGCTGTCATCATTCGAATTCCCTACCTGCACGACTACAAGGACCCGGACTTCTTATGTAAGTATTTCATTCAAATCTCCAGGTCATCCCCATTCGAGTCCCACAATACACGAGTCAAATTTCGAGAAAGCACTATACTAACAACATCTTCCACCCCAGACGCAACCTCCAACATCTCGATCTGGTCCAATGTCGAAGCTAGCCTGGGCATCGCAGCAGGCAGCCTCGTCACCCTTCGCCCCCTATTCCGCTGGTTTCGCGACCCCAGCTCTGCAGGAACTCGGAGCAAGCGTACCGGTAACAGTGTCCCGCTCTCGAGCGTGAACGTTGTGCGGTCGGATCCCTCCGGGCCCCAGTATTGGCGCCCGGACCTAGACCCAGAGGATTCACATGCTGTGATCACCACGATCCACACCTCGAATCAGGGGAGCAGCCGAACCAGTAGCCAGGAAGATCTCAATCCTAAGCCAAATCACGGGACGTTTTTTAGCGGCGTGAATGTGCAAAAGACGTTCTTTGTTTCGGAGGATGATACTTCATAGGGATCTGAGAGGAGTGGTATATTAGTATAGTATAATAATTTTTCTCTCTGAAAAAAAAAATGTAAATGAATAATTGAGTTACTGATTACGAGTCCTCGGAATATACTTTAGCTCCGATTGTCAAAAATTCCAATTTGGCCCCGCGGATGTACTTGAAATGTCAGTTTCAGTGTCACGGTGGTAAATAGGGTTCGATAGTTGGTGTTTCTACAGTCAAACTTGAAATATAATGCTAGTCCATGCGTTCTACATACATTCCTTTTTCCAGGATTTAGAGAAATGGGTAACCTCCCGCCAAACACGAGTATTGACATTACTAGTAGTACGAAGTAGTACTACTTCGTTCCTAGTACTATGCACCCCGTATACCAGTATGTAGTACAAATGCCGGCAATTATAGAGTTAGATGGGCATGGAATTATTGTATGTGTAACTTTGGGATCCCTGTCTCGATCTATGTAATAGCTCCCCATAATCCCACAGCCAAGCCATTGGCGAATCCTTCGATGCGCCATATCCGCAAATCCGGGACTAGTTAAATCGAAGAGCATGGCAATCTGATAATCACGTGAAGAAGGTACTGAGATATTCATATCTTTTAATAATAATGAAATTCTCGGGCATGGTGCACTCAGATTGCGCTTCAGTATAGCCGAGCCGGTAGTGTTGGCACGCCTTGGGCCATTACGTGGATTGAATCTAGTCGTGCTTCATCTAGCCAAAATCTGCTCCCCCAAACAACAGCCCTGCCGGGCTAGCTCAATCGGTAGAGCGTGAGACTCTTAATCTCAAGGTTGGGGGTTCGACCCCCCCCGTTCGGCTATTCCTACAATCCTTACCTGAGATATCTTTTTGCTTCCCTGTCGGAATCAATGGAAGGAGTTTGCTGGATTTATTTCATATTTTTACCAATTTTTAAATGGTGGTAAGCAGGTAGGGTAGGAGAGTCTGCGAATACAATGTGTCTTATGGTGGTGTTCCACAGGAGGATACAAGATTCAAGTTATACTCTATCTACTGATTTCGATGAGAACACACCATCCATTGCAGAAATGCATAATGCAAGATATTATTCTTAACTTTAATTGAAGTCATGAAGTCAATCAAATCAGCCAATGGGACATACTCACACAATCATCATATACATACACACTTCTTGTAGTTCATAGTTCATGCTTCCTGCCAAGCCACTAGTGCCTCAGGCCACAAGGACGTAAGGCTCCACCGCATCATCACCGCGGCTCCAAGTCAACAACTCCAACTCTATCTCCAACTGCAACTGTCCCTTCGGGCAACCTTCTTTCAACCCTAGGGCTGAAACGTTTACTTTTTCACCTGCTTCTCATGTCCCCGTAATCATGTCCCGGAGGACGCTGGGTGGCGGCCGTGTCTTGGGCACTCCGAGTGCGCTCTCAGCCCCGTCCCCGTCCCCGCAGCCGAAGAGGGTACTATCGCCAGCTGCTAGCAGCGTCTCTCTAAGCTCGCAGACCTCTGTATCACAGTTCTCCTCGACCACTCAAGACCTCACCTCGCGCATATCCTTAGAGAATGGCAACACTTCGATATCCGCGCCGCCCGCCGCTCCCGGGGCGCAGCTATCATGCCCGATCTGCAGCGAAGAAATGGTATGTTTACCTCCCAGCATATTGGCGCATAAAGCTTGAACCATTAAAATATTGTATATTGACTGCTACTAGGTGACTCTTCTTCAACTTAATAGGTACAATAGCAACATCCACTTCCCCCCCTATATTTCCTTCAGCCCCTCCATTAACATGTCCGCAGACATCTCGACGACCTTCACCAAAACTTGGAGGATGGCACACAGGATGAGGTCAAGGACTGGTTCAAGATCCAGATGGAAAAAGCAAAAAGATTTCAGCCACTGGCCGTGTTAAACCAAAAGCTCAAGGGTCTGGATGTATTCGAGTCGAATGAGAATCAAGCATCCTCGGTCTCGAGCCGTCCACTGGCTTCTCACTCCCATATACCAACCCCAAACCCCCGAAACTACTCGACCCCGAAGACCTCATTACAAAGGAACACTGGCAAGCTGCTTGTATGTACGACGTGTGTTTGGAACCTTCATGCGGACAACGATTAAATGCCACCAATGGATGTGTGAATTGTCGGAAATGTGGGAAACTCTTTTGCGAAGAACATACAATGTACCAGATGAAGCTTTCGCGGTCGGCACACCACGAACCTATCAGAGGTATTTGGGCTCGTGTCTGCGAGACTTGCTATAAATCGAGGGAGGGTTACAACGATCACAATGGTTTGTTTTTCAAAAACCCCATGCCTGGCTACCAAGCTCATAAAAGTATTAGGAGCATCGAGAGATAAAATGGCTTCGTTTAAATCCATCCGGCAGCAAATGGTTGATAAGGATCTCCTGGAAGTTTCGCGCCTCGAAAAGCGATTAACGCGACTCACACAATTATTGGCGAGTCTACCACCCGATCAAGTTCAACCCAGCGCAACGAAACTATTTTCCATTGGATGGCAAAGTGACCAGCGAAAGACCCTGGAGCAGACGGTTGTAAGCTGGCAGGATGATGCTAGTGTGTCGCGGTGTCCCTTCTGCCAGCAGGACTTTTCAGGGTATTCCTTTCGGAGGCACCATTGCAGAACTTGTGGGCGAGTTGTTTGCGGCGACGTTGGAACTGGTTGCTCTAGTGAAGTTGGGCTGAGCATTACACCTGGTACGCTGCTAATACTTGTCGTCTCCGGCCGACTGTTTCTAACATTTTCAATAGTTTCGAAATCGTCAGAAAAAGTAGCCGCTAACAATCTGCTCAATATCGACGTGAGACTTTGCAAAGATTGCAAGTCTACGTTGTTTGATCGGCGCGACTTTGAGGCTGATATCACGCACAAACCTCCGGAAGCCAGGTCTTACGACAATCTGATCCAGTTCGAGAGAGGAATCCGCTTGCACTTGCCTGAATTCCAGAAACTCCTCTCCGCGCTCCAGTATGTCTACAACATCATCTTGACCGAAACCCTACTAACGATGTTCCAGGGATCCAAGACGCCCGCCTTCGTCAGCTCAAATAGCAGATGCATCCAAAGTCCGCAAGCGACTTATGGATTCTTTCGCAAAATATGATGTTGCGGCTCGACGAATCCGCGACCTACCCACCAACTCCCCCACCCAACAGCGCTTGCAAAAGGCCATCTACCAACAAGCCAGCAGTTTCCTCCACCTCCATATGTTACCTCTGAAAGCCCTACCCAAGGTCCTGAAACATGCACCGTCGAACGGAGGACGCATGTCTAGCCCCGCCACATCGTCACCAAACACGCCAGTAAACGGCTCACCGGCACCTGGTGCTAAGCCCCAGGATTCCGCACTTGCATCCATTAAATATAACAATCGTGTCGCCGCCAGCGGAAGCACCAGCAGCCTCGCAAGCGATACAAGCAGCGCCGTATCGGCGCTCGAAGCAGAAGAAAAATCGCTACGCGATAGACTCATTGTCCTGAGAAGAACAGAAATTCTTCGTATCCGAGATGATCGCCGATGCCAACCGTCGCCGAAAATTCGACGAGGTGAGCAGTCTTGCCGTCAACGTCGAGGACCTGAGTCGTGAAATCGACCGAGTGAACGGGATGCTAGCTGGGCTGGATTTCGAAGGCGTCTACACGGGAAACCTTCAAGCGAGCGCTTGAATTTCTTTTTCAGGCAGTATTTACTCGTCCTTCTTTTACCATTTTTTTACCTTTTGCACAGATGCATGGCAGGGCGTCTTGTCATGCCGTTCGTTCTCTCTCTCCCTTTTGTTCCTGCCCTGTCGCTGGTTCTTAGTGGGCATTGCCAACCCTCTTTCGATGATCTTTGCATAGCATCGGGCGTTTTAACGGTCGTTGGAATATATAATGAAATTACATTCGCTATACTCAGTATTCTCCTAGATGATTGTGTAGAAGCTAGCCAGTGCCAGTATGGGAACATTCAAGTTAAAGCCAAAAACTAGTACTACTAGTAGATAATAAACGGCGAAATACTTGAAGATAGGGAAACTTGAAGCCCTAGGTGCCAGTAGTAGTTAGTAGCCTTCCAAGGTTCAAAGAAAAATGAAACCAACTAGTGCGGTGTGATTTAAGTTGGCATATTGAAATTCATAAAAATTACTGCCATAGCAAATTATTTTAATGTTCTATAATGAACAGCAAAAATGAATACGTTATCAGTGGAAAGATCATAATATTTTCTTGCACGCTAAGAAACAAGAGTTGAACTCATCGAAATAAAATATTTTTAGACGATTTGATAGATTTCTTCAACTTTTTTTTCTTCTGCTGAGTCGAATACTGGTCCAACCCGGAGATTTCAAGTTTTCTTTCAATCTGTTCTGTACAAAAAGGAGGAGGCTCATAGCGTCATATCTCTATACATTTGAATGCCTTGACAAGGCAAATAATTCTTTAAATTTCCCAGCACCCGCCAGGCCTTGGGATCTACCGCTCATAGTCGCGGTGATAGCTGGTGCCGGTATTAGGGTTATCATACTCTCGATGAACATGAGTAGTTCCATCGTCGCGGCGATCAACATCTCGGTGTCTGTAGACGCCACTCGGATCGAGGCGCTCACGATGATGTCGTCGGGAACTATCAGTGCGATAGTCGAGATGTTGATCATAGGCACCGCTGCTGGGGTCATAGGCCGTTGTGCCATAGCCAGTGTCGTAAGTTGTGCCGTATGTATTGCCTACAGCATCGGTGCCATATCCCGTAGTTCCAAAGCCGGTAGTTCCATAGTTTCCGTAGCCGGTTGCATCGAAGGTTGTTCCGTTTGTCTCGTATGATGTTCCAATTGTATCGTATGTAGCTCCGGTTGTGTCATAATCGTAATTTTCGGTGTAGGTGGAATTGCCGTAGCGATCAGTCATTTTGGATGTTATTGCGTGATCAAGATTATTTGGTCAAAGAAAGGTCTGTCTTGAAAAGAATTTGGTGGTCTTGGATCAGAACAAGATGGGCGTGGTCGACGCTGGATTCTTATAATGCAATGTGGCGTTGGATATCACTGCATGACTTTGAATTGACATCATCTTGGCTGGGAGAGGAATTCGTTAGAAATGAGGCGATATACGTGACTCGAATAAATGAGATAGAAAATTATCACAGTAGCTACGAACTGGGCTTATTGGCTACATTTTCTGGGGATATGTGTTCGAGACCGTCGCCCCAGGAGGCGCATGTTGTTGAAACAACCATGGTTACGGATAACCAAGTCAATGAACCATCTGCCAACAACAAAATACAACATCTCATAATTTGCTCTTGAGTGCTTATTCGATTACGAAACTGATTAAAGTCTCTCACTGGGAGCCTGTGATAGTAGCGCACCATAATGCTTTCTTCGTGATGGTTGGAGGAGGCATGTGGCGAGACAATGTTTAGAGCTGGTTTGGATATTGCCACCACCATCAGGCATATCCTATCAATCTGTATCCATTAGACAAATGTTTGAATCAAAATTAAATTTTAAAGTAGTCAAAGAATCATACTTGACATGTTGCCGGCATGTAAGCAATGATCTAAAGTGGAAGGGTCGTAAGCGGACTAGATTTTCTACAACATTTTAGAAGAACAGTGCGCAGTCCTCTTGCGGGTTCATGACTTGGCGGTCGTGCATGCCCTGAAAGCAAGAGATATAGATACGCTCATTGGCACCAGAGGCCTCAATGAGGATATCGTAGTAGTTAGCGAGGTTGATACCGGCCTTCTGCTCAATGGCGCGGTTAAAGACATCAAAAGCTCGCGCTTGACATTGGCATTGCCGGTTGCTCGACCCATCATAACCGCCAAGGAGCTCATAGACTCTAGGATAATCGATTGCAATGGTGGGAGAGGAGAGTTCATTGGGGTGAGTATTTGGATGTTTTTTTAGGCAAAACGATGTGGTGTACAGTAGTCCTTCCTGGAGAACAAAGGAGCATGAAAAACTGCCAGTGTCCTTGGGCATGCAGTATCTTTGAATGTACTCGGCTTACACTCTAGGCAGCGACTAGCTTCTAGAATTGATCTAGTTTGGGAGAAGACAATTCAAAACCCAGCTATTATTGCTGTAGCCATGTATCAAATGCGATACTTGAATTATAACTATGTTTTACAGCGCTGATATTTTGTTGCTGCCAGTCAATATCTGCGGACCGGAGATAGCAAGTAAGGGTATCCATCCAATCCAGTTTAGCACTCCCTGCCCAGCGGCATCAATGAATCAGACAAGAATTCACTGGCATTCATCAAGTCCGTACTTCCGTAGACAACCCGACGGCGAACACCAGCCGCAGCGCTGCGATTAGCCGCCGCCGCACCGTCCGCCTGTGGCCCACTTGTTCGAGCCACCCAGTCCTGCAAGTTACCATATTCATCCATGCTTCCACCGCCAACCGTGAACACGATGGCTTCATTGAAGGCTTGGCGACGTTGACCGAAGGTAGCACCGGTGCCAGGACCTTGGACTCCACCGGGCATTTGCTGGCCTCGGGATGCAGAGGCCGGGGGCATGGCGCCACGCGCGTTGGCACTCCGCGGGTCGAAGTAGAGGTAGTTCTCGGTCTTGGCGATGGCCGAGCTAGAAGCAGCGGTGGGGTCCATAATGGACTCCGTGATTTTCGTCACGGTAAGGTCCTTGTTGGCGGGGAGGAAGTTCTTAACGCCGGAAAGAAGGGTGTCGAAGTTAGCGCCCAGGCCGCTGGATGTGATGCGGTCTGTGAGGCGATTGGAGAGGGATGAGAAACCGCGGAAAAGGTCGTTGGACTGTGGTTCGGGTGCAGCGGTCGTCATCATAGTCATGCGTGTGAGCTCGCGAACCTGTCGAAGATATGCGATTGGCGTCACATCCGAGACACCGGCCTTAGTCAAAGCCTCCTCGAATTCGCTGATCTCCGTGCGACTCAACTCATTCTCGCTGCTGATAAACCAAATAACAAAGAGACGCAACTTGTCCTCCGGGTTGTTTCCCTTGGCGGGATCATTAATCAGCTCAAGAAGTTGTGACTTGGATTGTTTTGTGATATTTTCCTCCAGCTCGAAGAAGCCGTCCAGCTGTCGGTCTTTGATTCCCTTCAGCAGGGCGGTGGCGATGTTCATGTGCATATCGAGAGTGGCTTTACGCTCCCGCAATTCAGGAAGCAGCGTAATGGCAGCCTTGAGGTGATTTGCGGAAGAGCTGGTATCATTCTGAAGATCTTCAATCGAGGAAGCACCGGTCTTTCTCGTGATATCGGCTGCATCTTCCTTGTACCGTGTGAGTTCGGCATCAATATTTTCGGCCACTTGGGGGAAAGGTGCGCCCGCATTTCGTTGCCAGAAGAAATCGTTGCTATTAATATCGTAGGATTTCTTTGAGACTTTGCCGGACTGTAGCTCGTCATCGAGGGTGATTCGATTTAAGCGCATTTGGAGGACGTCCTGTACGAGGGATTGATATGTCCAAGAGTGCGATAGCATGGGAACCAAGTCGACATTTCGATCCATGACAATCAGAACTGGTCGGCTCGAGGGAACGCCCGGCAGAGCTCTCTGGTTGCCGGAGAAGAGGTTGTCCTTGGAGTTGAGAATGTGATCTCGGAGTTTGCGATCAAGCTTAGTGGCGATCATCTCAGCTGCACCACCCTTCGGGGATCGAATAATTGGGATCGAACCTGGATTATGGATTAGTTCGACTTGTCGAAAGAAGTGACATCAGAGAAGAGATAGCATACCCATTGTAACGCTCACGCTAAACAGACCGCTCACTACCTTGTCAATCACATCATCCAGCTCCTCATTACTTGATCTAGCGCTGTTAAGTTTGTAGTAAACTTCATTCCCAAGTCCTAGGCTGAAGAGATCTGGTTCTGCGACAATGAAATTGAGGTATTGATCGAAGACCTGAGCGATGTTCTCTGATGCGCCGGAGGTGGCTATTTGGGAGGCGAAGTCCTCGAGAAGTGGACGGGGAACAGAGGAGAGAAAGTTGACATAGGCGGGGGAGTAGAGGCCACTCGAGAGATCACGAGTGATAGCTTGGGTGTTGGCTTCGTTGGGTTCGACCAGGTAGACCACGGGGACGTCTGGGATTGGGTATCGTTGAGAGTTGATGTTTCTTGAGACGGTACATGGTTAGCACGAAAACTATCAAGGGAAACAAGCCACATAAGAGGATCGGGAAGCTTACAGGTGTATAGTGATTCCCCAAGCTCGAAGGTCATTGACCCGCAACACGCTGCTGATAACATCTCGGCCCATACCATCAAAAACCAGGACCTTCCAAATGGGATCACCATCTTCGTTCAGGATAGGTGTGGAGACAAGACCAGCCTGTCCTGATGCATCATGAGAACCCTCATCTGTGGGGCGCGGGTCATGGTTGAGGTTCAGGAGCTTTTGAATGGAAGCTATACAGATCGGTCAGCCATCCAGTTGTGGGCAGGGCCGGTGTGTATGTTATGTTGTGTGATGTTATGGTCCAGGCATGTTAAGGAGAGGGAAGGGGAAGGGGACAGTATCACCTACCGACCTGTCGGTCTCGGAGGGACATTGGATGCGCCATATCAGGGAGCAGAATTGGCAGAGACAAGACAGCTCACGACATGGAATCAACGATAGGGGAGGATCGAGGCCGAGTCCGGCTCCGGCCACGGTGGGATGCCTTGTTGGTTGCGTGGGGGTGTAAACAAGGCAAACACTACGATCACATGGCAGTAACTCCAGGGTAATACACAGCGGTACATATGTATGGTAATTTAATGGTAATTCAATACTCCTTAAGTACTATGAATCCCCAATCATACGTAGGGGTAAGTGTAATTCTCCTGACCGCCGCCAAAACACGTCGCCAGCCTGCAGCTTTTCAACCTCCTTCCAACCTCAACTCTCCGCGTCACCTCCCATCTCTCCTCCCCCTCCATACCCCTTTCCCTTTGCCTTTGCCTTTGCCTTTGCCTTTTCCTTTTCCCCTTCTCTCTTCGTAAAGTGAATGGCTATATTGCTAGAGTGGCTCTTGGTATAAGAGAGTACAGAACAGAGAACAGAACGGAGAAAAGGAAAGTGTCAGCTCTACGGAGACAAGAGACACTTTGAAGCAGAAGTCCGGGATCAGATACATTGGTACCAAGCAGGAAAAGAGAGAATCTTTGCTGAGCACTGGTGAACACTGGTGTCTTAAAGGGATCCACGAAGATCCTCCCCAGTGTATTCAAGTTCACTGCCGAAGGTGGTGACCCTAGGGTGACGGAGGTAACTGAAGGTAACTGGAGGCGCCAAGACCAAAAGATATCGTCTGCCACCACGTCACATATAAATCACCACAGATCAGACCAGGTACGGGCCGAACTCTTGTCACTCAACTCTCAACTCTGCCCCCTTTTTTCCGTATTTCAATTCCTATCTTGCTTGTCGTTATTTCCCGAAAGTGGTCATCGTCTTACTCTTTTCTTCTGTTGAACCATTCAGCCAATCACAATCCCTGCCAATTTTCACCGCCAGAACCAACCGGAACCCGCTTTTCCGGCCCAAAAGGGCAGGCGGTAAAAGCCACCTGATCTGCTCATTCGGCAGGGGCACGTGATTTTTCGGGGATCGACAGTAGCAAATAAACGGGAAACGGGCGCGACGCAATTTACAAACTTGGCGTCGTGAATTCGCGGAGGTTGTTGTCCCATAAGATGGAGCAGTCATCGGCCCAGCACTCGTTATCGGGGGGGGCCCCATGCTGCTCAGGATCAAGGCTTACCCCAGGGCTATTGGAATCAGTTAGAAACAATGTACCCTGACCCGCAGTTGCAAGTTCAAGCACAGCAACAAGATGTCCCCTCACAACAAGCCCCAACTGGCATCAACTGGGATCATCCGATCTTCTCTCAGACTCAGAATCAGGCACAAGCACAAGCGCAAGCACAAGCACAAGCACAAGCACAGGCGCAGGCACGGGCACAACAGCAACACCAGAATCCACATCAATCCCAGCAACGAAGTCCTCTCCCTCCTCAGACCGACAGCAATCATGGCATCTATTCCTCTCTTCCTCAGTCATGGCAACCAACCCCCCTCCAACAACCTTCGGGGGGATATGCGGTTTCGTCGCAATTCCAACCACAACAACAGATTCCTCCGTACCAGCAAGGTCAATTGTCCTTTGACTCGCGATCTCTGACGCCTTCCGAGAGCTCGGCTTTCCCATCATACTCCTACTCTCAAAACTATTTCCACCAGCAACAACTCCCCGTTCAGAACGCTTTCCCCGAGCGCCCAGCGCAGAACCACCGACAAGACGAATTCCAGAACATTGCGCCTCGTCCCTCAATCTCGCAGTTCCCTCTTCCCACCTCCTACCATGCCGACCTCCCCACGATTGACCTTACCAACGACTTCCCCCCCCTCCGCCGAGCCCGGTGTCTCTCACCAAACCATCAACCCCCAATTTCTCAATCCCGGCACCCAGGGTGCCAATCAGCATCAGCAGCACATATCCAACAACTTTCTTTATGGAGTCCCGACAGGAGTCCCGACGGAGTTTCCGCAAGACGGCAGGATGTTCGATTACTATCAGAATAATTTCTCAGTTCAACCTCAAGGCGTTCAACAAAATGCGGAAATGCCACAACTTGGTACATCCCTCTTCGTTTCCTATCTAGTCGTGTCTAGCTAGTCATTCCAATGCTAACATGTGAATTAAAATAGCACCCGGAGGGGCCCCAGCACTCGCCATCTACCCGCCAACCCTGGAGAGCGTCCTCCAAAAGTCTTCGACCAAGAACAAGCCAAAGTCCAAGAAAGCTGCTGCGAAACCGAAGAAGACACAATCAGGATCGGGAAGTGACTCATCGGACTACGAGTCAGATTTGGAAATTGAACCTCCCGACGAGCCGTCTCCTCTCCCAGCAGCGCGGCCAAGTGATACTGTGAACGGGGCAAAGTATGATACAATTCAAGCCGTTTGGTCTCCGCGGAACAAACGGCCATCAGCCGATAAAGTGAAGAGTGCCCTGGTGGCTTTCCCCAAAATTATCAAGTCACTTCGTGATGCCTGGAGAGATCAGGTTCAAGCAATGAAGTCAGCTGAAAATCAGGGAGACAATGACAAAGCTGCGCGTCTCAAGAAAGATGTGGCGCTTCAACGCCAACTAATGGATACTATTGTGAGGACTGCCTTGGATATGGGTCACCCCATGATTGTCGAGAAGTATGAAACCCCTCCCCAATTCCCCCAACTCCCTTCATTTCCCTTGTTTCTCTCGTTTCCTCCGTTTCAACCTTGTTCCTGGCACGTGATCTCCATACACCTAGAAGTTTCAAGAAAAATGAGCTTATCACCCACGTAAAATTTGTTTACCGTGGAGATGGACCAAGTCAAAGTCTCAAATAATATGGCTGCAATTAAAGAGCGTCCTCGCTCTGGGTACCATGACAATGCATCTCATTCGAGCTGGAAATACGATGCCGAACAATATCCTCCAATGCCCCGAGAAGCCCAATAATGGGTACCTTGGATCAGCCATGGAAAGCTTTCTTTTTGGGAAACCAAGCATAAGTCTCTTCGAGGATCCTCAGAGTCTGTCTGCATTCTTAGATTTTGCAATCTGGAAGCCGATCACATTGCACGCTCCTTTTGCCTCATTCTATACGTGTGCTTTTTTTCTTTCTCGAACTCCCAGATTACTAATGTTTGATTTCTGATGTAGGCTTGGGGAACATCCTTTAGCGCTGGCCGTTATTCATTCGTTCCTTACGGATCGATTTCAAGCTGCCGATTTCGAGGGTTCTTTGACTACGAATATGCTCAAGGCAAGTTGATTCCTTGCTCAAACCGCGACGAATTCAAACTAACTGACTCCAGTTATTGGAACGCTTTGTTACCGTTGATGAAGAGATGTTGCAAAAAACCAACTTTAGCAAAACCCTTCCAAGATTCGTCAAAAAGGGTGGCCCTTCCATCAAGGGTTTGGCCCAGAAGATCTTGGACAATGCTTCAGCATCTACCAAGCGGAAGCAGACGAATGCAAAGTCAAGTAAAGAAGACTCGACAAGCAAAGGGGTTCCCGGAGACTCGCCCTCTGAGATCGCGGGCTCTAAACGAGCTCGGGAAGGCGAAAATACCGCCCATCCTGCCACAAAGAAGATGGTAGTGACTTCGAATCTCAAAGATGCCAGTAAGTCTGCGCAAGGGTCCAACGGGCCTACCAAGGCTGGACTTAATGGTAAAGTTGCAACATCGGCAGCTCCTCGTCCGCGGCCAGCTGTTGCTGCCCCCCAAGCTCAGTAGTCTTTTTGGAACTTTGAGCTCTGCATCAAAGAGGCCTGGAACTACAAATGCTGAACGAGCTGCAGCCGCAGCCGCAGCCGCAGCTGCAAAGTCTACGTATGTACTCTCCTGTTTTTTGGTTTTTTTTTCAAACCAATGCCACCCACTATCTCATCAGGACGAGCACTCTCCATCTACCCAGCCAATCGGTGTGTGCCAAAATTCTAAACATCTATACAGACCAAGCACGGAAAAGAAGGAGAAGCCAGCAGCTCCCCCTTCTAAGCCAGCATTCTCTTTGAATGATATCATGGCAGATCTCAGCAAACCCAAGGAGGCACCCGTTGCCAAGCCAGTAGAAGAAAGACCCCCGGAAACCGAGGAGGAGCGTGAGAAGCGGCTTAGAAAAGAATCTAGGCGGAAGTTGCGAGTTACTTGGAAGCCTGATGATTCTCTCACCGAGGTACGATTGTTCACTCACGACCCCGACGAAGAGCTTGGTCCAGGCGACAACTCTTTGCGTGGTGTTGGAGACGTCAAGGGCGAGGGAAGCGTGCTCAAGCTCCACAAAGACTTGGAGGAACTTGAAGAGGATGATTTAGGTGGCATCCGTGAAACGAGTCTTAACGATTACACGAGTCTTACTGGTGAGTCTACTGCCTTGGTCTATTTGGATCCCATGCTGACTCGAATAGCGATCGATATCGATTTGGGTGATCTCAAGACCGCCAACTTCATCAAACGTGGCGGTGAAGCAATACCTGAGAGTCCGGCGAAGGAGGCTCAGAATCAACGAGAAGCAACCACTCTCATGGCCTTCTACCCCTCTCCCGCCGACATTCCCCCATCCCCCAAGGAGCCCCCTGCTTCCGAAACCAACACCAATGATGAAGCCGCCCCCGAATTAGTTTTCTTTGGAGACGTTCCCGAGCATGTCAGGGTATGTTACAGTCTCGACTCATCCAAGGTAGTGAACCAGTGGCTAATGGTTATTGCAAATAGGCTCGAGGCGAGCGCTGGTTTGCACATATTAACCCCCCGGCCGCTGCGCCTGCAGTCCAACCACAGCCTGCTGCCGCGCCCGCAGCTGGTGGCTTCGACATTTCAAACCTTCTCAAACTCATCGGCAATGGGAACCAGCAACAGTCCACCCCTCCTCCTCAGTCCCAACTCCCACCTCAGCAAGCTCCTGTGTCAGATCTCGAGCGCACTATCAACATGTTCCGACAGCAACAAAACCAGCCACCCGCAGTCCCGCCGCCTCAGATCCCTGTAAGCCAGCCACAAGCGACGCCCGAAATCGACTTCTTGAAGATTTTCAATGTCATGCAGCAAATGCAGCAGGGATCGGGAGGATTCCCTCAAGCACAGCCTGGAATGGCACCAAATATGGGCGCCATGTTTGGCTCGCAATTCGGCGGCCAGAACCAGTCTGATTCACGGGGCCAAGGTTACGAAGACCCTGAACGCAAACGCATACGCGAGACTAGTCAGCACGAGGAGTTCAGCCGACAGAAGCGGACTAAGGCTAGTGGCCCCCAGCCGTACAAAGTCGGTCTAATCCCGTGCAAATTCTGGGCAGATGGCACGTGCAGAAAGGGCGATAATTGCACATTCCGTCATGACTCCAAAAACGCTTAGGGGGGAGGTCACACTTTTGACCAAGCTTTCAACCTGATCAATGTCCCTCTTCCCAGCATTCTGCCCTTCGCAACTCCTTCGTCGCGCAGTGCGGCCCTTACTTCCTCGATCATTCTATTCGGTTTTATTTCATCTTCGATGATGTTACACAACTAGAAGAGAAAAACGCGAGGAAAATATTCGGTGAACATTTTATCGGCGTTTTTGCGTGTCAGCGACCATTCACAGCTACGCGAGTGATCAGGTGTGGTATTCCAGCAAGCAGCATTATCATTTTTTCTTCGAAGTTCGAGCTTCGGCTTCAACTTCGAGGTCGTGTTCGAGTTCGATATCTCTACAAAGCATATTCTCTGCATTTGGGTGTCCCCTTGATAATACAGGGGGAGGTAACGGTTCGGTGGTGTGGGCGCTCGTTCTATGGTATTTTTCGCCGCTGTGGTTTTTCCTTCTTCTTGTCTGTGTTGTTTCTGCGGCTTCTGCTGTTTGTCAGATTTCTAAGAGTTTCAGGCGCAATTTCAACTGGTTTGGTTGGGTATACACTGAGATCACATTGTTATGGCGCATGCTTTCTGGGAAAACTGGAAAAATGTACATTAGTTATCCTACTTACCCTCGATCTTATCTTCTGTAATGGAGATCCGGTGCCTTAGGGCGCCTCTTGAACTAAGACTTCAAGTTTTCAAGTTATTTAAATTTTCGTCTTAACTAACCCGGTACTGCAAAGACTGTTAAACATAAGGTAGCTGAGAGCCCTAGATGTGACGTGCCGCCACAGTTTTGGCACAAACTGTAGACCTTTATGTTTTTCTTTTACTTCCTATACCACTAAAGCCATAATAAAAAGGTAGTTATTAGTACAAGACAATATATAATACCAACCGCCCCAGGCAGATGGTCTAATAGTGGGCATGTCAAGGTTTAAGTTATAATAAATCCATACTGCTATATAAGTACTCAATCAGCAAGTCCTTAGTATGATTTGTGCCTTAGGAAACTAAACTGTATGAGGCCTCTGCCAGATTTGGGCCTTATAATTGTTAAGTTGAATAATCTTCCTCCTGTGGGAACTTGAGTAGTTGCAGACGTGTCATTTTTAATCATGTAGGCATAATTTTGACAATCAAACATGAATTGCCCGGGTGGTCTAGTGGTATGATTCGCGCTTAGGGTTCACCCAAAGCATTGACTGCGCGAGGTCCCCGGTTCGATCCCGGGCTCGGGCCTTTCTTTTTTTCTCCTTTTTTTTACCTTATACTATTTGAAAACAGGATTCTTCATATAATCTCGCCTCAGACTATCAATTGCCCGGGTGGTCTAGTGGGTGTGTACTTCTTTAAGCCTTCAATATTACTTTAAGAAATTATCTAACAATTTATCAGTATGATTCGCGCTTAGGGTTCACCCAAAGCAAGTTTGCGCGAGGTCCCCGGTTCGATCCCGGGCTCGGGCCTTTCTTTTTTCCTCTTTTACAACCCTATCAATCTAAGGATAATTTGGATATAGATTTTATTTGCTTCAAAATATCAAGTGCCCGGGTGGTCTAGTGGTATGATTCGCGCTTAGGGTTCACCCAAAGCATTGACTGCGCGAGGTCCCCGGTTCGATCCCGGGCTCGGGCCTTTCTTTTCTTTTTTCCTCTTTTACAACCCTATCAATCTAAGGATAATTTGCATATAGATTTTATTTGCCACAAAATATCAAGTGCCCGGGTGGTCTAGTGGTATGATTCGCGCTTAGGGTTCACCCAAAGCAAGTTTGCGCGAGGTCCCCGGTTCGATCCCGGGCTCGGGCCCTTTCCTTTTTGCTTTTTGCAAGTCATATCTGGTCTCTCTCTATACCTGACATCCATGAACGTATGGGTTCTCTACCAGCAGAAATCGATTATTTATTATTTGACAATCTGTATTGTAACGTACTATTTTACGCCCACTATGGTTCCTTATACATCGTGCGCATCATCAAACCAATCGAAACAATAATTTACAGATCCGATCTCACCCCAGCTAACAAACAGGTACCTTGATACATCCTTTCCAGCGTAGTCCTCATTATATCTACGTCAGGCGACTCTCCTGACCAAGCCCTCAATGTTCGAATAGACAACCGCACTAGAACGGTCCAGTTGTGTGGTGGAACAAGACACCACCCACCGGTATTGGCATATTGTAATCGACTAAGCACAGCCGCAATGATCTGAATGGACGCGCCAAAAGTGCATCTCATGATATTCCAGATCCATTCATGGCGAAAATGATACCACAGATTAGGGATGAGAATGGCATAGCTCTCGAGGGCTTTCTGGGAATGATCAAAGATATCCCGGAAGAGCCGAGTGTTGTTTTGGAGATATCCCGGAAGGGAATTACAGTGGACTGCAAGATAGAGGATGGGGCGGTAGATTTTCTCAAGGCAAAGGAAATAGCGGCCGTAGACGAGAAATTCTAGGTCTTCGTTATCGGGGTTTGAAGGGGGGGAGGCCATTTCGTGACAATTGGTACCTAAAATCGGTCAGCGAATCAACAAACAACGGCCAGCAAGAAGAAAGGGAGGTATTTACCAAGAGTAAACAACATTAACGGCCTCGGCATTTTTCTCGACGACACTGTCGATGTTATTGACCCACTCTTGCTCGCCGCAGCGCCACAAGTCTATGAGCATGTCGTTCACCGTACGGCGATTGCAAATTGATCCAATGTAGAATCTCCATCCCTTCTCCTCTTCTGTGCCGCTAATCTCTGATTGCGGTGATGCGTCTCTGCCTTCATCCATTGCATCCTCCGGGGAAGTCGATGTCGACGTACTCGTCCGTGGAAACGTTGGGAATTGCGCTGAGTATCCGAGACTTTTAAGCCCACTGCTCCAGAGTGGAAGCTCGCTCTGCGTTTCACTGTTACTGATTAGACAGTTCCCATGTAGTCATCGATGAAGAAAAGGGTGGGAGCATACTGCTCTGCCTGTATACAGGACCAGTATAGGCGAGATTCGAGATTATTATAGTTGACATCAGCTACCCATTGCCCTCTACGCATGGTTAGCAGACGGACCTCTAGCCTGCAGGAAGCTTGCTGAAAGCAAAACCAGGCCTGTAAGGGTCTCATGAGATGTCTGTGATAAGATCCCGCGAGAAGAAAGCATTGTATGTCAGTCGGTGATGTGTGCAATGACCCCAGCCGTTGTTTTGCAGCATGGAAGTATGCCTCGGCAAGCTCAATACTAGCACCCGACTGAGGCGGCGTAGGCATACGATCAAGATTGGCTGGAAATTCACCCAACGGGATAAATATTGATGTGCAGCATGCCAGGGCACAGGCCATTAGCTATTGGTTTTTTGAAATGGAAGTACTTAGCATTCATGCTTGGCTAGTACTAGGAAATATGTTGACAGATAGAAAATGAACTCGGACTCACCACTTGGCAGGACGGGCCGTCCCACCCTAGGCCTTGGATTGTTACTTCGCGAGCATAACGCTCAAGTTTTTCAACATCAACAATAGGATTTCGCCGATGGACCAGCCGTATGTATTTTCGACAAAGGTGTTGGATATCATCTAAGAAAGAACCAACTCCTAATGTCCGGGGAGGCGGAATGGGGGGCTCAGATTGGTTCTCTAATGAGTCGAGCAAAAAGGACCGAATATTCTTTTCCGCATCGGTGATAACATTGTTGTATATCGGCCAGCGAAGCATGTATTCCGCAGAGTTAGCCGCATACAAGGTCAGGGGATCGTGGTCCCCGGCTCGATCTTCAATAGCGGCAGTGTCTCCCCGGTTATTGTGGCCAGGAGAAGCATCTGTCAGGGGACTCGAGTTTTGCACAGCCACCCCAAAGAAAGAGCCCCTGGCTGATTTATTAGAGGAAGACACTGACCCCCCCCACCCTGCTTGATATCTTCCAGCAACGAGGTAATATGGCCTAGCCGCTGCAGGATCTCATGATTGGAGGTCTCGAAGTTGGTTCTATACCACGAAGATGTTAGCAAAGGGGTGAATGCCTTGTCACAAAAGCTTAATTTCCGTAGAATGTTTGACTCACTGGGTTGGATGCGACGAGGTCTCGGGGAAGATGCACTCGACTCCCTGTATCGCACAGTAGCTACAGATTGGTCTCGCATTGTCACACCGGGTCTTGCGCAAGCGGCAGGTTTGACAAGCTGTCGGAGCGCGTGTCCGACTCTCGCGTTTCCTGGAAAACTTTGAATCCAGGTCCATGGCTTTGTGATAGCGGTTCTCCTTTGAGGATACGTCTGAAGCAGCTCGGGGAGCATCGGGGAGACAGAGAGGAGATGGCGGACTCAAGTGCGGGTCGTGGATAACCAGGGAGAGTTTAAGGATAGAGCCTTGGGGCTATAGTCCGGCTATAGTCCGGGACACTAGCGAGAAGACACCGAGCTAGACAGACTGGACAAAGAACCTGCGAAGTTAATCCTTGGAAGACCAGTTCGTGGATGGATTGCCGGCTGTGGCGTGTTCGGTTGAAGTTAAACGCTGCTCCGAGCCAAAGAAAAGTGCACAAGTTTAGATGAGGGTTACAGCTCCTTTTTGCAGATCTAATTTCTAGGGCAAGGCTTCGAATTTTCTGATTGGGGAATCTTTGCTTGCTTCACTCGGGCCCTTCGTATAGTTCGTGGTGGTCCCCTCCCCCCCATATGGTGGGGAGGTTGGAGCTGCAGAGCTGCGCCTTTCACGCCCCAAGACCTACCGCGGCCAATTGAGGCGCGAGGCTGTTTTTGCGTCACCTGCAGCAACTTTGCGGTGCCAATGGACGAATAGGAGGGATTGATCTGGCGTATGGCCGGGATAGGATGTCTTAGGTCAAAAAACCTGAGTCATTTTCTGGATATCGTCACTCGAGGCCAGATTCCGGGATACCCCGGATAGGGATTGGATGGATGTAGGAAAAGGGGTATGATATACTGGACACTGAACGCCCCCATGAGAGACACACAGGGTCGTAGCTCGTATAGGCGAAAGCCCGCAGAGTCAAAGAATAGCAAGGCGCGCCCGCTTCTTTGATGGATCTAATTTAAGTTCACTGGGACCAAATTACCAGACGCAATTTTTTCGGAGCGTAAGAAGTACCCAGCTATATTTTTTTCCTGAAATGAGGAGATTAACTCGCATTTCAAACATCCTCTTTTTTCGCTTACGATCGAGAGAGCTAAGTATAGCTTGGTACCTTTTTGACAAGCTAGCCATCTTGTGGTGAAATGCTAAGCCTTGATCTGATTCGAATTATTTTCCAAGTGTAGAGGCACTCGACAAGGCAGGCTTCCTGGTCATTTTGACAATCTGACACGAGTTCAACTTTTTGCTTCGTTTCGCACACTTCACGTTTGAAGTAGAGATCAATTGAGTGACGACTGACTGGGGAGACAAAACAACGCTAGTAGTGAATGGTCTCTCATCAGTGCCTTTGATTTTTCAAGTTAGCAAATTGAAATAGAATAAGACTAGTATTCGGATGATTCATATGGCCTATGAATCATTTCCCCAAGGATCTCGGATCGTTTACAACGCTACTTACGCTATCGCTAGCGCCCCACGGGATCCTCTCGTTGCGGGTCCTTCGAGTAGCGCCGATTGATATCGATCAGGTTAGTAAGACTTCGGCTGGTGTGCCTGTCAAATTTCAAATTGTGCGGAGAAAGATAGGACTCTCGCAAGTTTAAAGTCGCTGTTTTATTGCATGCAAGCCTTTGCACTTCCCACTGTCAGCACACCTGATTTTTCAGATGCATTTTCCAGATGCAGCTCATGGGTGAATCAGGACTATACTCGTCATGTGCATGCCATGTGGCGATCGATCAGTCGAGGGCGGAGATAAAAAACGAGGCTGCATGCGGCTTGACTCAGCAGACTGTGAAGACTTGGCAAGCCGGGATCTTTACAAGGCTGCGACGTATTCAAGTTTAAATATAGCTGTAATAATATTTCCGTATGTGGGTATTAATAAAATAGAGATAAATGATTACCCTGGGCCAAGTGTTCCAGGGTACTTCGCTAATTAAATGCAAACCCACTCTTTGAAGGTTGTATATACCTACCCATGACACAGTATGCTCCAAAACAGACCGTGTAGGGCGGAAGCAAGAAATGACTCCTCTACTGACGAAGAGTGCTCATCTCTTGTGGCGGGGTATCTTTGTGGGTATCAGACGACATTTCATATGAAGGCTCATACATGTTTTGTTGGCCATAATCGTGGTTGACGGGCATGTATCCTGGTTGCGGCTGAGGCGCTGAGGGGCCGGAATGCGATGACATCCCTCTATCAGCCGCAGCCGCAGCGGCTTCCTTTCTGGCGGTGTTTCTTCTCACTAGATAGATGAGGTACAAGACACCGAGTAACAGAGGAACGCCGAGGCCGACACCAACACCGATACCAGCCTTGGCACCCGGCGAAAGCCCTGCACTAGAGTTGAAGTCTGATGCCTTGCTCGTTGAGGTGCTTGTGCTTGTGCGAGAGGTTGTTGGGGATGAGGACGTGGTTGTAGTTGCGAAGTCGGCTTCTTTCCAGCGGATGGAGATACCCTTGGCGTTTACGCCGTAGGAACCGCCGTAGGAAGTGACGACATTTCCTTGGGTGTAGGTGTATTCGGCACCGGTATCGGTGTTAGACGAGGAGCATTGGTTTGTAGCGTACCAGTAGGCGTCAGTCCCTGTTTGCGCATTATAGCCCCTGCACGCTCAATAGTTAGACAAAGCAAAGGAGGAGAGGTTCTAGTCAAGGGAGATCTACATACTGGGGACAGCATGTTGCAGCGGTGACGACTTCGTTATCAACTGCAAGACTAGTTTGACCAGCAGCGGTGTAGCCATCCGGACAGATTCCAGGAGAAAAGTAAGCCGAGCCGGTTGCATAGTTTGATGGCAGGCAGTCTTTCCAGACTGAGGGACCGAGGCTCAGATACCACTCGACATCGGCATCTGTTGCGGTCACTTGAGGCGAATTCGCCAAATTGGAGCTTTCATAGTACCACCAGCCATAGCTTTCTGTAGTACAAGAGGGTGCCGGCGTAAATGTTGTAGTTAATGCGCCAACCGACATGTTGGCAACCAGGCGCAACCTTTGAGGTAGCAACACCCAGCGCGATTGAAACGAAGAACAACCGGCGAAACAACAAATTACCGTCAGCAGCAGGATTTTCAAGGAGCGAATCGTCTACTCTTCTACTAATAAAAGGGGCTGTAAAATTAACTCAAGCAATGCTCAGCACTAGATCAATTGTGGGAAGAAACTGCGCTGATCCCGTGGGGTCCAAAACCTTCACGAGGCTGATAGTGGTGGAAATAGTGCTGCATTGAGCGTATCAAATGAAAGAAGGAGACGCCTAGCTACGAGTAGCCAGAGTGGGCGTAAAAATAGAACCCCAAACTGTTTCGTTGCTGCGCCATGTGGAAAGCGTGCATGTTTAGTGTCATAGAGTTAGCACAGTGGCTGCTGTCTGGGCTAAAGCATATCGGTCCCAATCGAGTGATCCACCACGTGCCTAGGGTCTTTTCATGAGCTGACTTCCACCACTATTACCGAAGACATTCAAATCGCCGGTAGTGAAGTACCGATCAGGTTGGTGGTAAATCATGAGCCGGTGTGGATCGGAGCTAGTGAGCACTGAGCAGTGCTAAACCTTGGAGATGTTACTTAACTACACTGAAAATTCAGGAGGATGTTGACCATTTCTAGGATGGTTTACAGCTACTGGAATAATTATGAAGTTCAAAAGGACTGACTGAGTGACAAGATGATCAAAAATAAAGTAATTAAAAAGAAAACAAAAAAAAGGCCCGAGCCCGGGATCGAACCGGGGACCTCGCGCAGTCAATGCTTTGGGTGAACCCTAAGCGCGAATCATACCACTAGACCACCCGGGCACTTGATGTTTTGTTATCAAAATTATGACTATATCAAATAATTTAAAATGATAAGGCAAAAAAAAGCAAAAAAGGGCCAGGCCCAAGTTTGACAGGGCTTTGTTCAACATTAGTCCCCCAAACAGTAGATTATGCTAAGAACCGTAGCAAGAGGGCACAATTGAATACTATTTATTTAAAGAAGAACATACCTACTAGACCTTAGGCAATTAATATTCTAATCTAAAAGGAACACTCGGATGATCACAATATATACTAATAGATTCTCAGGCTCTGCTGAATATAGTAGTAGATGTAACGAATCATGTGTTTATACCTGAATGCCTAGGTGCCTAGGTGCCTAGGGCATTACATCTGTATCTGGTATCAGCATGTAGCTTCTTCCTCTTCTTCTATTTCTTCCCATATTTAGTATTTTCGTCAATGCCACTACTTTGTCGCTCCATACACGACGTGCTATTTAGTCATCGTACCTGGGCGCCTCACAGTAGAGGCACTAGTAGCCCTAACAGGAATATAGGCAGCATACCACTACTAAGAAGCTACCAAATACCAATAGTACTGTACTACTATAATACCAGATGAATACTAATTGGATGAGACGGCAGTACAACTATACCCAATAAGTATTTTCCATATGTCAGGATGCTCAGGTACGAGAAGACCAAGATGCAACGAATAAAAACCAGACAGAGTATAGTAACGGTTGATGAAAGCAAAAGGCTTGGAGAGAAGAGAAAGAATAATAGAAAGCAAGAACTGGGTACAGATGAATAGTGCGGATACCTAGGTGCAAGGCGCCAAGACGCAAGGCAACCAAGCAACCAAGGTTAAAACCAGGGTTCATTGCATCATTCCCCTTTTTAAAAAAGTCAGCATCTAGATGCTTGATATTCTTCATAATCTAGGGCACCAATTTACATCCTATCACCATCAGTATTACTATTGCGTTGCTGAAACGGTCACCAGTGCCAGAGGGTTAGCGCGAACTGTAAGTGCCGAAGCCACCATCAGAGCTACCACCAGTGCCATAATTTGCGAGTTGCTGAATGATTCGAATAAATTCGGTGTAAACATGGGAAATACCGAGCCGTTTATTAAGTTATTTGCAGGTGTTACCAAGTAAGAATAAGGCCTAGCCAGGCCTTTCGAAAACGGAGATCTCGGTCACATCCCGCCGACGTTCAGACAGAGGCTTGGAGCGTCGAGTGTAAGTAAGCCAATCAAGAAGTCCAGATGAGTTGATTGGGTTCGAGATAGGAATAAGCTTAGAGCGGGCTGGTTTGCACTTGGTGCTCTCAGTGATCAATATTGAACTTAAGCGAGGAGCTTAGAATAGACTCGGAACGACTGGCTTGAGACAGATAAACTTACACTTGTTGCTGGGGTAAGCTGATCGGAGTCTAGAGCGCCTTAAGGGTGACATAAAGCTAATCGAGATAGATGTCGAAAAGGCGAAAAGAAAAAGCGATAAGACAGAGTGATGAATGGATGAGGAAGGGACTGGGCAATGTAGATAGCCTCACTGCGGCCAACAACGAGATACACACAATATCCGTGCACATGCAATTTACGCGATATCTGGAGAGGTGAAACTAACAGAGGATATCAAATGTGATATTTTGCACACAGTTTACCGAGTTAATTCCGTGTCAGGGTGTGCCACTACGACGCTCAGGGCTGGAGCGAAGACATTTTATTAATATGTGAGGATGCTCAGTTGTGCGAAGGCCAAGATACGAATAATACGAATCAGGTAACCTGTAGTAGCGGTTCGATGAGAGGAGGGGGGGGGAAGCAAGAACAGATAAATTGTGCGAATGGCAAGACAATAACAAAGGTAACGAGGGTTTGTTACACTGTGTGGCCCATTTCGGCCGGGTTGCAAGTACCTTCATTGAGTCACATTTTCTCGTGTCTCCCGCTTTATCACTTAGGCCGGATCTTCAAAAAAGCTTCCTGCTGGTTGAGGCCGTACAACTTGACCCAAATCGAGAATAAAAAAGAATCGTCTCTTTCGTAACGCCCATGTCGAGGAACCGTCCCGACGAAACCAGAGGTGGAGCCACGGGATTTCCCAGTACCAGTTGTCACTTCGTTTGGTTTACGGAATACTATATCTCAAAGTTGGATGCTGTCGTCATTGGCGCTATACTCTACAATTTAACCCTTGTATTAATCACTCAATGGGGTAAATAAAATTTTGGATAATTTCAAAAATGTATTCTATATATAGCATAGAAGAGAGTCGCTTGGTCTATTAAAAAGATAGCAGTCCAAAAAAATCTCCACAATACAATCATTTTAATCTAGGCATAACCTGAGAGCCTAGTTAAGAAATATTTAGTCACTAAATCTATCTGAATACTATTTCCAAGGTTAATCACTTGATTAGGTTTAATTCCCTTTTAGGTATAGGAGGTCCTACCTGATTATGTGTTTATCGATCTTTCTCTTTTTTCTTTATCCTTACTCTACTAAAACAGGCAAAATTAGATTTTGATTACAAGGATCTTAGACATCAATCGCCCGGATGGTCTAGTGGTATGATTCGCGCTTTGGGAAGCTAAATTGTGCGAGGTCTCCGGTTCAATCCCGGATTCGGGCCTTTTTTGTTTTCTTCTGTTACTATATGAAACTATGATTATATATATATAATTAGAGATCGGATTATTAATCGCCCGGATGGTCTAGTGGTATGATTCGCGCTTTGGGAAACTAAATTGTGCGAGGTCTCCGGTTCAATCCCGGATTCGGGCCTCTTTTTTTTTTTTTATGCCTTAGCTTTCACTCTATTATTGGCAAAGTTGAAATCCAATCTTGGCCTTTGCATTCTGGACACATAATCCTGACCGATCAATATGACTTTTTCTTTTCTTGACCAACCTTTACTCCTATGAATAACCCCTGGGTAGACTCCGAACACCATTCAAACCCTTGCTGGCGCTAATGTATCAACTGACCACATTGTCGAGGATTCTAACATTCAGTCCCAAGGCCACCCACACGGCCATGGGCTTCCTATTCGTGCCATAGTACCGCTGGAAGATACGGATCTTCCTTATCCTCACCTGGCTACGTGAGGATATGGCAGTAAGCCTACCTAGGTAGGCGACTGCTGGACAGTGTGGCCTCCACAGAGGCATTAGACGTCGGGAGGGATATGATACTACCACCAAAGTACTGGATGCACGGGCGAAAACTAGAGACCTTAGCGGGCTCCAATTTGAAGGTTCCAAGGTCATTAATACTACCATACTACTAGCTACGGTCTGCAGAGGTGACACTTGAAATGAGAAATCGCCGATCGTGGTTCGGAAGACTAGAGCTAGCAAAAAGAAATCGCAGAGAGCCCAGTATCACAGTGACATATCCATCCACTTGAATCATAACTATCGCTTGGATGTGAAAACAAACACCAAGAGATGGTCGTTGAAGGAAAAGAGATACATGTACAAAAGTCGAGCCTAACATTCAAGTTCATGCACGCCTAAAAACACAGGAAAACCAACGCCGAGGAAAATGCTGAGGAAGTGAGCCGAAGCTTTGTAGCAAGACGGCGTTTCAATTGTCACTACCGAACTCTCCTCGTGGGTTTCTTCGGGAGCACCTCGCCCAGTTCGGACCAAGCGTCTTCAAAAACGGTCTTCCGCGGGCCGATTTGTCCCTCGTAGAAGTTCAGCTTGCGGACAACTTCCATTGCACCGGTACCCAGTCCCATGGTCTTGCCCATAATAATACACTCAGAGACACCCTCAATGAGATCGGTACGACCGGCACCACCGGCGTCAAACAGGTGATCTGCGGTCTTCTCGAACGAGGCGAGTTGAAGAACGGAGTCACGCATCTTGGCCAGACCGAAACGGGTAATACCCAGTACCTCACCCTTGTAGGTCATGACATCAGCCAGAAGTTGCATGTGACGAGGATCAATGTCCATGTCCTTCATGACCTCACTGATCTCAGTGACGATAGTGCTTCTCGCAGCTTCGATACCAAGGACCTGACGGGCCTCCATGACATTGTTGGTTGTGGTTCGGAGACCGTCAACACCCACTGTAGTCATACACTCTCGTAGACCGTAGCCTTCAACCAACAGGGTATTGGTGGTGGACGTCTCATCTGTTCGGATGATAGCACGATAGGCACGTGGATGACCAAGGATTTGGATACTGGGCAAGAGACGCTTAAGATGCTTCAGACGTAGGAAGGGGTCAGCACTGGTAGCTGCAATCTCAGTCTTCGACAAGTCATTTTTGCTGGACGGATCCAGGTCAATGGTGACCTTGATGGATCGCCCAGTGGTACTGAACTTGAGGTCACTGCCCTTGAATCGCTTGTGGTTCTTAATCGCAGCAACGATCTGGGGCATACGAAGCTCAAGCTGTAGATCATTGATTGTTTTGAAGTTGATCCTGGCCTTGACGTAAGCCTCGTTTCCGTTCCAATTCTCAGTAACCGAGTGAATGATATCCCGTAGATAAGTCTTCTCAATTCGGCCCTTGACAATACGAGCTGCAGCAATGCTGTCCTTGGTGACTAGTTCGCAAGCAACAACAGGAGTACTGATCTCCTTGGAAGCGTTGATAATTTCCTTAATACGGGGCACACCCTGAGTGATACTCATACCGGCGACACCGGCGAAATGGAAAGTTTTCAAGGTCATCTGCGTACCGGGCTCACCGATAGACTGGGCACCAACGGCACCGACTGCATGACCAGGCTCGACTTGCGCTCTCTTGTACTTCAGCAAACAGGCCGTGATGAAGGCCTTGAGAGTAGTCTCTGTCAACTTGCCAGTGTGGTCCAAGCCCTTCCGGCTCCTCTCGTCTGATGGATCAAAGTCACCACCACGAGAGATAAGCCTGTCAGCCTTGGTTTGGACATATTGTTGGATAGAATCAAGGAAGTCGCGAGCACTCTCAAATTGGTCAATGCCATTGTCGCTGCGATCCATATAGCCAAGTTGATTGCCCATCAAGTCCTTACGGACAAGCTTAGCGCGTTCCCTTGAGAGCATCTCCTCACACACTTCCATGATTTCGTTAGGCAACAAGCTTCGTTCGTCGTTATTGTAGGTTGTGGACTCGGAGTGGATGAAAGTGCGATCGAAGTGGACAGGCTTGGCTTTACCCTCCATATCAACCGGGTCCAACTTATCATCACCGTACTGAAATTGGACGATGGCAGAGGACGAGTTTCGAACAGTGTCGTCGTACTGCGACGAGAGATCTTCAAGAGACTTCATCAATCGCCGGGACATGTAACCAGTTTCAGCAGTCTTGACAGCCGTATCAACCAGACCTTCACGACCAGACATAGCGTGGAAAATGAATTCCGTGGGTTCGAGACCCGAGAAGAAACTGTTTCGAACGAATCCCTTTGAGGGGGGCTGACGGGCATTTTTGGGGAAATGAGGCAGAGTTCGGTCCTGGAAACCATCCAGAACACGTTGTCCACCGATAATTTGTTGACCGACAAGGGCAACCATTTGTGAGACGTTGATACTGGAACCCTTGGATCCAGAAGTGGCCATGATCAAGGGGGAATTGTATTTGCTGAGCTGCGCGATACATTCGTCACCAGCCTGTTGACGGACCTTACTCAGGATACCGGACAGCTGGTTTTCCATAGTTTGCAACTCGTCACAGCCAGGATACTTCTCCAACGTACCGGCCTTGTACTTGGCAATAACTTCGTCACAAGCAGCGTAAGCAGTTTCAACCAAATCATTCTTTGACTGAACCAGTTGCTCACTAGGATAAACATCGGTGATACCAATAGAGAATCCCATGTTAGTGAACCAGCGCGCAGACAGTTTAGACAGACGGTTCATGCCCTCGGCAGCTGCAGGGGGGCCGAAATCACGAAGCATAATGTAGAAAACATTGTCCTTTTTTCCGGAACCGATGGTGGACTTATCCATGACACCGCACATAACCTCAGAATTGCGAATGACTAGCCAAGCATCATGCGGATCAAGGTCCTTTGGTCGGCCATCTTTGGGTTGCTTAAATTGACGGCATGCAGCGTCGAGGTTAACGAGAACAGGATCATCGGTATTGGGACGCATCATAATATTGAAGACCTGCTTACCCGTCCAAAGCGCCTGAGGCTTCAGAACCGCTGGCGGAGGCAAGTCAAAACGTGTTTGTGGGCCCAGCATGTAAAGGCAGATCTGCGTGAATGAGCCACGGTCGTAGAAGTTGTCCTTGCTACTGAGAAGGAAAGCAGCACTGATAAAATCCTGGATAGCAGAAATGATAGGCTCGCCGTTCTTAGGCGTGGCCAAGTTGTTCTTCACACCCATCAACTCCATAGCCTCTGCTCTGGCTTCCTCTGTCTGTGGGACGTGCAAGTTCATCTCATCACCATCAAAATCGGCATTGTAAGGGTTACAAACACACTCGTTGAGTCGGAAAGTTCGATGCGGTCGGACTCTAGCAAAATGGGAAAGAATACTGAGCTTGTGCAGCGAGGGCTGTCGATTGAAGAGAACGATATCACCGTCCTCAATATGACGCTCCACCTTATCACCTTCTTGCAGCTCACTAGCCATATGTTTGAGGCTACCATACTTCAGCATGGTTCTGAACGTGGATCCCTTTTTGTACAGATAGTTGGCGCCGGGCCACTTGGTAGACCCATTACGCACTCGTTCTCGTAGCTTTTCGATGTTGTATCGAGTGACTACCTCAGGGTAAGTCATGTTCTTCGCCACCAGTTCTGGGACGGCGACCTCGTCAACTCGAAGATTAGGGTCGGGCGAAATTACCGTACGGCCGGAGAAATCGACACGTTTTCCAGACAAGTTACCACGGAATCGACCTTGTTTACCCTTGAGTCGTTGAACGAAACCGCGAATAGGTTTTCCGAGATCCGCCTTGTTGAGACCGGGCACATCGCTGTTAATGTAGACTGCGATTTGAAGTTGCATATAGTCCCAACATTCCACAATGGTCTGCACTGGCGCACCCTTGAGGAGAGCGTTTTTGAGGTTGATATTGCTCTGGACGATATCACCGAGCTTGGCAGTCAAATCATCTTCAGTCGAGGCTGCATCTTGGCCGACGGAGGGACGAATGCAGACGGGAGGAGCTGGGATAAACTGCCAAAGGAACATTTCCGGTCGTGCTTCTTTCGGGTCAAGACCGATCAGCTCGCAGTCACTGTCAGATATCTTCTTGAACAGTTTGAGAACACGGAGCGCATTCAGATCGTCTTGTGCCTTCTTGAAATGCTTCTCGACCTCAGGGTTCACGTGTCGTGCCTCGGAAAAGGAGTCATCAAAAACTTGCTTGCTCAGTGGGGGCTGCTTCTTCACGGAGGTTGATGCATTGAATGCGCGGAACTTGTCGTGAGTGATCTTCAACGCACTCGAGCCGACCTTCTTCACAACACCGTTGATCGCGTTACAATGTTCACACTCCCGAGTCTTTCGGCATCGCTCATTAATTCTCTTCGCAATTTGTGTTCGTCGTAGGTTGTCTAGACCGGGTCGTCGCATCTCGCGCAAGAAAGAGCGCCTTTCCGCCTCCGGAAGCAAAATGCGAGAGCATTCCTTGCAAATTTCCTGAAGCACACTAATAACACGCTTGAAATAACCGACGTGAAATGCCGGCAAGACCAGTCGTACATGACCAAAGTGACCATTGCATTCCTTGAGGTGATAGCCACAAGTTTGACAGGTTGAGGTCTTGTTCGAAATACCCATGCGCGCATCGAGAGGGCCATGGGCAACGACCGCGCGGTCACGGTCGAGGTCGAAAAACTTTCTATCGGAGACTTCGACAACGGCTTGGCCGACAATATCATCATTTGTCCTGCAGAGACGCCGTATGTTAGTGATCGTTTCCGCGCTAGCCAAAGCAGTCTAGCTCGGCCTTCGGAATAAGAATGGGAACCCCGTACAATACGCCGAATTTTAGCTCCTTGATCACTTTGGGAACACGGTCAATGACCTGGGCCTTGCCCAGATCAATCTGTGCACCCTCTGAAGGCTGCATCGCGCCGTTGTCAACGGTGGGACATGGCAGGGTGACTCAAGGCAATGCGATCGACACGAGCGGCTCTCAGCCACAACTTCGTAAGGCGGGTAGCACTAATGAATCTGAGCTTCGGGTTACCGAGAAGAGACAGAATAGAAGGGAGCGAATAATATCCGAACGAGGACAGAGAGAAGAAATGTGAATGGGGCTGGGAGAGGAATTGGAGAGAAGCAGCGTATGGCGGGGCGGTCCCACGAACTTTTTTTCTGCTGTGTCTGACCGCCCGATTATACTCATACTACTTCCATCAGGAAGGTAGGTGACGACCATATAGAAACTTGAAACTAGTATTGTTGATGTTGTACAGGTGATATTTTGGTAATATGCTATATGTTATACACAATTATTTAGAAAGGAAAGCTTGGAATGCCTTCTGCTCGATGACCACATTTCCAACGGCTCGGAGCCTCTTACGACCTTCCTTCTGCTTCTCCAATAGCTTCCGACGGCGACTCACATCACTGGCGTGAAGCTTGGCCAGAACGTCCTTGCGGTAGGGTTTGATGGTCTCACGCGCGATGATCTTCTTGCCCACGGCAGCTTGAATGACAATTTCGAACAGCTGTCGGTCGACGTGTTGCTTGAACTTGGTTACCCATATCCTGCCTTGACGGGCCACTTGGCTCATGTGCATGAGGCGGGATACGGCATCAACGGGAACCTTGTTGACCAAGAGCTGGAGCTTGACGATATTGCCGGCCCTCCAAGCAGATTCTTCGTAGTCGAGACTGGCATATCCTTTGGTAGAGCCCTTCAGTTTGCCAAAGAAGTCATCGACCAAATGCGCCAAGGGCAGTTCATATTTCATAATGACCTGGCTCGCGGTGAAATATTCGATACTTTGCTGTTCGCCTCGATTGGCTTCGCAGAGCTCAATGACTCTGCCGAGATATTCATCAGGGAAAGTCAAAGTAGCTAGCACATATGGCTCTTGAACCTCGGCAAGCTTTAAACGCACGCTATCATCGTCGGGGAACTTGGCTGGGTTGGTGATGATTTCCTCGGTACCATCCTTCCATATCACCTTGACTGGTACGGATGGCGGAGTGATGATGATACTCGCACCGTGCTCTTGTCGGAGTCGATCCTCAAATACTGAGCAGTGAAGGGTACCCAGAAATCCCATGCGGAACCCTGCACCGAGCGCTTCGGAGGACTCCTTTTGAACCGTAATACTGCGGTCATTCAGGATGAGCTGGTTAACACTGTCTTCGAGATGCTCGAAAAGATCCTGGTTCATAGGATAAACTGCGACAAAGACCATTGACTTCGGCTCCTCAAAACCAGGTAAAGCCTCCACCGTCTTCTCAAACCCAACTCTTGTGAAGGTGTCGCCGATCTTGGCCTCCTGACTTCGCTTCATACCGGGGTTGAAGTAAATATATCCGACCTGCCCGGCCCGGAGAACAGATTGTGCGGTCTCAGTGGGGTACATAATTCCAACCTCGCCGACGTAGTACTTCAGGCCCGTTACGAATGACACGAGTTGCTGACCTGCACGCACCTCGCCATCGAAAACACGAACCAGGAGAATCACACCCTTATAAGAATCGTACCAGGAGTCAACAAGCAGCATTCGAAGGGGTTTCTTGGAGTCGCCAATAGGTCTAGATGAGGTTTTAGTAAAGAGTGTCTCAAGTTAAAGCCAGGTCTTCAAGGCAAGGAGACATACGCCGGGATCTTCTCAACGACAGTTGGTAAAATGGCCGCAACATTCAATCCGGTCTTGGCCGACACCCTCACTGCATTTTCCGTATCCAGCTCAAAGGTGCTCTTCATTTGATCCAAAGCCCGCTCTGGATCCGCCGACGGGAGGTCGACCTTGTTGATAACGGGGATCAACTCCAATCCTTGCGCAAAGGCCAGGTAGAAGTTGGCAACTGTTTGCGCCTGAACACCCTGACTAGCATCAACTAGAAGGATTGCTCCCCCACAGCTGGCATAACTACGCGATACCTCAGCACGGAAGTCGACATGCCCAGGCGTATCTACCAGGTGCAACAAATAGTCTTCGCCCTTGTGGTTGTAGATCATGGTACATGTCTGTGCCTTGACAGTGATACCCCGTTCGCGCTCAACGTCCAGTTTATCCAGCACTTGCTTATTCATTCCGGGCTGGATGGTCCCCGTAATCTCGAGCAATCGGTCGGAGAGTGTGCTTTTGCCATGATCGACGTGTGCAACGATGCAGAAGTTGCGGAATCGGTCAATGGGGATATCGGCGATGCGGCGTTCGAGGTCGATATCCGGGGCGCTCGGAGCAGCCTTCGATCGGGCGCGCCATGGTGCAGATGTCGTGAAAGATCGTAGGGAATTAATAGACCGGAGTGGAAAGCCAGCCGACGACTTGAGGCCCGCCGCCGGATATCTCGGCGCTGCGCTCAGCCATCGGGCTAACTGCAGGCATCCTCGCATCAGGATTCGTGCAGTGGCATGGAAAGCGAAAGATCGCCTGTGTGAATTGACAGTGAGTGCAATTTCACGAGTGTCGCAATAAATGCAAGCTCAAGTCAGTCGAGTTGCGGAGACAAAAAAACGGGCGCGCGGGCGGTCTGCGAACTCCGATCGATCGCTGCGGCGACTATCGAACATAAACAAACCCACTTCCAATCTCTCCCATTGCATTGCTCCTCCGTTGCTGTACGCTTCGTCCGATATCACCATGCCTGAGACGAAAGACAAGTCCAAGGTTCACAAGCTGTCCATCAGAGGTTTGTGAATGACTGCCGGTTATTTTGTGACATGGGGATCCTCAGAACTAACAGTACCACAGGATCGGCCAAGCTTGTGTCTGAATTCGTGAGTCGCATTTCTCTCTCCCCTCTCGACAAATATGAGTACTTATGCAGATATAGTTTGAATACTCGATCAACTCGATCCTGTGAGTCATGCAAAAGCATATTCATTTATTGATTGAAGCTCACAACCACCAAAAGTTTCCAGCGAGGGGTTTACCCCCCAGAAGATTTTACAACGTAAGTTCCACCCCTCTTCTCTATGCGAGTGGGGAAAGGAAACTGACATACTCCAGCGTCAAGAAATATGGCCTCAATATGCTCGGTTCGTGTCTCCGAAACCTCTACCTCCGAATTCCTTCCCCGAACGACCGGAACTAATACTCTACCGAAGTGTCCGCCGATGACCAGGTGAAGGCGTATATCAAGAAGATCATGTCGCAATTGAACAAGTGGATGTCGGGTGGAAAGATATCCAAGCTCGTCGTCGTCATCACCGACAAGGAAACCGGCGAGCACGTGGAGCGATGGCAGTTTGATGTATGTCGGTTCAGCCTTTTGAATACCGTCGTTCTCGACCGACTGATTTGCCATTTAGGTCGAAATCTTCAAAAGCTCAAAGAGCTCAAGCTCCCGGAAAACAACAGATAAAGAGAACTCGACTCCTGGGTAAGATATATTCCTCCCATGTTAATCGCTCGTCTTGACTAATTCTGGTTGCCGACTAGGGATGCGGAAGCTCAGCCTGCTGAGCCAGTCGAGAAAACGGAGAAGGAGATTCAAGAAGAGATTCAAGCAATCTTCCGTCAGATCACCGCTTCGGTCACCTTCCTTCCGGTCCTAGATGGAGACTGCACCTTCAATGTTCTTGTCTACGCCGATGCGGATTCGGAGGTACCTGTGGAATGGGGTGACAGTGATGCCAAGGAGATCAAGAATGCCGAAAAGGTGCAGTTGCGAAGCTTCAGCACAAACAATCACCGAGTGGGCACTCTTGTCAGCTACCGACTGGCGGATTAAGCTGTTGGCGCTACTTTATGACTCGATACGAGGATTCTCTATGCATTGGCGTTTGAAGGGGAGTTGTAATGTTAGTCCTTTGGTACAATCAAAGAGAAGGATTGTTAATGAACATTTCATTGATATCTATACATTCGTTATCCCTGTCTGATGTTTCCGTAAAACCAAGGCAGTTCCTTAATTCTTGGGAATAGCTCATTTCTCGCCCCGCCATCCCAACGAAGGAGCTTTTCCACGGCCGGATCTAGCCCTTTGTTAAGAAAAATATCCTTCTCCATCCCAGGAGACCAGCCCCGATTACTGCGCTTCCCTGCTAGCTTTTCACCAACTCCGTAGAGATCTCCTTTCCAGAGGCCAATTCCTTTTGACATCTCTCCTCGTAGCAGTGATTCGAGGGGAGTGATTTCTTCTGGGGGATTGATGCCAATTAAGCCAACGTTATTGCCCCCCCAATTTATCCTCGCCATCGATAGGGAGGGGAAGTAGGCCAATGGCTGGGAGGTGGAAATCCATAAATCTTGCTCTTTTAAAGTCATGGGTAACAATAGTGATCCGCCGAGGCCAAGTACCCACATGAAGACGGAAATGGATGAGAGAGAATAGAATATTCTGATAAGAGTCTGTTGCATGGGGTTCCACTGTGATTTTGGACTCATCAATAGAATATCCGAAGAGCTGATTGTCCTTGCAGAAATTCTGTGAGATCGAAGTCAGCACCTGGGTTCTAAATAGAATCGCACTAGAACTTTTCCACAGGGTAGCCATACGAGATAAGACTGCCCTTCACTGAGTCCCGTTCTTGGTCTTTTCGTTGCGCCTCTGGAAAGATCAGTACTTACTCAACAGCTGAAAGGCATGTCAATCGACCCCAAAGTACGGAGGACATCACATACCCAGAAAATACCAGCAGCCCCCGATCGTCCTCCATCAATGCATTAAGTCCAGCTTTGGCATGGCTCACGAAAGTAGGGGTTTCCCCTTTCTGAAATGGTTCTATTATCCTGAGAGCGGCGAACAAACATCAATAATGATGTCCAGCAAGCTATGACAATAATGCATTCGCATGAACTGACCATTCGTCCTCTGAGTGCCCAGAAAGGGGCCCGCCAATGTAGATGGCATGACAGCAAACAATGATTAGGTGGTCAAGATCCATCACAGTGGCCTGGTGTTCGCAGCTAGTTTGCTCAATTGACTGAGTTGTTGGGTTTAGGATATCAGACCAACCTCGGAAATGGAGCGGGCCGTGGGTGGCGCCAAGAGATATGCCCGCAGATCCCAAGAACTATATCCTTGAAAACATGGATTCTTCAAGCTACTTGCTACTAGACCTGCTTTAAACTTGAAGGATTCCTGCCTGATATTACTAATACTACGTATACACCTAGCTGAGTTTATCTAATTCGAAAATGAGTAGTATTGTTGTAAAATGGGTGTCCCAATTCGGGTAAACATCTTCTTTATACCCTGGTGTTGAACTAATATCTCATACCTCGCATCAAATCACTGAAGTAACCTCGAAAATCCCTCCTCAGGCGGCTGCAACCAATTCCTCCGATCGTATTCCCACCCCTCCGCCCCCTCAATAACATGAAAAGTATACGCAAACCGACTATTCGGACTCGTATTCTTCTCACTCTTATGCAGCACATTCCCATGAATAAGCACCAAAGACCCAGCCTTAATATCCAAAATCTCAAGATCCTCATCACTCGGCCCAGAAACCTTCTCTTCCTCCATACCTTTCGGCAAAGCGGGCCCCGTATTCTCAACAAACTCCGTCCCGGCCCCATCAACCTTCCTCACAAATCGCCTGGTAATATGTCCCCCCTTCGCACCTTTATGCGAACCCTTCCACATCCCCAACGTCGCATTACCAGGCCTAGCATCCTGAAGGGCATACCACCACCCCACCGCAGACGGCGGATCCGTGTACAAGAATTCCGAGTCTCGGTGCGCGGGCACCGCGCCGCCGATCGACGGCTGTTTGAGAATAACCATACTCTGCAGAACGCGCGGGTCCTTGAAGCCGAGGGATTTCGCGACGTCCGCGTTTCGCTGATTGAGCGAGATTGCTTTAAAGGGCGGCGAGAGGGTGTGGAGAGAGTGGCCGATCTTGTTGACGGCTAGGTTCTTTGGTTTGATCAGGGCGGGTCGACCGGTTAGAGGGTCTGGTTCGGTGGTGAAGGCGTCTGGTTCGAAGAAGTAGCGGATTTTGTCGCCGGATGTTAGGAAGTAGTCATCGCCGACGTGGTCGGCGTCATCATCTTCGCCGTCGCCTGTCGTGAATTGGGTGAGTGGGTGGGATTCTAGGGAGAATGTGTCGAGGAGGGTATTTGTTTCTGTGAGGGCGGATGTTATCTCTTCTGGGCTGAGATAGTCTGGTAGGACGAGGTAGCCGTTTTCTTGGAATGAGGTGACCTGCTCTGGGGTGAGGCCGACCATGGTGACGGTGTTCAGGTTGGTGTACTAGTATCACTTGCGAATAGCTGAGGGGGTGGTTGTGTCTTGCGGAGGGGCTAAGTTCTTGAGGTAGCTTTTTGAATGGCGGGGAAGCTGATAAGCGATATCTTTTGGTCGCGGGATTGGCTGGTCCACGACTACAGCGGTGCATGCCCAGATCTAACGAGAACCAATTATAATTATAGTTCATGGTATTGTTTTGCGTAGCCAGCAAGTAGGAATCATCTGGACGATGGGGGAGTTTAAGTGACTACGTACGTCATTAGTAATTTGGAGTAAATAAATATGCTTAATTCAAAGGTATCAACCATGCCCCAAGAGCCCCGGGGTCGTCATTCGAGTGTATACAGACAGGAGACGAAATTGTCAAAAAAAGAAAGAACCCAACGCCACATGTGCCGGATATCCAAGTAAAAGAGTCGAATACACAATCTGAAATCATGGTCGCCAAGACCCGGGATATAAAACATTCAACCGCCCAAAGAACAAAAAACAAAAAAGAGCAAAGCAAAGCAGAACATAGCAATACATGAGTCATAATATGCAATGAGAATCAAATGGCATGAAGAGTATTGGGGGATTTTTTTAACTGGCATAGCCGATCGATGCTGAGGCGCGCGGTGGAGCATATTTCCGAACTGTGCGACTTGGACTGCACGCGACAGAACCGATGTCAATAGACTTCAGTTCCCGGCTAAGTGCGTCCATCCCGGGGTTACCGCTGCTGGGGTTACTAGACGTCACAGGGTAGGAGGGAGCACCGGAAGAAATCGGTACCTTGGACGGTATAGGAGGGCCAGCGTTATAGTCGTACAGCGGAGAACGGGAGCTCGGTGATGGAGACACGGAGCCGCGGTGAGAAGAACGTGGCCGGTCGACTGAGGTCGGGGTACTGTAGCCCCGACCATGGGTGTAGCTATTCGCATAGCTTTCCTGACCACGATCAACTCGCGGGGGCGTTCGGTCTATGGAATCAGAGCTGTGGACGTGGGTGGGAGTGTATCTCTTGGCCGGGCGATCAGCACCGTATGTAGTTGTCTCCGTGCGGAATCCTACACGGGGTGGAGCTGCGGAGCGGGATGCGGTGTCATTTCCTCGAGATGTCGGTCGGTCTCGGGGACTGTGCTTGAATCGAATTATGACCTCTGGTTTCCGGTTCTTTCGCTCTGGCTCGGGTGCCCATGTATCAGTTGGCAAGTGATCCGACGGATCAATCTCACGGCCATCATCACCGATGATAGGCTGGCTCAGGTCTCGAACAGGCTCAATCTCTGCTCGTAGCGCGGCGTCTCGGGCTTGAGAAGGTGAGTCATATGCCGGTACTGGATCGCGGCCAGTGGCCGAGCGTGCAGCATTGGGATTGAAGTTGTTATAGGAGTCGGGGGAGAAGGGAATCGAAGAGCCTCCGCGAGAATCGGAGGATGAAGGTCGTGGGCTCACTGACTTCCGGGTCACCATACGGGTCTCCGTATTGGGGTATTCCCGGCTCGAGATACTAGCTCGGTCGTCCAGTGGCTTCGGAGATGTTCTGAGGGGATAAACCGGGGCATCGTAGGGCGAGGGAGCCCGTGTGTTTGAACGAATGGACCCCGGCGATGGCTGCTGGGTAATCATCATCTCATCATCGACGTGAGTGCTTGGCCTGCGGACTCGGTTTTCAATCACTTGTCGCTCAATAGCGTCCTCACTTTCATACCCAGCAACGAGACTAGGCGGCATAGGCGAAGCATTGGGAGAGTGCCCGGGTGTATAGGGCTTGTAGGGTGATACAGCTTGGCTGACTGGTTGCTGAGGAGATGGGATAGGCTGGGCCATACGAGACCGGTGAACGGGCGGCGGTGGGGGAGGTCCATCTTCATCCTCATCTTCGACACGAGGCTGCATTGTTGCATACTCCGGATGGTACTCATCTTGATGACGCACAGGCTGCAGAGCTCTGCTGTTGTGGGATTGGTATCGGAGATCATCTCCCGGACCAGCAGAAGAGCCGGGTCGAGAGTGATCAGATGGCATGGGGTCATCAACATGAGCATGATGGCGAGGCGTGAAAGTAGAGACATATCCAAATGTTATGGGGTTTGCTGTATACTGGGGTGATATCATGCTATAGGCGTCGTGGGGATGTACTGGCTCTTCATACATTGACCGTCCGCGCATGTCAGTCTCAAACGGTGGCTCACTTGTAGAGCGATAGTCGCGGGAGGGAGGTTGATCAAAGTCAGATTGACTGCGTGGTTGTAATGGTCGTAAATCGTAGGCTGATTCAGCGTACGGCATCTCCTGCGTGTTCCGTCGCACTGTCCCGGCCGGGGGAAGAGCGGGAGCTGAGGTATCCCATTCACGCTGATAATTATCGTGGGCCTCGTAGCCTCCTCGGGGATGCATGGGAGGTGGTTGGTGTTGTGGTTGTGGTTCGTAAGACGGGGCGTCGTAAGCAGGTTCGGGGTGTCGTAAAGGAGCAGGGTGTGAGGCTGGGCCGTCAACCTGTGACATGCTGTGGGCATGCTCACGCATAGCTGGTCGTGACGGTACTGGCTGTTGCAGCGGAGGAGCTGACTGTGGTTTTTCCATTGGCAAAGGGCGAGGAGGGGCGACTCCGGAGGGGTCTGTTGGCAACGGGCGTCGTTTGACTTGGTTTAGTTGTCGAGGACCAGAGAGGCCGGAGCTTGTGATTGCAGCGGGTTTGCCTTGAATTCTCTCTGCAGCTTCTTTCCGTCGTTCGATCACAGCCTCATCTTGTTGTCGAGTATCGTAGTAGGTCATTTCAATTCGGATGTCGCCTGAGTATTTGCCTCGGCATTGTAACGAGTGCCAGTGGTCATTCTGGCTTCCTCCCGGGATAATCAAGTTTTGCAAGTCCACCCATGTCTCTCCGATTAAGTCTGTCTTTTTGTCGTCGTTGAAGACAGACACCTTTAATTTATAGTAGTCAGGAGACTCGTGTACAGTGAAACGCAATTCGTGGTCCCTGTGGTAGGCGAGATTAGCATCATTCAAGAACTCCCAGTTCGCCAAGGCGATAAGCTTACCATCGTGGTGTTTGTCCGCCTCGAAGATCTGTTGGGGTCTTCTTCGCTTCTTTGCCAAGTCGTGCAGCACAATAGGGATTCTGCTTTCCCATGGTTTTGCGATTGGGTAGGTTCTTTGCCCGGTCGATAATGGCGACGAGAGTACCGATGGGGGGTCCATCGACCGACATATCAGCGAAGATGCCGGCGGCATGATTGACTTTGGAGAGTTTCGACATGGTAGCTCTCTTCTAACGCTTGAAACGGTACAAGCGAGAGCTCAATCAATAAGAAGATGGTCGCATCGAAAGTTGTCTCAGGGGAGATCTTAAGAGAGAGAGAGAGAGCAGGGGGGGAGGAGGGGAAAGAAAAAAAGAAAGATAAAGGCCGCCTTATGGAATGACAGATGTGGTATTGCGGTATTGGTGGTGGCTGGGGATGCGGAAGATATCCGGCTTCTGATTGGCCAGTTCCCCTGAATTTGGCGCCTGGACTGGGCGATATGACAATACGTGACCATTTATGACCATACATTGATCGGCGTCATCGATAAACAAGGCCCAAGCTGACGATCATCCCCTCCTTCTCTCCTACTCATGATGCTCGCCATGGCTAGTTTTGCTTCTTTTTGCTTCGTTGGGCTCATGTTTCTACCGACAACTCGTCAGTGGCTCGCGAAATAGATTAACCAGACTCCATTTCATTCTACAGACTACCCAACCCCGACTAGGTATTGAGAATGAGGTGGATCGGCAGCGTCAGCTCCCATGAGTACCCCAGCCACCTCGATCCACCGATCGATACATTCCTGGCGCAGGGCGGGCAATCATTGGCGACTGGTTCACAGATCTGGTAAGCCAATAGTGCGGTGAACCCGGTTTCGTTGTTTCAGCAGAGTCTTTAGCTGTCACCCCACCAGGACGCAGCATACAGCATAGCACTCGCAGTACAAAGTAAACGAAGTACATACTGTACAACACAGCTCTGCCCCGCATTGCCATAACAACCAACCAAACACCTAAACATGCTCCTCGACCGCCACTTGCATCCCCCGATCTTCCTGATGAAACCGATTCTCGCCCTCACCTCCACCGTATATCATTTTCAAATAATTGTCTGAATAGGTGAGACAGATCGAAACGGTGCCACCATCCCCTAAGGAGTAGTATCCCCTACGTCCCCACGTCAGACAATTGGCGGTTGCCTGTATTACTTCACTGCCCCGACCGAGGCCGATTCTGCCGGGCGTCTGGGGCCGAAATCTATTAAAAGGCACACCCCGTCCACAAGAATATGGAAGCCTGTTCAGCTTGGAAAATATCTTGATCTGGGCCGATGGTATGACCATATATCATCGAGATAGGGCGCACAATTTGAAAAGGTCCCAACGACTCGGATCCAGGGAGTGCTTCAGTGCACAGATATTACAGTGGGGTCTCGTTCCGATTTCATACGAGTACGAAGATCATCTTGGCGTCCAGGCCATTCAGGCTTTGCCGTAGCAAGCCATTTCCAAAGACATAGGAATGAAGGCTTCTCGTGTTTCGCTCTTCCTGTGGTATCCCGAAGCGAGCGCTGGCTCGGCGCTGGTTCGCCGCCTTGTCATACATAGTCGGAGATTCCGCAATATAACGAAGTAGCTACTAGAATTCTAAGATATTCAGATTATAATATAAGAGGAGAATATAAAAAAATTCAAAAGGAGGAATAGTTATATTGTCTACGTGTAGCTCGATTCACTATCGTACGGGCTATCTATGGGCGGCAACACGACATTTTGTCCGACATTCCGGCGTATTTATAACCTATAGTTAGCACGACAATGCCTAGGTATGATTGATAGTCTAGTCGGAGGTAGTGGCCGTGATTACATACGGGAATCTCATTTCAATCTATGTGAATTTAGACGTATTCCGCGATGTCGCCCAAGTTTGCCCATAATCCCGCAGGTAACGCCGCGGGATTTTGTTCTCGGCAATATCACGATGCTGAAACTCCGATTGCGAATGTCCGGGATGAACTATATAACCAATAACTGCGAGCATGGTTTTGATGCTTACAATTGAAAAGCAGTTTGTTCTGTTCCGTCCACATCTTTCTTCAAAACTGTTTTCCTGTTGTTCCCAACATGGTCGTCGTTTCCGAGCCTACGGTCTCCAACAATGATATCCTCCAGAAAGTCAAGAACCCGCAGGTGTCCTCCCGCTCCCGAAGCAGATCCTGGATTAAAGGTATCCTATTCCACACGAATCTTGACGACAATGTCTGCAGCCAGAATTATGCCGGCAAAGGTACAAAAGATGATCCATACATTGTCGATTACCTGAACAACGACCATCAAGACGCCATGAATTTTTCCGATAGACGAAAATGGGCCATCACCATTTTCCAGGCTCTATCCACATTTGTGGTGACATTTTCCAGCTCGGTATATGTGAGCGGCATCGGAGGCATCGAGCAGCGCTTTAATGCGTCCGAGGAAGTGGCAACGCTGGGATTATCGCTCTTCGTCTTAGGTTTCGCCATAGGGCCACTGATATGGGCGCCTCTATCAGAAATGTACGGCCGCAAGTCGATATATGTGATTTCGTTCGTGGTTTACACCGCGTTCTGTGTGGCGGCGACCTGTTCGCCCAATATCACGGCCTTGTTGGTTCTTCGCTTCTTTGCCAGCGCCTTTGGTTCGTCGGCGATGACCAATTCTGGGGGCGTCATTGCCGACATGTTCAACAAGACGCAGCGTGGAGTGGCGATGGGGTTGTTTGTCATGGCTCCTTTTTTGGGACCTGCACTTGGTAAGTGGTAGAAGATGTCGTTCTTGCATGTTGCCATTTTTTGCCCTTGTACACTTGCTAAATTGTTTTTAGGGCCTATTGCCGGTGGCTTTCTTGCTGAGAAACAGGGTTGGCGTTGGCCTCTCGGTTTAATCGCCATAATGGCAGGCGTGGTCTCGATTATCACGATGCTGATCACCCCCGAAACATACGCACCGTTCATTCTGCGACGTCGATCTCAGGCCCTCTCCCGGATGACAGGAGGAGTATATGTGTCTCGGATCAATGTGGGAAAGCCACCCATGACCTTCTCGCAAGAGCTCTCAGTCTCTCTCACGCGGCCCTGGATCTTATTGTTCCGCGAACCTCTTGTCTTACTGACGTCGCTGTACGTCGCTATCATCTATGGCACACTATACATGTTCTTTGCCGGGTTTCCAATCGTCTTTCAATATACCAGAGGCTGGAGCCAGGGCATCGCCGGACTTCCGTTTATCGGTGTTGCAATTGGCGTCTGTCTTGCAACGCTAGCGACCGGCGTGGACAACAAACGCTACGTGCGTTTGTGCGAGGAGACTGAAGGAAGAGGAGATGTAGTTGAGCCAGAAGCCAGACTTAATACGGCCATGATAGGATCTTTCGTGGTTCCGATTGGATTGTTCTTGTTTGCGTGGACGACGTATCCATCGGTGCATTGGATTGTACCCATAATCGGCGCCGTCTTCTTCTCGTGTGGACTTGTCATGGTCTTCATCTCGCTTATGAGCTACCTGGTCGACTCTTGTAAGTTTTTGATAATTGCTCCGTGACGTTCTGCTACAATTCAAGTTCTCACCTGCATACAGATACCGTCTATGCTGCTTCTGTTATGGCCGCCAATTCAGTGGTTCGGTCCTTGTTCGGCACGGTGTTTCCGTTGTTTACCACCCAAATGTACGAGAAGCTCGGAAATCAATGGGCAAGCTCCGTTCCTGCGTTTCTTGTTCTTGTGTGCGTGCCTTTCCCGTTTCTCTTCCACAGGTATGGTTCGAAGATACGCAGTAAGTGCAAGTATTCGCTCGAAGCAGCCAAGGTGTTGGAGACGATGAATCGCCGTCAAGGCGCCATGATTGCAGATGAGCCAAATGGATCGGAAATGAAGGTTGAACAGACTGTTTAGATCACATTAAAGAGCGGTTGATTTGCTACGCCCGTACTCACTCCACTCAGTCTGACCAGGTGGATGGCAGAAATTAAATATATTTGTAAAGGATTATTATCATTTTATCTCTAATGTAGCGTAGCATGCACGAAGCGATTGAGAAACTGGGAATGTTAATGGTGGGCCTTATGGCTGAATTCAAGGATTATGCGAGTCTCCGATCGGACCGGAACTTACGGAGTAAATCACCGTGCGTCGAAAGACTTAAAACAAAGCCATTACCCCGTCCGCGCAATTACAAGCCTGCAACAAACGCACTTCTCCGCCCCTGATGAATTCTGGGGCCGAGCCACCAAGGGTATCCGGAGAAGCCGGAAAGCGTGCCCTCAAAGCCAATAAGGCATGTGTGCCCTGCCGTGCACGCAAGACGAAATGTGATGCCGCCGAGATTGGCCTCCCCTGCAGCAGCTGTACCAGCAGGCAGTGTGCCAAGGACTGTGTACTACCGGTCCGTAAGGGTCGGACTAGGTGAGTTGATTACTGATAGGATGGTTCTTAGTTTTTTTCCTTTTTAGGTGTGCTAACTTAGTGGGCTCCAAGGAAATTAAACCATGTGTCACCGATCCCTGGTCATGTACGAGTAGTATGTCATTTTAATGATCGGCAGCGTTCCAATTAAAGTCTCAATCGATCTAATCAATCTAATCACTCGAACAGTCGGCCCAACCTTCGACCCCCAATCCTCTAGATGTCCAAAGCCCTCGTCAGACTGGGCTAGATCTGTTCTATCTCAATATCCTCAACGACGCCGGGGAAAAGACTACAGAGTCAGGTCGACACCACTCCATTCCCAGCACTCCCTACCGTCCAAGCCCGAAAGACAGTTTTAGTCCTCGGAACTGTCTATGGGCCAAGCTGCCTCAATTGGATGACATTGACAGCGAATTTCTCGCCAAGAAGGGTGTCTTTGATCTACCTCCTTCGCACCACCTGTGAGACCAATCTTACATTTCTGCATCTTATTCAGGTTTTCACACTTGCCTCTAATCACTAACAAAACACAACAGAGATTCCCTCGTTAAAACATACTTTGACCATGTCTATCCTTTTGCTCCCGTGATCAACAGAGTTGACTTTATCCGCGGCTATCAATCCGGCGACTGCTCCTTGTTCTTGCTCTATGTCATATTGGCACCGGCCAGTGTCCATGCGCCAGCAGATGTGCTATCTGCCTGTGGTTTTGCTAGCCGCTCGGCCGCACAAGAATTGTTTTACTCCAAGGCCAAACTACTCCACGATTTTTCCGCCGAAGAGGATCCATTGTTGATGCTGCAGGGATCAATAATTTTGTGCATGGTGATTCTAGACCACCCCACTGACCGAGACTTCGGCTACTGGTTCCACAACGCAGTCCGACTTGCCACTAAGCTTGACATACGCAACACGTACGTTTCATATCCCTGTACTATGGCTTCTGCGACGATGATTGCGGGTATTAACTGCCTACGGACCCTTCCACAGATGCGCTCGAGAAGACAAGCCTAGTACAGTCTTCAAGTTGTACAGAAGGATATGGTGGGCTCTCTACGTACGTCCTTGTCGTCACCAAGTTCTATTCTTCCAGCATTATGCTTACTATAGCTACATAGTCTTTAGACATTTTTCATGTCTCTGTCAACACCAGACGCTCACGACTACTCACAAACGCCTCCATGATCAGAATGAGGACGGAAGACGACTGGGAAGTGGAGGATAGCTCGGAAGTATCATCCAACTTGCTATCGCCAGTCACGCCTCAACAAAGAGCTCTGCCTGTTGTTCAATGCGAGTTGTCTCGAATATGTAGGTGCTCGTTCTATTCGATTATTTGTCGCTGCTTTTTCCACCCTTTTATCATCAATCTGTTACCGATAGATACCAGAAGAATTACTGACTCTCATTCAGTCGGACAGTGTTTATCCAGCATGACAAACAAGCCACAGCAGGATCCTCGTCAAATGCTGCACTCGCTCGATGCATGGCGCAAGTCTCTCGCTGTCAAGATGCATGTGGATGTGAGCATCGGAGCCGACGTGTACTATCTGACTATGCAAGCTGTGAGCTACAGATTTGAGTGCGTCTTGTGTCGTTTGATACGACGCTGTTGGCAGCAGACTCAACATGCGGACTGGAGCGAGTGGGCCAAACAGCGACTTCGCTCCGCTATTTTGGAACTGGATACAATTACCAAGAGGGTGCTGGCGAGTGGCACTCTCCAGGACTTTCCCATATCTTTGTATGTGCTTTTTCTTTCCCCCCTTCCACTTCGCCATTATCCAAGCATCACATATAGTATACAAGCGCGAAAAATGGAGAGCTAATGATGAGATTGCCAGTATAACGACAATAATTGCTCTCCTCGCTCTACACATCGAATCGGCCCTCGATCCAACCGAGACCGACCTCGTTCGCTCCATGGCCCAGATCTCTATCAGCCAGACAATGCTTGTTCTCACGCAAGGAAAAGAAATTCCAGCCCTGAAACGGGCCTTGCCATTGTTCGAGGAGATTCTTGACAAGAAGAATTTATACTTGGTCCCGCCCAGCAGTGTTGGTCAAATACAAGATAAAACCTTGGTGGATGCAGATGCTTCGCTGCATATGCAGGCAGAGCAGTATGAGAATAATCCGTTGCTCTATGATGATTTCCTAGGATTTGATCTACTGGACGAGTGGCAGATTGGGCAGATGGATTTTATTGGTTAATTTTGCAAGGCTTATCAGGGGAGCGTGTTATTTCTGGGCAATTTCTAGTCATATAGCTATTTCTATCTCTACTTCATAGGGTTATCCCATTTTCATAAATCCGAATAGTTATTGATACCTGCCCCCTGATATATCAGGCACTAATTAATGCCTCAGGCATAAATAGCTATCCCCGCTAACCCCATTGGGAAGGGCCGAACTTTTTTGATCGGCAGAAAAAAGATCCTCCAACTTTCTCGAGACGCCTCTGTTTCTGCCTCTGCGAGACACGGGGATTTCAGGTTTATACCCCTCAATCCATCGACCACACACAGCCCCGCTCGGCGCATTCACCTACGATCATTAATCATGGCGGCGCCCGTCCTGCCCTTGCAGCAGGTGAAGCTCGCCTCGCTGCCCTCCACCCGCCTCACACCAGAACAGCAATACTGGCGCACGTTCAAGAACCCTCTTCTGATCCCCTCACCCGCCAATGGACCGGTCAATCTGATCACACAACCTTCCGCCCCTGCATCTGCCGCCGCATTTCCCTCCCTGACACAACCCCCGGACATATTTACCGTCACCACTGGCGCCCGAGTCCAGATCTATTCCATTCGCACTCGCAAACTCCTGCGCTCTATCACTCGCTTCGATGATACCGTTCGCGGCACCGACGTTCGCCCGGATGGTCGTGTCCTCGTCACTGGTGATGACACTGGTTCCGTGCAGGTTTTCGACGTCAACTCCCGCGCGATTCTGAAGACATGGAAGGACCACAAGCAGCCCGTCTGGGTGAGCAAGTTTTCGCCAAGTGACCCGACGTCCGTTTTCACTGCCAGTGATGATCGGACAGTCCGCCTGTGGGATTTGCCCGCAGAGACTAGCGTTCGTACTTTCGTCGGCCACACCGATTATGCCCGCAGCGGTGCCTTTATGCCTGGTTCTATGGCTTCTTCAGGCCTACTTGTCTCTGGTTCATACGATCGTACCGTCCGAATCTGGGATCCCCGTGTGGAAGGACGCGCTGCCATGACCTTCAAGATGGGTGCTCCCATTGAGGACGTTCTGCCCATGCCCGCAGGCACACAGGTTCTGGCCGCTGCCGACAATAAGATCGCCGTACTAGATATCGTTGCTGGAAAGCCGCTGCACATGATCCAGAACCATCAAAAGACAGTCACATCGCTTGCGCTGGCCTCGAATGGTGAGCGTTTGATCAGTGGTGCGCTGGATGGACACATGAAGGTTTTCGAGACTACAGGATGGAACACCGTCTCGGGCTCGAAATACCCTTCCCCTATTCTGTCCCTGAATGTTATCACTTCTGGCGTGGCGTACGAGGACAAGCATATCGCCGTCGGTATGCAATCCGGTCTTCTGTCGGTGAAGACCCGACTTTCTGGCCAGCAAAAGGTCAAGGAGCGTGAGCGTCGCAAGGAGATGGACGCACTGCTCGAGGGAAAATTGGAGGAGCACGACCGCCAAGTTGCGAAGAAGACTAAGCAGCGTGGCTCCGGATGGGAGAAGCGACTACGTGGACGAGACTTCATTGGCGAGGGAGTAGATATCGTGATTGAAGGCCAGGATCGCAAGCGACGGAAGAAGGAACAACCATGGGAGAATGACCTCCGCAAGGGCCGATATGCCATTGCACTGGACCAAGTCCTTTCATCGACGGACAAGACCGCCCAACTTACGGTTCTCACCAACCTCCGCCACCGCTCTGCCCTGCGAGCTTCGCTCCGGGACCGCGACGAAGTGTCCCTGAAGCCGGTTCTGCAATGGGTTCACAAGCATATTCGTGAACCTCGCCTGGTCGATCTCAGCGTGGAGATTGCTATGAACTTGTTGGATATCTACTCGGGCAATCTGGGTCAGTCAGCGCAGATTGACAAGCTCATTGAGCGATTGCATTTGCGGGTGCGCGACGAGGTTGAGATGGCTCAGCATGCATACCAGACTAAAGGTATGCTGGATATGCTGAAGGCCTGATTTCATTGTCATTGTTCCATACCATCATATGATATCTCAAAATGGCTCGGAGTTTTGGGCAGGGTTGTCTGGGTTTTGCTTCGTCGGTGTACATGGCGGGCCATTGATCATTGTACAAAGTTGCATAGAAATAAAAGTCGACATTTATAATGATATTTCGATCGAGAGAAAAGTACGAGTAGGGAGTACATACTAGTATAACTAGTGTAGACGGTGAGTGCTACGTAGTAGTTATGTGGGGAGAGCTGCAAGCTCAACGCCATTTCTTTCATATATGCAGTAGTATTAACCGAGGTGGATCTATGGAGCCGACTGTTCTCGGCAAGCCGTCATAAGTATAATTATTCAGATGATAAACACTAGTAACTAATAAGTAAAGTACTATAAATGTACTAGTATGGAGTAAAAGTGAGACCATAACCGTGACCGGTGTTCGTTTTAGGGGGGGATCTCCCTCTCCTCCGCAGAACATCGTGACTCTGACTCCTCTGACTCCCCCTCCTCCCCTCCCACTTCCACCTTTCCACCTTTTCCCACTTTCCATCCTCAACCTTCCAACTTTTTTGCCACCGGATTCTTTCAACACGATTGATACCCCCTACTTAGGGTTCCCTCATTCAAGATAGTACTCGTACTTCCATACGCCCCGCTTGACACCTGGCACCGTGCAACAGCTGTTCCTATCTCCACCTTGCTATTGTGGGGAGGTTCGAGACCGACTGATTGGCAATGCGCTGAGGGCAGAAAAAAATAGAACGAGAACCACGGCACAGCCAGCCGCCCAGACCGCTGGAACGACCCAGAAAATCAATCACGTCACGTTGTCCCTCTATCATGGCCGCCGCTTTCGATGAAGAGGATCTCTCGATTCCTCTTCCCCCTACCGCCGACCGCGATCGCCCCCGTGAACGTGAACGTGAACGAGATCGAGATCAGCGTGCGACCAAATCTGCCGGCCCAAACCCCTCCGCCATGGCCATGCCACCGCCACGGCCAACCGGCCGGTCCGATGCTGCCGCTGCGACACAATCCCCCGCTACCACAAGGGACATGCAGCGCCTCGACCAGTACCAGACGGTGAAGATCCTCGGCGAGGGGTCATTCGGTAAGGTGAAGCTGGCTATTCACCAACCGAGTGGCCGCCAGGTCGCTTTGAAGATTATCTCTCGCCGCAAGCTACTCTCACGCGACATGGTCGGACGCGTAGAGAGAGAGATTCAATACCTCCAATTGCTACGGCACCCTCACATCATCAAACTGTATGCAAAACAAATTCAATCCCATCTCGTCGATCGGCAGATTTGCCCCTCATTCCGTGCGAACCGAAATGGCTAACTACCACACCCACGCCTCTAGATACACCGTGATTGCGACCAAGACTGACATTGTGATGGTACTGGAATACGCCGAGCGAGAATTATTCGATTACCTTGTGAGGAAGGGGAAATGCAATGACGACGAAGCTCGGAAATTCTTCCAGCAAATCATCTGTGCTGTCGAATACTGCCACCGACACAAAATTGTCCATCGTGACCTGAAGCCGGAAAACCTGTTGATCGACAGCCAGAAGAACGTTAAGATCGCCGATTTCGGATTGAGTAATATTATGACGGATGGCAACTTCTTGAAGACTAGCTGTGGTAGTCCCAACTATGCCGCCCCAGAGGTCATTTCCGGCAAGCTTTACGCGGGTCCCGAGGTGGATGTTTGGAGTTGTGGTGTTATTCTCTACGTGCTGTTGGTGGGCCGATTGCCCTTTGACGACGACTATATCCCTGCCCTCTTCAAGAAAATTGCAGCCGGTAACTTCCATGTGCCCAGCTATGTCTCTCCAGGAGCAGCCCGCCTCATCCGATCAATGCTCCAAGTTCACCCAGTGCATCGAATCACAATCGAAGAGATCCGACGAGACCCTTGGTTCACCAAGGGCATCCCGAAATATCTGGAACCCCCCTCCTGAAGAATTCATCGCGACTGGTGTGGACCCCAATAAAGCAATTGATTCTCGCAAGCTGGCCCCAGGCAAGCCGCTTCCAGTTCAACATAAGATTCACCGGATCGCCGTGACGAAGCTTGAGAGAAGCATGGGATATGGCAAGGAAGATATCGAAGAGGCATTGAGGCACCCAGAACCCAGCGCTATCAAAGATGCGTTCTCGATTGTCGTAGAGAATGAGATGATGCAGACTAATTCTCCGACCGAGGATAACTTAATGGCCCAGAATATGCCTGTCCAGAAATCACCTGCTGCATCACCTGCAGACCGCGCTCCTCCTCCCAAACCACAAGCTCAACCACAAACGCAACCCGCCGTTGCTCGCACTCCAAGTGTTGCACGACGCATTCATGCCGAAGAAGCCGATGCGGAAGATTTTGATCAGCCGCGTCTCAGTCACGTTCGAATTTTGCCCACCAGTTTGCCTTATGTCCACGATCAACTCATGGAGCAACGCGATCAAGAACAAAAAGAACGTGATAGGGTGCTTCAGGAGCGTCGACAAGAGGCCGCCCTTCACGAGCAAGCTGGCGGTGAGCCAAGAGAGTTCACTGCTGAGGAGCAAGCTGCAACAGCCCGGTCATTGAAGCCTCACTCACGCAGTATCGTCGACTTGGAAAAGCTGCGACTTGAACCACCAATTGGCCATCCGATCACACAGCAACCGAAGAGATCTCGCAAGTGGCAATTCGGCATTCGTTCACGAAACCAGCCTTACGAGGCCATGTTGTATTTGTACCGGGCAATTGCTGCTCAGGGCGGAGTCTGGGATATCCAACCTGTTGAATCTGGTTAGTACACCCATCCTCTTGTTAGCAAGCTCTCTTCGCATACTGACTTCTCATAGGCACCAACATCGGACCTGACGCAACACCCTCCCCTGATAAGCCCAAACCCTTGCAAAGCAAATACCCCGACCTTCCTTCGGACTACTATATCCCCAAGGACCCTTGGTTCATCCGTGCCCGACTCTTGAAGGAAGGCGTTAAGGCTCCTGGTGCATCCACCAGTGTCTTTAACAGTCGCAGCGACCTCGAAGAGCTACGCCGTCGCTTCCATATATCCGGCATTTCCGCACCTACGGACGACAATTCCAAATCCCTTACCCCCGAAAACAGCGCACCATCCGCACCATCATCAGCAACGCAAAGTAAGGGACTCCCAGCTATCTCTTACGGTGTCTGGGTATTCGTCGATATCCAACTGTACCAACTCGAGGAAAATAACTACATGGTCGACTTCAAGTGCGATGGCTATCAAAACGTCATCCGTCCCCACGGTGAAACCGAATGGCACCCCATCAGCAAGCGCTACATGAACAAGGAGAAAGAGGTGACCAGTCCATACCCGTTCCTTGACGTGGCCTCGGATCTGGTGGCTCAGCTTGCAGTGGCTAGCTAGTAGCCATTTATATCTTCGTCTGCTTGTGACGATCACGATACATCCCTCCATAATCACCTTTTAATTTCCGTGAATGCTTTTCCCTTTGTTCAATCCGGCGATATGATACGAGATGGCGTGTTTTGTACGTCGGATCCAATTGCATTTGGTATCTATCTTTTTCTAGCGAGCGTGTGGGTTGATATTGTCGCTTTTGCACATAGTGGAGTTATTGTCTTTAATATCGGAAAATATTTTGAGCTCGAATCTACTTAAATTCAACTATCATTCTCACTGTCTGATTATAAACCGTACATGTATGATTAGAAGATCTGTATTATTACTAAGGTCAAGTCTGACTGTAGGCATTATTGAGTAATTCAGATTTATTTTTCTACTGTATTGTCAATTTGAACAGTACATCTAGCTAATATCTTCATAATCTAGCAAATATTTAAGGGGTTTTTTGTCTTTTTTGTTACTCTCTCGCTCTAATCCCTTCCCCACAGACCGACGACATTTCGAACAGCACCTCTTGATCATCTTTTGCGCGATGGCCCTTTGCCTTTGCCTTTACCATTCGGCGGCCTTTGGTAGTTGGTGCTGGCATTAGAGGCCTTGGTCGTCGAGGGCTTCTTTACCCCACCACGCTCATTTACGCGATCTAAGGATTGACGAGAACTAGGAGTAGTCCTAGCTGATGAGCCTCGTTTCCCTCGAGGCGTAGAACTATTTCCGGCAGCAGAAGTCAGATTCGAACGCTTCTTGCTCGAGGTCGAAGGCTTAGTCTTCGAATTCTGCGAAGAACTATCCTTCTCCTTGTCGTTCTTCTGCTGCTCGCGTAAAATTTTGTGATCTTCCAAAGCCCACTGCTCAAATATAGGAATAATCTCAATATCGGGAAATCGAACCTCATTGTGTGTGCGCTTGGAGGTGGAGGTGGAGCTGCCGCGGCGAGCTTTGCCTTTCTTTGTCTTTGAGGCTTCGGCGGAATGAGCGTCTTTGGCGGCCTCCTCTTCTGCTTCTTCATTGCTCCTCTGAACTTCTTCCATATGTTGACGAATTTGGCGAATAATTTCTCGAATATCGTTAAAGGTTAGGTCAGATCCGAGTCGTTCCAGAAGCCAGTCTGGAACAGGGGCAGTCACAGCTATTGGGTTCCTACGGCCAATAGGAGATAATTTTACAGCTGAGCCAGAGCCAGATGGAGGGCGAGGTGAATTTGTCGTAGATCCGGAAATGTCTTCATCAGTATTGGTATTGTGGCGACGCTCTTGCTCTCGTCGCCGCAGAATAAGGAGGAAGCTCTTAACACCACCCCACTCCTCCATTCGAGAAAGAGATTCGATCAGGAGATCACACTGAGTGAAAGGCCATTGTCCCGCACGGTATCTTGCCCGCTGGTAGTGCTTGCGGCAGTAATGGACCCAGACATATTCGGGGAAGACCTTGGTGGTAGACTTGTTTCTGCCGAAAACATGCGAGATGATCTTCCTGTAATGGGTATGTTGCTCCCTGTCCATCTGGCAAGTGCCAGCAAACTCGCAAGAGATATTGTTGTGGGTTGCTGCTCTTTCGGGGGGATTGTCTGATGTGTTCTCTTCACTTTCGTCTTCGTCCTCGTCCTCGGAGAGAGAGAATTCAGAGGTTTTGTGCGAAGATAACTCATCAGAGCTGGTTGTCGAGGGGCTTGGAATGTTATTTTCCAAGAAGTTGGTTGTCTGTTGATTAACCTCAGTATCAAGAGAGGTGCTTGGTTGGTTGGAAGTGAGAGCTAGGGGGGTTTGCCCCAGACCTGAGTGAACAAGGCATCTCAGAATAATAAGCCCGGGGAAATAGGGCGGAATAAGTTCTCTAGGGCCCTGGGGATAGTTAGCTTAAGAAGAGGAGTGATGTGTATTGTTCATAAAATATCATACCTGATGTTGAAACCAACGAGGTCTAGTATCCATCAAGGACTGATGGATGGTGGATGGGATGGTGGATGGGATGGTGAATGGGATGGGGGATAAACACATCCCTTTTCGTTCTTGCTGATAATTTTGGATGGAGCTTACTCAAATGATTGGGCAAAAAGAAAAACCAGAGGATGTGATGAGAAAGAAGAAATTAGTCGAGAGCAAGACATCTACTTATAGGCCGCGAACTTGAAAAGGAAACTTCCGCCTTATTTCAGACCCCTCGAGGAAACTCCCACTTACACGATACTTTATTTATCAGGTAACAGAGACAGCTCTAATCTGCTTTAAACCATAATTTCTTTATTTTGAGTAACTATAAAATGTCCCCTTCAAATTTTTAATTATAACCTTGAGCGAGTAAACTGTACGATCTTGGTCACAGTAAGCCTTCTCTGGCCTGTTAAATCATAAATAACTCAAGACTAGAAAGTATCTCTCTAGAATTTATTGTAATAAAGGAGTGTAGATGTACAAACTTAAGAGTGTTAAAACAAGCTTCTTAGTAGAATGATTTCTAGGTAACTCTATTGAGTAGCTCGCCAAACAGCCTTCTTGCCGGCAACTGCAATCGCGATGTCTAATGCGTTTTGGCTGCTCCTCACACTTGCAATGTTCTTCCCCGCAATATCAAACGCCGTGCCATGTGCTGGGGTAGCTATCACCACCGGCAATCCCCCTTGAACTGTGACACCACCATCGAATCCAATGACCTTTAGGGCGATTTGGCCCTGGTCATGATACATGGTTACAATGCCGTCATAATTTGCTCGGGCGACGAAGATGGTATCACTAGGAAAGGGCCCCTTGACGTCTATCCCCTTCGACAAAGCGAGCTCTACACCCGGTCGAATAGCATCAATTTCTTCACGACCAAAGAGTCCATTCTCGCCATTATGAGGGTTCAAAGCGCATACACCCAGTCGAGGTTTTGTGATGCCAGAGTCAGAACTGTACATTCAAGGTTAGTCTGTGGCAGGCAGTTCTGAGTGGGGAAACGTACAGCAAATTATGCAAAAGCTCGATCGAGTCGGAGACTGACGTTTTCGAGATCCTCGCAGACACATCCTTCATTGCGACATGGCTTGTCACTCGCGCCGTCCACAGTCCTGGAATAATATTGACCTCGCTGGTCGTCCCTTTGTGGTTCAAAAGCTTCGCAAACCAACGCAGCTCATCTTCCTCGTGCATCCCAGCCATATGAAGTGACGTCTTATTGAGCGGCGTGAATACAATGGCATCCGCTTCTCCCAGGTTCACCAATGCAGTTGCTCGCTTGAGCTGGTGTAAGGTTCGCTCGCCTGCCGCCTTTGATATCTTCCCTCGTTCAATCGGCGTGGTCGGAGCTGTTCCATCATGCAGAATCTGTATACTTTCGGGGATTGTGACATTTGCGACGGAGGCCGCAGCTTCGACTTCGGATTTATCTGCAAGAACCAGGAGATTGGCTCTCGCGCTATTCTGAGGATCCGCGAGAAGCTTTGCTGCCAATTCAGGTCCAACGCCGGCTGGGTCGCCTAGGGTGATAGCGATGCGAGGTCGAAATGTTGCCATCGTGAAGGTGTTTTTGCCAAGTGAGCTACTGGTGAAAGGCTGTGGTAAGATTCCCTCCCCAGGCGCTACATTTCAAATACTAATTTGGTTCATTTAATCAACAGGATGACTTCCTAGGTGATACAGCATGTTCGCATCCGTCGGCATAACCCCGATCATCCCCGTCGGCAATGGAGCGGGGAAGCGGGGCAGCCTTTCTTCCTGCGAAATGAAATCGGTGCGAAATAGGTGCAAATTTTCAAGAGAAGCCGCAGAAAGAAATTGATTACAACTTTCTCCAAATGGTGTATCGATATGCAACTCGGCTGGTTTTTTTCTTTCGGTGGGAAAAAAAAGATCTTACTGACCTCGATGGAACGGATGGACTGGATGTACCACAACTGCCCTCAGAAAGAGGAGCTAGTAGGCCCTGGAGCGTCAATCAACTTTAATTCATCCGGGGGAGCTTTCTCCTTATGTCGGTTTTAGTTTTCTGTTCTTTCCGCTCCCCACTCTAACCGACTGAGTTTCGTTTACAGCATGAATCGCGAATTGACGGACTCCGCTCATGTGGCCGAGGAGTCATCTCCTGCAAAGAAAAGACAGAAGAGAGGAGCAGAAGATGGGGCAGAGATTCAACAGTCCAAGAAGGGGACAGCGTGCTCTACCTGCCGCAAGCTCAAGGTAAAATGTGACTCTGCAGATCGGGACATGGGCAGCTGTTCACGCTGTCTTCGTCTTCGACTCAAGTGCGTCAGCGAGAAGAAAGTATGGATGGCTGCCGAAAATGTCGAGACACGACCACAGCCATATAATGTCAATTTGATCAAGCTTGAAAGAGCACTCGAAGATGTGCTAGAGAAATTGAATCTGCCTGCACTCGACCTATATGCACCACCGGAGATCGTGGAGCCATCGCAATCATCACGACCGACAAGGCAAAACTCGCCGGAGCCAGGGATTAGCAGCAGCAGACCGCAAGAGAGAGATATCTCACCCGGACCGACCATTGGGATGGGAAGTCTGATCGAAGCAACAAGGCTGGACGGGTTGTGTAGCCAGCTTAGAAGCTCGAAACAGAGGCGTAAAGGTGGAATGAGAAGGATGGAATCGGACTTGATCTCAGAAATGATCTTGACATATGAAGAGGCTGATGAAATGCTCGAACTGTTGGTCACATCCCCTTGGGACTTTTTATCTTTCGAATTCTAATGTACTTGCAAATACAGATTCAAGACACTATTATCGCCACACCTTTTCTCGGCCACGATCCCCCAAGATGCAACTCTAGAAACGATTCGAACGTCCTCCACAATACTTTTCACTGCCATCATGCTGGTCAGCGCTCTTCACATCTCCGGACATGAATATTTACATGAAAGATGCCATAGTCGATTCCTCGGACTTGTTACCTCCGCAATATTCGATCGTTTTCATACCCTTGACGATATTCGTGGACTATGTATCGCAGCGCTCTGGCAGCCCGATTTAAGCTGGAAATTGAGCGGCTTATGTATTCGCATGGCGACCGAGTTGAATCTTCACCACGCGTTTTACGAAGCCTTTTACAGCCCAGATGCCAATGAAGATACTTGCAGGGAGAATCTCGAAAAAGCTAGATTGTGGTACCTGCTCTTCGTTCTAGATCATCAATCAAGCATTGCCTATGGTCGACCACCGGTGATGGCCGAGCTAAGGCCGATTAAAGACTTCGAGGTCCTTCTTAACTCGCCATGGTGCACACCGTCAGATCAGGCACTCATCGCCCAGGTCACTGGGCTTGTCATCATGAGTAAGGCTTTCCAGAATTTTGGTCTTGAGCCTAAAAGAACAATGGGTGGCGATGATGCATCTGTATTGAACCATTTCAGGTTCACAGAAGATTCACGGGTGTGGAAAGACCGCTGGAGTCATTTGAGGATAATCAATATACTAGGAGGGGGCATTGATCTGCACTACTATTTCAGCGAGCTGGTATTGCACTCGTTGGTTCTAAGAGGGCGCCCGCTAGAGACCCTTCATGATCTCCCTACAAGTCTTCGACCTCTAACGCTTCGGGCAATCGAGGCAGCTCATCTGCTTCTCCAGCATTTTATCGAAGAACCAGGATATCGCGAAGGAATCGTGGGAATGCCACTCTATATGCATTCCATGATCGCTTTTGCCGTCGTCTTCTTGATGAAAATGTCACGTCGCTGGCAGAAAATCGGCATAACAATAGATCCAGTTCAACGAACCAGGCCTTTGATCGAAGGCATAATCAAGTTACTGCGAGACTGCAAGGCTGGCGCCAGTCATATGGTTTTCAGCATGGCAAATGGATTCGAGCGAATGTTAAAACAAACAAGCCCGAAATCCAGAAAGCGAATGACCGATCGGACTCCCCGAGCAAAACACCCAGCATGGCCAAATAGATCAAGTGACGAACAAAGGGAGTTTCCTGAAATACCAATTTACGCTCTCGGGCATCATCCAATTGATACCGGTATCCAAGTTGATAAAAGCCCTGAATATAATATTCAGCTGACGCCAGATGTTTCTCCTTACAACAATTGGGGCTTTCAAGATGAAGAGCTATGGAGCTTGGGTATGGGGTATGATCTTCTTGCCCCTGGAGGCGAAGGACTTGCAAATGCCGACTTTCCATTTTTCCTGTACGAAGAGATGCAGCAAAATAGTTAGATTTGAGCCTCTTATGGGCCCCACTTGGATTGTATCTATAATCTACTTCTTGAACCCTTCCACCAGAGCGCCATCCACCCAAAGACCATCAACAATAGGTTTTTCCCGATTTCCTGGCCCAGCCACATTTCCATCTTTATCATACCGTGGAAGTTCACCCATCCAACCCCAGTGGCACTTCTGTTTATATCCCAGCCTTTTCCAATCGTTGAGATCATCATCGGGGTTCTCATTGAAAGTCGGCAAATGATCAAGTAATGATGTGTCGTGCGCTAGAAAGACCATGACATTGGGATCAGCGTCGAAATACTTTTGCATTCCGTAGGTCGAAATCACAGCAGTGGCCGGGTCTTTGTAGGTTGAATGCGCATGTGTCGAGAGTTGGTAAAATGGCGTGGATTTTGTATCAACTGAGGGCCCAATTTCTCGAAGCTGAGGGTGATGAGCGGAGAAGAACTCGCATGGACATGGCATCGGGTATTTTTGACTGCTGAGAAGAGAATCCGCGGGAATGGAGTTCGGTAATGGGATTTCCTCACTAGGTCTGAAATCACCTGCGAAATGGCAAATGTCTCCACCGAGGAAGACAAAAGTGTCTGGTGTAGTTCGAGCCAAAGCACATATATGTCCTAGCCAATGTCCGGGGGTGTCTAGCAGATATAGGGAGCCATCTCCATAGAAGTCGGTAGCAGGAAACGGTCCGATGTTTAAGTCTGTGCAGTCAATCTCAACACATTCCCTGTCCTTGAAATCGTCGGCGTTAAGATTGGAGTTTGGGTTCTCAGGATATGCGGGGAAAGGTCCCGTTCCTTTTCCATAGGACAGTCTCGTCGACGGTGGGAATAGATGCGGGCTGCCCATATGGTCCCAATGGCTGTGAGACCAGATAATATCATCTGCGAGAGTTAAATTCCTGATCGAGATGGGTTCCAGGTGTGATTCCAGTTCCATACCGATCTCGTCCAGCCTCGTGCCTTGTTCCTGCAAAATTTCTGTGACGTCCTTCTCGATCTTTACGCCCGGGATCGCGGCCTCGATTCTCGTGAGTGTGAATGGTGGGGAGTTCCAATAGTCCTTTCGTGTTCCAAGATCAAACATTGCTTTCTTTCCTAGTCGCTCGTTTTCGATCAAAAAGGCCACGGTTGTGACGCTCATTCGTTCGTGTCCAGGCATTACCGGCTTTACAAAGGAAAAAGCATGCAATGACATGAAAGATTTCGTGTCTATCATGCGGACCCGCACTGTTTTGTCCGACGGAGGGGGTGGGTTGAGCAGACCTAATCCGATCGCTGTGCCCATGGTGACCTTCAGTATTAGTCCCAGGAGATGTCGTAAGAAAACTTCAAGGATTTTCAGGCAACTTTAGTCTTAACAATGACCGTGCGGGGAACATTCGGCTAAGGGCTCATCCACCATTGTTTCTTGCAGTTGATGAGCGATCGGACATGCTCGGCCCTAAGACCGACGGGTTGTTGCCGGTCCCGACAACTAAGTGTCGACCACTCCGGCGGGGCTCCCAGCATGGATACCCCGTGGGGTAATGACCCATGCATGGACGCCGGTATAATTATCAGCAAACCGACCACTCCTGGGTCGCCTTTTGGTCATAACTAAAGCCGTCAACATGAGCCCAGTAATGGGTGAAGAACAGAAGCAAACGGAAGCTCCTGGGCACACTCATATTGAGCTTCTAACAAGAAAAATGGATTCGCAACCAGATGAAGATATAACTGTGGCAGAGCTTGAAGCCGGAAAGATGGTTGCCAGCGACGATGTGATTAAATACACCCAAGACGATGATGAAGCAATGAAGGCGCTGGCAAACTACGATGGTCCACCTTTGGTCCTGGATGATGCTACAAATCGGAGATTACTTCGCACAATAGATTGGCATCTTATGCCCGTGCTGTGAGTTTTCATGGTGGCTTCTATGGACTTCTAAGTACTAAGTAATACTCTCTAGGTTCTGTGTGTTCGGCCTCAACTACCTTGACAAGACGACTCTTTCCTACGCCAGTATCATGGGGCTCAAAGAAGACATACACCTAGAGGGGAACGAATACCAGTGGCTGGGATCTATTTTTTATATCGGTTGGCTGGCCTGGGAAGTAAGTTCCGTACAGTGCTGAGCTGGTGGTCATTTTGGATTTCTCTAACTCCGAGTCCTTGATTATAGTACCCGACGAGCCGACTCCTACAGCTTTTACCTCTAGCCAAATATTCAGCTTTCTGTGTTACAACCTGGGGGATAGTACTGACTCTGTTTGCGACCGTGTCGAACTTTCAGGGAGCTGTGGCGATTAGGTTCCTTCTCGGTGTTTTTGAAGCTGCTAGTATGCCGGCCTTCGCTCTGCTCTCTTCGCAGTGGTATACTGTGCACGAACACAATTTGAGAGCAGGTATTTGGATAAGTGCAAACGGATGCGGTCAAATAGTTGGCGGCTTTGTAGCATACGGTGTTTCTCGACGCCTCTCGGCAATCGACGCCGCCATTGCTGGTTGGAAAGTTATCTTCATTGCCACAGGCTGTTTCACGGTAAGCCAAAAAGAAAGAAAAACATAGTTCAGTATGCTGAGATATCCTATAACTCAAAGGTTTGTATAGGCATTTTATTTTTCGTGGTCATTCCTGACTCCCAACTCAATTGTCGTTGGCTCAACGAGAGGGACCGCCTCCTTGCGATCCAGCGCGTCCGTGGGAATGAACAAGGCATTGGCAACCGACATTTCAAGTGGTATCAATTTCGCGAAGCACTGCTAGATCCTCTAAATTGGGCCTTGTTTATGTATGGTGTTTTATCGGATATTCCCAATGGCGGTCTTACAAATTTTTTCAGTCAACTCATCGTGAGCTTCGGATATACTTCGCAGCAAAGCCTCCTCTACGGTATACCTGGAGGTGCTGTCGTGATAATTGCCTGTTTGTTGAATGGCTGGGCAGGTGATCGCTACCATAATCGGACGCTCGTTGCATGTGTACCGATGACAGTAGCATTGATAGGAATCATCTTGATTATTGCTTTGCCTATTGCAGGTGACAGCTACAATATCGGACGACTGATTGGCTACTATTTGACACAAGCGATCCCTGCTACGGGGGCTACAGTTCTATCTCTTATATCCAGCAATATCGCAGGCTACACCAAAAAAACAACAGTCGCCGCATTATATCTCATTGGATATTGCGCGGGAAATATTATTGGGCCGCAGACATTCAGTCCCAAGGATGCACCACGGTACGTTCCGGCCGAGATAACCATAATGGTTTGCTTTATTCTATGTATTTGCGATTTACTTTTCATCAACTGGTGGTGCCGTCGAGAAAATCGGCGAAAGGCAGAAATAAAAGCGAGCCCCGGGTATATTAGGCTACAAAACCAAGGGTGAGTTTTTCTGATTCTCAAAACGAGTCCCATCTACTTACAAAGACCTTAGTTGGCGTGATTTTACAGACAAGGAGAATCCTGAGTTTGTTTATGCTCTTTAGTTAAGAAGTTGTAGAAGTGCATCAATGAAAAGAATGGCGATCATAGCTTATGCTCTCGCTAGCTCTGCTTTCCACGGCGCTCCAGAGCCGCAATCAACCCAATGTTCAAGCTTCGACTAGGGTAAAAAGTCGGCACCATCGGGTGATGTTGTAGAGGAGATATGGTGAGTAGGCTGAGCGTGAAGTAAATAGTGGGCACAGGCATCTTTAAGGTCGAAAACAAGTCGCCCTTGTCCCTAGACCATCGGGGGAAAAAGTAACGACGAGGTTGATTATTTGAAACGCTTGGCCTACCTCGATTACCTTTTTGCTTCTTTCAGGCCGAAGGACCAAATCTGGTCCAGGGAATTTAATCTATTTTCTTTTTTCCTCCTTCCCTCTTTTCTTGTTTGTTGTTGTCTGCCTAGTCCATATTGCCTTCCAATGCGTCCGTTTATATAGTCACGTGGCTTCTCCATATGGAATCATGACTAAGCTACCCCAGATTCTCGAACTTCAAATCTGCATAGTGAATACAAGTAATTTTGGGACGCTGTCGTCCCCTCATAGAAGCACTGGGTCGATTATGTCTATGAAGCGCCGTATAGTTTTTTTCGGAAACCCCCCCCACACCCCGATTCATATGGAGAGCAGTTTAATGATGTCCATACTTTTTCTTCCTTGATATCGATTGCGAGTTAATCAACACTAGGCAAGCGTCTAAATTCACGAGATAGATAATCAAGTTGCAGCCTATCATAACTTGGCATAAATTATCCGTCATACATGGTTAGTAATTGCAGTGATGAGTGCCTGGGTACCGGTAAAATCGGCCAAAAGTTGGTTGCCTGGTATTTCAGCCAGCAATATTTTTGCCTGCCTCATCACTATTTAAACTTCTTATTTTCTTACATGAATTTGGCTTTTGTGAGAAATATACCAGAGAAATCGACGAAATTGAATCAATTTTAACACCATGGCCATGCCAAACTACTCCATTCTCCCAGTCGTGGAGGCCGATCTCCCATTCCTCGCCAAATTCATCCACGCCTCGAAGCTCCGCCTCAGTATCAACCGCCTTTTATTCGAAGAGTGGCCAAATGAAACTATTCAAATGAAAATGTACACGGGAGCTGTAACTTACGGGTTCAAAGACCCTGCCACAGAGTCTTTCAAGGCGGTCGATACCGAATCGAACGAAATTATCGGTTACTTCGTCCTAGCTCGCAAGCGACCGGCACAAGAGCTGCCAGAATATGAACTTGGTGCGAATCCTGACCAAGGAACTCCGGAGGTTTTGAATCCTTCTCTGTTCGCTGAGATTATGACTGCATCTGCGGAAATTGCGAAGGCGACCGAAAACACGGACTTTTTGGGTAGGTCTTTAGAATCTTTCAATCAGCTACGTGAAAGGTTACAACATTCTAATATTCAAGGCAGACTTGGTTTATATCTGTGTGGAGCCGCGGTTTCAGAGACATGGAATTGGAGCGAAGTTGATTCAGCTTGGCTTTGATCGGGCAAGGGAGGAAAATATCCCTTTTGCGCTCTGTGCAGAGGCACCGGCCCATGGGTTTTATGTCAAGTTGGGATTTGAAGAAACTAAACGTGCGGACATTGATCTCTCAAAGTATGCTCCAGCGTATAGCGGGTTTGGAGTCTTCAGATTGACTGGAATGATCTGGCATCCTTAAATTCCTCTACATACATCAATTGCTTAACTCCGGCAATAAGAAGAGTAGTGGTTGCGGGAATCCTGCCAGATTGAAAAAAAAAATGCGTCGAGAGAAAACATTGCTCATTACTAGTAGCACGTCATCAGCATCAGCACCCCACGGCCTCGTTTTCACAGCCATATAAGGCGAATTTATCATTTCCCCAGTGAGTCGGATCAGCAAACTGGGCGTGCTTCGGGGTTTCAAAAATTGAACAAGGCAGATTATCGCCGATCGGCGGATCGCTTCAGGCAAACATAATGCTTGATTAGACCATGAAATCGTCGTCACCAGATAGTATTTTAGTGTAGGGAATTTCAACGAGAAGTAAAATCGAGGAAATACTAGTTATCATAAAAGGTGACATTCGAAACCTTTCTAAAAGCTGTACTTGGGTGACTTTCGAATGTTTCACTCTTATTGAAATGCCCGTCCTTTAGGGTTGGTGCCACACGTGATCGGCTCCTGGATCGGAGCACGCCTAACGCACCGGAGCCAACCCGCAGCAACCTTGTGGTAAACAAAAATTTAAAGCCGAAAATTCAGCTGGGTGCTACAATTGAGGGGATACTTGATGGCTTATATATTAAGATGGAAGAAGTAGTTAAAAATGCATCTTGTTATGCTATTGGATTCTATGTATCGTGCAAGGGTCATTATTGTTGGGCCCCACTAAGGTGCCCAAAAACGGAGCTCAACTCCAAAAAGGAGACCCGAAAGGATTCAGGAGTTGGCATGCAAATAGACAGTGTAATTTCACTGTTCTTTTTGAGATGGGAGTAAAATCCCAGGGACATAAGAGAAAATCATCATAGAGAAGGCTGGGCCGCTGAAAGAACAAAGAGGTATCATCCACAAATTAAACGCTGGGGTATGCAATGAGACTGGAAAACAAGACAGGAGAAGGGAGATCACTGGGCAGCAGTAAGTTGGTTCTGCAGAGCCTGAGTGAGAGCCTCCTCTTGACGCTTGAGTTCCATCTCCATCAGATACTGGGCGTACTTGGATCGAGGGTTGTGGATACCGCACTCGGTCTTCTGCTGGCCCTTCCAGCGACCGGAGCGCTCGTCCTCGTTGTCGGCAACGGGTTGGGTAGAGTGCCAGTCTCCAATGCTCTTGTAGCCACGGTCAAGCAAGGCATTGTAGGGAACATCGTTCTCCTTCACGTACTGCTTGACTTGGTCGAAGGACCAGTTGGCCATGGGGTTGATCTTGATGAGGCCGGCCTCGTCAACTTCGATGACATCAAGGTCACCACGCTTGCCACCTTGGCTGCGACGGCGGCCAGTCAGGACGGCGTGGACATTCATCTCACGGTAGGCACGTTGAGCGGGCTCGACCTTGGCAACCCAGTCATAAAGCTGGTCATCGGCTTCCCAAAGACGAGAGCCATACTTAGTTTCGAATTCGGCAGTGGTCTCGGCCCCAGCAGGCTTGTAGACATGAACATTGTTGTTGGGGTAACGCTTGCGGATACGGTCCACGAGCTCATGGGTCTCCTTGAAATGGTACAGGGTGTCGAGGAAGATCAGGTCGACCATCTGGGGGCGGGGTACCTCCAGCTTCGACAGCATATCAAGGGTGACAGAGACCTGTCAGACCAAAGGCAGTGGTCTGGAAGAGGTGGGGGAGTGATGTGATGCACCATCTCAAGATATCTTGATGAAATGAGTCAGATTGATGTATGAAGGAGCGGGGTGATTGGTAAGGAGTAAGAATACATACCTTGAGGTTCGAGGAACTGAAGCTGACGGTTAAGGAATTGAAGATGGGGCTTAGTGAAGACAATCTCGGGGATATATTCTTCAGATGAACCACCGCTAACATATCCAGACTCGGTGCAGTTGTCTCTTGAGTCAATACCCTCAAGGTCAGAGGGGTAACCGAGGGGCGTCTTGGCCGGCATTGTGGCGGGAAGTATGTAGTAGATGGCGAGAGAGAGAGAGAGAGAGAGAGATGGAGAGAGGGTGTGTACAAGCAAGTATGTATGTGAGTTAAGTAGTATGAGGTAATGGAGGATCAAGATGTACACTTGGGAGTGGCCAGAAAGAGCTTGAGAAGACAGAGAAGACAAGGGACAGGAATATAAGGACACACAGGAGCAATCACGACATCATTTCGGATGTTCGTGCCTGGCATACCATCCGAGCCCGCCATTACTGTTCATTCTGCCGCAATTGCAATCACGACATTGCAAAATACCGCCTGCTGAATCGGGGGAGTTGCTGAAAAATTCAGTTTTGTCATCCTCCGGGGGGGATCACGCAATTCCTGCATAGTTGGTCTCTGTGGGTTCCCCTACCACCGAAAATCGCAAGATTGTTGGCCTGCCCCCCTCCAAAGGGTCTCTTTGTCCAGGCACCATCGAGGATCGCCTCACATCCCGAGCTGGAGCTAACCTGCTCAAGGTCTAGGGCTGATAAATTCCTCGGCTTCGGTCAAATTTGAATGCCTCCGGGTGGATTTGTCTCAACATCCCGGTCTCCGTATTCCAAACCCCGCTGCTGACCAATGCATCTGGGGAAATCTTGGGAAATACATGGTCTACAGTTCCTAATCCATGATGTTAGCGGGGCAATATCCAGAATATTCGAGTTTAGAAGTTACCCGATCAAGGAAGCTTCCCTAAGGATAGCATTGTGTGATCCATGAAGTATGTCATGGTGGAGTGGCGGGCGGAGAGATCTGCCAGACTCGTTGATGTGATCACTCTTCGCCGCCTGGCAGAATATTCAGAGCTGGAGCAATGTAGTTCGCACAGCTATAGTACCTAGTAGTAGTACTACTAGTACTAGTATTTCAAAAGTCCTTCTTAAATTATGGCTATTCAGAATGAGGAAATAAGGAAATCAAAGTCTTGAACCTTGTTACATAGTAGCTAGTAACTAGGTATAGTCGGTCATAAAAGCCACCCACCTAGCAGTAGACAGGCAGTAACTATATATATTGAACTTGAACCTACTCTGAGTCCATACCTCACTACTAATTAAACTTGCACACATTAGCAGGAAATTGCCAGGAACTTTCCAGTAGTAGGTAGGCCTTGCCAACAACATGTACAAAACCAAGACAAAACAAAAAGATAATACTTGGATATATTCTGTGTCCAACTAGTCCTCTGGTATCCACATCGTGAAAACAAGAGGAGAGGCAAAAAAAGAAAGGCCCGAGCCCGGGATCGAACCGGGGACCTCGCGCAGTCAATGCTTTGGGTGAACCCTAAGCGCGAATCATACCACTAGACCACCCGGGCGAATTATACCAAGATTCATATTTTTGCCTACATAGGCCTATAGAGTAAGAAAGATAAAAAGATAAATAAGATATCCAGATACATCATAGATCTAGATTTTCAAACCCCAAACCATAAGTTAAGTAAGATCTTGTTTGATAGACTATATTTGAATATAGTAAGAAATAAACCCAAAATGTAAATTATACCAGTGAAATTATTAATGCTGATTCATTAGATAACCTTAGGTATTGATTTAACTTACCTACTATATAAAGATGCTTAGATACTTATAGATCAACATATGGCATAGCATACAATGTAATTAAGTAGTAGCGATTCGAACAAAAAAATAGCTTAGAGAGAGTGTGTGTGTGAAGGATGAAGCGGCGTAAGGCATCCACGAATATCCCTCTCCTAAAAAGCAGCGTCTTGATGCTTTTCAATCATTCTATTCCAGTGTTAACCAATTTTCATCACCACCAGTACTACCATCACCGGTGCCACAGCCATTGCCAGGCTTGGTCGAATTGGAAGCGCCAGAGGCGGATGTAGCTCGCGAGCTATTGAACGTTGTAGATGAGCTCAGTGTAGGTGTACGACGACGGAGGCTGAGTTGTTGATTCGATCGATTGTGAATATAGGTGTTAGGGGCAGAGAGCAGGCATCGGTATCTCTGGGAGACTGCGGGCCGACCGAGAGAGCGATAGAGCAGAAGCGACAAAGCGGAAGTAACAGAGCGAAAGTGATTAGAATACCGAAAGAGCGACCCTCAAATATCGTGGTATCGACAGAGGGGAGGAACGACAGAATATAACAAAGTCAGAGCGACGAAGCAACTCAGCGACAAAGTGACAGGATCAAGTGAATGGACTGAGCGAAGAGTCGATGAAGCCAGGGCGACGATGGCGTAGCGACGAAGTGACAGAAGTAAGGTTTCGAAAAAGGGGATTGGAGATGATCTCTACCGTGGCCGACCACAAATTCGCGCGGTAATCATGCAGTGCAAGGCTTACGCAGTCTCTCTGAGATAAAGCCAACAGAGGGGTCACTAGGGTCTCTTGCTACGGCTTATATATCAGGTCATACCCATACAATAAGTACCAGAAGCTATTACAATGTAAGGACACTCAAATACTTACAGATCAACATACGGTGTAGTATACGATACAATAGAGTAGAAGCAGTTCGAACAAAAGTAATAGCTTAGAGAGACAGAGAGAACCTTAGGAGGAAGCTCAGATAAGATACATATAGAGATGGATGCCTGGAAGGTCAACAGTGGATACCGTAGGCAGAAGCATCCAAAAATGATAATAACAGCAGTTCATATATACTTACTTGACCACCCGGATAAATGACATTTAAGGCCTGAATTTTCCTAAAAATGCCTATACAGAAGAAGGACAAAAAAGCAAAAGATATGCCCAGATACATTACATATCTGGGTTCGCGCGGCCCGAACCGCGAGTCGAACGCGGGACCTCGCCCATATACACTATATTGAATATAGCGGGAAATAGACCCGAAGGGCGAATCATACCACTAGACCATCCGGGCTGGTTGATGTCATAATGACCATGTTTTTGGACCATTAGCCAGTTGTCTGAATGTCTACATAGAGTTTGAGGATGCTCAGATACTCACAGATCAAGATACAATGTAGCGATCAGGCAGTGAAGTATTAGCAGCTTGATGAATAAAATGGCCGAGGGGAAGGAGAAGAGGAAGCTGAGTCGAAAGCGAGACAGGTGTAACAGTGAATGGCTAAGTAAGCGCCATCCGCGTCAGGCATCAACAATGGTCACAACCCACAGGTTTTAAAGAGTAGCGGGGCCACGTGCCGATCGTCATTTTTTTTCTTGGAGGGGCTTCTTATTGCTTTGCTTTGTTTGTGATCGATCAACCAGGGACAACAATATCATATTCATATCTTTCTCTCCAGCTGTCCCCCAGCTGTCCCCCCTGATGGCCGATTCTAACCAACCCCCTCAGCGGCCCTCGCTGGGCCAAATGCGCAGCAGCTCGTTCCTCCAGGACCACCAACAGTACAAGCCGCCCGTCCCGGTCAGCGCCAACATCGGTGAGGTCCTCGGCGCTCAACTCGACGAAAGCCTGTCCACTCTCACAAACCCGATCAGGCCCGATCCCGAGCGCGTTCACGACAGCGGTGTCATTCACAGTATCTTCAACAACCAACAGACCCAGCTTCCCCACGGCACCCCGCGCATCGTCGCAACCATCTTCTACAAATCTGCCAACCCCGTCCACCCTCACATTCACCCCGATGTCTCGCCCAACCTTGTCGCTGGCGATAAGTTGCCTTCCCCGCGTGTCCCGGAAGGCTCGGCCCCAACAGACGACCTAGAGAAGATTCCCCGAGAGCCATTCGCACCTGAACCCGAGCCTCTCGATCACCTGTACGGCCCCTATGTCTCGCAGCTGTGCTTGACCAATTTCCTGCAAATCTTGGATACTCTCCCGACTCCGTACCAGCGCACAAATACCTCGCACCGATGCTTAGATCGCGAAGAGCACCCCCGTGTCGTGGAGGTTACATTCTCCCCCCCGCCTGACCCGGAGTATCTCTCATTTGAGGACTTGCGCAAGCACGAGAGCATCTGGCGCTTTGAGCGCGAGTGGAATGTCGAGGTCGTTCTTCAAGAAGAGAGCGTCTTCCGCCGGCATAAGCGCCTGGCGGTCTTTGACATGGACAGCACCCTGATCGAGAACGAGGTGATCGACGAGATTGCCAAGTTCATCGGGGTGGAGAAGGAGGTTTCGGTAAGTTCACGCGTGTGTTGATATTCACAATAACAAAGCTCATACGGTTCTTGTTTAGGAAATTACCGAACGTGCTATGAACGGCGAACTGGATTTCGCTGCCTCCTTGAAGGAACGCGTTGGCCTTCTGAAGGGTGTCCCGGCCGATGTTTTCGAAAAGCTCAAGTCCGTCATAACGATCTCCAAGGGTGCTCGTGAGCTTTGCCGTGCCCTGAAGGCCCTCGGGTACAAGATGGCTGTTCTCAGCGGAGGATTTCAACCTCTTGCCGAGTGGCTTGCGGGTGAACTTGGACTTGACTATGCTGTTGCTAACCACGTAAGTCCTCGATCTCAATTTTTAGAATATTCCAATCTACTCCCTACTAAACCACCATATAGCTTGAGATCGATACTGCCACCCAAACCCTCACCGGCAAACTGGTCGAATCCAAGCCCATCATCGACGCCGCCCAGAAGCGCACTCTCCTCAAGTCGATCGCCGCCGAGAATAAAATCCCAATCTCTCAGACAATCACTGTCGGCGATGGCGCAAACGATCTGCTCATGCTTCATGCCGCTGGCCTTGGTGTCGCCTGGCGCGCCAAGCCCAAGGTCCAGCTCGAGGCCCCCACCCGCGCCAACGGCGAGAGCCTGGTTGATATCCTCTACCTGCTTGGACTGGATAGCGAAGATGTCAACGAGCTTTCCAAGCTGCAGTAACTGCCCGACACAGCACATAGACCCCTTCAATTTTCTCTTGTTGCGGTCCGACACGATAGTGCACATGCACAACATTAACCCATTAGGCCCGTCACCGGGCTAAGATATCCATTTGATCGATACCTCTGAGCCGACATGACAACATCTGGCGAGGCATGTCGACATGCATTTCTTTTTATTTTCAATCCCGGAGTTATTTGTGATTTCAACAGCACGAGGCCCCAAGGGTAGAAGCGGGAGTTGGTGGTGGATGCGGTACAAAGTCCAATCTAGCATCTGTTTTCAACCTTTGCTTTTGCAACGGGTGGCACACAGTCTGCTTTCGGGGCGCGGGGGAGTGGGGCGTAGGCGAACGGAAGTTGTATCGTGCATAATGCATAATGCATAGAGCCCATATTTGAAACGTAGACAATGTTATTGGTGGATCTTACCCAACTTGAACATGGCCCCAACGATGACCAACTAGAACAACTCCTGCTGCTATATTGAAGATCTTGTATTCGTTTTTTTGGTAGTAACAAGGAAGTAGAATTCCTCAAATATACAGCAGAAACCGTTGATGGTACATACACTGTCGTGTTGAAAGATTGAGATCAAAAGATGAATAAGAAAGAAAGAAGAAAACACCAACCCATCCCAAACCTAAAATGCAATCGGCGCCAAACCGAATAAACCACGGGAAAGAAAAGAAAAAGCAGCCAGAAAAAGTAACAAGCAGACAAAGACATGTGTGGTTTATTTCCCATGCATATTATATTTTCTTTATTCCAGACCAAGAAAAATATCAATGCGTCGCCTGGTCAGCGACAACAGTCTTATCAACCGTGGCTTCGGTAGTCGTAGCTCCAGCACGACGCTTCTTGAGCACATTCTCAATAAAGGCCTCACCAGCCTTATAACTACTGCGAACCAGAGGGCCGGAAGCACAGTACAAGAAGCCCATATCAAGGGCCCGCTGGCGCCAAGCCTCGAATCGGTCCGGGGTAACGTATTCCTCAACAGCCATGTGGCGCTTAGTAGGGCGCATGTATTGGCCGAAGGTAACAACGTCAACATCGACAGAGCGGAGCTGACGCAGAGCATCCCAGAGCTGCTCATCCGTCTCACCAAGACCCAGCATAAGAGAAGTCTTAGTGATAAGATCAGGACGAGCCTCCTTAGCAGCCTTGAGCACGCGAAGTGACTGCTGGAAGGTCGCACGACGATCACGAACATACGGGGTCAAAGCCTCGACAGTCTCGACATTGTGCGCATAAACGTCCAATCCAGACCGAGCAATTATCTTGGTCATCTCCACATCACCACGGTGATCACCGGTCAAACATTCGACCAGAATATTGGGCGCCTTCTGCTTGATCTTGATAACCGTCTCAGCGAAGTGATGAGCACCACCATCCGCCAGATCGTCTCGATCAACACTAGTCAAAACGACATACCCGAGACCCCAGCGCGAGATAGCCTCAGAAGTATTCTCCGGCTCATGAGGATCCAGCGCGGCCGGAGCACGGTTGGTTTTCACGCTGCAGAAGCGGCATCCGCGTGTACATGTGTCGCCCATCAACATGATAGTCGCCGTCGCAGCAGCCTTGTCACCACCGCCCCAGCAATCGGAGATATTTGGGCACCGAGCTTCCTCACAGACAGTGTGTAGGTTCAATCCGCGCAAATCCTTCTTCAAGCGCTGGTAGTTCTTCGAATCCGGGATCGGGGTCTTCAGCCATTCGGGCAGTCGGGTGATTTCCTTCTTGCGACCGGCCGGTCCGGCCATGGCTTTCTTGAGGGCATAGGCTTCCGAGGGGTCGAGGGGTTCTTCCTTCGGGCCCGAGACGAAATCGGCGAACGATGGGCCTGCATTCAGCTTGTCCTTGAAGGTAGTTGCTTGTCGGCGGGTGCTTCCCGCTGGTAGGTTGGTGGCGGAGGAGGAATCGGTGGTGGCATAGGTGCGGTAAGAGGTGAATGTATAAGAGGGAGCGACAGCCGATCGGACGGCAGAAATGCGTCGCAGACTCCGTGTTGGTGCTGCCATTGTGTGTGAGGGGAGGGGGGTTGTTGAGCTTGAAGAGGGAGGTTCACGCAATGCGCAGAGAAAGATAGGCCAGGTTCGAATCCCGCGGGAAAGCGTCGATGACTCAGCAGGCATGATTCGGGGGACTTTTGTTCCGCGGCTCTCGGCGAGGCGACCCGACAAGGTTTCTCTACTTTAAATAATACTTTAAAGGAGAAATAGAATTGGAAATGGCATAAACAGGTTTTCTAAAAGGGGAGATGGCAATTTTTTTATTTTGAAAAAAGAAAGATATCGAAAAGTGGATAGCTGGTTGCTATTATGATTATGCACTAGTATGCTACTGATTCTAATTGTACAGGTTGCCTTGCATGAAACAAACAAAAAGTAAAAGATGAAAGAAAATAAAAATAAACAATTTCCAAAGGATTCGAGCCGCAATGCCAGGGTATTCAAGAAACACCATATCAGACCAAATAAACACCAAACAATGAGTCAATGAAAATGTCAAATCAACCAAAGGGGAATCATTACTAGAAAGTGAAGGAACGAGGAGGCCACGCCAAATGGCCAAGACTGGAGTGAGTCAAAAAGGAGAAGAGATCAAGGAAGGGAGCAGAGTTTGACGAGACGGTGGAAGGAAATAGGTAAAGGAGGGATTAGGTAGCCTTGGTTTCGAGAACCTGCGCCAAGACTTCGACTGCAGATTTCAGTGTGCTATCGGATCGTCCACAGATGGCAAACAGCAGGTTGTCAACAATTTTCTCGACTTGTTGACGAAGATCACTGCTGCGGGAGCCAATGAACCGATCTTTGCGGTGACTGGGTGATCCAGTCGGGAGTTGGATGCCCAGGGTGCTATATGCTTTTGCGGGAATGGCATCCACGGCATACATGTCGTTTCGGACAGATAATGAAGGTCTGCGGCGATGGGTCGCGGCGAGAGAAAGGAGATAATTGCGAGCGATGACTGCAGCGCACAGACAATCTAATAGATTCTCTGTGGCATGTGGGAAAATAGTGCGGAATGGCCGCAGGAGGGCCTTTTCGTCGTTCTTGCGGAGGAATACGATGACTGGTGACGTGAGACGTAGCATGTTGCGAGGGAAGTCTTTGACGGAGTGTTCGAGTTCTCCAAGCGTCCATTCATGGTCGTCTATTGTCCACTCATGTCGCCATGAACCTTGTTTCTCCAATTCTTCCTTGTCAGACTTGATAGATCGATCTGGCGAGGTATGAGCAAGCGGTAATGGCGAGGCCCGAGGGCTGACACTGCCTGATCGTATCTCAGGCTGCGGTGATGTTTCGCGCTCTCCCTGCGCGGAGTCTGAACGTTCGCAAACAACAGTTGATGTGACGCTGTCTGATGTTAATGATCCAGGATCAGTATATGTGTCGTCGTCCTTGCTGTCCGGGTAACTGTCCAGAGAGTAACCAGATTCCCGAGTACCGTAGCCACTATCAGACATAGCCAGGGGGTTGTCTTGAGGTGTATCAGGACTGAATGCGGAAACTTCCTCTTGGATCTGGTCAGGCGTCATTGGGACTGCGTGCGTCGGTACAGGAGGCGGTACCGGGGATGGATCCAATGAGGGAGAAGGCGCTACAGACGGTGAGGACTGTCGCGCAATGTCTACTAATCGGGGTTTGCTGGCAACGGCAAATCGCTAGAAAATTGATTAGCCAGGTCCAATATATGCCACCTTGGCACAACTTACCACAGGTTCATCAAGAGCCTTAGCCCCGGGAATGGCGTGTAATGAGGGCATGGGTGGATCCTTCTCAACGATCTGGAATTTTCTCCTGTTCGACACCCGGGGGTTTTCATTTTGAATACCATTTGGAGACTCCAGCGGCACACCTTGGAGCCATGTCTTGCAATACGAGAAGTTGTTTGGCACCCAACTTGCTTCGCTCGAGACAGTTCCAGTTCTCGGGCGTTGTGGTTCCGGGGACCTGTCTGAAACAGACCCTGGGTTGAGTTCAGATGCAGGTGATGTGAAAGGAACCGGTGGAGCTTTAGGTCCATCTGATGGTGATGCTATTTCGTCACTCTCGCATTGCCGCATGAAATTCGAATGTGCTTCTTGAACGCTTGTGACATCTGCCAGTCGTGGATCGACCGGACTAGTCTGCCAAGAACGATAGATAGTATGTGGTGGATTCTGAACCTGTTCTGACTGTTTTTCATGCTTCACTGTAGTTTCTTCACGAACTTCCTTTGTGGGCTTCTCTGCTGGTTTCTCCGTTGGTTTCTCTGGAGTCGGCGCTTCCGGCGCTTCCAACTCATAGGGACCATTCTCACCGTCCACGTGCGAAGTTTCTTTGCAGGCGAAATAAGATTCAGGTCCCGTACTGGCAGGCCTTGAATCTGAGATGGGAGGACTTGGTAGCAGTCCAAAAGCAGACATGCTCGTCGATATCAAATTCTGATCAGATCTCCACGTTCGCAATGAATGGCCGTCCGGCAGCCTTGATCCCCGAGCTGTCTTGGGAGCGAATGGCGGCGCACCGTCGCATGATGTAGATACCGGGGAGGATACCGAGGCTGGTGATTTGGGTAGCATGAGTTGAAATGGTTCCTTCATCCTTCGCACTGAGCGAAACGGAGACATCGTGGCTTGTCCGCGATCCATGGAGAAACGTGGCAGTGATGGTGAAACTTCATGTTCTGATCGTGGTATGGCCGGGGCCGGCACAAATGATAAACTCGGAAATTGCCTACTCCTCCTTCGGGGTTGATATGTGGGCGACCATCGGCGTGGCGACGGGATGGGCTCGCCAAGAGCCATAGCATCATGGCTTAATGAAGACGAATAGGAGTCCTGGTTCCTGATGTGAGTTTTGATAGGAGCCGGGAAACATGGATTCGCAGGCATTTTGGTGGCACCACCGTCCATGGTGGCCATGGTGGCCATGGCGCGGCCTTGATATGAAGTAGTCCTGTTCCCAACTAGATGGAAGGGAAAAAGCAAAATGACTGGTCACACAAGAGTTACCTGGATGAGAATGCGATGGGTCGAGTGAGAAAGTGAGAGATTACCGGTCAAAACAAAACCGTCCGCCCATGCAGGGGCTCGATATGTCCTTATACAAACCGAGTTGCTAGCCAGGTAGTTCCAGGTGGATAAGGGTCACCAGGGACTACAGTATCCCTTGACAGGAACCACCACCCTGCCGTCAAGAAACCCGGGCATGCTGAAAATGGGGCCCCCTTCAGGCTTCCCCTCCGGCACTCAATGAACTCAGCTCACAGAAGGCACGGGCCAGGACAATAATAGTGAGAATGAGCTCGCCCCATCCTTGCATTCCTGTTCACAGTGAGATCAGAGCAGAGCGACGAGGTTTGATTGGTTCCGGAGGCCAGATCTGGGTCCTGCAGGCGTCCGTCAACGTGGATGGACCCTCCCCCGTCGCCAAATCTCGTCATGGACCAGCGGGTGAGTGGAGCTCAGGAATGAGACAATTGGGATGGACAGCAGGGAAAAGGGTTGCCGTGGCGAATCAGACCCTGTGAAAGGGCAACAGGATCGTCAACAGGGTGTATGCGAGCGGGTCATCATTGGATGTTGTGTCTCGCCATCACCCCTGGTGAAGAAGAGAGGGTTCATCCCTTGCATTGTCCGGCTCATGCCTGGATGTGGTCTGAAACTGGAGTATAAAATGCTTCGCCATGGCGTTGGATTCCTGCCCAGCGCCCGTTGCCATTGTGTGTAGGAGAAAATTTGGAATCAAATCCACGTATAGTACTCCGTAAAGCAGTGTTCTTTCACGAAAGTGACGTGTTCCTGGTAGATCCATGATGGGCTGTTTCATATAGTTGCATAGTTCCTGTTTACTCGGCGAATTGTCTAGATAGTGGATCATAGATGATTGATAGGTCCAACTTTTGACCCGCGTAGATTGATAGATGTGATTTTTCAGTTTCGGGCACAGTAAGATTAAGGCCACAGGACAGCGATCGTGATAGATCGGGGGGAAGTGAAGCAGAGTTTCATACTGGTCACATTCAGCCCGTGGAGGATGGCGCGCAGTTTGGCATTTCCCGGTTGGCGGGAGGTGGAGGTGCAAACACTGCAAACACTCGGCTTATCGTGGCTTATCGCGACGGAAAAAAAAGATTGACGGCGGCTGGGAAGGCATTCAAGTTCAAGTTCGGAAACTTAGCCCTCCCCATATTTCATGCACGACCCCTCTCAAGGGAACCCCCCCCATTCTCCATGCTTTCTGAATCATTCGTCGCGTCGACGCTGCTCTCCGCTAAATCTCCGACCGCCACGCTGAGAGATGTCGGGATTTGCGTGCAGGAATTCCAGCCTTCTCCCCAGCTTCGATCCACTTTCAAGAAGAGCTCAACTAATGCCAATGGCCTGGCTGTGAGCCCTACGCATATCTTCGCCGCACAGGCTGAGAAGGCGGTCGTTCACGTCTATAGTCGGGAGAAGGGAAACCAAGAGGCCCTCGTCGCTTTCCCAGAGCGCATCCGCAGCATTGCTGTTGCCGGTGCAAAGTATGGCGATGTGCTGGTTCTTGGCACGGAAGGTGGTCGGTTGATCCTGTGGGAGGTATGAGACTGGTTCTATCTTGTTGGCGGCATGATCTGTCAAATCAATCGGAGCTGAAACTAACTTGCGAATTTCTAGACCTGTACTGGACGCCAAGTATCCACTACCGCCTCTCATCTTCAGCCCGTCACCTCACTCGTTGTCGACCCCACCTCGAACTTCATCCTGTCCGGCTCGCCTGATGCTGCTGTGCATGTCTGGTCCTTGCCCGGAATTCTCTCCTTTTCGAAACCTGCTTCAAGCCAAACGCGCCAGCCCTCCAATGCCCCCATCCGCACCTTTTCCAATCATCGCGCCGCCATTACCGCTCTTGCGATTGGACACAGCAATGGCCGACACAACATTGCGGTCTCAACGGCAAAGGATAATACAGCAATTGTATGGGACTATTATACTGGTCGGGTTCTGCGGACATTCCTCCTCCCCTCTTCTGCGACATCTGTGGCGCTAGATCCCGTCGACCGCGCCGGCTACGTTGGATACGAAGACGGAAGCGTGCAGTCAATAGATTTCTACCGTGGCAACACAGCACAGCATACCATTCACGATGCCTCGCTTCAATCTACACCAGCACAAGTGACCTCGGAAGGCCGATGGCTGCCGCCTTCGGCCGACTCAGGCTCAACCCGTGCCCTTTCCCTATCTTACGATGGTACCATTCTGCTCTCGGCGCATGAGAGTGGAAAGGTTCTGTCATGGAATATTGCCCGTCGCAAGTTTGCGACAACTGTCGGCGACTACACTCACCCCGTTACAAACCTGGTTGCGTTGCCACCAAGCGGTCTTCAGCAGGCTTCGAAGGAATTGAAGAGAACCGCTCACACCATCGTCAAGCCCCGTCATGATAATGCCTCTTCCGATCCGTCGTATGCTCCAGGTGCTGTCCCGGCCGACTACGTTTTCAACACTCACATTCTTGCCCCCTCTCAACCCCGCAATCCCAAATCGACTCTTTTCTCCCAAGCCCTCACACATGCAAGCTTCCCCGACTCAATGATCGACGATGGTCTCGCTGAATTGGCTGCGCTTCGCACCCCCGGTGGAGCCGACGTCGCTCGTGTTGTGCCCGTGACATCTACCACTTCAGAGCCTACTGAGGACGCATCCTCCCGAGACAACCACGTCACAGAGCTCGAAACCGAAGTGGCCATGCTCAAGAAGAAGGCGGCGGTGAATGATACTGCTCGACACGCTACTGCGGATGAGGTTGTGCAATTGCGCTCGGACCTGGCGACCCTGCAGGATTACATCAATGAATTGCATGGAAAGCAGGAGGCCGCACAACGTGACAAGGTCGTGCGCCAAGCAAGGAAGGAAGAACGTGAGACCAAGAAACGGGAAGCGTGGCTCGCTGCTGAGAAAAAAGGGCGCAATGGCGACGCCGCCATGAAGAAGATGGATGTTGATGGTGGCGGTATGACTAGCGATTCGGATGACCTCAGCGATGAGTAAGGGGTTCTTCACAAAAAGAAATTTCTGGGATATATTGTGTAAAATTTTGGACTGGAGTCAAGGTTATACATTTTTCTTCATATACTCATGGGAACAGCTTCGCTCCCACCAATACCATCGCTTCTTTGTGGGGTGCAATGCCATTTCTTCTAATGATCTGAACTACTAGCACTCATTCAAGCTCCCTTGCATCACGCCTACGTAGGAATATAACTGACTAGCAACTTCAATGATTATTGCAATTGTTCAAGTTTTAAGTTTATTCACCATGTGCCGTAATAACTTCGAAAGGTCGCATAATGACGAGCCTGCTCATGCTTTATTCAAAATACCATGCAAAGCCTCCCTCTTAGATCCTTCTTCTGGTAATGATCAAACATCTCATTGATCTCCTCCACCCCATAGGTCTTCTCAATATGTGTTTTGCAACCATGATCGGCATGCAAATTGATCATATCCTGACTCTGCTCAGGTGTACAAATCAACCGACCTTTCACAGTTTGCTCCTTAAAGCTCAGTGCGAACGGATCTACTTCCAAAGACGTCTCCGATGGCAATCCCACATCAACCAAAACCCCACCCTTTCTCAGGAATTGCTGTGAGATTTTAACCAATTCCCGTGCCTCGGCGTTGATGACAATCCGATCAACTCCAGGATTCGTATCGTAGAATGACGATTGAAGCTCCTCCACGACCCGCTTCTGTGCATCCTCGGAATCAATCACAAAAGACTTATCAGGCTTCAGATGCGATGGCACAGACTGAGCGGTTTCAATGCCTTCTTTCCGATTGTCGATAGCGATGACTTTGCAACCCATCGCCTTCGCATATTGCACACCCAAATGGCCAAGACCACCGATCCCAACCATCGCCAGCCATTGTCCTGGCTTCACCCCCGCTGCGAGAATCGCACCATATGTAGTCGCGCCTGCGCAGAATAGAGGAGCTGCCTCTGCCCACGATATCGACTTGGGGATCCTTGCCACGACACGCGCATCCGCTTTCATGTACTGCGCAAAGCCACCATTGATCGTGAGGCCCAGCATACCAGTCAAATTTTCGCAAAGTTGTTGGCCCTGATACTTGCAAGCATTACAAGTACCGCAGAAATTGTAGGTATTGATAGATCCCACGCGATCGCCGACGTGGATGTTATATTTGCCTGCATTTGATCCTTCCTTGACGACTATTCCGGCTGGTTCGTGCGACCCGATCAAACCAGGCTTCGCTCCGTCCGACTCATAGACGCCTTGCATTACTTGAAGATCAGTGTGGCAGTAACCGGCGGCGGCGATTTTGACGAGAATATCGTTTGGACCTAGGGTCGGTTGGAACATCAACGTCGCGGACCTCGTACCCCTTGTTGAAGTCCTTCACAACCGCCGCTCGCATTGATTTGGGAATTTCATTGGTCATGGTTGGATGGAATAAACCGATTGTTTGGAAAAATGAAACGGTTCAATTTGAAAAGTCTGGAGTTTTATTTCTACGCTCTCTTTTGAAAACAGGCTGGGTGACAGAATCGGAACGTCATTCTATCAGTCTTCATAACTTGTTCGAGCTCCAAATGATGAGAACGGCCATGAGCAAGAAGTGAACCGGACATTGGACAAATACAATTGCTACGCATTATCGTAGACATTCCATGGCACTGAAGCTGGACAAGATCTGATAACGAAACTTGCAAAGGGATGTCTTGGCCAAGGCTTACTCACCCATGACGCAAATATTTGATAATGTACTTTTGTCCTTCTACAAGCCCGAGCTCGGGGTCCTTTGAACCTTCACGGAGGCTGTAAAGCCCCTTAGATATGAAGTCACTCAGTTCCACGTTAATTTGCGTGACTTGTGGCTTGCTGGGTGGCAATTTCAAGGACAAGGGGTCTCCAGAAGTATAGTCCATCTCCGCATTTACGCCACTCGAATTGGCCTCGATCAACCATATTCTGGGGTTCCCAGATACATGATTTGTCTTGAGGTTTTAATTTATCACCCGGGGAGCTCTTTTATTGGTGCCCACTTGGACCTTCAGGGGTCTCGCCAGGATCTGGTATTCGCCCCCATCAACCCGAGACGATCGCCGCCAGATTCCATGATGTCAATTTGCCTCATGTCTTGCCACAATACGAACTATATATCAACATTCAAGATAATTCCTGTTCAAAAGAATACTTCACATGCCGAGCACGGTTACATGAAATTTGCGAATAAACGAAGCACGTCGCACCCCACGACATTCAACGACATTCACGCTCCCTATACAGTACTATCAACCTGAACTAGCAACCCATCTTTTTTCGCTCACTCCATCCCTCCCCCATAATGTCAGAATCCTACACAAGTTCTACCTACTATTATAATTCCACTACAAGCAACAGTGGTGACAAAACGACCAGCGGTCACCGCTACTCAACATCCTCCCACACCGACCCCGATGGCACAACCATCGTCCGCACAGCCCACCAAGACCTCGGCCAACCCGCAGTGATCGAAGAACGACGCTACGATCGAACCGGCCAAGAAGAGCTGGCGCTACCAGGCCCCGAGGGCACATCTGCGGGCGGAGTACGACGGATCACAGACCTAGACGAAGAAGACACCGCTGGGTCTGCAGCAATTGACACAGGTAATGCATATGGAGCCACGACGCTCGGAATATCTATAGATGACGATGTGGATCGAGGCTCATTTGCAACAAAGGTGTATGATCCCAGCTCTGGGGCTTATGATGAACATTCGGATTTTGATGTTGATGGGGGCTCGCGGCATCATCGGGAGATGAGGGATTCTGGAGGTAGGGTGTTCCATCGCGACTTTGATGTTGATAGGTCGGGATTGTCCTCTTTTGCTAGGGAGCGGAAGGTTTTTGAAGATCCGCTGTCTGGGACTAGAGTGCAGCGGGAGGAGGATGTTGATGTTTCGGATATCATCTAGTTGTCGCACTGGAAGACCTCGCAGATAAAAATTAAGAATGAAATGGAGTACAATATCTCTAAAGTACCCTTTGAACGCAATGTATCAAAGTTGTACCGGAAATGCTTCGAGTTGAGGGATGGCTTGATTGATTAAAAGCACAGCTCAGAAAGAATGAAAAGAATAAATACAAAGCTTAAAAATGCAATCCAAAACGTACACAGTCACAAAGTAGAGTAGATTTGGCCACTGGCTTCACTCCTGTTCTACCTTAATACTGGATGACTCTTCGTCAACTCCATAATATGCCTTGAAAAGGGCATCAGTTTCATCGTGACCGAGCGGGAACGCCATTGCATTATATGCTCGAAAATAGTATATAGCCCTCGCCGTGTCTTGATCGAGTTGTTTTAGCGTAGCGATGCCTTTGTAAAACCGACACATCTAGGGCAATTCAGCTTGGCCAATAAAGTTTGACTCTAGATAAGGTACTAACCTCTCTGACACCTGCATCGTGAAAAAGTTTTGCATTCGGATTTGGTGATGAAGTGAAAACCCTGAGTGTGATTTTGCATGTGCGGCCATAGAAGAGTGTGACGAATGTCAAAGGATCTGTCGTCAGGGCGTTCCACCCGTTGAGCACGATGAATAATTCAAGTCTCGTCTTGTCCGCGTCCGCAAGCAGCTGGAGGAAGTAGGTGTAATCGTCGATGCCTTGTCTTCGTTTGTCCACTTGGTTGAGTGGGAGATCGCAGCGTTGATTGGTGACCCCCCGATATTTGTATTCCTCTGGCTCGCCATACCGCTTTTTATAGAAGCCATGAATCGACACAAGTTCGGCGAAAGTCGAATCATAAGCGGCAACAGGGCGCATACGGGCGACAAAAAGAACCATAGGATTTGGATCTTTGGTTTCGGCTGAGTATGTCTCAATTGGTGATAGGATTCGGCTCGTAGGCGGCTGCTTCTCGGGGGAGGTGGATTGAGAATTAAAGCAAAATAGGCACTTGTATTCGATTTTTTTGTTTCGACAGAGAATGCTCCAGTTGATGATAGGAATTGGTTCGCAAGAGACCGCTTCGAGAGGGTACTTGAGCTGAGGAGTCTAACGAAATAAGCGGTGAAACTTGATATCAAAGCTTGGTCTTACCTTTGTTGTCGTGATTGTGAGTTTGGTTCCACGGTGTAAGGGATCCACGATTTTTCCAAGTTTGTTGGCATTGTAAGGATTTGAATATGGGAAATTTGGTTGAATGAAGAGAGAGAGAGAGACAGAGAGGGAGAGAGTGAGGAAACCTGAATAGCAAGACAGAGTAACAGTAAAATGAAAGTGCAGTTTGAAGGAAAGCACGCCCCGCCACAATTAATTAACATACAAGTGCCTATGGTATAGAAATAAAGCTCAGTCTACAGTCGACTCCTTACTACCCAATCTTCCATCAGAACTCCTCCTGGAGGTGGCTTTTCGGGTGGCGTGGGTATATGATCAATCACTTGGGCTCTTCGACGTCGTTTCGGGACGGGTGGGCTTGGACTGGGTGGCCTTGGAATAGGTGGATCCACAGGCAACATTCGATGCCCCGGTCCATATATGTTGTGCGGCGCTGTCTTGCTCAATGAGATCTCCAATCTCGGCCAGACCCTGAAATATTTCAAGAAAACCCGCGTCGACGGATCCAAGTCCTTCTCGCTCCGTCGTCCGAGAAATACAAGACAAATCTGGGTTAGATTAGTTTCACGGAGCAAAGAGAGATTCAGGCCACTATTTGGAGGACTCACGTGAAGTAAATTGATGTTGTAGAACTTTGCACCGGAATTGTCATAGGTTGGAGGATCGCTGGCATACACAAGAAGAACCGCCAGATGGTGTTTCATCCAGAAGATCTCGAGAAACAAGAGAGTATCGGTGGTTAATCCGTCCCATCTGTTCACCACGATGATGATTGCTTGATTTTCTTTTTCTAATGCAGAAAATAGAGCCTTGAAATTGCCACGGAGGCTGGAATCGGCCGGGAGGGGGAAGTGCGAAAATGGGTATTCAATGAGAAGGTGACAGGCCTTGGTTGGCAGCGCGCCGTACTCTCTGATGAATTCGACTGTGATTTTGGAAAGTTCTGCTCCTGCTTGCTCTTTTGGCTGGGGATTAAGGTTCCCACTGCCATCATTGGAAGGCATTTGCCGAATTCTGCCCACGAAAAGGAACCTGAAGAGGCGAGTATCGGGAACATTGGACATAGAAACTTGACTCATGGGAGTAGGCTGTGGCACTGTTTTGTAAAGATATGAAGCACTCGTGGGTTGAGTAATTGGTACATTTGTGAGATGATTCGATGGAGATGAAGAGGAAGAGGGAGAAGTTGGCTGAGCAGGTGATCACGCCTGCCTTTTCTACTTCCACAAACGACAACAACAACAACACACAACACACAACACACAACACACAACACACAACACACAACACACAACACACAACACACAACACACTTGAACTTGAACTTGAACCAGCTTGCGCTTTTGCAAACACTTTATCAATTGGTATGTTTTGTATATTCCAAGTTTTCAACATCAATGGCTGACACTAATCTACCGAACAGTGAAGCCGCCATCAACTCGAATGTCCGCACCGTTGATCATCCCACTGGAGTCCTATTCAACGAGTGAGCACCATGCACAATCAACACCTCTGGACGCATTGGAAAACTTACCTGACAAAGGAATAGAACAGCATCCGCCACCTCCTCCGGAAGTGCAAACTTGCCAGTGGGAATATTCTTCAAGAATGCCTCCCTCACCGACGTCTCACCCCAAGCCTTCTGTCCCAGCGCCGTCCACGCAACAGTTGGAGAAACAGTATTAGACGTGATCCCCCGGCCAGCCCACTCCGATGCCATACTGCGAGTCAGTCCCCCGAGCGCAGCTTTGGAAGCGCAATAAGCACCATGACGGTGCAGAGCCGCATGCGCAGCCTGCGAAGAGATACTCACGATCCTCCCAGGCGGAGGCGGACTAGTCGATGACTCGGCGACCTTCGAAGCAGCGAAATACAATCGAGCAAACGCCTGCGAGCAGAGCATCGGACCCAGAACATTGGTCGTGAGATGCTTCATGGTTTCCTCGGGCGGTGTGATCTCCATATCGCTGAGCGATACATATCCCGCCGTATTAATCAAGATACTCGGGAATGCCCGGTCGGCGAGTGACGAGGAAGCCGGGGCGACAATCTGCTTCTCAAGCGATTCGAACGCCGATTGGACTGAGTCCGCAGACGTGATGTCGCACTCATAGGTGCGGATATCGTCCAGGTCGGTACCCCCGTACCCAGCCTCGAGCAATTCATCCCGCCGCTTCGCTTCAAAGGGCGCGTAAAGGATCGCGACTCGTGCTCCTTGCTCTCGCAGTTTCTTGCCGATACTCGAGCCCAGTCCGCCTGTCGCGAAATCGAGGTTAACCCCTGCCTCATCATCCCGAATGATCGCGTTGTCTCAGGTGATTTGTGGTCTCCCTACCTAGGCCTCCGGGAGAGGATGGCTAATCTGCGAGCGAAAGCCATGGTTCTCTGCTAATTTCCGCGAATCACAATGTTCTCTGCCGCACGATAGTTTATTTTAGTGAGACACTGGAGATATGATCGTCTGTGTTGCGATAATATTGAACTTAGCTTGACGTTTGTGTCAGCTTCCCCTCGTCAAAGCGAGGAGTCGACGCTTCGAGTAATGATCGGTGTTCTCCCCGACTTGCTATTCCCGGGGGAATACTATGGGGAACCTGACGTCAAGCGTCCCACAACACATTTAAATTGCTAAACTAGTGCTTACCTGACTTCACCTACTCTTTATGCCCCACAGGGTCATCTATTCTGTGAAAACTAGCGCGTAATGGTCCTTAAGCATGCATTGATCTGAATTTTTCACTCTACATCTTTATGTTGTCTTTCAAGTTGCGGAGTGCAACTGCCAGAACATGCCTCGCCTACCCAAAAGCTCTTGCGGTGCTCCTAATTCAGATACTGTACCGTGATTCATGACCATGACCAGATCCGAGTCCATCACAGTGTTGATTTGATGGGAAATTGAGATTACAGTCCGTCCTTTTAGCTTCTCGCGAAGAAGCTCCGTGGCCAATCTCTCGGTGTGTTCATCAAATCCGGCCGTAGGCTCGTCCATGATGATGATCCTGCCAGGAAATAGAATAGCACGGGCAATGCATAAAATCTGCTTTTGGCCATTGGATAGATTAGTTGAATCGATGTTCGCACTCAGGCCACCGTGGTCTTGGATTTGATGCCAAAGTCCGACTTCCTTCAAGGCAGATACCATCACTGAATCATCAATAGTTGATGTAATTCCCAGGGCAAGGTTTTCACGGATTGAACCGGGAATAACTAATGGATTTTGAGATATTGGGACCAATGCAGAATGAAGCTTCTCTTTGGGAAGAGTTGAGATGTCGACTCCGTCAATGAGGATTTCGCCCGACGTGATCGTCACGAGAGAGAAAAAGCAGGCAAGCAAAGAACTCTTTCCACTGGTCGAGTTCAGTCGTTACTCATTTATTCAGAGGGGTTTCTAGTCTTACCTTCCGGTTCTCCCACAAATACCTAGCTTCTGGCCGCCCTCTAGGCTAAATGAGACATTTTGCAATACAGGGGTGGAAAAATCCCCCCCTGGGAGCAATATTAGTCATTGATTCAATTGATCTCGAAGGTGATGCTCAAGCAAAGGCTTACCCATATGACGCAGAAACTCTTCGGAATTCTACTCGACCTTCCCACGGCCAACCCTCTGGACAGGTTATCTCGTTCCTAGCCGGTTGTAGTTGCAGGTCTGTCACAAATAGTTTGATTCTCACAATTGCCCCTAGAGAAGTCTCCAGCTGTGTCCAGTTCGTGATCAACAATGTCAATGTTGTATTGAATGAAAGAAGGTTCACAAGAGCAACTCCGAGGGCTCCAGAGCTAGTCTTCTTGCTGACAAAAATAGCCAATGCCACCAGAACGGTCGCAATTCCTGCCATGAGGAGATCCAAAACAACCTGCAGCCACTGCTGAATGGAGTACATGGTGTAAAATGGCTTCTGTGACGTGTCGAGGAGCTCGGCATTTTGATCTGAAAATGCTTGCTGCCAATGAAGTGCACGGATGGTTGTAAGGCCCTCTGTGGTTTCCAAGAATTGGGCGTAAAGGGGAGCCTTTGCTTCCAGATCAAGGAGTCTGACCTGCCGGGAAGTTCGCAAGTAGAAAGCTTGGATTGTCCATACTGCCATAATACAGAAGGGGATTACGACAGCCATGTAACCCGATCCAGTAGCTATCAGGGCGCCTTGTGCGATGCAAGTCAAAACGTCTGCTCAAAGGTTAACTAGTGCTTGTTATTTATCAACCTTGAAGGACCGGAGACCACGAACTCTGAAGACTTATGCCGAATGCAACAGGAAGCTGCATGTCAAGAAGTGACATGTCCTGGCTGAACCTGGAAGCAATCAGCATCTATTGAAAATGAAATTTCGTGGCGTCTCACACAGATACCTTACCTATTAATGAGATTACCTGTATCTATTCGAGCTAAGCTAGGCCAAGGTGCTCTAGAAAAATCTTCAGTGAGAAATTCAGACTTATATCTGGTGGGCCTTGATCTCTCACCTCATGACCGTGTCCAGAAAAACTTTATGTAGCTGGACAGCAGACTTGGGAACAGCCCACACAAAAAAGAATCTAAGATGCATGAGAAATCTTGACGAACATATTGAGTGGAAAGCGTCAAACATACCCAATAAAAGCGGCCATCGCAATGATGGCGATCGACGATATACCGACGTAGGAACCTAGATACGTGTAGTTCTTTTGGGGGGCCGAGCCACACCACCAGCTCAGCATAACCTCTGCAATGAATTGGTATTTAGCAACTGACCTTTCTGGATAGGACCACAGAGATAGATACTCACGCGGAAAGGAAATGCAGAACACGAATAGACATGCGAATACCAGCGTTAACCCAAATACCCACCAGCCGAATGATCTGATGTAGTAGGCATAGAGCGAGATGTCCCCACCACCTCGGGGTGTGTTAGGAACTGTCTCTCTTTTAGCGATCTCTCCGGCTTTTTCCTTCACTTCTTGTACTCCTTCGAGCCTGGAATCACCCTCTTTGCTTTCTTCTTGGATACCATTGTCTTCGGAGGTTATTGAACGAGAAAGGCTCAGCAAATACTCGTTTTGATTCACCAGTTCTTCGAAACGCCCTTTGGCTTCCACGCGACCATCTTTTGAGAGAACAATCAAATTGTCCGCTTCTTTCAAATGTTGCACTATTGATATCAAAAAAGCCATCAGCGCCGTAATTGTTCATATGGGCACATTGGACTCACCTGCTGTTGTCACAAGAATAGTATCCATCCCGATCCTTCTGGCCAGGCCAGCACGACCGAGCACTTGCTGGAAGACTATCTTTGATGTCACTGCGTCCAATGGGCCAAAACAGTCATCTAAAACCAGTAAAGATGGTCTCGCATAGATTGCTCTGGCCAAAGACTAGACTCATGCGGGTCAGCAGCTAGAAAAAACCAAAAGAAATTTCATCCGCATATTACCAGTCGCTGCTTCTGTCCTCCGCTCAGCTGAGCTCCTGAGCTCCCAGCTACTGTGTCAAGCCCGAGAGGAAGTGTGGTGGCCTCAATGTCCAAGTTACAGGCATGCAACACTTCTTCGAGCCATTTTTGGTCGGCGTGTGATTCTCCGATGATGTTCGCTTTCAGTGTCCCATTGAATATCCACGGGTTTTGCTTGCAATACGCCATCTTGACAGGAATAACGGACAGAATCCCTTCTCTTAGATGCATTTCGCCGAGCATTGCTTCGAGCAAGGAGGACTTGCCAGAGCCAATAGGGCCAGTCACCGCTGTGAATGAAGCATGCTGTATCTTTAGTGTTATCCCATAGAGAATCGCTGGTTTGTCCGAGCCCAGGCTGAAGCTGCAGTCAGTCATGGAAACAAGGGGCTCGGGCTGAGCCGATACTGAGTTAAGCTTCGTTCCTAGAACGTTCTGAGGTGCTACCCATTCACCCCCTGCTAGGGTCTCGCTCGTTCGGCTGTCCTTGTAAAGAAATTCTTGGATCCGATCGAAACAGCCTATAGCGGATGTGAATCTCGTCCATGAGACCGATAGTAACACCACCGGGCTTGTCAGAAGCGAAATCAAAGACAGGGATGTAAACACAACATCAGTGCTGGGTGTCTCTAGTCTAAGATTCAGCTGCGTAGCGGCATACACGGCTATTGTCACAGCGGGAGCGATGGCGGTCGATAGGGCGCTCAAAACATTGACACCGACAATCATTGATCGATAAGACTTAGATTGACGTAGTTCCGATTCGCGAAGTCTGTGTATCTTGAGGCCTATGCCGGACTCGGCACCGAACATTTTGATCTGTCTCAGTTCTTTGAGTATCACTGAAGTGAAACTGACTCTCTCCTGAACAGCTTGTACCCATATTTTTTGCCATTGCCGCATTCGAGGCGCGAGATAAGAGGATCCTAGTACGCTCACTATTTTTGGTCAGTTTTCTATGTCTTTTAGTCGCCGGGTTTCCAAGAAATTACCCAAAGTAACAGCCAGAGCGGCGACTGAGGGGTACCCAACGGATCTACTTAGCAGCACAAGCGCAATCACAATCTCTACCGGTGATGCCCAGAGTTCGTGGAAGTTCAACAGCCCTGTGACAATCCGATCGACATCGGTGCTCATTAAGGTGGTCGAACGTGTCTCTTGACATTGACCTGAAGCTTGGCAAAGGGTCTTCACATATATCTTCGTAACTAACGATCCACGGGTAATAGTGACCATGCGAATAGCCTGACGCTTGAACAAAGCAGTGCTTACCTAGAATTTTTAGCAATCGAGGAATTGATTCAGAAGGGGACGTGTGGACCACTTACTGCTATCCCCACATAAATTAACACTGTCGCACCGATGAAGCCGTACTTGACCCCGGCAGGCTCACTGGAGCCGTTGTCGGACACGTAATTAATGAGGTCGTTAATGAGAAAGGGCTGGGCAAATTTGAACCCAGTAAGGCAAAGGCGAGGGCCGACTGCCGCTGCTATCGTCCATCTCAAGTCGTAAATGATGTGACGGAAAAGTGCTAGCCGTCGAGTAGGTTTTTCTGGTAGTCAAGAGTCAGTCTCCAATCCCATTAATTCAAACCATCCAAGCCACCTTTGTTACCATTCAATTGCTGATTGCTGCGGGAAATGAGAGACTTAGTCAAGAGCTCCCCATCCAGGGGATAGAGCTCATCGAGGGATAGCTCGCCTCGGAAGCCACTTATGAACAGCCCGTTGAGCCACCAGTAGGTACTCTGACTGAAGATTCCAGTGAAGTTTTCTGGAGAAATACGGCCATATTGAGGGCTTAGGGGTTTTCTGCTCTCACTAGTCTCCAGCACGAGCAACAGGGACCGGACCACGAGAGCAACAGTGACTGTCGCCGCGAGAGGGTAGCTTGGAGGATGCAACAACCACAGAGTCCGTACTTGCACAATTTCAAATATGATGCTCCCCAGAAGATACAGGCAGATCAAACTCGACGGCCTCAGGGAGCGTGCATGGTCATAGTGCGAAAGCAGTAACAGTGCCTGAGTGCTAAGAATGCCCACTGTAGCTGACGCAATCGAGATATTTGTTACCCGAAACTGCGGTAAACACCATAAAATGAGGACAACAAATTTCAGCGCCAGCAATAGCGTATAAAACACCTTTATAACATTCAAATAACATAAGTTTGCAAGCTTCCTTGGAGCATTAGAAGAAGGGAAAATGGAGACCGACCGTCTTGTAAGTGCTAACCACCCCGCGGTGTATCTCTTTTCGCCCCCCGCGAATAAAGTACCACCGACAAAGGCATAGAATGAGAAATGATAGATCAGGAACTAAAGCAAGGATCCACTGCTCGAAGAGGAGTGTAAAGTCGAAGTCGCGACGACAAGGCGACACTCTTGGGCCGAAGTGAGTATCAGCAGAAACATCACACTGCATCTTCACTTCCAAGTGTTTCTTTGGTACACGCGAAAAAGATGAGTTAGCACAGATGAAGGGGGGAAACGGTGCGCAGGTAGAAATCCAGCCTGAGGGAAGTCGTGATCGGACCGGAAATTATTCTTTGTCCTCCAGGGTGTGATTGTGGCGCGCTCCGCGTCTGCAAACGCAGCAACCCTGCCTGATTCCAAGGTTAGATTGGCTGTCAGCGTTGGGATAAACTAGTTGACGCCCGCTGATTTCAAATACGACGCTGGTCGCGCCTCAATTCATCAACCAACTATTTCCCTGCTTCTGTCTCAGTACTGGTTTCTTGATCGCCAGGAGGGTAGACGTTGTAAATAGTTATGGGTGGCCTAAGCAAGGAATCGGGTAAGACTAACCAACTACCGAGGCGCCCCTCATTGAAATGACCACTAAAGCACCCTCCCGGTATTGTACTTAAAATAAATACTCTATTATGGGTCCATATGAATGACAAGCTTTCCTCGCTAAGCATATTATAATTGGAATCTGGCCGATCATCCGCAGGCCAAGGCGTCATGGCATGCAAGGCTAGATCAAGCCACGCCGGCGGTAGGCCGGGGTAAATCTACACCAATTTACCCTTCCACATGACATTATCGAGGGCAGGTTAAGCCTCCTCTGTACGTACAGCATGGATATCCATCCACTCAGTCAATTTATCGAATCGGCGACATTTATGGTGCGTCGAGAAATCCGCCTCGGCCCCAAGCGGCTTAGAGTCGTCCAGCCTCACCAGCACAGGCGTCACGTCCCCTGCACACATCAGATGAATTCGCAGCGTCTCAATGCAGTGGTCGACATGTGTTCTTGACATTTCCGGGGATTTCCGAAACCCTTCCGGTGGCACTTCGTAGGAGTCAAGGTACGTGTACTGCCGAATCATGTTCTAGCACGAGAAATTAGTTCCTATTAGCACATATATCAGATAGATCATTATGCACATACCAGACAATGCAGCTGATGAAACACTTCTACATTAGCTTCGGCGCCTCCGCCATATTGCGTGGGTGTCTGCTTCCAATTTGCATTCGCCGACCGATTGAGCGAGGATAACTTGTTCAGCGGAACGTTGATATCGTTTTCTAAGTATTGTCAGCAGCTTGTCCAAAGAATGGGGCCAAATACAATACTTACGTCTCCAAAGATGATCCCATGCGAGCTCTAGCTCCGGAGTTGGTGATCCTCGGTAAATGGACTCCTGATGGAAGTTGTTCGCCCAGTCGACCTCGTAATATTCCACTGCCTCTAGCAATGGGGCTAAAAAGCTGCGATTAGCAGATATTCAATGGACCTCGGAATAACTATATCGAGAACTTGAAACCCACAGTAAGATGATAATTGCATTGCACATTTCCGGTCACTGGGCGCCCGACTGGTGAGCAATGCAGCAAACAGCAAGCATGTCCCTCCAAGTAGTGCAATTGAAATTGCCAGGAGAACTTGGAGTCCGCAGAATTGTCTACTGGTGACAGATTTTTGTACCCCCATGAGAGGCGAATCCTGTTCAAGTTGCTCTTCATATTTTTCCGGAGAGGATTCTTCTTGAGCTTGAGAGACTCTCATGTAGGCAGATGTGGCGACCATCTCGACCTCTGTTCAAAAGATAGACAGATGCTTGAGTTATGGTGGGTTAAGTGAAGTTTTGAGAAGAATTTGGAATAAGCCCTGGAGGTCAAATGAAGAACTGACAGCTTCCAGCGATTCTCATTCACGACCCCTCAGGCCTGAAATATACTAGTACTTATTCAAATAATCCGAGTGGCTTGCCAATCTCATTTGACCAGGGTCTCAATCGTAAGATTAATCAAGGTTTTTCGGCCAGAGACTCACAACCGAGGGATCTAGACAGATCTCGTGGCTGGAAAGGCCTACATTTTTAGCTCCCAGGGGCCATAAATTCATGTTTGTTGACTGATACTCATGCACTGTAACCCCGACTTTAGTACTGATGATCGTGCCCAAGAAAACATCCCTGTGATGCTAATGATGTTCCTACATCTGACAACATATTCGGCTTTTAGGTCGCATTACGACGGAAAACGCGGTATTATCTTTATGGAAATTGTCAGAATGGCTAGCTGCTAGCATCATGCTTCTCATTTATGAGGAATCACAGGTGAATATTCATTTCTGCCTGGTCATGAGCTTGCAGATTGCGTCGGTAAGCACGATTTCTCCTGGGCATCCATAGACTCGAGTCCTTCTCTTAATCTCTATAAAGGTGGGCTGTTTCCCTGCTCTTCTACTATCACTAAGGACATCTCCCTTTCTATCTAGTTTACACTCATCCCAAAGTTCACCTTTTCAGTCTCATACTATCAAAATGAGATTCTCATCTGCTTTATTTGTTGCACTTTCTGCCTCTTTGGCGGTTGCAGTTCCTGTTAACTCGGGGACTGAAGCAGCCGCTGAATGGTTCGATAAAGCCTACTCTGAGAAGCGTTCCCCTGAGAAGGATGCCGCTGCTACTGAATGGTTTGACAAGGCTTACTCCGAGAAGCGTTCTCCTGAGGAAAATGCCGCTGCTACTGAATGGTTTGACAAGGCCTACTCTAAGAAGCGTTCTCCTGAGGAAAATGCTGCTGCCGAGTGGTTTGACAAGGCCTACTCTAAGAAGCGTTCTCCTGAGGAAAATGCTGCCGCCGAGTGGTTTGACAAGGCCTACTCCGAGAAGCGTTCCCCTGAGGAAAATGCTGCTGCCGAGTGGTTTGACAAGGCCTACTCTAAGAAGCGCTCCCCTGAGAAGGATGCTGCTGCTGAGTGGTTTGACAAGGCCTACTCCGAGAAGCGTTCCCCTGAGGAAAATGCTGCTGCTGAGTGGTTTGACAAGGCCTACTCCGAGAAGCGTTCTATTAAGGAAAATGCTGCTGCTGAGTGGTTTGACAAGGCCTACTCTGAGAAGCGCTCCCCCGAGAAGGATGCCGCCGCCGAGTGGTTTGACAAGGCGTATGAGTCGAATTAAGTCACAGAGTATGTTTGTACCTTCGCAAAAGCCTTTCACTGAACATGATCACTGATCCTAAGAACAAGAGGGTAGGGCTCGGCTTTTTGTATTGCGCGATATTGTCGAGTCGTTCAATATGATGTGATGATCAGTTACGACAACGATCATTTGTTGAGAGGTCGATGGCCTTTCATGGATATGCCCTCTAGTCTACTTTGCAGGGAAAGACATTCATTTAATTTGATATTTCTTGCTTTACTCTTCAAGTCGCTCATTAGATGCCTATTGCCGAACAGCCAAGTATAGACATATCAGTCTTTATACCAAACTGCCTAACCCTAAGTAAGGCGTGAAGCCAACATCCGGGATTTTTCATTCCAGTGATCTTCAAATCCATCACCAGTATCTCTGCAGAAAAGGGAGCGCGGGATGTAGTCTTCCAGCAGTCAGTTCTATCTCTACGCTGGTTAGCGAAAGGCGCTATCTGGTCCAGGCGTTGCTGCGGATTCATTCTAAGCCACGACAAACATACTCTCTTCAACCTTCGATCTCACCTCGCGCAACTCAAATCTTAAAGTTCCTACGCATGACACTCACATCATCCTCGGATAAAGGTTTACGCTATTTCACATCCGAGGTGAGCAAAAGCGGCGAGGAGCTGAGCACTACTAGTAGGACTTGTCAAGAAACGAGACCGACAACGGTCTCGTTTCAGACTGAGGAATGGAAACATACTTCCGTCACCGAGGCGAAAGGAAGTAAACTGAGTATTCTCAGCTGAGGAAGTTTCTGGTCAGGTTCTCCTCTTCCCGCCGTTGTTGATCAGGATACGATGGAGCGTTCAGAGCGGATCTTGACTTTGGTGTTGGAGATGGCCTCGAAGAACTAGATTAGACCCAGCGGGGTAACGGGGTTGATGCTGGCTCCGACTCCCAGTCCGTCTATGGCCTTATTGGTTGTAGGTTCAATAACGAGAAACTTGAAGTTGTGCTACGATAGAAAAACGGGATAAGAATTTGGTAATTAGCTCGTGAATGATCATAGAGAATTACTACATGACATAAAATCAATGAGAGTGGAGCCGTAGCTCAAGCTTCGCCCACCAATCTTGCCAATCAACAATTTTCCTTCCAAGTCGAGCTTCTTCAGCAGCAAAGTCCATTGCATGGCTCATAAATGCCTCCTTCAAGGTGCAGCCAACGTGTTTTGCTTGTGCCTGCTCTACACTGAGTTCACCGTTGATGACAGCCTCCACGGCCAGCGAGAAATTGTTCATCAGACCACCATCACCGCTGTCGTGACTACCTGTGGCCTTTGGGGGAGTGAAAATTTTCACCGCATCCGCGTTCCTGAATTGATCGAATTTGTAGACTCGGATTTCCTTGCTATACTATTGTATTTCTCCATGGGTGCCCGAGACTCGAAAGCAACCAGGGGAAATCTGTCGCTTTGAATGAAGTCCCACCACAGCCAGAATCCCTTTAGACAATGCTTCACTTTCCGACAAATTTCACACATAGAAGGGGGAATCGCCTGGGCGGTACTAAAGTTTCGATCATTGTAGCTTGAAACTTGAAATGTACTACGAGTAGTAGTAATAGTAGGAAGTGGTCATCGTTTTAAGGAGTCTTGAATGGACCTGTGCTATGTATCCTCTCCCCACTTGAGTCGGCTTGGACCGGTACCAGGGGGGGGGGTGCCTTTTTTGTCTCCACAATATGTCACGATCGAAAAATGGGGTAATTTGTGTCACAGGTCAACGGAGCACTTTCCCAAGATTGCACGACGAACACCACAACAATTCCACAATTCACAAGCTACACAGGCTAGGTATATTCTTTGCTCTTTGACCTACAAGCCCGTCAAAATAAGCAAGAAGGGTGTCGACTTGAAGCATATCCAAGACACCAAGCTTTGGGTTGCTGCTTCTCAACGCTTGCCCACCCCACAACACTCTGATGTAATATTGTTGGTCCACTTTCCTCTTATATAGCTCGAATACCAGCTCACTGCCCATGCCTGGCCACATCATCTCTTCTATCTGTAAGATGCTCAATATATAACTAACGCTTCCGTCATGGGCAATGTTGTGTCGATATCTCATGCCACTATTCGTCCTGTTACCGGTAGTCCCTGGGTCAATTGTATTCATCGCTTGCCGTAAATTATGCACCAATTCTGCGATCCATATTCCGTATTTGCCAATGCTGTACTCAAGTGTGCGTGCCCCGGCGTCTCGGTAGAGGTAGCTGTACTCGTACTCCCCTAATCGAAAAACCTCATCAGCCATCGCCTGCGTCACGCAGAGAGATGGGTTGCTGGCATTGCAGGGGAGCGGCTTTGCGTGGCAGAGCCGCGCAGAAAGATTGTCAAAGTAATGATCGAAGGACATGTGGAAGCCTGAATCCGCAGGTGAAATACCACTAATTGTATCGAGATTTGCAAATAGGTCAGAGGCAGCCTTGAGGTGCGAAGTCCAGCCTGGGTCACTGCTTCCGACGCCATATGCCGAGAAATTCTTATTCGCCACTAAGCAGGGGTATGCGGGCTCGAGACTGTCGATGCTGGCAGGTTGAACAAGCAAGGGTAAGTCTTGCTGTGCCTGGTCACCGCCAAACATACCCGACGTAACCATGCTGGCAACCTGCGACGTGATAACATTGTTTGTGACGCGGAAACTGACAAGATTTGGATCGTATTTCTCAGGTAGAAACTTAAGCAGGTGGTAATAGACTTGGTACAAATCATGGCCATGCTGCCAGCTGTCGTCAAGCCCCCCCGCGGGTGATCTGTGGAAACTGACAGGTTCCTTCAAATCCTCGCGGTACAAGGGGATTGGATGGGGAGGTGTATACACTCCAGTAGGTTTTGGCAGAATGGTTGGTGCCGTGGGTTGGTAAGGGGGCACCGGAGTAGAAGAGGGCCTCGTCGTCGCAGTACCATGGGTCGACCTCGACTGGGAAAGTATTGGCAGCGTACGGGGTGCGCTTATGGTGCCGGTGAATTACTTCAACGTATTCGAGAACATACGAAGAGTTCACCTTTGGATATTCAATGGGTCGGACATGCGGCATATTGCACCAGTTGTACGTTCCTAGGTAGAAGTAAGCTATCAAATTTTGAAAGATAGGAGAAGAATCCAGATACCATATGGGATTCCTTCTGGTAGTATTGAAGAGTTGAAAATAAAGCCATAGGTTCCCGTACCATTGATCGCTGAACTGAGGCTGTTGACTCTCGAGGAAATTGGCGCATGCCAGCTCAGATTCACCGATCCACCAGTATTCATCTCTGCAGCTTGAATAACGTGGAGGCTTGATACGAAGGAGCCGGTCGCTAATTTGAAGAATGGTGTGAATACGTAGTAGCCTACCAGTATCATGGTGGGCAGCAGCCACCACGTAAGTTGTTTAATCGAAGGCATCTGCTATCTGCCCTGGATAGGTTTAGGGACAACCTGCAACCACAAAGCGCCTTTCCAGCAAGGCCAACACTTCGGTTGGAAGTTTATCCGAATCAAGGAGAGCCCAGCCCTTGGGAGGAGCATCCTTGCTAGTGCTAGTGCCAGAACAGAACTTGAAGGAGAGCGTGAAGAGTTGCCAGACATTATTCGGTATATATGTATTCTGTATTTCCATTCTTTTTTGGGTTCTACTTTTAATCAACAAAACTTGAACCTTTCCTGAACTTGAGGTACCTCAGGTACAACTCTCGTGCGTGATACTCAAGTCAATTGAGGATAGCATACTCTATATTCCATTTCTTTCGTATTTTTTTTATACTAGTAGTATTTGCGAGGCCTTCCAGCGCTGCAACCACTCGAAGGCTCAAGGCGCCGACTGCCGCCGACTAATGATTTGCACGACCAAGTACTTCCCGTAAGCTAGTACTTGTACTACTAGTAAAATGCCAGAAAATTATTTCCGAGGATAGTGAAGTCCATTCGGTGATATGATACGATGCTATGCTAGCAATAATAAGAACGGATCACCAGATCCATTAACGAATGTGTGAATATATCGCGAAAATCCCGCGCGCCAGTCCCAAGACCCTCCCTTCGAAACATCAATCGGACTCGACCTGCGAGACCATGAATGAATGATTGAGAAACCCGCCAGTCCGCACCGGAACCGGATGTCGTTTAGTGTATGCAGTACAAAGATACATTGTACAGAGAGCAACGATATAAATACAACGGCCCGAGAAACAAAGATTCGAGCAGTGAAGTCCACTTCTTACAGAAGCAGACCAAGGCCAGCGACGAAAGCACCGGCGATGGGGCCAGCTCGGAGGCTGGCAGCGGCATTGGGGGTGGGGGAGGGTGTAGAGCTCGGGCTCGCGGCAACGATGCCAGGGGCAGAGGTGACCTTTGCATTTGCGGTGGCAATGGCCGAGGCGCTAGCGCTAGCCTTGGAGACCATAGATGCCGGTGCGGTCAGGATGTTGGTGGGTACGTTGGACTCGTTGATGTTTGTGGGCGCGACAACGATTCCGCCGCCAGCGGTGGTGGGAGAAGAGGTGGTAGAGGTTGCAGCAGCCATGATGATAGTGTCTGTCGAAGCTGAGTCGGAATCCGAGTTCGAGTTCGAGGCCGAGTTCGAGTTGGAGCTGGAGTAATCACCCGTGCTGAGAACAGTGTAGAATCCGTCACCGCCGCCTGTGTTTAAGAAATGTATTAGCTGCTGTTATAGGATATGCCATTGAGGCTCAGGCTGTAATCTCAAGTTGGGGCTTGCTCACAGTTATCCTCAGGCCACCCTTCGCAAGCGACGTTGCACTTATCATCATCCACCTTTGCGGAGTCGGTGGGGAGCTCGTTAGAGCAGGCGCACTTCTTGCCGGAGCTCAAGACGGCAACGCGGTATCCGCCCTCGGAGCATTTATCTGTGCAATAGCCATAGTCCATGAATTGGAACACATGGTGGCCCGTCAGAGCGGGAACCTTGGAGTAGCAGCCAAGTGTCGAAGTATAGCCCGCAACGACCGGCAAAGCGAGCGCGAGAGCAGAGAGATATTGGGAATGCATATTGAGATATGTGTCACAACGAAAAAGAAGGGTCCAGGAAAGGACAGGGAAGAGAGTGTGGCTGAATAGAGAGGGTCGGGTGTTGAGTATGCGGAATGCGCTGATGAAACGAAGGATAGTGTCGCAAACGCAAAATACAAACACAAATGTCGAAAAAATAACTAAAAGGAGAAGAGCCTCAGAGAACAGCAGACTCTGTCTCACTTATATCCTCTGTACTCAGTGCGACGGGGCCAAAAAACTGTTCGCCCCTCAGGAACACCCGGAGACCCGTAATAATTTTATGGAGCCTCGAAACGGAGACGATGACATCGTGGTCTACTCTGATCAGCTTCTGAAACACTAACCGAGTGTTCTATTGAACTCTCCATTACGCCGTGATTGGCCGAAACCTCGAGATCGTCCCGATCGCCATCCCCAGAGTGGGCGCCTTGCTGGGTATGTATTTTCCCTTTGAGGCGTTGAACTGACAGAGCTGTCCCAAGGCAGTGGTGAAACTGAGGAGCTTCGTTTGCCACTTGGTTCGATTGGGGATAGCTCCATCCCCGCTACATTTTTGGGTTGGGCATCGTATTTCCCCCCTGTGTGCTCCCTTGGAGATCGACAGATCAGCCTCGGCAGAAGCCATTGAAGGAAAGGAGTGGCAGAAAATGCTCACAAAAGGCTTCTCGGCAGCGAATTGCCGTCGGGGATGAGTTGGGACGGTGTGGAAGGCTCGCGAGGCTGTACTTCTCTGCGGAAAAAAAGGCACCGGCGTGTTCCTGGTTCATCCAGGGTGTCCACGTTATTTTCTTAGCTTCTTCCTTGGGTTCCACCTATCCACCGCCGGAACCAAGAACGTAATTCTTGGCCGGGTTGACCCTTCTGCTAGACTTGTCAGAACCCTAATCCCCTTGATTATGTATACAGAAAGTGTATACATCAATTCCGAAGCTTCTTAGAGCTCCAGTATTGCAGAGTATCATGCATTGCCGACTCATCGGCAAACGCTAGCCAAAACCTGCCTGAACTGGTTAAAAGCGCGGTAGCGGCCGCCAGCCGAACGTAACTGAGGGGAAGATAAGATAGCCGTGGGATGTCGCCATTGCTTTAGGGTAGGGTTCCATATAAACAAGCAAAGTCGGGTTCTTGGGTTGAGTCTATCTGAACCTCAAGAACTCTCGTGTATATAGGAGTACCTGAGGATATCTCAATTGAATCCCTAGATCATGAAAGGTCTCGCTCTCCTCGGATTGGCAGTGCCCTCCGCCATTGCACTAAACATCCCCGCACAACAGATCCTCTTCTCCGATAAAGGCGGATTCCGCAATGAGCTCGTTGAGCCCTCTGGAAGGGAAACCTGCCCACAGGCATCGAAGGTCGCTGCCCCGCACGATGGTCTGCACTCGTCGCTGGTATTCTTGGAAGATGAGGCATTCCGTGCCCGCCAGGCGCAGCGTCTCTCGAGGGCGGTGCAGGTGCCCACCACCGTTGGAGACTACGCTACGGATCCGTATGACGAGGCATTTGAGCCAGTTGTGAAGTTCCAGAAGCTCTTGGAGCAGATGTTCCCACTGGTGTAGGCTTTCCCGTACTGTCAGACAAGATCGCAAACCGGAGGGTAATTGCTAATCAACTCTGCAGACACAAGCACGCCGAGATCGAGCATATCAACCGACTGGGCCTCGTATTCACCTTCAAGGGTGCCGATACCACTCGCAAGCCTGTTCTCTTCATGGCCCATCAGGATGTGGTGCCAATTGCCGACCCGTCGGACTGGACGTACCCGCCATTTGAGGGTCATTTCGACGGAGAATGGATCTGGGGTCGCGGCTCAAGCGATTGCAAGAATGTATTGATTGGCCTGCTATCGTCAGCGGAGGATCTGCTCTCGCAGAACTGGCAGCCACAGCGTACTGTAGTGTTTGCCTTTGGTTTCGACGAGGAGTCTCACGGATTCCTGGGTGCTGGCTCGATTGCCCCGGCACTGGAAGAGAAGTATGGCAAGGATAGCTTCGAGTTCATCCTGGACGAAGGTGGCATGGGATTGCAGAGCCTGGGCGGCGAGTCAGGCTCCGACGACAATATCATCTATGCTCTTCCTGGAGTTGGCGAGAAGGGCAGTCTTGACCTGATCCTCGACCTGGCTGTTCCTGGCGGCCACAGCTCCATTCCTCCAGCTCACACTGGCGTTGGCATCATGTCCGAGATAATCTACCAGCTTGAGCGCCAGGAGCTTTTCTCTGCCTGGTTGGAACCCTCCCACCCATCGTACGGCATGCTCGAATGCCAGGCTCGGTACTCCCCTGAACAAGTTGAGTCGTGGTTGGCTGGGAAGTTGGCTGAGGGAGACCCGGCGGCGTTGGGAGAAGCCGTGGCTGCCTCTCGCGGTCCTGCAGTTCGCTATACTCTGCAAACCTCGCAGGCAGCAGATCTGTTTAACGGTGGCGTCAAGACTAACGCTCTTCCTGAGAAGATCTCGGCTGTCGTCAACTACCGCGTCGCTTTGCACATGACCCCCGATCAACTTCGTGAACGTGCTCTTCGCATAATCGGCCCCATCGCCGACAGCCACAATGTCACTGTCTATGTTGACTTCCCTGGAGAAGAAACCGTTCGCAGCGAGAAGCCAGATGATCGCACTTTGACTCTATCACCGCTCAGTGTGCCTCTCAATCCGGCTCCGATCTCTCCAACTGATCCCCTCACCTCAAAGGTCTGGGCTCGCTTTGCGGGTGTTGCGCGCAATGTCTTCGAGTCGCACCCCAACCCTCTCGCCAAGTCAGAGGCCAAGACCCAATCTTTACCGACTGTGGTGGTGACTGGTGATATCATGACTGGAAACACCGATACGCGGTTCTACTGGTCTCTCTCGGAGAATATCTATCGCTGGAGTCCGTCGCGCGTGGGTGGCACGTTCAATATCCACACAGTTGATGAGCGCATTCATTTGGATGTTCATCTAGAGGCCATGATGCTGTATTATGGTACGTCATTGAGATGAGTATTTTCTGGCTTCACGAGAAGCATTGCTAAAATTCTTACAGATCTGATTCGTTCCTTCGATGGCTGGGATGAGCGCACCCAGTAGAGTTTGGTCTAATATATGATACGGGGATAGGGACTGATTTGAATCGAATGGATCGGTGTTGAATCTGGTCTATGGCGAAATTGATTTGCTGCAGCTGGTGCCTATCAGCAGATGTGCCCCAATTTAAACTAACCACCAATGATTATACTCTAGCTTCAATCGATCGGCATTGGAGCCATCCATAGCAGAGTTTGTTGTTGTTGTACATAAAAGCCTTGCTTGGATAGAAGAGAATTCCATTGTTTGCCATTCGAATCATCAATTGTAGGGTATGGACTAAGTACACAAGACCTGACCAGCCGCTCAGCGTTCAAAAAACCACCACTAACGTTGAACGAGAGCGAACAAGCAACCACCGCATATAGACAGCTCTATGAAAGACATTCTGGTATCCGAAGAGCATGAGAGATTCCCGAACCAGTTCAAGCGAATGGACGACGCTATACTGCGTCACGAAGAGCCAAATCGAAGTATTGCTCTAAGGGGAATAATCCTACAGAAGTAGCAATAGTAGGATCCTAAAGGAATAATAGCATTGAATAATAAATGACAAGAAGGAGAAGAATTAGAGAATTAGAAGAAAGGTTTGACTATCTTCACTTGCTCGTGACCAGGAGCGGCGCAAAGGATCCACCGATGACTGGTCGAGCGACAAAGATAGGCGAGGAGGGGTAACTAGAGTCTGTTAGCAGTAACTCAGAGAATATTCGCGCTTTTAAAACTCACTTTCCGGTAACCGTCTCGTACAGGTCAGTCAGGGGGCGGTTGGTGGGTGTCTCGTTGAGCCAGGTAGCCAATTGGCCGATGAGCATCGATCTGGTGCTTACCGAAGCAACGGCCGCAACGAAGCATTCCCAATCACCTTTCTTGAAGTCAGTAATTGATTGAGATATGCCTGTACTCGCGAACTTACCTTTGGTCAAAGTGTGACGCGTGTCAAGAGGAACACCATATTCGTTGGCAACGGTAGGGTAAAAGTCACTCTGCATCTGGTAGACGGACTGCGGAACCAGATTGAGACCAAGCTGAGCATCGGCAAAGAGATTGTAAAGAAGACCTGGGACCAATAGTCAGTAAAGATTGGCCGTGGAGGTGAAATTTGGCAAAATGCGACTTACCGTGGCTGTTGGCATCACCATACGAGAGTGTGGTGTGTGGCGGACTGGCGTCCTTGTTGATACCAAGCTCTTGCCATTGGGTAATGTAATCATGAGCAATTGAGGAATAACTGGCTGCATCGGATGTGTGGCCGGTCTCATTGGCAATCACAGCCATGGCCTGGATGCCGATCATACCCTTCAGGGCCAGATTGGTTTGGTTGCTAATTGCACTGGTCAGCCCAATATTCAGGAACGGGGTTAATCCTATACTCACGCAAGAGATCCCGCGAAGTCATCGGTCGAGATTTGGTTCGCCGGATACAAGGCGTCTTCGACAAGGTAGCTGGTCCACTTCTTGAGAATATCGTAGTGCTCATTCAGATAATCGGTATCCTTGGCCTCCTTGGCATATGCCAGGGTCATGATGATCATATTTCCACATTCCTCTAGCGGCATAGCTTCATCCCTTCCATCAGGGTGGCCTGTGGCATTGGGATAGTTGGATCCCATATCGTGCATGGCGTAGGTGTTGGGGTATTTTCCAGCCTCCTGGTTTTCGTACAGCGGCTCGAGAACCAGCTTCAAAAGCTCCGGGTTGGAGTAGAGGAAGATAGGGTAGGCAGGGAAAACAACGTCGACCGTGTTCATGTTACCGTCAGACGAAATCTCCTTCATGAACAGGTACATTTTCTCCTCTGTACCACACAGTTGGGTTGCACCAAACGCCTGGCGGGCCGAGAGCGAAGTAATCGTGAGATAGTTCTGGCCAGCGACAGCAATCGAATCCTTGGCCACCTGACTGTCAAATGAGCTGGAAAGATAGTTAGATGCTCTAAAGTCGTGGTGGAAGAAAGACAAAGCCTCAAGCTCAGTATCAAAGTAGCTCTTCCAGAGGGACGGAATAGAACTATACGAGGAGGACCCCTCGTATTGAATTGCCTCATCTTGGGTCAGACCGAGAGAAAAAAAGAGTGTCAACAGGTTTCGAGCTAACGTTGCCGAGGTCGTATGAAAAGGCAAAGACAGGCCACTTGTCTGAAATAGCGCGGTACTTGGTGTCTGCGGTGTTGGAAAGAACACCGTTGCTCGAGAACTGCCCGCGAACATCGACATCTGCTCCAGACTGGTGCGTCATGTCCTTATCGACATCAGTCGCCCAGTACCAGTAGCCCCACTCGGCCTGCTCATTTTTCTGTGAAAATGCTAGCTGGGTCTGACGATAGACCTTATGGTAAGCAACATCGTCGGTGGTTCCATAATCCCATTGGGCAATTGCATTGCGGTCACCAGATACCCACTCTGCGTCAAGTTAATCAGAAATGCCACGGACATAAGATAAGAGAAAAGTTGGCGTCGACTCACCGGCAGAGATATCCGCGTAGACCTGCACCTCATGATCATTTCCATCCAAAGAGGCAACCTCAACATTCAAGTAAGAAAAAAACAAGGGATTGGCGTCGGTAATCAGTTGGAGTAATAGGCGAAAGGAATGTAATGTTCATCTCCAGCTTGTTCGCAACGTTCATCGTGAAAATGCTCTTTGTCGAGGTGTATTCGAAAGCAGTCTGATTGACGGTTTTCGAGCCAGGCAACCCCATCCAGGTGTAGGTATTGCCATCAACTCGAATGAGACCAGCCCAGCCGGTGACTTGGTTCCTATTCGCAACTTCATTAGAAAGATTGAAACAGAGAAAAGTGAGCCGAAGGAACATACTGCCAAAAGGTAGGCCATTGACCAGCGAGATATCCACCATTTCCGCCGTCACTACCGGCGTTCTGCCAGGTACTCAGGTATGGTGACTTGACAGCAAGTGGTACAGATGGGGGTCGAGCAGGGAAAACGTAGAGACTGCTCCGATAGAGCCAGCAAAAGAGGCAACTAGGAGAACGAGGCGTAAAAGCTGCATGATGAAGGTGAGTTTAGCGACAAAGGATTGGACGGGATCGAAACGATCAACCAAGGAGCATGTCCTTTATTAGTGTAGGAATAAGTGTCGACGGTAGGTTAAGGAAGGAAAAAGCAGCGGCAGGCCCAGAGCTGCAGTTGTTCCCGATTATGACACAGCAGATGCAGGAAAGGATCGACGTTTGTTTACCGGAATGCCAGGGACATTTTTATAGTTGAGGTCCACTCTACCAGACTAGGGGGCAACGGCAGCCAAGCCGACCAAACCGACCAAACCAACTCGGTCCCGCATGCCAGAATGCTCGCTCCACGGTCACGATGGGAAGTGGTTTAGCGCTATGGGGAGTATGATTCCCAGGTGCAGCAGACGTGCATGTGGTAGCAAGTTCCGAGCGTGCGAGTCGGCTGATCAGCGTCAGTGCCCAAGTACAGAAAGCGATCTCATGCGCTCATTTCGGCCATATGGCAAGGGAGGAATAGCGGATGCAGGGGGTACGAATAGGAGAAGCTGATAGGACCCGGACAGAACCAATTCGTGGTGAATGGGACTTTACCTGGGAGCCCTGGAGAAAGTCTAAAAGTCTGAAAGTCTGAAATCTGAAATCCAATATCTCAGTCACTACACAACGTTCAGTTGTATGGAAACAAGCAGCGGTCTATGCGGTATCAACAATGACCGTGGCGCCGATGAGCGAAAGAGGCGGAGGGACTGAGGCTTCGTGAGCGCCCGGTGATGGAGCACACGGGATGGCGTAAATAAAGATGTGGAGTAAATGAGTGTGGCCCAACTGGGAAGTTGGAAGTTGGAAGTTGGAAGTTGGATATTGGTGGAAATTTAGTTGGAGGTGGAAGAGAAGGGGAAGTCATTCATTCCCCAACTCCGCAAGTCTTCATGCATGGCATCCTCCGGGGAAGGCGCCAGGCGTGATGCCATCATGCGACCTCACACACTTCGGCACTCGGCCAAATCAATAGGGTTTACTGCAAGCAAATCAGCCTTACGGAGTAATACCCGACAATCTACGGGATGATCGTGGCCCAGCACGACTTTGTGAGGAACGAGTCAAGTCGAGGCAGAAACTTGAACGAGCAAGAAACGCGGGGACCTGCAGAAGTGGATCAAGTCTGGATCTTCATGGCTTCAAGAGTGTTCAAATCACAATCAGTCCCCTTGCAGACCTTGCAGGGGGGCTTCTCTCCTTACGCGTCAGCTTTCGAGATGGCGAGATCGTGGATGTCCCTGTTAAATGTACGGAGAACGGAGTACTCGATACATCCACGATACTCCGAGATGAACCATGACACCGCATCTGTAGTGTGACGGGGGTCGCGTGGCCCACGTTAATCCAGTCCATTCGATTGGACTGCAGATTGTTCTCGAGGTACAAAGTACGTGTGGTTGGACTCTGGGGTGCCGATCCGCTCCTGATTGGTGCCTCCTTGCGGGTCTTGTGAGATACGGTGAAGACCGCCGAAAAGGAAGCAGCGGGGTCGTCATATCCTCTACAATCTGCATCTTCTCATCACGGGTCAAAGTCCAGATGGAGTTTGCTCCCGGGAGCCTGCGCAATTTGGTGGAGGAATAACGGGGAGAGCAGAAAGAAGCGGGTGTGGCTGAAGGGCGATGTAACATCCACCGTTGAGGCCGGGAGTATACTAAGTACTACTAGTTAATACTCCCAGCACACTACAACACGACAATAGATATTTTACTTTTGATTACAGGACTACGCATAGCCCACAGATCATGACAATTTCTCCGTGCAACCTCGACCGTCGCGGTTTATTCCGAACGCCATCATGTGCAAATCGACCTGTTCTGCGCGATGCCCTCCCCTATTATACATATTGAGATCCTGGAAGAAAGTACCTAGGTTTACTAGAATGAGGCAGTTGGGAGGTTTATTTCAAATTTCATGTAGAACGTATGTCAAGTCACCAGATCAACCATACCCTCAGGCTGTACCTTAATTTTATTTGAGTAGAGCAATACTTGCACACTTCTGTGCAAGAGTAGCCAAGATCGGGTCAAAGAAACTGTCATCCATAGCTTTGTCTCAAATATCCAGAGCAAACCCCTTGCCTAATGCAGCCCACCAAACCCACTAATTCTCGACGGTCTCTACTCCGTACATAGAGAGTGATTTTATCTAGTGCGTAATGCGGAGCTTGATCATATACTGCGTGCATTTATGCAGACGGTCAATTAGCTCGAGCTGGCCATGAGTTCGGCTCACTACCGAATGAGTCATTTAATGTCCGTCACCTCGAGCACAGGGATGATCTCTTTTATCATGCATGAATTGAAAGCTCAAGACAAGCGACCTGGGAAAGGGAGGGGGAGAGGGGAACTGCCCTGTCTGACAGTGTAAAACTGGTCTTTTCTCTCTCTACATATTCAATGTCAACCTTGGACGATCTCGGTATCCCTTTCTTCGAAATATCTCGAGGCTAAAAGGATGGCCCGGTAAAAGGCCGCACAGACCTCTCCTTAATTGAAGATAGAATGCACTTCAGCAATTGCACACTTCCTTCTTTCATTCAATAGAACCATTTCGAAATCCAGATCTCGGTTTCTTTGTAGATACCGAAGATCAACTTCAAAGCCCCAACAGGCGGTGCTGTTAAAGATACTTCTTTGTTTCCCCCAAACTTTTTGTCAGTAGATACTATGACATACAAATACACTCTTTTGTTCCCGACAACTCAAAGGTCCCCACGTTTATGAATATTTTCTCTCTCTACACCCGCTATTAGCCTTGACCATTCGCCATGGATTCTGATGGCTTTGTAGATCTCGAGGGATTGGAAAACGCCCCCCCCCCCCTTCGTACGATGGAATCGAGGTGCAAATCCTATCACAAAGTACGAAGACTGCCCTTTGGACTAGGATCCAGAGGATCGTGATATTGACAATGAGTACGCATCCTCATTACCCCATCTCGTCATCATGGAAAAATGCTAATTTAAATATATTTTTTTCTCTCTAGCGACATTGAAGACGTTATTCAGAGATGCAATGATAGAATTCGCGATGGAATCATGCGACAATGGTGGACGCAGAAGTTAGAATACTACCAGAAGTTAAAGAAAGAAAATGACGCACAGATTGCTTCGGTCAGTCCACCCAGTCAAAGAATCAAACTTCAAGCTTCATCTTTATTTCCTCTATTCTAACACGCCTACTTGCCTTTAGGAACCAGGCCTCGACTTGAATACTGTTATTCGGGTGAAGGAGCTCGAGGTAATAAAGGCTCATCTTGAGAAAGAAGGAAATCCGCATTATGCCCTTAGCAATGTAAATTCCCCCCTCGCAGCATACAGAAGGAGGCTCTTGGTCTGGCACATGGATAAGGTTACATATTGGTCGGATGGGAAACAACTCTGCAAACCGGAAGCATTTGATTGGGATAGATTATTGGAGTGGGATAACAAAGTAAATGGATATGCGTTCTGGGTTGAGGGGGTGAGTAAACCAGCGAAGGGACGAGGCAGATGTTCCTTTTCCCGGGCAAATAAAATCGAAATCTCCGAGTCTTTTTAATATTTGAAGAGTGCGCAGAATTAACGCAAAAACTATAGATCGGTAATCCGGGACCTAAGAAATCGTACGCCTTCAATATCCCTGCTGTCCATGGTGCAATGCGACGAGCATCGGTTTGGAATCACCATAGGGTATGAAAACCCGTATCCTCGGTTATTGCTACATCCTACAATTTCCATAAGCTAATGCAGTTCCGCTTAAATTTCATTTTATTTCCAAGTCCCTGGTGCAGAGAATCTACCAAACCATATGAGTTACAACGGGCATCAAATCCAAGTATTAGACGACACCGGATCGGACATGGCCCTAATATGCGAACAAGATATAATTCGAGTCCGAAACCTAGCGAATGATCTACGCGTTCCGTTTCTGGGCTACTCATCCTTCCACGCCGTGGACCGACTGTTCGTACTTCCAACCTGCGCCCTCCAGGTCAACCTACAATTCCACACTCGCCAGGGCCATGCCCAACATGTTATTCGCCCTTGACCGATTATTCAAGTCGCCGTTTTACCAGGTGATATGCCTCCGGGAATTGCTAGACTTAGTGGACCGTGGATGCGTAGTATAATGTATACGGGAACAGCGCCTGATAATCAGGGATTTCTTTATGTTAGTGAGAACGTTACGAAGCTCAAGGCTCAATTGCCTGCTGCTGATAATCGGAATTCTCTCGATCTTCCTTCTACCATTACTGTTCCTGGGATTATTCCTCCGGCTTACTTTCATCCGACTTGGCCATGGTTTCCGCCTTTTGGACCGGCTGGTGGGGGCTTTGGACCTGATGGTGGTGGTGGACCTAAAGCCGTAGTAGGAGGGGCTGGTGCTTAGATGGAAAGATCGATTACTTTTCCTGGACGATTGGAACGTTTCTGCTTGTGGTTTCTTCTGAGTTTGGCTTACTGTCTTCAGAGAAGTTTCTGCAATATAGTTAAATCACGTTTGATTCTCGTATATAATACAATTCATAGATGAGAACGAGTCATCGCTCCTATTAATTTCACGTTGAATACCTTAAACCACAAGAGAGATTGAACCATCGCACGGAATCCTTACCCAGATATCAAGCGCAAAGAGACTCGGAATATTCATTATGTAGTTCTTCGTGTACTGTACTCCAGGGCTTTATACATTACTGGTACCACTTCAACCCCCAACTCTCTCTCTCTTTCCTCCGCGAACCACTGGCGTTCCTTCGCAGACAAAACAACAAGAACAAAACAGCACACCCAAGTGAATACACATCCATCTAGCCATCCCAGCCATCCAGCCAGCCCCACCACTCCCAACTAAATCAACTAGAACTCCTAGCCAACTCAATACAAAACTCCCCCCCACTCAGCCCCAGTCGTAGAAGACATAATCTCCTCAGCAATAGCCTCCTCAAGACGCTCATTATATCTCCTCCGATACTCAGCCTTAACCTGCTCAAGGTGTCTAGGCTCCCAATGCAAGCGAACGAGTCGAGAAATGAGCAATTCAGACCGTTCGCCTTTCGTCCTGGATTCGCGGAGAGCTTGGTGGAGGAGTAGCGCATCGCGCATGGGTCGGTTTATCGCGCCGTTTAGAATGTGGGCTAGTGTTTCACCCTGGGATTGGTATTAGTAAGGTCCATTTTCATCCAATCAATATCACTCGATGGAGAAAGAAGAGGAGAGGAGGGAGGGTAAGGGGGAAGGGTAGCATGAAACTCGATGCAAAACATAGTCATAACAAAACATACCACCAAATTCTTCGACTTGGCAATCATAGCCCTAGCAAAATTATGCCCATAAACACTCTCATAAGCACGCAGCACCTCACGCAAGTGCGCATCACTCCGTCTCACAATGATATGAATCATAGCCGTCTCCCCACCATCCCGACTAACCAACGCACGATGAAGGTCCGTCAAATCCTCCCTAACAAGTCTAGAATCAATCGGATCACGCTCCTCCTGCCTTCTCTCCTCAAGCGCCAGCAAAACCGCAACACGGAACTTATCCGCCCGCAGCTCAGACCGCATACACCGCTCAAGACTATTATCGTAGCGAGTATCGCGGAAGCAGTTTTTAATTTCGCGGATTGCGGAATTCGATCGTCCGATTAGTGATTCGATGAGTAATTCGCGCCGAGAGGTGCCGGCTTGGTAGTAGCAGTTTGCCCAGTATGCTTCTGATTCCCAGCGGCCTAGGGCGGTGGCGTAGGCTACTTTTCCGAAGGAGGAGTTGCCTAGTTTTAGGCGGAGGTGTTTGGCGAGATTGATTCCTTTGCCGTGCATTTTTACTTTGTTCTTGTACTCTGCGCGTAGGGTGAGGATTTCGTCGGATGTTAGGCGTGGTAGGATGGAGAGGATGGATTTGTTGTCGATGTTGCGGGTGTGGTTGAGTGCGGATTGCATTGCTGAGGCGTCGGATGAGGCGTCGTAGAAGGAGACGCGCTTGCGGCCGGTTGTTGGTGAGATTAGGACTGAGACTGTCGCTGTCTCCGCCGCGGAAGGAGGAGGTTGAGTCGTGTCGGTCGTGAGCGGATGGTCTGGTTGTGCTCGTGCGTCGTTTGTCGTCTTTGCGGTCGTCACGGTCATAGTCACGGTCATAGTCACGGTCACGTTCTTTCTCTCGCATCTTTTCCTTGCTGCTGCGGTGTCGGCTGTCTTTCTCTCTTTCTTTCTCCTTCTCTTTCTCGCGGGAAGATGAGGATTTCTTCTTGCGCTTTCCGGATTCGGAGAGCGAGCTGCCGCCATCTAGAGGTTCCAGGTCTGAGATGTCGTCGTCCCGGATTGGCATCATGATGGGCGATGGCATGGGTGACATCGATTGATAGGTGCCATGGTACGGTTCCAGCAATGGACTCGCAGGTGGGTGGCCGATATGGCCTCCAGGTGCGGCGACGGCTAGATTGTTAGCTGACGACACAGACAGACTGTGGGGACGGCCGCGTCCGCCACCTGGGGTGATCTCCACAACCTGCTGCTGATGCTGGAGGGGAGCCGACAATTGTGACGGCGGCTGCGATTGCAACTGTGACTGCGAGCGAGAGTGCGAATGCGACGGCGCGTGGGCCTGCGGTTTGTCGCCAAACTGGGGATCATGGCTATATCGCCAGGCAGGCTGCTCTGGTGCTTTGCCGCTATACTGATCCGGCAGTCTACGATGCTGGTCCGGCAATCTATTATAATGCTCAGGCTGTCTGCCAAACTGTTCCTTGGCCGAGGCAGTATAAGGCATCGTCGGCGTAGTCTTGGAAGTATAGCGCACGTTGGGGTCAATCTGCGCATACTGGAATTGACCTGGCTGGGCATACCCCGCCTGCGAGTGCCCTCCGCCGGAGGCATACGGGAGCGGCTGCGTCGACGGGATACCCGCATATTGCGGCATAGGGAAAGACGGTGCGCTCGTCGCGGGACTCTCAACATAACTCGACGCAGGCGGGAAAGCGCCTGGCATTTCGGACGAGACAGGAGGCTGGGAAGTTGGCGGGACGAAGCCCGGTCGCTCACACTCCGGAACAGGAGCCCAGTCGGAGGGTTGAGGTTTCTGTTGAGGCTGAGAAGGCGGGTAGTTTGTTCCTGGCTGCGCGTATTGGTACCGGCCGGGACGGGCATAGCTTGGGTGCGAGCCAGGATTGTTACCATAGGCGAGTCCATCATCCGAGTCCGAGTCCGGGTCATCATGTCGACTACGCGGCGGCGAGGAACGTCGCTGCGAGCGAGAGTCACGAGAGTCATACTCGCGCGGCTGGATCAGCTTGAGATCATCTTCCTTGTCCGAATGCTCGTCGCGATCTTGGTAAGAGTCGTGACGGCGACGCGACGAGGTGCCCTCGCGGCGTCTGCGGTCACTGTCATCATCGTCTGAACGACGCACGTCGTAGGGGGCAGGGCTGCGAGGAGCCCGCGAGACAACATCTCGCGAGTCATCATTGCGGAGACGGCCTTCCTTGAGCAATTTGTATTGACGCTCGATCTCGGCGTCGTCTTCTGGGGCGTAAGTGGAGGTGGACTTGGGTCCGCGAACCTCGATGGCGGGCGAGCGGTCACGATCGCGATCGCGATCGCGCTCACGCTCGCGTGGACGGTCTGAGGGTGAGGGAGAAGGGACTCGACTGTCGCGCGACCGTGATCGTGAGCGCTCTCGGCCAGGAGACTTGGATCGGGTGCGCGACCGTGGGTCATTGACCTGGAGGGACATTGTGATCCAGGGTCCAGATGGTGGGGTTCGGCCGGATCAGGAGATTTGTTGATATGAAGTATATAGAAGTCAAATCGCAGCCAATTCACCTTTCGCGCAAGCGAGAGAAAGAGGAATGGGGTCGGGAGTTCAGAATTGAGCTCGGCTGTCAGCGTGCGACCAGGCTAGAACCGTCGTGCGACTGCGGGGGAGGGAAACTTTGTGTGCCGATGCTATCGAGACATGTGCCGCGGTGGTAGTGGCAGAGGTAGTGGCAGAGTCAGAGTCAGAGTCAGCTGGAACCAAGGTAGGGAAAAAAGAGGTGTGAGAAGAAGAAGAAGAAGAAGTTGGAAAAAGAAGCCGATCGAGGCTCTTTCTCCTCTTTCATTTCTCGCTCGTATTCCCCCGGGCTGAAGCACTCAGATGCGCCGGCCCCCAAAAAGTTGAGCTGAAGGAAAGTTTGATTGGCCACGGCGGGTCCAACTTTCTGCAGGCGCTCGTAGGGCGACACGCCAAGTATTACAGGGCTTTTACAGAGTACATTTACATTATGGTATAGTTTAGGATAATGGCCTCCAAACAATGATCCTTGAACTCGAGTAAAATACAGGACATGCCCTTTGAAAGGAGAATACAGTAGGAGACGAAGGAGAAGGAGAAGAAGTAGAAGTAGTAGTATCAGTATCAGTAAGAGTAGTAAAGGAGAAAAACAAACACAAAAAAGGAGTCCTCGTCGAGGCAAGAAGCTGGTGAAAGGGGGTATGTGCGAAAGAGCAAGCTATGCGAACAGAAGCGAAGCGAATCGAGTCGGGTTGAGTCAAGTCAAAGTCAAGTCAAGCCGAATCAATACACGCCAGATAAATCAGCGAAGCAGGGATCTATCGGGTACGGCGACCATCATAAGGGTTCATTGGCCCCGTGCGACCTCCATACGACTTGGATGACCGCGGTGCAGGCTGACCATTACGGTTGAGTCGGTTGGTTCTCCAGCGCTCATACCACACCACGCGACTGGCCTCACGCAGCTCAGATCGCCACTCACTGAAGACGGAGTCCTTCAGACGAACAAAGTCACAGTGCTCCGCGTCGTAAGGATCCGCAAATCCCCAGGGGAAGCGCCGACCGAGCGGCAGTTCGCCAGAGGCTAGCGAGTGTGGGTCCGGCGACAGGATCGAGAAGGGGACGTGGGGATTGATGATCTGCTGCGAAGCACGCGTGCTCACACTGCGCACGGAGGGCGACTTGGGTACAGGCACGGCGGCCGCCTGTTCCTGGGTCTCGGAGTCGATGGCGGCGTCGGTTTCAGTTTCGGTCGGCTCTCCCTCGCCTTCGGGCTTCTTCTCTTGCTCCTCGGCAATGGACTCCTCGTCCGCGCTCTCTGACGAGGTATAATCCTCTTCCTCCTGGTCTTCCAAAGTGAGAATGTCCAGCGGGTCGATGTTGGCCTTCTTCAGGCTGTTCCAGACCGCCTTGCGAAGGTATTCCATGTGGACGGAGGTGATGGTATCCGCCTTGCTGATGACCGGAACGACGGTGGTCTTGCCCAGGATGGTGCGCAGGACCTGCAGGTCGAGGTTCTGGTCCAGGATGCCCAGGACGGGGCTATCAGTGGCCTTGGCGGTGCCATTGGCCGCGCGCTCAGCAGCGGCGATGTTCTCATCCAGGCGAACGGGGTCCAGCAGCAAAAAGGTGCAGTGGATATGGGTGTCGCGCGCACCGGGAGAACGCACGACCTTCATCTCCTCGGCGAGGGTCTCCTCGAACTTGCTCTCCAGGAATCCGGTGACAGCGCGGAGTTGCAGATCGGCAATGTTGCGCTCAATCCCGTTGGAATCCCACAGGGTCAGTCCGACCCGTTCTCCGTCAATCTCGGTCTCCAGGTACTGGGAGGTGAATCCTTCGTAGGCGGAGGTCTGGCTCTCGAGCTCCTCGAGCTCCTCGGGGCTGCGGGACGGATGCTTGTGTGGGGGCATGGTCAATGCCTTGCGGAGAAAGTTGAGGAAAGAGGTCTTTCCGGAGTTGCGAGCACCGATGACCAGAACGCTGTACTGATGTTAGTCCCATAGTCTATTATAGCTTACTATCTCGCTTCTATTGGTCCGAGTTTACTCACTTGTAAGAAGTTGGATCCTTGCGGCGACGGACACGGCGGGGGTTGTTTGTGGCGCTCACGGCACTGCTGGCATAGCTATAGCGTCCGCGGTGGGTCATGCTCTCCGTGCGCGCATACGGATCGATGGCCTCAGTGGGCGAAGCGACCGGAGGAGCAGCGAATCCAGACTGCGGACGAGGCACGGGGGGAGGCGCACCGAGAGTGTCGCGCTCCTCGCCTCCAAAGGTTTCGAGTTGAGCTGGAGGGGGAAGATCAGGCAAGCGTGGGGCGTTCTTGGGGGCGTAAGAATCACGCTGGCGGCGCATCTCTTCCTCCATAGCTTGAGACTTCTTTTTGCGACTGCCGGATGCTTTGCGTTCGCTGAGGGGTTCGGTGGATTTGGAACGACGAAGGAAGCCGAGCGAAGTTCGGCGGGCATTGAGCGATTGGCCGTTTTCCGACGGCACCGCATCGGAAGGCGCGCGCGAGGAAGTGGGAGTCGACATAGTAAGATAAGCTTGTTTTTAATGCTGGATTGATACGAGCTATACAAAACGGGTGTTTTTCCTGTTGGTTCAATATTGGTCAGTGGGTAATTCTAACATCGCCTAAATAGTCCCTCTCTCATGCAGGAGTCGTGCATGGAGGGGAGGAGAGGGGAGGGTATCTTGGAGGGGGAATCCTATTATCACCACTTACACAATTACTCTTGCTATCGAGAGGAATTTCGATACCAAAGGAATAAGTAATGACTAGGTCAAGGGTTCAAGAATGCAATTTGCAATTCGTGGGATCAATCCGGGTCTGAGAGTATACCGCACGAGATTCAATCCGTCGGTATCGGCCTCGCAGTTGGATGTGGATATAGTCGGGGGGGAGTTTGATCAGATCAAACCAAATCAGATTGTTTTGGATCGGATCGAATCAAAAGAAACGAGAAACGAGTGGAAAAAGTGAAAGTGGGGGATAGATGGCGACACAAAGCTCCCAGCCAGTGTGAGGTTGTCGCAGGGCGTCGCTACTGGAGGACGAGGAGGAGGGGGGGATAGGGGAAGGGCAGAATTGAAATCCGGGCAGCCGGGTTGGGGTCTTCTGGATGGTGGGTATTTGGCTTTTGTTCTTTTTTTTTCAGAAAATTGAGAAAGGGCCTGCTCACAGCGTCCGACTCTAGCGGCGCATGGAGAGAAAAGAGGGAAAAAAGAGAGAAGGGAAAGGAGTGGCGTGGAGAAGAAGAGGAGGAGAGAGGAGAGGAGAGGTACGGAGTACAAAGACGATCCCAGTCGATGCGGAGGCGGTGGTCATAACATGAATCTACGAGTACGAAGAAGTACAGAAGTACAATGCTTGCTAGGTTGCTATTACTGTTGCTGTTGCCATTGCCATTGCCATTGCCCATTGCCCATTGCTATCTCTATTGGAGCACCGTTTGCCTTATACTTTCCCCTCCTGCATACTCTGTAAAAAGGATTGGCCCACGTTGAGGGGAAACATGATCTATCTCATCCATCACGAGATGACAGGTCTCTGGTTCGAGCTGAGAAATTCAGGGGTAAAACCCGTAAGTAAAACGGAGAGCGCGTCGAGGCCCAAGAAAGGCCCCACTTGGCGTGAGTGGAGGAGAATGCCGGTTCGTTCCACGCGGGATACTTTTGCCCATCCTAGGATTTCACTCTTTACTACGGGAGTACGGGAGGTATCTCTACTGTACACTTGTACTAATGATCTACGACCACTGGATTCTTCATGATTTGCCATTGCTTTCACCCTGCAGACTCCAGACCACCGGGTACTCCGTACTTCCTCAAATCTACGAGTACTCGTACTGTACCCTGCCCTCTCACAACCTGGCTCGTGCATAACGGACACCAGGGGCCGTTGACTCCACTGCGATCGGCACTCTTCTTTTCCTTCTGGCTCTTTTTTTCCTTTTTGTCTTAACTCCGGGAAGTTTCCCTTCGCGGCCATGTGGCAGGGTCCGCGATCCGCGGTGTCAATGGGACCTTAGGTATGTACGAGATTTGCGACAGGGGGCGGCAGATCAGATATCAACTTGGGCTCTTCCCTCCCGTCAGGTACCGTCTCCTCATTCAGTATAGATACAAGTAGTTCTTGACTGAACCATGGCTGAGTCGGAGCAGATCCGATGGGGCTAGTAATTTCTTACTTACGAGCACGAGTATGGTCAGGCTCACCGAGCTTGCCAGGCCTAATATTGGGGGCGGGGCCAATCTGGTGGAAAGCTGAGGTTGACAACATCTGAAACAGCAATTTGTGCGACGGAGAAGAGTCCATCCTCGATTTAACAGCTTGCCAATTATGTCGACCATTAGCACAAGCTATGGAATATAGAGTAGATAGAACCAGAAAACCCTTGAAGCAAATCATCCCAGGGTCAATTGCCAGCTTTCATTATTCAAAGGACTCGGGGTAGACGAATCACTGCCTAACCTTAGTACGCAAATTTACCAACGTCTAACTAACAGCTCCTAGCTAACCCAAAACCCATCTAGCATCCCATAGCTGGAGTACGGAGTATACACCCGATAACCTCGCATAGATCTTCCACGCGATGCGATCCCTCGCATATTGCAGCCCAGCCAACGTGGGGCGCCGCATCCGCGGAACCATTCAGTCTGGGACGCGACTCACCATCACCTTGGGTAAACTAGTACGTATGTATGGACTAATGTATGTACGAACTCCCTACTCCCTCCATCTCCCATAAACACAACTGCCGAGTTTCGTACACAGACAAAATGCGACAGCGCGACATCTTTTCGCCCTCGGCGCAAACGCCTTCTCGCGTGGAAACGCACGTTCCAGCTGTGGAGCTGGTGGGGCAGGGAACAAGGGCAGGAATTGGGATAGCTCGTGGTTAGCGAGAGCTAGTTTGGAGAATTTTGCAGAGCTTGCAATTAGTGTTCACTGTTTTTACCCTTGGGTTGGAGCAGGGCGCTTTGTTTTTTCTTTCTTCTCGGGCTCGGGCTAATTGTGGGGGGTTGGCCTATCCAGTTCAAGTTCGTTCCATCACGAGTAGAACCGACAAATTGGACCTCGGGACATCTTAGATAACTTGGGAGTTTCCACAATAAAAGCGATAGGACCTTATCCAGCTTGAATATCTTATCGATACGGAGACAAGATGAGTCCACAGTGACAATGTAGTATTTATAACTCTTGAAGCGTCTCCACTATAATGATAAAAGCCATCAAGCATGGGGTTGTAGGATCATCTGCATACCCCTACTCCTTCCCCACCCAGATTTTAAACGGAAGAACAATACAAGGAGTCGACGGACACACATGCTTCCGATCCAACGTCTTAAACTTCGGCCCATTCGGACCAGCGACATACTTCGCCTCGCCAAAGATCGACGGCTCCCCCGGCGGCTGGTCGTCTCCCCATTTCCCATTGAAGTTCACCAATCCCAACGGGGCACCAGGGCTAGCCGCTTCAAAGCTGCGGGTCGTCGTGTTATAAGTGTACGAATATGCATTGAAAACAGGGTCCCACTCAAGACCCCGGTCTGCGTAGTCCACGAGGAAACCATTAGGAAGGTTGACGCCGGGAATTGTATGATCGTGTTTTCTAGAACGATTAGTATGTATGTTTCAGGATGGGTATGCAGAAAGGTAAAGGAAGCATAGTACCCGGCAATAACATAGTTAGCGTGCGTGCCATTTCCAGAGTATGCGTATGGTCGGATTCCCTTTTTCTCCACTGCGCTGTAGGTGAACGCCTGGCCACTGGCGTGTTGGCTGTACCATATAGCCTGTGGGGCACCGTTGGAGAAGCGGATCATATTGTGTTCCCTGTTTCGGTTTGGCATCAGATAATGCTTGTTTTACTCTAATCTTTTTTGTGGTGGCTGAGCCAACTTACCAATCACCCATATGATCGCCAAATTCCAAGCCAAGCACCTTATCCCCCTTGTTATATCTAGATTCGCAGTGTCAGTAGAGTTTCTCTTCCCTTCCCGTTTATCATTTCATTGCCCCTTCGCATCAATGACGTACGCGTAGAAGTAAAAGTAGAACGCATCGATGTTTCCACTGCCATGATCTACCAAGACAATAACACTCCCAGACCCATTCGTCAAACGCCCTTGCTTATCCGGAGTGATACCTCTAAACCAAGCCGGTTCCGGACTAGCATCGATACCTTCGTGCGAGGTCAGGTAAACACTCGTGTTGCCCAGGTCATTAAGTTGGTCGAGATTATCCAGCGTCAATGGCGCCGGCGCGCTCGCGATAGTCGTCCAGTTCACCTGCGGGGTGGTATGGTCTAGTTGTTGTTGTAGATCGCTAGGCCGATATGGATCCTGGCTATGTAACCAGATGAGAGGTGCTGCAAAATACCAGTATTAATGGTACAAGTCGGAGTTGGAGTTGTGCAGCTGGTTCGGTCCAAGTACTTACCGTAGTCGTATACATACTGCGGGATGGTTGCGGCACCAACGGATGGAATGAAAGGCAGTACTGCCAGCGGCGCCACAAGCGCCAACCGGGAAATTAGATGCATTGTGTAAATCAGGAGATTGGATCGCAGCATCGATTCCAAGTCAAAGACTGGTTTTCAACTGAGCTTTGGACTCTTTATCTAGGAACGTAAGTATTAGTATGGGAATCACCAGTGACGGCTGTCACGCCCAAGCGGCACGCGCCTCTCCACCCACCAGTAGTCACCAAATAGCGATTTCGAATGCGACCATGTGAAGATTTAAGGTACTATCGCAGCTTCGAAGAAACTGAAAAAAAATCACAGAGGGGTTAGAAAATCAAAGAAGGGAAAAGGTGCGGCAGGGGCGATTCTCGGTAGCGTCACGTCTCTCCCTCCAGTTTTGCTCTATTCATCTAACACCATAGGTCCGATGAGGGTCATTCTTTAGGCTCATATAAAGCAAAATATTCGTGATCCTGGAGTCTGAAAGTGCGCGGAGGAAAATGTTCAAGCCTTGCGCGTGGCAGCCTCTAGGAAGGGATACCCTGGAATGCCACTGCTACCATCTTGCACGAATTTTCCATGCGGGCGACAGAACGAACAAGGAACAGCTGTCCATCTCGGAAATTGCGAGTGGGCGATATCCAATAGACATTGCACGGGTGAGCTGCATTAGTTCGAGGCTGCATCTGATCGGATGATAGGGCTGAGGGGATACTAGTACATCATAGATGGCTCTAGCGGGGGTCATCTGCCACGATCATCATCACAGCAAGAGCTGGAAGTAACCCTAGAATATGTATTATGTCTGAGTGATGCACAAGCTTATACCCAATATTCACTAGTATCACCTGGTACTCAGCTCCAACTTCAAAGAAAGGGAGACCAACAACAACTACAGGCCAACCATACATAGCGCTAAACCGAGCACCTCGGCCCTTCAAGTTCAAGTCCAACTTCAAGAATAATATGCAAACTAAGAAACCGAAACTAGCTCCATGAGATGATAATACTAGTAATTATCCAACAATGCATACTACATCAATCAAGTCCTATCAAAACTCACACACACACTCACAATTCACGCTGCTTCTCCTCTTCCTCCTTCTCCTTCGCCCTCCAAAGCTTAAAAAGCCTTAAATCCAACGGAATCTTATCCCCCAACCAAGTCGCCCGCTGCGTATGATTCCTCTCCTCCTCCAACGCACCCTCACCCAGCGTATTAGGATGCAAAAGCGCACTCAGCGGGCCTCGATTAATCACCAACCAAGGAACGAAAGCGCCGAATTGCGCGGGCGTGAAAATGTTTACTTCGAACATGGCGACTGGGTGTGGTCCGATGGGTTTGTCCCAGAAGGTGTAGACTCGGAGTTCGGGGACTATTTTCTGTCAGTGCTGCGCTTATTTAGGCCCCTTTTTTTCATAGCAAATGGAGTGCGTTAATGTGGTGGGGAGGAACTTGAACTCGGAGGAGGTGGGGGATACTGATACTGACATTCACGACGAATTCGTTCGTGGAGAGCTTTTGCGTAGGTTGCTTGGTCGGGGTTACCCTGATGCAGTCTTCGTGTCAGTACTGCAGGTGGTACGCTATTTATGACTTCCCTGCGCCCCGCAAAACGGCGTAGTCAAGTGCCCATCCTCACCTGGAAATAATAGATGTGGATGTCGAAGCCACCACGACGATCCTTGCTGAGAGGATCGGGGAATTCCTCGTAGGCTTTGCTCAGCTTGCCATGTTGGGGGTTCTTTAGGGACTTTCCATCCTCGTTGCGCTCGCTGTCAAATGCCCGGGGTGGTTAGTCTTGGTTTGTGGGATCATCGTGTACCTACTACTGGTAACTACTAACTACTAGTAGTGTGGACTCACTCGGATAGCGGCTCTAGGTTTTCGTAGCCTTCAAGTGGGGAGGGATATGAGTAGGCGAATGGATCCGACATTTTCAAAGGGATTCACACTGGATAGGCCACTTGGTTTCAAACTTAAACTAATTTGACTCGGAGGTGATATGAGTGAGTTGATGGTTTCAAGCGGCAGACGTTCTGGATAACAGCGGCGGACCCGGAGATATATATTCAATATCTGCGTTAAAGTTGTAGGTTTGTCGGAGTAAAATTGGTTTTGCAAAGAGCCAAAGACAAGAAGAATCTAATCAATCTTTGGAAATGCCAACTGCTGCCTAAGCATTAGAAATCCAACAGTGGTGTCTGCGATGTCGTCAGTAAAGAGGGCGCTCCCACCATACCTGCCATTGGGTGCAGGTGAGGGGCCAATTCCGCACTTTCTGACAAAGCCGCGGAACTGACACTCCAACTGATCATGTGATATTCTACTCGTACTATATTAATTGGATGCATTGAAGTTGAGAAAAGAGATGTAGTCATAAACACGGGATGGTTATTGGTAAATGTACTAGAATGCATGTTTGTCACAAAGGTAGAAAATGTCCTGGTATCTGAACCCCTTAACGCCTTTAAAACAGTCTCACAATGATGGTAACAATAATAGCCTTGTTGCTACGAGTCGCTGGGCGTCAGCCCGAACTTGGCAAGATTTGTTGATCAACACCTCCTTCACACCAACCGGAAGAATCTACCACAAGGCATGGACATCCGTATGCCCCTGATCGTCCACGACCTTCCCTCGGTCCCATTCACGGCCTTCTCCTTTCTTCGACCACCGTACATCTTCCGGTCTCTTCTCCCCGCTCGCTCCAGTGGAGGTTGTATTGTCCTTCCACCGCTCAATGATTGTTTCATTCAGGCCTGCCTCCCGTAGTCTCTCCTCTCCTTTTTGTTTCCACCGGGCACGGTCGCGCAAGGCCTCAAGGGCCATGTCCCAGTCATCTTCCCCGTTTCGAGGCCCGCGACAGGGCGTCTAGTTGGCCGATTTGACAGTAATTGATCGTCATCGGGCTGGATATCAGCCGTAGGATCGTAGTCCGGGGCGAAATGGGAGTCGATATTACTCGAGCTAGCTTTGTAGGCGCCCCGGCCACGCGAACGAACCGGTGCAGCGGATTCTCCGTTCGTCTGAGGCGGAAGAGGGCCAACCATATCTTCAAGAGGGTCTGATTCTTCCCTGTCATGTCGTTGGATCGAAGATTCGGGTTTGTGATTAATCTTCTCGACTGGATCGAGAGATGCTGGGTATTTTGACTCGTGTGAAGATCGGGTATCCTTGTCACGCCGCGGCCGTCGCTCCTCTTTCCTGCTCGACGGGGATGACCGGGCATTGGAAGGAGATTTATGATGACGCCGGCTGCGGTGAGGTTCAGCACTTCGATCTCGACGTGGGGAGCGGCTGCGAGACTCTGAGGGTCTTCGCCTTCGGTAAGTCGTTGACCTGTGACTGTCTCTGTACTCTTTGTCTCGACCTCTCCCCCTTGATCTATCTCGATCGTCGTCTCTCCGTCGTGTCCTGCGCTCTCTATCTCTATGGGTATCTCGTGATCGACTGCGGTCGTCGTCTCTTCGCCGATGTCTGCGGTCCCGATCCCGATCCCGGTCTCGGTCCCGGCCCGAGGATGGCGAACGACTACGATGGCGGTGGCTTTTCCGGTAGGAACGACTCTGGTCACTGCGCTGGCCATCGCGTCGACTGTCATGTCGACGATCGTCCCGGTGGGATCGGTCCGAGGTTCTCGTGCTAGAGTGACGTTCTCGTTCATGGACTCCAGGAGCTGGTGATAGCCTCTGAGAGCTCTGCTGACGGGAGCCCTGGTCCTTCAACTGGCGCATTCGGTCTCCTGCATCTCTCTCTTCTTTCCGCTTCAAAGCTGTGTTATGATTGTCCGTCTCTTTGATCAGATGTCGGAGGAACCGAGTGTTGGCTTTCGGTGCATTGGCAGATCGTCTGAAAAAATGTCAACTTTCTTGTATGGAAATGGGAGCAGGAAGGGGGATTGAGCATACTTCTGCGATTGATAAGCCCCGAGACCTTCCAACGAGTACTTCTTGGAGTTCTCTGCAGCCTCCTTTGCCATGAGCTGCGCGACATAGTCGTCGTCCATGATTGGGTGCGGGGTGGTGGCAAATCAAAACACCAAAGAGAACGGATGAAAAGTAGAGAGCAGAGAGATTCGCCTGAAAACTACCAACATGCCATCATAATGCAAGATTCCAAAGAAGACACAAACGCCTGCCCGTGTGGCGAGGTGGTAGAGGCAGCTTTGTTCTCAGGATGGCGACTGCCAGAATTCTGCCGTCTTGTTCCAGTCCCGCCGCCTTGTTATCAGTCGTCGCGATAGCCCGCGGGACTGGCCCGAGTCTATTGTTGATGCTCTACGCGGTCCTGCCATATGCTACGCAAATATTTCCCAGCAAACAACTGCCTTGCACCAAGTCTTGCCTACAAACAACCATTTTCGAAAACGACACCCCAAAATGTCGAATGGCTCAGACTCCTTTTCAGAGCTACAGCAGCTCGCGCAAGATCAAGGAGATCTAAAGAAACAACTTGCGATCATTCGCATTAGCGAGCCTATCTCCGACGTTGGCGACTTGATCGCTTCGCCTTCCAAACGAGGCTCCGACGTCTCTTTGTCCAACTTGAATGATCCGACACCTGCAGTCCTCGAAGCCGATCTAACGCACTACAAGGTACCGTCTACTCAAGCTCCTTTCTCTCCAACTGCTGTAGTCACTGACAATTTCTCGACAAACAACAGGAACTCTTCTCCAAACTTCGATTCTCCTACCTCGAGCAAGTTACCAAAGAAAAGTTCCTCCGCGCAATCGTCGGGGACCCGCCCCTCGTCGTCGGACACAATGAGAATGTAGAGTTGGAAACGCAACTAGCGGACGTGAAAGCAGAACTGAAGTCCCGAAAAGAAGAAGCACGTCTGATGATCGAAGAGATGGAGAGGATCGGGCGCGACTTAGCCAGCCGTGAGAATACCCCAATATCCCAGCTCAAAAAGAAAGAAAGAAAAAATACACGCATTGCGAACTGGTTTTGGCTAACCGCGATGCATGTGCTACACAGGCTACAAGAACGTCGAAGTTCAATTGACGCAGCTCTCGACTCTTCCCGAGTCCATTGAGAATCTCGAGTCCACAATTGCGGGTCTTAAAGCGAAGCAGGTAGCCGGTATGGACACTTCGGATCCTCGATCTTCACAAAACCTCCCGCTCCCGGCGACTGTATCACTGTTAGCTGAACGAGAGGCAAAGTTGGCGGCATTGAATCGCCAAATTGCCGCTGTCCAGAGTACGTTGCCGCGCAAGACTCGAGAAGCGGAAGCTATTGAAAGGGAATGTAGCGTGCTCGAGCGACGGAAAGCGGAGGCTATTGCCCAGGCACAGGAGGCGCAGCGGAAGAAGCAACAAGGTGAGAGTGATGGTCTGGAAGAGATGGGACGGTGGTATAGAGGGGCAGAGGAGACACTCAAGGAGATGGTGGGGGTGTAAGGGTGAGGCTCTGCGCTGACAAGCAAGTTCCTCTGGCTATCAATGACTACATGACGGAGCAACGAACGGGAATTGGAGATTGGGGATCAGGCGTTGAGGGTATACTATTTCTACTGTACATAATCAAAAGGGCATAACTATTTCGTGGTGCATGGGAAAAACATATGTTTCAAAGGAATTCGGGTCTCGAATTGAAGCCGTCTGGCTGTTTTTGATTCATTCAATTTGCATAAGCATACATAAGCGGCTATGCGGCAGTCGTCATGAACATTCCAGAGTATTGATCTGCCCAAAGCGAAACCCGACCGTACTCCTGTGTCTTCTTTTTTAGAGAGAAATTTACTCCTCATCCTCCTCCTCGGCCTCACCGTCACCACCGGCAGCGGCGGCGGCCTTCTTGCGGCGAACACGGCCGGGACGGCCGCCACCGAAGGGAGAGGTGAGAGCGAAGTCGATGTGCTTCTGGGAGTCCAGGCGGACCATGAAGGAGGGAACGTTGACGATCTGCTTGCCAACACGGATGTGACGCTGCTTGATCAGGACACGGGCGTGGTGGATGGACTTGGCGAGGCCAAGCTTGTAGACGCAGGTCTGGAGACGGCGCTCAAGGAAATCCTCGGTCTTCAGGGCCAGGACGTAATCGAGCTTCATGCGGGACTCGTCGAGGACACCGATACGCACAAGACGGCGGATCAGGGCGTTACCCTCGAACAGACGCTTGGGGTCCTTCTCATCGAGAGTGAGCAGCTCACTGGACGGAAGAAAGAGGTTAGTACAATGTTCACTAGACCCCAGGGTCTCCGGGTGACCCAATTGCAATCCAAAGATATATTCCACATACCGAGCAGCACGACGAATCTTAGAGAGGGTAAGCTGGACACGCCAGACCTCACGCTTGTTGCGGAGACCGTACTCTCCGACGACCTTCAGTTCAGAGTCACTAGATATGGGATTAGTATTGGAACACACGACATGACCAGAAGCACGCTTCTGATCAGTGGCCGGAGAGTACTAACAGACGGGCCGACTCGAAAGCTGCGATGGAATTAGTCTTGCGGTCTTCAATTTATTTTTTTTGCGATTGGGGAGTTTTTTCGCGCAGAGGTTTGACTTACGGCGACGGGGGACCTTGTAGGTCTTGGAGTAGACACGACTATATGGAAAACAACGGTTAGAACAATGCGACCGTATCGAACGATTTCGTCTATACTCACGGGGCCATGGCTGCTGGATGTCTGGGTTGGCGGCGGGATAACGATCAGAATCAAAGTGGTGAGGGTCGAATTGCTTCATCCACATTGCCTGGAAACCTAAGCGAGGCTAACCCGCTTTGGGAAGGTACGGGTCACGGGGCTAGCCCTTACCCTATGTCATGTGACACACATTCGCCAGCCGGGCGACTGTGTGTCTCTCCGCCGCCCCAAGAACATCTTTTGATGAAGGCTGTCCGTGTCGATTTTCCTCAACAAGCACCAACGACAACACCGCCGTCATGCCTCACTCGTACGGTCTGCGCGCCGGCACTCGGGTACGTTTGCGATCTACCCCCGTCGAAATTATCGAATTCTCGATCCCCTCACCACCAACGCCGACCTTGGGGCCCCGATATTGAAGTTGGAATGAATCGCTAACCACCTTCGACGAACAGTATGCCTTCAGCCGTAACTTCAAGGAGCACGGTATGATCCGTCTCTCCACCTACCTGAAGACCTTCCGGTATGAGCGTCAAACAAGACTCCCCGATTCGAAACGATTAAAGATGGAACGGTCATGCTAACGAATTTTCTTAGTGTTGGTGACATTGTCGACCTCAAGGTTAACGGTGCCGTCCAGAAGGGGTCAGTACCACCGAAATTTCCCCCCATCCATCGCACATACATCTTTCCTCTCCGACGAGGCATTTCACACCTCAAGCTCGCCAATGCGACATTGAAAATACATGGAAATCTGACAAGTTGAATTATAGTATGCCCCACAAGGTCTACCACGGCAAGACCGGTGTCGTCTACAACGTTACCAAGTCCTCCGTCGGTGTCCTCCTGTACAAGCGCGTCGACAACCGCTACCTCGAGAAGCGCATCAACGTCCGCATTGAGCACGTCCAGCACTCCCGCTCCCGTGAGGAGTTCATCAACCGCGTCAAGGAGAACGCCCTCAAGAAGAAGGAGGCCAAGGAGAAGGGTGTCCACGTTCACCTGAAGCGTCAGGCCGTCGGTCCCCGTGAGGCTCACACCATCAGCTTCACCGACAACGTTCCCGAGACCGTCGTGCCCATCGCCTACGACACCCACATCTAAGCGAGTCGTTTTGGTACTGGGTTCGGTGTGTGCGTGGTTGCTTGGTGTTTTTCCAGTTAAGGGTTTACAGCCGCTTTTTTAAACCCCCTTACCCGGGGTTGGAATGGACTTGGGCTGCATGAGACGACACGTGAAGGGTCTTCTGATGCCCTGGCACATCTCTCGCCTGTGCATAGATTCCCCGAATGAAACAAAAATCAAAAATTTCGAGTTCATTTAATCTTCTTCTTTTCCCTCTCTCTGCGCGTGCCCTTCTGTATGCTTTGGGTATGCTTAGTGCATGCTTTGCCCTGCAGGATTGTTCTAGACCGATGGTAGACGCCCGATCCCAACTGCTTGCTCACTTTGAACAGCCATCCGCCGCGATTTCCGCGACCATGAAGCAGTGCCCTTCCACCTCAATAGACCGATCTTGACCGCTCTACGAAGTAGTTTGGGGAGCTGTAGCACGCTTAGGCGGACAGAGAGCGCCACCAGGCATTCATAATGTTCTAGACCGAATGAATTCATGATCATCCCCTGCCAGCTTCGCCTTCGCAACGTAGAACTAGACGTCTAGACTCATCGACGTACAAGTCTGGGCTGGGCGGCTCCAACGCACAAGAGGCTTAGGCTCTAGCTAGCAAACCCCGCGAGTTAGTTACTACAACGATCACCCTTGGGATGAGATCATACACCCCTCAAGTAGAGTAATGATAAGTGCGGCAGAGCAGGAACTAAAGCCACGGTGAAAGGGTCCCCTGGCAAACAGATCAGATCTAGATCTTTAGAAGTCTAGTCGTGGCCATCAGCCCCCCTCCCCTCTCCACAAGCTTGACTTAGCTTCGGGCACTGCCACTACATAGCTACCAGCTACCAGCTACACCGACCTTCGCGCGGTGTGTCGTCTCAGGGCCTCGCGTGTGATCAAGTGCAAATGATCAACCTGATTTGTCTGTTATTACTAGGATATTGGAGCTAAAGAGTATCTAGTATGAGATTACGTTATGAAAGGGTGGGCAAAGAGTTGGACAGTCGGACAAATCGGACTTAACATCATGGATTGGAGGCTCGAGCCATCGCTCCCTTAAACTCCGCCTTGTGTTAGCAGCGAAGAAGGGAGGGACAGATCGTTTCTTTCCTTTCCAAATTCTGTTCTGTTCTCTTCTGTTTCGATCTGTTTCGTTCTGTTCCGTCCTGTTGTATGTACGGAGTATGTACACCGTACTACAGTTATTTTTCAACGCCAGTAATCCAGATTCAACACCACTAATCACACCAGGGGAAACCCCGAAATTTCGACCAAAGTGTTAGCAATACCGAGCTGCGTCGATGCGGCAAGCCGGTCCTCTAGGAAATTAAATATCTGGGGCATAAACTAATCGGAGATCACCACGATTGCGGTGGAGAGAGTGCAATCTTAGAAAAATTGAATGAAATTAAACCCCCCCCCAAACATACCATTGCTACAAATAATAATGATAATAATAATAATAATAATAATAATAATAATAATAATAGTATTATTATCATCACTCTAGAGGAGATGACAGTGAAATGAAAGTGGGAGGGTGGGAAAAAGGCAAATTCGCAGAAGAACCTGCACGAGTCGACTATCTGGGAGAAGTGTGTCTGATCCTGATCAGCAACAGTCGCTAAACTTGTCGGAAGGGCGGAAAAAAGAAGAAGAAAAAAAAGCCTCAAACGGCACATCCCCCAGAGTCGATCTGGGTTCTCGGCGCGGGGATGGTTTGCCACCACCAGTTCAGTGGAAGGAGAAAAGAGAACACCCCTCCTGCAACCACCTGTGTGACTTGGTGCCTGCATCTGCGTCCGAGTCGTACATCGGCCCTGAGTTGGGTTATTCGCCCGACTGCGAGTATGTACGAGTATGTACATGGTACGAAGTACGGAGTATTAACTCCTTGGTTAGTGGTACTCCGTCCTTGTCAACGGCGCCATCTAGAAAGGGCCGCGCGGATGCATCGAATAATTTCTTTTTCTCCCTCTGTAATTTGGGAAAAATGGGAGATTGGACCTTAGTTAGCAAGACCCACTAGACATCATGGCAGGCTTACGAGATTGGCGTTGCCGATCGTCGAACCAGACTACTAGTAGCAGGTATCTCCTTGTCTAAGTCTGGTCTGGCGCCGGCATGCATATCGGTGGAAGAACATGTTTGCGTTCACCTTCCATTCTATCCCATCTCGCTGAACCGATTGACTGGATGCCATCGGAGAACAGTTCGATTTGAGGAAGGAGGAAAATTGAGCGGTGGGGGCCATGGGCTTGGGGCTATTTTTGATTTTTGGCCCGATTTTCTCTTTGGTAAGAGTACTTTGTGCGTCGAAGAATGTACTACGAGTACAGTGTACACGCGCCTCCTTCCAAGGTTAGACTTTCGGGGCCTAGGACCGTTGTGTCACTGGCAGTAGGTTGTGGAGTACTCGGACTCGATCTCGAATTGGCAGGCCGGGCCTGGAGATAAAAAGCAATTTGGTATATAAATACTCTCGTATGCGTACATGCATAGTAGTATGTAATAGATACCTCCGAGGTTGACTGATGGGGGACGCGGCGTTGCGGTGTTTTTGTTAGTGGCTGCTGAGGGAGTGGTGAGAGACAAAAAAAAACAGGGAAGGGAAATGAAAGTGGTGCCACCGACATGAAAGAAGGAACTATTGAATTATCTCTTCATTTCGCACCATCTCAGACCCCGCACTCTTGCAGATGAGCCACATTCAGCCTCCTGTGGCTGACCCAATTGGTGGCTGTGCAGCTGTGCCCAAGGTTGATTATGGAGTTTACGATACGAAGCGGAAGGGTTTGTTAGTATTTGCACTGCCACTACTAGTAGTATAATATGACATATCTAGTTGACAGACAGTTCGCATGAACTCTTTGCCTTCTCTTTAATCGCTCGATTTACTCCTACTTTGAACCATCCCAACTCTCTTATTTTTCTTTTTCTTTTCTCAGGGACTCGAGACAGCTGACAGGATGGGGCACGAGGGTCCGGGCGTAAAGTATGTCGATCTCTCGCGATGGCGTCCTATCGGTCCGTCCATATCGATTTTCTCTCTTTTTCCTCTTCCTTTTCTTTTTTTTTTTTTTTTTTCCTCTCTTCCTTTCTCTTGGCGCCCATGCTTCTCTTGTTGGTTGATTTTTTCCTTTTTTTCTCTTTTTCTCTTTTGGTACTTTCTTGTTATCGTACACTGTACCCCTCTCCTAGCCAGGTAGGGCACGCGCTGCAGCCAGTCAACTCCCCCACCAAGGATCCTGCAGTTTCGCGTAGAAGATGTGGATTCTGGAATGTCCAGCGGCGGGAGAATTGTTCTCGAGTGTGCAGATCCCTGAAAGAAAAGTCTGGACCCCTGTTCTGGCATTCCTAGAACCACGTCGGCACCCACAGCGGTGGGTTATCTGACCCTTTCTCCTGGGTCCGCCTTGAGGTGTATGTAGTCTGGTGATGAGACAAGCACTAGGGGCTTCGATCTGCAGCCTTTGGTTTCAGAATTCTGACTCCGTACATTACTACATAGAATTGCGTCGCCACTTTTGCAACGCGAATCTTCTACCATACTAACGCAGGGAAGGCCCATTTCGCCTTGGGAGAGGGTTCGAGCGGTTGGGTAAAGAAGACCCGTCCACTTTGCCTGACAAAACCGAGGCTTCGAGGCTTAGAGGAGAGGGTTCAATACCCAGGTTGTGGTGTGGTTCTGATTAATGCTCTGTAGTGATCTGAATGATCCCTATAACCTATTTCACCGCCACACCCAACGGTCTTCATCAGGACCGGGGCGAAACCCCAGGCAGCCAGGCTCCCTTCTAACAATCTAGCAGTCTAGCAGCCACTAGCATATTCTGAACGCAAACATGCCATCTTAGATTCACGCCACCTTCCTCCCCTTCCTGAATCCTGATGCACACCGTAGATTTTACACCGACTTTCCCTGCTTCGTTCCTGCGGTCACGCATGCGCGGGTCGATCGAACACCCAAGAATTGGGTTTGGGTTGACACCCGGGGTTGTGGCGAGCATAACGGTGATTGGCAATGCCAGACACCCTGACCCTCCGTGCCACACAGTGGGTTTACACCTACTCCGTATCGTACTCCATAATAGGTGAACAGTAGTAGCTCCTGGGCTCTGATTGCCCAGATTCCCTCGGCGTGGCTGCATCTGCAGTATTGGCAGATGGGCTTATCGTCATAAATCGAGTGGGGAAAAAAAGAAATTTGTCCGATTTTTGACACAATCTCGACCAAAAAAAATGGAAATAAAATGAAATAAAATAATAAAACAATTCAAACGATTAAAAATTAAATTATTTCGCTCCTATTTCATTGAATCTCATTCAAATTCAGCCTAGTCTCGCAGGCAACTGTCTGCCCTGAAACCTTCTGGAAGCTATGCAATGATTTGCGAGACCCACCGATGACACTGGGTTGGAGTGCCCCCTTCGAACCCATACCCTCATGATGAGTGAGGTTGAACCCTGGCGATGAAGGGTGCAAAAGCCCGGGTTGAGAGAGAATAGGCGGCGATGCTGATAGAATTGGAAGCCAGAGATAGAAGATAAAATGCTTTTAAGTTGTCTCCATCCTCATTCTCTCTCTCTCTCTCTCTCTCCAAGAAGCACCTACAGTTCCCAAACACATTACACACTTGCGTGGAGAGTACAAACAGCTCTCCATTTCCACTACACCAGACGCTCTACTTGCGTCTCACTCGTCGCCGCGAAATTTCCAGGCCTACCGAGAACCATTGCATCCCTGAGCTCCTCAAACGATTTCCATCTTACCCCCCAATCTCCAAACATGAGTTCCATGTAAGTGCCTAAGCTATTGACGAACTTGCGCCACCCTAGTTATACCCCAGCCCGCACCACTGCAACCATAAATCCTCCAGTCTTGACCTCAACTCAATCACACCCTTAGCCCCGTCCTCCCCCTCTCACCTCTCTTCTCTTCCTACAGAAGCACTGCTAATAAAGTATGGCAAAGGTCCGGCATCGGCTCGTGGGCCCCCAAGAACCCTCCCTATGGCGGCGGCTCCACCACTACCAAGACATCCTCGAACACCACCTCTATCTCTATCGCAGACCGTCTCCCAAAAGAAAAAACTGGCAAATCGCCCATGCTTGAAATGTACCTGAGTGACTCTCCGCGTGCAGACCACTGGACACCGGTCAGCATTGCTAGTAGTGGACGTTGATTGCCTCCACTCCGACACAACACGAGGGGATGAAGATTGTACTCGATAGGTCGGGGGCATATACAACTTGAAGGCGCATGACATGATACGATTAGGAACATATTACGGACACGAGGTCAATGGGTGTATGGATATGGGATAGATGGGCGTTACTAGCGATTGAAATTGAAGCTGGAGCTGGGGGAATCGGCGGTCTCCTTGGAGTCACGGTCACTGGGTATGTGCAAGGCTCACTGGCACTTCCAAGGTTGTTGATGGTCGGGCGAACCCTCCAAGTCCTCGCCCTTCTTGCCCCAGGCCCCACTGCCACTGGGTGGAGCGGTTGGTTAATGAAGGGTTTGTTACTGGCACTTTGATCTTTTTTATTCGTGTTTTTGAAGTTTTCCTTTTTTGCTTTTCCTTTACTCTGCTCTATTTTTTCTCTTTTCTCCTTTTGCTTTTGCCCCTCCGCTTTTTCACTTTCCTCCTGCAGAGTTTCTAACTGATTTTTATTTGATTTTCTGATTTCTTTTTTCCTTCCCCTTTCCCTTTCTCTATTTTTTGTTCTTTTCTCCCCATCCTTATTCTATTTTGCGATCCACCGTGGAAAAAAACCACTATTAAACATATAGAGATAGAAGCCTACACGGGCGCGCTTTGTGATTTTATTTGCAATTTCAATATGAGTTTTCCCCCTACCTTTCTTCTACTCCCTGAATGATTGTAAATCTTGCACTCTCCCACATTTCAAGGGGGGGGAAAGGACGCCATGAGGTACACCGTACAAGCCTGCACATGGTGACTAGAGAGTGAAAGGCGAGGTTTCCTCGATCGCAATACAACGGGAGTTGGAGGACCTTGTCTTGCCAGTCGGTACTCCCTACTCCTCCCTAGTCAAGTCTCATCTCCTCCGGAACCTTGGGAGTTCCGGTCCCTGTGTATGCAGTAGAGTTTCACGCATTACATCTTACTTTGGCGGCCCGGGGAGTGGGTCACGATCTTTCCGGTCCAAGATGGACGAAGATCTACGAGTCGGCGATTTGCATTACTTGCATGCTTTGTAAACACGCGTCTTCCTGGGTAGGGCTGACGACTGCCAGCCATCTTCGGCATCCAGGGCGCACGGGGATGTAGTACGAATTACTCAAGATGACCATTGATCCGCATAGAAAGATCGCCAGTTTGCGCGGCCGAGGACGAAAAAAGCGCTCTTGGCTTAATCTTGGCTGTGTGTGTGTTTCCAAAGCCAACAGCCACGGGACAGGGGCCTTGTCTGTCTCATCTCAATCCTAGTCCGTATAGATCGAAGGGTGATCAGGGCGATCAGGGAAATTCGGGTCCGTGTCAGCAGGGATCATGGGACCAGATGATCGTAAGAAAAAAAAAGTAGGAGAAAAATTTATTAAAAGCCTTCGCGAATTGAACATTTCTTATTGGCGGTTTGCAGTGCAGCCAGCTCGGCCCCGTTGAAGGGAGACGCGGGCGTTGGAGAACCTAATTATACCTAGAATATCCTCACCACTCAGGAATGTGGTGGCTAATTTCTCCTAGTCAATCCCACTTGCAGTTGGCCTCAAACCAATGCTTATCCTGGTCCGGCCGATGGGATTGTCAGGAGGACGAAAGGGTTTTTCCTTCCTTGGGCCTGGTTTAATGCGATGATGCGGTGTGGATCCAACCATTGGAGGTCAATCTCGAGAATTGCGCGCTTTATCCGTACTCCCAATTCACTTTTCCACTTTTACTTCCCTTTTCTCCGGTCTCGTCTTTACTAGGTGTGCTTGCGCCCGTTCACGCCTCACTCATCAACCAACCACTTGACATCGTGTGTGTGCCCCACTGCGAAGTGCCCGACAGGGACGCTTGATCACTGGAAGTGTTAGAGAGTGTTCCCGAGGCCGTCACGTATTCCCCGGTCGCAAGCCAATCTCTCTCAGTCCGGTCTTTTGTTCCTAAAACCCGGAAGGAATGTTTACGCGGCCTTGTCCTTGCCAATACGAGGTTGTGGATTCTATGTATTTGTTTGCCAGTGTCGGAGGGGAAAGTCCCCCACGATCTCCTTAATGCAAATCCGCCAGGCTTAGATCGTGCTAGTTAATCGTTTGTAGAAGGTTGATGTCACCGCTCCTCCGGGCGACCCTTGTCCTAGTCGGCATGGTGTATAATTGAAATACCCTTGTTATTATTACTAGTGCAATTATCGGTTTGGCAGGAGGGAAAAGGGGGCCCGGAAAAGAAACAGATCAAATGACTTCCCTGTCAATACTGACTTTCAAAAGTACTCCGTAAGAGCCTCTGTATGGAGGAGTCTAAGCGACGAACTCATGGTCAAAAGGACAGCCGGGATCTTCGGTGAGCGTTTCAAGAGCATCGCGGTAGTTTCACGTGAAATCCGCAGCCCATTTACGGCTCTTTACACGACTCCGTACACGTTGCCTCACTCTTCGCTGGTCGGGAACTGGGGGCCCCAGCGTTCTCCCCAACTACCGAGACCCGGGAGGTTCGTTTTATCCTCGTCGAAAATCCATGATCTGCAATGTATTTCAATGTATACACTGTACTTGGTACGATAGCGGATAGGGTATTCACGGTACCCCGTCATTTGCCGAGACTTTCCTTGTTGTCCCTTCCTGATGACCTGGCGAAAAGCGCCCGATTGGAGTGAACCCCTCTTTCGATGCCCTATCTTACGGAGATGAGAGATCGGGGGAAGGAGAGTATGGGATCTCCGTTGAAAAGCGAGGCGCGAGAGGTGGTACTATAGTACTACCGAGGGTCTGGTGCTCAAGGCTGGGGAACCCTGGGCTCGAGATAAGGTTGCTAATGTGGGTGTGTTGACAATGGTGTGGGACCATGGAACAAGGACGGGAGGGAACCATGGGAATCCCCACACTGGAGACTATTATCATGTACTGTATGAAGTACAATAAACATAATTAAATGCAGCCAAAAAGGGGAAAGGTACTAACAAGGCCATAGAGAAACATACCACAGAATAATCGTCTAGACCTCAGTGGCTGCAGATTTCAATGAGTTAGAATGGGGCAAAGGTGGGTCCTTTTGTTCTTTGTGTTCTGCGGCGGAGTTCATTCCCCCCTCCCCTCATCATCACCCGGCGAAAGAGGGAAAGTGGAATGGGGCTGAGTGTGTCGAGCTCCCCCCTCGAAGTACATCATTGTGCATAAGCTTCATCTTTCGGTTTCATTCCTGTGATGGGGGCTGTGCTGTGGTGTGCTGTTATTGTGTCTTGTATACTTTGGTTGTATTGTATAGAAATGCTAGTTAGTAGGTAAGTATCACAATTGCAATGCGCTGTAAAAATAAGCCTATTAGATGCCGACAGGACAGGACATAAATACTAATACATTCAAGTTATTACATAACTGAATATGTAGCTCTGGTAATATACACCGTAATACTAGTACTGCTAAATCCGAGTTGAGCCCCAAGTTTCCCCACTAAGGCAACCAGTATCCCTGCCTCACTGGCAGACGCCCGCTTCAAGTTCCGAGTCCCTCAATCCGTGGGCCGCGAAGGGATTACGTTCCCCGACCATTATATCTTTACTGACCCGCTCATTCTTTAATCTGACTTTTTTATTTTATTTTATTCTCCTTGAATCTAACTTCCACAAGCTAAGAAACGCCATCGGACCCATTATTGCTCTGATCGTGCTGCAACCCCCCTCTCCCCTCCGCATTTACCTTTGCTTTGCCCGGGTGAAGGCCAAAGATTTTTGTGAGCCCAACGAGCTCCAGAGATCTCATCGGGCTACTACTAGTATAAGTTACTAGCCATCTTTCTTCCTGATTTCTCAGTTTTCCGTTTTTTCTTCCCCCTCTGTCTGGTCTCTCTTCCGAACAGACAGACATTGCTTACCACAATGTCCTTTCCCTTCAACTCTTCCTTCCATCCCAACGGGAATGAGTATTATGGGACTGAATCAAACGAGCTTCCCCCTCGCCAGGACTTGTCAGACTCGACGGCAACATTGAGATATCTCGATGAGTATAACTTGAACGGATATGACATAAGTGATACCATGTCGTTGCCTTCGGCTGCATTAGTGAGTATTGTCAACTGGCTCCCTTTCTCTGCCTCCGGATCTGACCCTGGATGCTCTGAAACGGTAATTAACCCAGCTTGCTCCAGGGATCTCTACCCTCATCGTCACAACAACCCAGCACCTCATTTGGAGGAACAGCGACGAGCGATACGAGCTACCCGGAGCCAGAGCCAGTCCCGAGCGCTCAAGACTTTCCTTTCCCTGTCACCACTGGTAATACGGAGCAAGATTTTTGCTTCGTTGGAACCTTCACCGGTGACTCGTTGGACGTACCAACTGGTGAAATTTTACCCAACGCCCCCGGTGAGAATGCAGCCTCTCAGCCAAAGATCGAACAACGTTTCTCTGAGATTTGGAATGAGGTTCCTGACGTGCCTACCAACGATACTCATCGTGGTACTGCCGGCCCCAAAATTCTGATCGAGGCTCTGGATTTTATCATCGCTGACCTAAATAATCCCGAATGCACTCCGGCCCATGCATCCCGGACAAGAAAGGCGAAAGACGCGCTTGAGGAACTAGTGAAGGAGCATACATCTCCAGGAACAGAGAGCATCGTGAATGCCGGTGGATGCTTGCTTTGTGGCGTTACATTCCTGAACAAAGGGGTCCTGACAAGGCATTTCAAAGACCAGCATTACCCTCAATTCAAATTCTACTGTCCGAAGGAGGGCTGCTCAAAGACGCAAAACCGCAAAGATAAAATTCAAAGCCACATTCGTGCCCATGAGGGAATTGACCGTGAAAGCTTCACCAAGACAGAACTTCCTTGTCCCGCATCGTGTCCCATATGCCCATTAAACACCAACAGCTGGGAAGACTTCTATGCATGCATCATTGGGCACCATAAGGTTGGTGCACAACCACCCGAGCGCGCTGCTTCTCGAAATAGCAGTGTCGACCATGGCCAAGCACTTCAGATGGGCTCGGCCCCTACGGTTGACCCCCCACTATGTGTGTCGTCCCAACAGCTCGCTGTCCCTGGTCCTGATAGCGTTCGCAGAGAACGCTCTCCCTCCTTCAACGCGGTTAGAAGCCAAAATCGCTCAGAACGAATGGGAATAGGTCGATCTCACTCAGACTCCCAACGAGCGGAAAGGAACAGATTGAATTCCAACTCTTCTCGTTCTACCGCCCACACAGGGGGCCAACTTCGAGGTAGAAGTCCTTATCCCCAATCTACACAGAGGAACGAAATAGTCCGGGGAAGAATATTCGGGCAAAGAGAGCCGTCGAGCAGAAACATCCGAAGTCTGCAGTGTGCCAGCTGTCTTCGATTCTTCCGTGAATTTGATCCGAGTGAATTTGGTCTCATGGACAGGCCAAGATATTGTCCCAGGTGCTTCGCTAGATGCTCATTCGGATCTTACACGGTTCCCATGGAAGCTCAATATTCTCAACAACCCCAGCCGCCATTGCAAACCGCAGTCTCTCCCCCCGAAAACTTCACATACTGGACCCCTGAGCCCTTTCCAACCGGGCAAGATACTATACAACCCTTTCCTACCACCCAGCCCAACCAAGGACACCGGAACGCCAGAGTCCCAAGCAGAGCAGCCGCCTTCAGGAGCTCCCCAGGATCCCCTCCCCAGAGTAATGAAGTAAATAATCTTGATATCTGGGCCGTGAGAGACATAGACTCACCCACTTTCAGTGAAGAAGAGCTATCTTTATGCTCCCCGTTGTCTTTGGGAAGCAGCTTGTCCCCAGCCAGCCCTTTGTCCAGCGTTTTTCCATGGACGAAGACCTTACCCATCGGACTCCCGACGAAGCCTCTCAAGGACCTACCGACCATCCCAAGTTCTTGGCTTGACAATAGTAAGCATCGGGTAACACCTGCAGGAGCCCAACCTCGCTAACCATCACCATTAGGCTTTGGGATATCCCCCTGGAAAGATGTTCCTCCAGCACCGAGACTCTCCCAGTGCAGATGCGCCTGCAACGCCAAGGCAACGAAGGCATCGTCAAAGATGACCACCGACCTTTCCAGTGGTCGTCCGGTAAAAGTGAAACTCACTGTTGCCACCAACGGCCCCGGGTCAACTCTTCGCAACAAAGTGCAGATAGTTGTGAGCCTACTCAACTTGCGCGACACAACGAAGAAGAAAGCCGAAGCAAGAAAGGCCCTTAAAGGAGCCGCCAACAAAGCCGATGATGACGGGGACAATGATGGGGATGGGGATGACGAACCAGATACCAAACTTCCTCCCCTCCACTTTTCCCATGCCTCCTCGTCCATCGACACATCCCTTTACGACGACCAGGACATTGTTCCATCGGATCAACCAGTGGTGGAATTCATTTTCGATTTGGACACCCAGGCCTCGTTTGATAGGATTTCACAATTGACCAGCAGCATGGCACCTGACCTTTCCGATTTGGATGATACCTATGATTCGGAGTCTGTGGAAAAGCTACGTCTCCTTTGGTACTTTGCCAGATATGTCGTGTTCATGATCACGGTGCTGGGTCGAGCAGCCGATGAGGGGTTTCATCCCCAATTGAGCGATTGATTGCTCCCTTGTCCATTCATCTCTTTTTTCTACCCATCCTTTTCTCTTCTCTTCTCTTCTTTTCCCCACCTTATATTCCCTGCTTGTCTTTATTTTTTATGATTCCATTTCATCTCGACCTAAATTGCTTTCGATACCCCAGGTGTTTTTGACTTCTCACGATTTTCTTCCGCGTGGTAATGTTTTTGACTTTCTATTTTACTTTACTTTGCACTTCTCTCTGACCTTTCTTCTTCTTTCTCACCAACAAATTCCTCGAAAAGAAATATCCTTCTCAGGCCCCACCAGCCTACCTAATCTTGATCTACTGGGTTGGCGGTCTAAAAAGTGTACCTTATTGGCGCTTGTACACTACATTAGATGGAGCATATCCTTTTTTCTTGGACATCTATTTGAATTTGTCTTTATCTGCTACCTATTTTTACAGCTTTGACCATTGATTATTTGATCGTTTGTGTGGCCATGATGACACGAGTGACTTGTTACGATATCCATGGAAGGAAGGGTGCATACATCATGATACATACTGCTACTACTACAGCTAACATGAAAGCGTGTGTATTTCCTCACAAGCCATTGAAACGCAAAAGATATCCACTTGTCTTTTTCACTCTTTAATTTTACGAATCTTACTGCTTTTTCCACGCCATTCGATTTCTGGCACGGTTTCCAAGATTCAGGCCCCCCGCGCCCTTAATTGAATGCTTACATCCGAACGTAAAAAGCTCAGACCATCGAGTGCCTTGAGTGCCTTGCAGTGAGCCTTGAGTCTGCCTCTGTACTACACACCATTTTGTAAGCGGGTATGCATAATGCGTGGGATATAGGTACAAGTCATGGGTTTTCAGAGAGAAAGCTGTGGAGGCTGTGCTAGTTATTGCAAACTTATCAGTTGGGCGAGGAGGCTGACTGGATCGGACCGATCTGCTTATGGAGACGTGCTATGGTCATGCTCGACCGAGGTTGAAAGCCTGACTTGATAGTAGATTTTTATTCAATCTTGGGTTGGGCAGTAATCTCTTGCAGTAATCTCTTGCGGTACATTGATAAACTACTACCACGGGTGGGAGATTACAAAGTGCCATTGTTGAGACCTATTCTACTACAAGTACGATCTAGATCATTTCCAAGTGCACTCTCATCCAAGAGAAAAGGCAGACCAAGTTTTTCGCCATATAATATAAGTACAAATCAAAAATAGCAACACCGTTCAATTGCATCTAATACACCAAAAGAAAAAAAAGTAAATAAGAATAGATACCCGCTAACGAAGTCAAGCCATTGATAACTTGGAAGTTGGAAGAGTGTTTGCCTGTAGAAACCTTGAAGCCAGGTGAATTTTGAAAGTTAACACCGTTAAAAAAGATCTGGGTTGGAGAAGCTGATAATGGAAAGTAGCAAAAATAGGAAGGGCGGGCAGAAATAATCATTTGTGTGTTGTGAAGTGAGCTGGTGGATATTTCGTAGCCAGCTTTCGTAGATGAGGTCGGGGAATTAGGGTTGATTGGTGTTAGGCAACTCGTGGCCAGGATCTCTACTCCTGCCGACTGCGCTTTGCACCGTGTGGGTTCCATGAAGCATCATTGCCGCCTCCGACGCTACCTCCCTGGTTATTGAAGAACCCTTGGTTGAAGGCTGCTGGGTTACCTCCCTGGAAACCTTGGCCTGAAGAAGTCAACATTTGTCACGCTTTCAAGCAATTAGAATAGATTTGATACTCACCCTGCATGCCCATGTTCATCATGGGGTTCATTCCACCAGCCATAGGATTCATACCCATACCTCCAGCCATGGGGTTCATGCCCGGCATTCCCATCATATTGTTTCCGCCCATATTTCCACCACGACCACCACGCATACCACCCGGTCCGCCGCGCATGCCGCCCATCATGCCACCGCCGCGGTTATTGAAGCCGTAGTTCTGCATGCCACCCATATGACCGCCCTGGAAACCGCCCATCATACCGGGACCGCCGCCGCCGCCCTGGAAGCCGCCGCCCATGTTATTGTAATTGCCCCGGTTGTTGAAGTTGTTACCACCCATCCCACGGTTATTGAAGCCTCCTCGTCCACCGCGGTATCCGCCGCCACCCACGTTCATGCCAAAGTTATTGTTTTGGTTACCGCCGGCGTTGAAATTACCGCCCATCGTTCGATTGGCATCCTTGCGCATGGGCGCGTCCTTGGGGAGTGTGCGGAATGGGTTCTGATGCGGGTTGGTATAGTTCACCAGGTGTTTCCGCCCTGATTGACCGGTCTCGATCTTGTGTTTGCTAGCCGTCGCAGCTTGGGGAGTGATGAATTCGACAAAGGCTTGTCTGAGGAGATAGCGCGAAATTCGGTTAGCAACATGGGACGAAATAGCAACATGAGACGAAAAAGAGTTACGCAGCAAATCTCAACTTACCCCTTACTCTTGCCATTGACCTTGTGCTCGCTGAATGTTACATCTTTGAGCTCGTCCTCACTGCCGGCCGCGGCGATCCAGCCCCGAATGTCATCGTCCGTTTCCCACCAGAATAGATCGGAGATCAGCAATGCGCTGGTGGCATCTGGGTCTGAGGGGCGGTCGTCATAGTCCTTCCGCTTGACCCCATGTGGCGGCGCTGGGGTATCGTGAGCGGAGGTCTGCGGGTTGGTCATGGCGTGGTCGCCGTTGGAGGCGGGCGCAGATTCGACGGGATGGGTCGACTCGGCGGGCGCATTGTTCGTATTGTTCGCGTGATTCGTGTTGTTGGCTTGTTTCGTGTCTGCGGAAGGGGCCGAGGAAGTGGTCTCGGGGGCATCTAGTACCAGCTCGGTGTCATCTTGGTTCTGATCACCTTGTTCGGTGGTGTTGTAGCCACTGCCATCCCCGTAAATGTCAATATCGAAGTTATCATCTTCCGTGGCCATTGTGCACTAGGAGATCCGAGTCCTCAAGGACTGCAGGCTGAAGAGCAAGTATTCGATTTTGAATAAGTTTTGAGGTTGGCTAATACAGGCCCTTCTTGGTCTTTTCTTCTTCTGTTCTTTGCTTTTGAAAATTGGCCTCTTGTTTCAAGGGGGGTACATGTCTGGAAACGCCGGGCTGCAATTAGCATGGAGAATAAGAGTGAACTCGGCCATTGAAGCACAACAGGTAAAAGTCAGGAAAAGACGCGAGGTAGAATCCCCAACCAGACGAGACGAGAAAAGACAAAACAATGAAAAGCAAAAAAAGCTCACGACGATACGTACAATCCGAGAACAATTGCCTCCGAGAGTGAACAAGAGCTGCGCTAGCCGATGAGCGCGTACAGAGATGCCCTTCTGAGCTTCGATACAGGGAAAGAAAGAGAAGATATGCCACAGACAGGCAGAAGCAGCGAGAACTGCGTAAGTATCAACAAAGGAGATATCAATCCTTCCTCTACCAGCCAGAGATGTCGAGATGTTTTGGGGGGGAAGGTGAAACAAGTCGTCGACGTCGAGAGACCCAAGGGAGCGCGGGTGCCGGGGATCGGGAAGAAGTGTTGTTCCGGTTCCCCAGAAATGGAAGCCGCCGAAGTGGCCAGAATGGCATTCGCTCCTTCCTCAGATCCTCAGATCCCCCCTCTCAAACTTACCTTCTTTCTCCAACCTCCATCCCCTTCACACCTTACACCTCACACCATGTCTGACACTATCCAAGAGCTCGCCGATATCCCCAAGGACTTTGTCCGTGAGGGTTCTCTCTTCATTAAGCGTTGCACCAAGCCCGACAAGCGCGAGTTCATCAAGATCAGCCAGGCCGTCGGCATGGGCTTCCTCGTTATGGTACGTGTCTATTTGCTATCAATTAGCTTGCCCTCTATTACTCTTTTATATCTCACTTCGGACTTGCTAACTCGATCCATTAGGGTGCCATTGGTTACTTCGTCAAGCTGAGTATGTGACGCCGCCGATCGCACATTAGCTCCCCCGAACACATCGCGTGCCTATCGAGAATATTGCTTGAACAATTCACTAATGGATAAACTTTTACAATAGTTCACATCCCTGTCAACCAGGTCCTGGTCGGTGGTGCTTAAATACCCCATCCAATTCACATTGACGAGCTGGAAGCTGGAAAGGGGGCGATCGGAGATCCCAGCATGGAGAAAGGTCCGCATCTGACAAGGTGATTCATTCGCCCGTTGAACTACCGCGACGCAACTTGAGCTCGATAAATCGTTTCGAATCGGGCACATACATCAAATCTCGAGGACTCCTGGACCGAACCGCCGTCGCGGGCGTTATTTCTGCTTTACTTTGTTGCCAGCAAACCACCCTGGCGCTTTTTTGGGTTGTGTTGGAGGGAGTGCTTCGTCCGCCGCCCTTGAGATACCATATACCACTATTCTTTCTTGTACCAATAGGAGCTTTTTTGTTTCTGTTTAATTGACGACCTTCCATACCCACCTCAGATCTTGTGTTCTTCTTTTTCGCACCCTTCCCAACCCTCCCAACACTACGCCATTGTGCTGCCCACATAATAATCTTCAGTACGGGCCGATTTGAAAACAAGATAGTCGTATTTGCAAGGTATTCGTCACTCGTTATAACTACAAATCGCGTGAAGACAATCTCTATGCAGACATTCAAATGTTCATGACTCCGAGAATCACTCGCAGGTGAATCCTTTATTTTTGGATGACCCCAAAGCATAATTACTGCAAATGACCACCTCACCAAGTCTCATCTTCATCGATGAATCGTCGCCGCACTGGTCGACTCCGCAACGGACGTCTTCGAGGCGGGGGCGCGTGCTCGCGGTAGTGATTAAACTCCGGTACATATCGAAGCTTGTCGTCGTAGCTTTTCCCAATTGGCGGGTCACCCTCATCATCTTTGGCACCGTTATTCCAGCTATGTACCGTGCAGGTACCGCTCGACAGCCCCCATCCATTCCATGATGTTGCTATCTCTGATTAGCAAATCTTTCTTGATAGAAAATTGGGGTGGCTACTTACCTGCAAGGACAGGGGCATTCGGGTGCCAGCTGGCATCTCGCACACATGTCCGCCATAACATCTCGCCGCTCATTTCATATGCAGAGGCGAAGACATCCGGCTCACGGGGCCGAGAGTTCATGGTAGCTGACCCGACATCGATGGTTCCGGCCAGTGTGGCATCCATATTATACACGTAAACCTTTCCATCTTCACTGCCAGTGTACACGTAACGCGAGTTCGTACTTCCAGGCGGCGAAAAGTGACAACGAATCAATGTCTTCAGGACACGGTGGCCGCGGAAAGTGACCACCGAGCAATCGTGTTTGTGGGGTTCATAATATTCATCGGGATACGGTTCGAAGCGGTAGTCAAATCCAGTGGTGTAGTCACTCGGGTCAATCCGGTCAAAGTCAGCAGTAGTCATCATCTTCCGCAGATCCCATAATTTCATCGTTTGATCCTTTCCGTTAGAAATGATGTATCGTCCATCTCCTTTGCTATCGACATAGGTCAAGCCCTCGGTGTGGCCCATGAAGGCGCCGGCTTCACGGCCGTCGGCCATGGATCGTCGATCCCAGACTCGGAGGGTTGTGTCATCGGACCCCGAATAGAGTAAATGCGGAGAAGAGGTGTCACCGTAACACACTGCGTTGACATGGTCTTGGTGCCGATATTGCAGATTGAGGACCGGTTGTTTTGTTTCGATATCGTACACAACTACTGAGTTTTCTGATGTGCCCGCAACAACTTCTCGTCCATCCCCAGAAAATCGCAAAGACCAGATCTGAGAGACAAAGATTAGTCGAATATACCACAGGAAAATGGTTCTAAAAGACATACTCCAAAGTGCGAGCTACCCAAGCTTCGTCGTTGCCGTTGACCCGGCGGAAGCGAAAAGTCCAGAACTGATGGATCAGAATCATCCTCGGGGTCTGTCGTCGCTAGATAAGCCTGGCTTCGTATTGAACTGTAGACTAAAAAGCGGTTATCGGGACTCAGAGTTGCATCGGTGATTGTCCATTGCCCAAAGGGATAGTCGACGGTCTTATAGTATTTCCACTCGTACGGGTTGGATGTATCGTACATCCGGACTTTGAAATCCTGCGCGCACGCGAAGAAGAAATTCCCATCATCAGAAAATTGACCGGAATAGCTTCGTGAGTCGTAGTGGATGATCTTATCGGCCACCGATCCTGGTATCAATTGCTAAGCGCACGCCATACCGTCAGCCTATGTTTCATATTTCGGCGTGATCGACAGAGGGATCAAAGTCCACTTTACCTGGGACAAGGATTGACCAGCTCTTCTGCGCAATCCATACGAGTCAATTCCGAGTTCGCGCCACATAAGATTCGTAGCAAATACTCCCTTGCGCTTCTTGAGCCGATCGACGAAGTATGGATTCGTCCCGAATTGACCCCCACCCATCAATTCCGTGCCCTTATCACTGGGGACTTTCGGGAAGTGCTCTGCGCCACCTGTTCTCCGGGGTCTCGCCCTGCGAGTAAATGGCGCATCAAATTCGTCGTCACTTTCGTCATCGCCATCATCTCCGACGATATTGGTTGACCAGCCGTTTGAACGGAGAATATGCTGTAGACCACTCGACGCGAGTAACTCGAATAATTGGGCGGCCGGAACTGGAAGCAAGTCAGAAGCAAAATCCCGAATGTACAACTTGAAGCTACCATGATATAAATATTCCATTTATTGAGACTGAACATACTTCGCGGGTGCCCGCCTCCCCCAGCTTCCGCATTCCCGTCGAGATCGTCGTGTGTCAGTTCGAATTGGATATTGTCGATGGTGATATGGGGGTTTTCTAGTAATAAATGTATTTTCAATTAGCCGCTTAGTCCGTGCAGAAATCACCAACCCCAACACCCTGGTCTCACCGTCCGAAATGCCGAGGCCCATCCTCTCATCGCCCGCATCATCCTCCTCCCAATCGTCTTCGGTCTCCATGGTCGTAGACGGGACGGTATAGTCAAGGTCGTCCTCGTCCTCGTCCCCTTCGTCATCTTCAAGCCATTCTCGTGCGGGATGCCACATAGGAGCTTCTCCGGGCTCATTTCTTGTCTCGTCAGACCCTGGTGAACTCATCGTGGCGGGGGTTTTGTTCCGAATGGATTGGGGTTTGGATGAGGAGAAGCTTATCGATACCGAAGATAAATCCGACTTACCGCCGCTTCCTCCAATTTGTAAGGCATTATGTCATGCCTCTCCACATTTTTGTGGGGAAGCAATAGTATTATAGTACTAGTACGAGTATGTACGACATGGCAGTCACGGAGTGAGAGCAGGTGGATTTTATAAATGATTCCCATATTCTGTAAAACCAAAAAAAAGGGAAATTCTTCATGTATTACGACCCAGAAACCAGGATAAACCTGCTCGTTGATCGACTACCTCCGTATAATCCTCACATTACATTCATCATTCTTCACGAAGAAGCCTTCTCGGACATTGGTAGCTGAAGAACTGGCTCTCTCGACATTATAAATCCTGAAAAATGTTGCCAAGGCCTTTAACATTTCCATCCATGCAAAACTGCTCATATACTATTAACACCTTATCATGCAAGGATTATTCATGTAACTCACTTGCGACCGATACATGCTCGAGGCCCTATAGAGAACGGGTAGAACGAGTCCAATAGCGTAGACGAATCTCCTTCTTGCCATCGAGAGATGTCAAATTTCTCAGGTTCCTTTTATCTTTAGTATATGGCTCCGCTGTAACTATACATGCATGATAATGGTACTCACGCTAAACACGGTAGGATCATGATGAATGTTGAGTGTAGGCACGCTAACCAAGGTCTAATAACTTGTGAGCACAATTCCTTGTTAACTAAGAAATCCTGAAACATAGAACTTACTCCCCAGGGATATAGATCCCCGAGATAGTCTTCCCTCCAGCAGGCGTGACTCTCTCAAGGCCAGTGGAACTTGTAGGTTTGAACCGCATCGTCTCTCGAAGCACGGCGTTCAAGACGGGAAGCCGATTCACAGTCTGAAAATCAGCTACCCAATTATTCCCTAGTGGCCCAACAAAAGTATTATCTAGCTCTTCATGTAGCTGTTTCTGTATATCAGGTGCCCGTGATAAAATGTCGACCACGCTTGTCATGGTTGTACTTGTCGTGTCGCTGCCGCCAACAATAAAGGAGATAGACTCGGCAATGATTTCGTTTTCTGATAATGGGGAGCCCGTATCTGGGTCTTTAGCATTGAAAAGAAAGCTGAGTAGATCCTTCCGATCCGTCTCTTGGCCTTTTCGCTCATGATAGGCAGTAGATCCTATAGAAGCAAGGCTACTTGTTGCTTTCAGGCCATTCGGCCAGAACTGATCAAATATAAAATATTTCATCACCGGCCGTAAGAATTTTGGTAGGTGGCCTAAAGCATTTAGCACCTCTCCACGTGCATCGACAGTAGCGATTAGGTTGAGCTGATCTCTTTCCTTGTCAAGAAAGCCAAATGACTTTCCAAACGAATAGTCGCTGATCACATCGAATGCTAGAAAATTGGCTAAACGCAAAATTAGCTTACTATTATCTTGTGTCAGTTAATTTCTTGACTTACAGTAGTCATTGAAATCGAGTTCCGCCTGTTCAGATCTCCGAACAGCTCTCCCAAAGCACTTCATCAACTTCCTGATCTGCTCCGTCATATGGGGCTCATATTCACCCAAATGTCTCGCCGAGAACGCTGGACTGAGATATTTCTTCTTGCGTTGATGAACTCTCACATCTGTCGTGTTGAAAAGCACTGGCTCAACTTGATGAAAGGGTATATCGGTCTAGGAGTCAGTATACATCGTCTCATGCGTGGAGTAAAAAGATTGACATATCTTCATAGAAGGGTCCTTTGATGAAGCCGGATTTATGTCCATATATCGTCTCCAATGCCAAACGGCTGGCAAACGAAATATTATTCGGCGCGATTCGGACGACATTACCGTGCCGTCTATGTTGTTGTAATACAGACTCGGAGCGCCTCGCAAACCGACACTGGAGAATGATCCACAACGATGAAAACTTCGCCAGGAAAGGCCCCGGTATGTGCGACAATGCTCCGAATAAAGCATGATAACATCCGTCTGCTATAATCTTGGATAGAAAAGAAAATATGTTATACAGCATTTCGAATTGATTTGATGACCTTGGGACACTCACCAGGACAAGAATGACCAATATACACACCACCGGCGAAATATTTTCCAATGCAGCTGTAATGAACGACATGTTCCACTTAAGCCTAAGTAGTAGGAGCTCAGAGATGCAAAGACTTCTTTTTAGTGATGTTTTCCCTTATACTGATAGTTCGGGGGTATGTCGGAACCCCGCTAACCCATGGGAGGCCCGACAGGGTAGTCCCCGCATACCATCTTGCAGTACACAACACGCGGGGAAGATATTATCTGCGGGGACAGTGATAGCTCTTAATTGTTGCAGTATCAAAGCTCCGGTATCTCCGGGTAGGTGAAATGGCGATTGCTTAACAAGCTATGTTGTCCCCGATAAACTATGGCTAAACTTCAACAAGTAATAAGCTAAAAAAAAGCCAAACTATGTATTGCCCAAAGTAGAGGAATAATTCTTCGTTTTTTTTTTAAAAAAAAAAAAATCTTGCTTTGACCGCTCCTGCATCTCGCTTCTCTGCCAACTACTGTTCTCCCCTCGCTGTATCCTATGTGGCCGATGTTGGCCCCGGATGGTACGGGTCACAAGCTAGGGTCCCATGATGTAATAACTAAACTGTCAAAGCTATGACTCGTGGGGAGGCTATGTTGAAAATGTACCTGAACGTGGCAGCTCCGGCAAGGCTGTGTTCGCCCCAGGGCGCGGTCCTTGGCAAAAACAATGGCATACCAGAACATCCAATCACATTCAATGGCTCAAATGGCCATGACTCTGTGTGCCAAGGTAGGGCTCTCAAGGGACCTTGTATAGTGCAAGAATATGCCCAGGTCCAAAATGACGCTAGGGTTCAGCCTTGTTAGGCGCAGTCGGGCTTTGGATGACCAACAGCGGCCTCCTTGGCAGAGGCCGATGGTTGAATCTGGGTAGAATTAAGATTTCCCTCGTTGTCGGAGTACATACTGTGGTTTTCTCATTACCCTCGAAGTTGAGTGTTTGTTTCGTACTTTAGCATTATTGAGGAATGGAAATACTGGAGGGGTTCGATGAAAGAGAGAGGCGGGCGCTGGAAGTAGTGTCATGAGAAAGCAGAAAAGATCTACCAAAGTTCAGCATCCACTTGTTCATACATATAGCAAGTATCCTGGGTAGAGAGAAAGTGCTCACCATCTTTTTTCATCGCCGCTACGTTTAAATTTTATGCGGTTATATCCTTTCTTTGGTTCTACATAAAATAGAAACTCGTCTTACACTGCTAAGGGTTGATTTTCGTGCAATTGTATAACCTTGATAACTTAGCGGTATTCAGCCAAAGCCCTTGCGTAATATCACATCGTATGGACAGTCATTTTGGAGTTAGATACGAGAGAATATGGGTATAGTTTATTGAGCTTCTATGATTGGGCGTTATCCCTCCCTTTCAAGTTTAGGACTTATCTGAGAATAATGCATGGCTGGTTAGGCATTGAAAAATCATGTACGTTTTATCTGGTGTGGAAAACGATTGAATTTGCCACTAATGTGCCGTATTACCCGGAAATCGTATTTCAGAGCAGATAGTGGTGCTTGGCCCTTTGCGTGTTGCGCGACTATCTCCCTGCGTGCCCGGGCGCATGAGGCTCAGCCCGGCCGGCGTCCCAAGTTCCCCACAGCCCCAATAACATACAACTGTTGCTTTTTCATAAATACTGCATGATGACTTTGCTATGAATGGTGAAAACTGTACTCAATGTTTAAGGCCATGGAGCTTGTTTATCTGTGCCCAATATTCTAGTTCTGTTTTATCTTCCTACCTCTCACGAAAACATGATGAATCTCGTTTTATATTACTTGATAATGGCGACATTTGTGCCCATTGCAATCTCACAAGGATTGTTTGATTTTATAGATGACTATTATGGGAACTGCGCTGTGAGTATCGAAGTAGTCTTCATTTGATATTTGGAACTTGACAATGAGCTGATACAAACACACCAGTCTTCATGCGCAAGCCAGGCCTATAGCTGGCAGGAGGGGAGTAGCTGTATGGATAGTCGGCCTTGCTGGTGTTCTGTCAATGATGCAGCTTTCTTCGAGAAATTAGTCTGCTGCATTTATCAGTCTGATGACTGCTCGGCTGATCTTGATGGTGAGTTCTTCAAGGAATTCAATCATGTGCAGGAATTATTAACATCGGTGGAAATGTAGTGATAAATCAAGGCCTGGAAGAATGGTGTTCTTGGGAAACTGGTATCAAGACCCCACATCAAACGAATTCCAGAGATCCTCCGCCGCTCCCATCTACATGCCCTCCTACAGTCAGGGACACTCCATCACCAAAGAGTGAGATTAAACGCCGCAGTTACTATGGCAGTGGAAGTAACAACGAATCCTTTTCTGGCGGAAAGGTGGCAGGTATTATAGTTCTCGCTGTAGTTGTGACTTTGGGGCTTGCAATAAGCCTAATCTCCGCTGGCAATCGGGCTGGGAAGCGAGCCAGCCCTACGCCGCCGGCACTCCCTATGCATACTGCTAGGCGTCTCACCACAGTTCCACCGCAAAACCCTCCACAAAGACCACCGACTGCCATTGTTCGAGGGGGAACACCACCGCCGCCACCACCGTACTCAGCCAAGGATGAACCGACACCCCGGTATGAAGCAAGTCATTCAGTGTCACGATAGATATTAGAATCTGGATAAATGTAATTAAGAAGGAATATAATGCGTATCAAATAGAAAACATTTTCAAAGTGTAACGTTGGACGGGGATGGAAGAAATCCCGCTATCAACCGCAGATAAGCCTAACGGATCACGTGGCAGCTGATAGCGCGGGCTCCCCCCGCCTCAAGCTCGAGCTCCTCCACTTTGCATCTGCCGTGCGGAGACTCGCTTTTTTGCATTTTATTCTAAAGGGCTGTATCTTGCTCTCGAAAGCAGATCCCGTAAACGACACTCTACCCTGAAATAATTGCTCTCGGACCGTCCCGGCCAGTCAGCCACCCTTCACCATGCAGTCTGTCCCGGAGTCCCGCACACAGACCTTCGAGGAGATCTACGGACCTCCAGAGAACTTCCTGGAGATCGAAGTGAGTCGCAGTCAATTCCGCCATATTCTTTGTCCCCCGAGACCTCATTTTTGGAATGGTCTTGTGCCCACCTGCCCAACTAGCACAAGTCCAAACTCTCACCCCCTTCTACCCATCACCCTCCGCCAAAGGAGCAACTCTATTTTAATAACTGTTCTGACTCGTGTGCTTGTATGGAAATCAGGTCCGCAATCCTCAAACACATGGCACATCACGGAATATGTACACCTCCTATGAAATCGTCTGCCGCACCAATATCCCCGCCTTCAAACTGAAACACTCCATCGTACGCCGCCGCTACTCCGACTTCGAGTACTTCCGCGATATCCTCGAGCGCGAGAGCACGCGTGTCACGATCCCCCCGCTGCCGGGCAAGGTCTTCACAAACCGATTCAGCGACGACGTCATCGAACATCGCCGGGAGGGACTTCAGCGGTTCCTGCAGATCGTGGCGGGACACCCCTTGCTGCAGACAGGAAGTAAAGTGCTGGCTAGTTTCATACAGGGTAGGTCATCTTCTTCGAGTTTAGATTAGTTCCATGATGCTGCAGGATTCAACCTTCTAGAAAAAAACTCAATGCTCGTTGTGAATGAGTTGCTGACATTTGCGTCTAGATCCGAATTGGGACCGGAATGCATGGTAGATTGCATACAACCAAGCAAAGGTCTTCTTTACAACACCCCACAACCCACCCGCCCCATTTGGTCACTCTATCCTTTTACCCATCGCCTTCTTTCTATTTATGCTTTCAATTCAACTAGTACCTTGAGCGCAACGTCTTATGGTCTTTTCTCGCGGTCATTGTCTCTGCTTGGCCCCCTTTGCGTACTGTCTATTTGGCAAGCGAAATAGACGACTGTACGTTACTTGATGAATCCCGATCCTTGATAATCGTTTGATATCCAATTTATATTCTACTTCGTATGTGTATGTGCCTCATTGTCATATCAGTTCAGCTTGGCGAGACTTTCAGGCTTTGACGTTTTGCCCGAAGTAATTGAGAGCAGCATATGGTTGGCATTTGTCAATTTTGAATCCTGTTAGTTATCTCGGTTGACTTTACTCTAGACTGTCAATACTATATGGCTGGGCTTTGACTAATGCAAAATTGCGACTTCACCTCCAATGATAATAATCCTGGGCCTAGAATTTTGCGCTGACCTATGATTAGTTGATACTAAGTAATTTAATGAGATCAATTTGAATTCATTCCGAAAAGTATTTCTGATAAAAACAAAGCCGTCGTGTACTGCGGGATATAGTAGTTGTAAAGATCAAAAAAGCAGACAATAAAAAAGCAGGCACCCAAGATGCATGGCCCACGTCAATATGGGCCAATAAACTAACAAGAAAATATCAAAAAGGTTTAGAGAGGACGTCATGCGTTAATGAAGAATACCAGAAGGGATATTTTTGTTTCTGAGGGCAGGGATGCTCCGCAGTGTGTTTTCAGTTCAAGTCGTCCCAGATCATAGGGGCAAGGGTATTATCCTCCCACGGCGACGCAGCTGGGTTTTCATCCAGCGGGAATGAAAGCATTGCAGCCGCGGTAGGGTTGCTTGTTGATGGTTCAACGAACCCAGGAGGAGGGGGCAAGAACGATGGATCAATGGGGCCAAGATTGGAATGCGATGCCGTGGAGGGGTGCCGACTGTGTGTGCTTGATCGAGATATTCCGGCAATTTTCGATGGTGTATTCACCGGCGTGGTTTCGGCACTAGGGAGACGATCACGAGGCACGGGAACCGGCGTACCAGTTGGTTCTCGTTTGGCTTGGTTGATAGAGCTGCTACTCACAGAGCCTCCATGACGATATGCGTTGGGAAACTTGGTGCGGAAACGGTCGCGGAGATCCGTTGCTCGGCGGTGGCCTAGGTTGAGCCCGGGATCCTGTTGGATAAGAGTCCATTGAAAGCCATGTGAAGCATAACCCTTCAGCAAAGCTTCATCCTCGGCACTGGTGAACAGGTTGCGGGAACGGCGTTTAGATTTCTTAGCGACATGGGGTTCGGGTATGCCAAGAGATTCGAGAGTTGATTGGGATTCGTCCGAGAGTGTACGTGTGACTGTGACCCTGGTAGGTGGGCTTTTCCGAGTGCTTGTTGACCCGAACTCCGTGTCAGGCGTGGAAGGTGACATGCTAGATGCCGAAGGCTTGTGAGAGCTCGTTGTTGGACTTTCAATTCTAGAGGCGGGCTCTGAGCCAGGTGTCGCGGGGTTTGTGATCGGCAATTTTGATTTTCCAGGCACTTCATCAGAGCCTTCGGTTTGTGCCTGGTGAAGAGCGTTGGCTAGATAGTCGCGTAATTGCTTGGTTGCCTCATTAGAGTCAGATGCGCGATAGGCCCAGGGACAGCAAACTCGGAATCTGTCTTTCAGGTTGGATGCCGTCCGCTTGTTGAACTTGAGTTCTGGCTGAGCGAGAATCGTCGTCCAATTACCAATCCCGCACTTGACTGCCCCGTGAAGTAATGCCATAGTTTCTTCTTCGGTCCACTTGCGCAAGTTTTTGCGAGATCGACCTCGAGACTTTGGCGATAGCGGGTCACTTCCTTCTTGCTTTCCACGCGACGCAACACCACTAGCTGTAGGTTCGTCTTTTTCAACCACCACGGGATTCGGTACATCTGCGTTCTCGGGTTGAGCAAGTGGACCAGCTTCTTCTGGATGTACATTATCAACGGCAGTCTCGTCAAGGGTGGCGCCAAGAAGCTCCTCGATCTTTGCTTCTCTTCGTTCTACAGACTGACCCTCGACAAGAGTGCCATGGACAGATACGATAGTACTCGCGTCCACAACGGCCGTTGCAGCGGAAGCATCGCCGCGCGATGGTTTCGTGAGAAGTTGGGTGATTGAGCCAGCTTCAATAGGTGGGAGAAGGGCAGCGTTGGGAGGCGGTTCATTCAAGCCATTTAAAATTGCAAAAGGTCCAAATGGGGGCGGGCGTTGCTCCTTCTGAGAAGTTTGCGGGATGGGTAATTGTAGATGTTCGCCAAATGATTCGGCCTGAAGTTCTAGGCGTCTTCTCTTGCGTTGGCCATGGAGAGTATTGTCATCAAAGGATGAGGAGAAGGGCACGCGTTCCAGAGCGCGGAGGTTTACAAAGGCAGGAAGAATTGGCTTGGGCGGTCTCTCTGCACTTGACTGGGAGCTGGATGCTGGATCTGTCTTTTTTGTTCGAGCAGCATTGAGAAACTCGGTCACTGTTGGTAGAGCCTCTTTGGTAGTGGAAGTGGAAGGAGTATTGTTCCCAGTGGGGACGTTGGTTTTTGAGATCGTCTGCGATTCCCGTACCCCACCACTTGCATTAGGCTCTAGTGGAGAAGGAACTCTGAGGGTTCGTGAAGCAACGGGTTCTCGCAAGGGCGCGATGCGCAAGGAGAGTTGGGGAAGTTCGCGGTGGTGAGATTCATCGAGGGCCCGCAGTGGCCCGTTGGAATCCATACTCTAGCAACTCAGGCCGAGGAAGTGGAGTGGGGGGGAGTATATTCATGCAGTTCATAGTGGGCGCCCTGATGTAACCTCCTGAGGGGAAGCCAGTCTCTGAATAATGGAAGACGGGAAGGGAAAGAGAAGAAACAGGAGCCGTTGCCCCAGGGTGGATCTTCCCAGCTTCCACCCTACCGGAGAAGAACTCCTAAAACTCGGGACCGCCTCGGATACGAAACGATAACGATAACGATAGCGATAATGATTGGTGCCTTGCGGGCCAGGCTATAATTACGTCAGCGCTCAGATCGGCCCCGGTTTGTGCCTCAGGCCAGAGATATCGATAACTAACTAACGATAATGATTGCTGTCTCAGGCCAACATATACGTCAGCGCTGAGGTGAGCCGCACTATTTACCATTCTCATCTCACCCTCACACTCATCCTCCAACAACTTCAACAACTTCAACAATTTCAACTTCACTTTCAACGTCTAATTTTCTCTCTCCTTTCCTACAATGCCCACAATCCTCCCACCATGGCCGCACATTCTCTTCGGCATCCTTGAACCCTTCTCCCTGTACGATAACTGCTTCACACCCAAAGGACCCTTCACATGAGAAGCCTACTCACCACCGCCCATCTCTAGAGTCCTCGGCAGCCTCGCCCCCATATACGATCTGGAAAGCTTCGTTGCCGGCCAAACACCACACGCCGACCCACCCATTTCACACCCCAGCACACTAGCCATAGCCTATCAACTCGGCAACCTATATTCCCTCCTCTTCCTCCTTGGCGTCGCAGTCCTGCACACAACCACCGAACCCAAAGTCATCCGCAATTACATGATTGGACTGGCCATCGCCGATGTTGGTCATGTCTACGCCACTTATCTCGGGATGGGCTGGGACGCCTTTGTTGATGTTGGTGCCTGGAACGCGTTGACCTGGGGGAACATTGGTGCTACGGCGTTCATCTTCTTCAACAGACTGGGATATCTGGCCGGGTTGTTCGGGTCTGCAAGAGCGCCGAAGGTAGCTTCGAAGAAAGAATAATAAGGCACAGAGCTTGTTGGCTTGTCGGGTCGAAAGCCTCCATATTGTCTCTCAACCCGATCAAAGCATTGATTTTATAACCGCCGGGCCGGCTTGGTCCCCAGGGCGCATGACTCGGTCACATCATCTGCAGGGGTCTTCAGCTGAGGCAAACTAGGACTCATTTACGTTTTGAGCGGAGCAGAGCACGCTCGTCCGATCGGAGTATCGTAACTTCAAGGCCTCTAATTTTAATATTGGACATATCTTCAAGCTACGCAGAAACCGAATCAGGGATGAAAAAAGTACATCAAGTGGATACCTACTACAACGGCCCCGAGCTAAAAATAAATTAAACAAATACCCAAAAATCAGATCCTGTCTTGAATAAATCTTGCGCCAGACGCCCGGCGCTCCAGATGCTAGAATGGGTATAGCGTTGTAAATCAATACACAATTCTCAAACTGAAGCAATCTAATGGCAACGCAGAGATCGCCGATCAACTAGCATCGGATGTAAATCGAGAAAGTGGGGGTGATGGTGCACAGATGTAGAAAACAATAACAAAGAAAGGACGAGAGTTTTTTTTTGAAATGGGCAAGAAAAGGAGAAATCGAAGAGAAAAGGGAATAGCGGTGGAGGTTCTTGCAGGCTTGAAACAAGCCGATGCCGCAATAGAATGATCGCCTGCAGCAATGCAAGCCACTGCGCGAAAGCAAGCAGATCTGATTCACTTAGATTGGGTGAATGCGGTGAATGAACGCGGTTAAGACCAGATCGAGTCGAAATATACCCTAACTCCCCGGTCCAGCTAGTCTACCTCTGCAGAAAGCGGAAGACGGGCTGGAGAGCCACTTCACCCTTTTGCTGGCCATCGCGAAGATGCGGGAGTAAGAATGGGATCCCGGGATAATCTCGGTAATGTTGACGGTATGCGGCGTAATTTTGTGTTGCATTGCAGAGGAATATCGTGTCTGGAGGGATAATAGGGTCTAGAACGACCATTCCCCCGACTGTACTGTTGAGACCGCGGGATCGTGCAGTTGATATACTATATTTGTGGAGGCCGTGCAGCATTGCCGTTAGAGAGTGGTAATTTTGTCTTTGTAATAGGCTCTGCAATGGTTGGATTCTCTCTGTCAGATATGGGTCGAAACTATCGTATTGTTGTTGAGGAGT